ATTCGCACAGCTCCCACCACCTCACAACCACACTCTGCCTCGTTGGATGTAGGCGAGTTGGACCCTTCCGTCACCGAAGCTATGCTCTACGAGCTCTTCTCCTCCATCGGACAGGTCGCGTCGATCCGTGTTTGCCGTGATGCCGTTACCAGACGTTCTCTCGGTTACGCCTACGTGAACTACAACAACACCGCCGATGGAGAGCGCGCCCTCGAGGACCTGAACTACACTCTGATCAAGGGTCGTCCGTGCCGCATCATGTGGTCCCAGCGTGACCCTGCTCTCCGCAAGACTGGACAGGGCAATGTCTTCATCAAGAACCTTGATACCGCCATCGACAACAAGGCCCTTCATGATACCTTTGCCGCTTTCGGTAACATCCTTTCCTGCAAGGTCGCTCAGGACGAGTATGGTAACTCCAAGGGATACGGGTTCGTTCACTACGAGACTGCCGAAGCTGCCACCAACGCCATCAAACACGTCAACGGTATGTTGCTGAACGAGAAGAAGGTGTTTGTTGGACATCACATCGCCAAGAAGGACCGCCAGAGCAAATTTGAGGAGATGAAGGCCAACTTCACCAACATTTACGTCAAGAATGTCGAGCAGGATGTCACCGATGAGGAGTTCCGTGCCCTTTTCGAGAAGTATGGTGACATCACCTCTGCAACCCTTAGCCGCGATAACGAGACCGGCAAGAGCCGTGGGTTCGGATTCGTTAACTTCTCCGACCACGAAGCTGCCTCCGCTGCTGTTGAAGGGCTGAACGAGTATGAGTTGAAGGGTCAGAAGCTTTACGTCGGCCGTGCCCAGAAGAAACATGAGCGCGAAGAAGAGCTCCGGAAACAATACGAAGCCGCCCGTATCGAGAAAGCTTCCAAATACCAGGGTGTTAACCTCTACATCAAGAACTTGTCCGATGACATCGACGACGAGAAGCTCCGTGAGCTTTTCAGCAGCTATGGTAACATCACGTCTGCCAAGGTCATGCGTGAGGCCACCGCTGAGGTTCCCACCGAGAGTGACAAGGACAAGGAAGCCGATAAAGAGAAGGCCAAGGGCGAGGCCGGAGAGAAGACCGAAGAAGGGCCTGAGGGCAAGACTGACGATAAGTCTGAGGAGAAGACCGAGGAGAAGACCGAAGGAAAGACTGAGGGAGCCAAACCTGAGAAGAAGCATCTCGGAAAGAGCAAAGGTTTCGGATTCGTTTGCTTCAGCAACCCAGATGAGGCTTCCAAGGCCGTCACCGAAATGAACCAGCGCATGGTTCACGGCAAACCGCTATACGTTGCTTTGGCTCAACGCAAGGATGTCCGCAAGAGTCAGGTGAGAATCAGCTAACCTCCTGGCATCGATAAAGAAATATCAACGTTGACTAACATCCATCAGCTCGAGGCCAGCATTCAGGCCAGAAACACCATCCGCCAACAGCAGGTTGCCGCCGCTGCTGGAATGCCCCAACCCGTGAGTTCCCTCCTATACGACCAATGTGTGTGTAAGTATCTACTGACACCGGTGGGTGATAGTTCATGCAACCCGCAGTCTTCTACGGCACCCCTGGCCAGCAAGGCTTCCTCCCCGGCGCTCAGCGAGGTGGAATGCAGTTCGCCGGCCAAGCTGGCATGGTTATGCCCGGAATGCCTGGTGGTCGTCCCGCCCAGTTCGCCCAGTTCCCTGGACAACAGGGCGGTCGTGGTATGAACCCCAACCAGCCACTCCCTCCCAACTTTGCCATGGGCGGCCAAAGTCTCCCGATGGGCGCCATGCAGGGCGCCGGAATGCCAAATGGTCTCAACTACCCACAGATGGCTCAGGTCCAGTCGTTCGGCCGTGGAGGCGGTCGTGGACAGCCCATGCAAGGTATGCCACCAGCCACAGGGAACGCCCCACCAATTCGCGGACCCGGTGGCCCAGGCTTCTCTCAAGGCCGTAACATGCCCATGCAAGGTGGCCGGCCAGGCCCTGGCGGCCGTGGTCAGGGTGCTCCCGGACAGGGCGGTATGCCACGCGATGAAACAGCCGGCCCCAGCTCCATCAACCTCCAAGCCTTCAACGCCGCTCCCGAGCCCCAGCAGAAACAGATGCTCGGTGAAGCCATCTACCCCAAGGTTCTCGCCCAACAGCCTGAGCTCGCCGGAAAGATCACTGGTATGCTCCTGGAAATGGATAACTCAGAGTTGATTGGCCTGTAAGTACACCAACTATCCTGCATTCTCGCACTGCCTTAATTTTACCCAAACAATGCTAACCTCATACTCCTCTACAGAGTCGATGATGACGCTGCCCTCAGAGCCAAGGTCGACGAAGCTCTTACCGTCTATGATGAATACGTCAAGAACAAGACCGAGGCTCCCTCCGGTGAAGCTGCTCAGCCAGAGGCTGGCAAGCCTGCGGAAGAGACCAAGTCTTAAATCTAATGCTCGAAACGGTTTTTAATTGTGGAGGAAAGTTTTTTGATTCTGGTTTCCTCGGTTTGGCATGTCTTACGAATACTCTTCCTCTATTTTCTATTTTCTTTTTTTTGTTGAACGACCTCCTCCCTCTCTCCGGCGCTTATATGCCCTACGTTCATACGGTCATGATTTCCCCCTCCTCCAAGTTTCGGTTGTAGCTGGCAAAGGTTTGACGCAGGAAGCGGGAAAAAGTTACATCTCATTTTCTCCTTCCTGGTAACGAAGATATCCCTTACCTTTTATTCACCCCCTTTTTCTTTCTTTCTTCTCCCTTATCACCTCCTTTCACACCACCGCAACCACCACCCATGTTCACCACCGCTTATGTCTCCATGTCGCCCCCTATTCTTCAGGAGTTCATCTGTCTTTGTGCGCTTTGCTTTTTCTCTCTCCTTGTTTGATTCCCTTTTCGCCCAGGTTTTTTTTTTTATTTTATTTCTTTCATCTTTTTTTCGATCCTGTTAGAATGTGGAATGTGGTAGCAACGCATGTTAAGGCTCCTTTGCCAACCAGCAGCATTATTTGTTTGGTATCTTTTGCAAATTGTGAACAGCCAACACCAACAAACGAAAAGGAAAAAAAGAGAGTACGGGAACGGAAAGGAAAAGGCCAATTCAAAAAAAGTTCATATTTTACTTACCGGTGCTGGAGGCATTTTGTGCTTCGTCTTCTCGTTTTTTCCATATTTCATATGCCGTCTCGTCTCTTGAAATTATGAGCCGAACACTTGTACAATATTCACGAGTACTTCGAGTATGCCATGCATGTTCAATATCTTAACGAATGTTTTCTTATCTACATTGTGCTACTTAGGGGGTCCTTTCATACATGGCATCGTCCTCTTTTCTGCATGTTCGAGTCTATCACATCGATGTCGTCATATACAAAGCTACATCCCACCACAAGCGCCATGGGCTAACACGACGTCAGAGAGACATGATACACTGAAGATACATTATAAACCGACCTATACCAGCTATTGAGACCAGTAAAGATGGATTTTACATCTTCATTCCATGCCGTCGACAGTGAGCTAAGAGGAGCACATCTTACTCTACCTGTGAAGTGTATGATCTACGGACAAGGTAGGTTGAACGCCTCATGCCACAGCTTATCAAAAACAACCAAGGAGTTATTGACATGGAGGAATTATATATAGGAAGCCGAGCCTCTCTGTCAAAAGTGATTTCCAAGCTAGGCGGGTCCAAAGCGTTTATCATCACCGGCAAGTCGTTGAACGAGAAGACGCCAGTTATTAAAGAGCTGGAGGAGCATTTGGCAGGTTCCCACGCAGGGACATACGCTGGAGTCCGTCAACATGCGTAAGCCCTACGTTATCAGTGATTTATCTTGCTCGTTGGAACTGACGAGCCATAGACCCGTCGCAGATATCGAATCCGCAGTGGAACAAATTAAGCAGTCTGCAGCAGACGTCCTCGTAGCTGTTGGAGGAGGATCGCCTATAGACGCCGCAAAAGCTGTTTCATATCATATACATAAACATACGGAAACATGGATCCCTATCATTGCTCTTCCAACAACCCTGAGCGTGGCGGAAAATACCATGGCAGCCGGATATACCAACGCAGAAGGGCATAAAGTTGCTATTCTGGATCCCGAGATGGCCCCGAAAGGTATCACACCTATGCAAAACACCGATTAATTATAGTTGTATAGCGCTAAGCTCTTCCTCTACCCGGTAGCAATCATATACGATGCCGATATCACTCTACACACCCCGCCGCGACTATGGCTAAGCTCTGCTGTATGCACTCACATGCGAGCCAACAATCTACCAACTCATCAATTTCTAACCGGATAGCTAGGTCCGTGCAATTGATCATGCGGTTGAGCTACAATACCACCCTCAAGCAGCCGAAGTGCCAACGAAACGGATATGCCGAACAGCTATTCGAGAGATATTCAAACTTCTCCCGCTATGCAAGAAAAACCCCGAAGACCCAAAAATCCGTCAAGAGTTACAGATAGCCGCATATTCCGCCCTGCCCCCGTTCTACTTCACGGCCGGAATGGGGCTAAGCCATACAATTGGTCATGTCATTGGAGCTACATATGCTATTCCGCATGGTATAACGTCTTGTATAAGCCTGGCTAAAACGGTACATTTCAAAGCAGCTAGAAATCCAGAGGAAGCACACCAGATTGCGAAGATATTGCCATATATCGGTTTGACTTGCTCTGGCGACGATTCACGGGATGCTAATGCTGTGGGCGATGCTATAGCTAAATTGGTAGAGAGCTTGGAGCTGAAATCTACCTTAACCGAAGTAAGATGTTCTCTCCATCTCGTCACCTCTATAGAACTGGGAGGCTAACGTTCCTTTTAACCAAATAATAGTTCTCCGTAAAGCCTGGCGATGCCGATACAATTGCGTTACGTGCGTTGAAGGGGGATAAAAAGGATCCAAACTTGCCTGCATGTATGTGAGCCTTCTCTGCTGGTGCTTCTTAAAACAACACTAACAGTTATCGTCGTAGTGTTTGAGCTTATCCACAGTCTCTATTAACAAATAGGGAAACCGGAACTCTGGATACATTGAATCCGGAAATATTCTATATCGCTTTGGTTATGTCATAACAATTTCTATCTATATAGAAGATCCTCCACCCTCTTCGAAATGGCCAACGAACTAGTCAGCCCGGGACTCTCGATACCCAGCAAGTTTATAAACCCCGGGAACCCCTCTTCTTTCTGAATCACAAAGTCTTGGAAGTCTTTCCCAGAGGAGACTGATCCGCCCCTCACCAGCTTTGGCCTGATACCACAATAATCAAGATCTATTGCGTCGAGCTTCACACTAGGCAAGTATGCCTGGATCTCCTTGAAAGCATCCTTCAGGCGTTTTGGGCTTGGAGTTAAATCATCTGCGCTGTCTACCCATTCAACATCAGGACCGAACCTGACTCTGCCTGCCATATCCAACGTAAGGTGGGTCCCTAAACCGCCGTAGCTTGGCCGGGGAGCTGGATATAATAGGGTCGACGGCTTTGGTGAGGAAGCTGCGTATGAAAAATACGTCCCTTTGGCAAAGTAAGGCGTTCGGTGTCTTTCCGGGGGTAAAATCATATTGTTTATACTGCAAGCAAAATGGCCGGCACAGTTAATGAGAGTTTCCGCTGTAAATGACGACTTCTCCTCCTGCTTCTCTCCAGACTTGGTGAATATTTCATAGCCGCCGCCATTTTTCAGAGGTTCGATTTTATAAACGTTTGTCAACAGTACGCAGTCTCCGCCTCTTTCCTCGTAGTCACCATGTAGATAGGACATGAGGGAGTGAACATCCACTATTCCTGTAGTGGGACTCTCGAGAATCCCTGCCTCGGCCCGTACATCAGGCTCTCTTCTTTTCGCCTCTTCTGCAGTAACAAAGCGGATCGGGACACCTATTTCTCGAGCATGGAGGAAAACCTTTAGACATTCTTTCCACTGTTCCTCGTCTTGTGCAACGATCCACTTCTTCGTGTTGCGGTATGGGATATTTTGCTTCTCACAGAGATCGTAGAGCAGTTCTTTCCCTTCGATGCATAGCTTTGTCTTCAATGAATCTACCCCATAGTATAGACCAGCATGAATAACCTGTTAGGTCCTCCGTTAGTTTCATCCATCTCCCTCTCCAGCCTTTTAGAGTAGCCAATGAAGGGGCAACAAAGGCTCTTGAAAAATCTGAAATCTGACCTCAGAGTTTCGACTGCTTGTCTCCGTTCCCACTGCCGAGTGCCTCTCAACTAGAACGGTTGATGCCCCTTCTCGAGCGGCAAGTTGACGAGCAACCGCCAGTCCAACGACTCCTGCTCCGATAACCTGTTTCCAATGCCATTAGATAAAGGTCCGGGTTCCTTCAGGGTAGATATCAAACATGAAACCGAGATGGGAGCATGCCTGGCAAGTGATATAATTCTACCTACTGCATGTGTGAAGTCAGCATGTAGCTTGCTACTACTAGAGAATAGCCGGTATCTAGCTAGTGGCCTTAAATGCGCTGGCCTGGAAAACATAGCACAGAGAATTTCGCCGAGCTGAGATGGCTTATCCCTAACTGACACTGTGTTTCAACAAGCTCTCCGTCTAAAGAGGCCCTGGTTAGCGTTTAGTGACCAGAGAAGCAGAGAATAAGATGCCTCGTACGGTAGTTGTCGTTACCCCAAAGATATTACTAATGATGCCCCCAAACTCAATTGTGTTTCAGCTGGTGTAACAGGGTCAACAGGGGCACTCTAATTCTTTTATATTTATATCTTCGTCGAGGTACGTACCCCATTAATGCCTGTGAAGAGTAGAAAAACAAGGTAGGGAGCATTCGCAAGTGTTGTATAAATATATTTAAACAGTATGATACGCCAGCCAGCCGCCAACGCTTACTCTAGTCATTATCTTAAAGATCAACCAATACGCCATGAAAAATCGCTCTATATCCAAAAAGATTTACTCCGTCAAGGGAAAATTAATCCATAAAGCTGGAACTGATTATCGGCGGCCGCCTGATCCTCTCACAAACGGCTCAAAATGCTATGGATGGTTAGTGAATTGAAGGGACAATGAGCAGGATACAATGGCTCACCTCTTTCTGGTCAGTTGCCAGCTTTCCTTTTGTGTCCTACAAAGCTGAGTTAGCAGAGACAAATCCAGATGTGATATTAAGATACGACGTACGCTGATAATAGTAAGTATTAATGAATAATTGTTGAAAATGAAACGTTCTCTTCTCTTCGGGTCGCCACTGCTCTTGCTCAGTTTGGTAAGAAGCGTATCGAATTCATTCACTAATCTGCCCAGGCTGTTGGAGATCGGCTCATCATCACCAGCCTCGTTGCATAGGGTTAATATACTATGCAAGAATTGCCCGAATCTCTGTGTAAGGAAATGCGGTGCAGATGATTGGGCGTCAGTGGATGTCAATGACAGAACCGAAAGACCACTTCGAGCAGAGGCAGATGATATCCTCTTCAGAGACTCGAAATGCATGTCCATGATCATCTGAAATCGAGGCCAGAGCTGCATGTTGACACCGTTAATGTAGGGATCCGCCACGGGAACCTTCCGACGTTGCATCTCGAATGCAAATTGCTGGTTGAGTCTAACACAAAGAAGAATACCGATGCAATCAGTGGTGTTTTCAATGAGCTGTTTTGTCAGAGCCTGACCAGAAGCAAATGTAGGCTCGAATATTTCCGACACTTTCTGTGTCGTATAGTGTATTGTTTTAGATGCGAACATCTCAGCCATAAACGAATACTCGGCGGAGATATTATCAATCAATGCTAGGTTGAAGTTTCGGAAGACAACCTCTAGCCCATGGGAGGACTTGTCTTCTTCCGCCAAGTAAGACGAAAGTGCCATGGGAGAGCCTGATTTCAGTATATCCATACGTCGGCCTAAAGCAAGTGGGTCATGGGCAGCAAGCGCAGGGCTACGGCCACCAGAGCCACCGTGTGCTAGGACATGTTAGCAAACAAACGATACTGGCTAGTGTGAATATATATACCCGTTCTTTGTGAGGATACATCACCCCCGAGGAGATCATTTCGATCGATCGAGTAAAGCTTCAGGCTATCTAAAGCTTGAGAGTATCGAGTAAAATTTGACAAATAGTACCATCTCATGGTATTGACATATGCTTGGGTTATCTCCTCAGATAGTGTTGGGTGATGAGTCGTGAGATAAGCATATAGATCTTTGTACTTGACGAGTGACTGTTGTTGAATCACTTGAGCATTCATATTCGGAGATCGAATAGCTTTTATCTGAGTGACTAGGTAGTCCCGAATCCGTTCAACTGCCTTTGCTCTAGTTTAGCGAGAAGCAGCTTCCAAGTTGCAATGGCAAACTCATACCTTTTCTTCCAGGCTCGTCAACAAGGGCCTCACATCTTCGATAGCCTTTATAGTTTCGGGGGTAATGCTATTCGACTTGACAGTCGAAGAGAGGGTATCAAGCTCGGTAAGGGCCTTGACCCATTCTTGGTCTATAGGACGATCTGATATCGACCGGACCGTTTTTGGTGATAGGCTTATTTTCTCAACAGCCGGGCCAAGGATCCGTTCAACATTCTTTCTGTTTTCAAGCTGTGAGCTCAACCTGAACGAACGGGACTGCAGGGACTCGATCTTTGAGGAGATAGCACCAAGCTCGGCCTGAAACTTTGTAAGGTATGACTCGACAGATTTCAATACTTCGTCGCATCCCTGAGTTATATAGGTAAGTCTTGTTAGAGTGACTTCAGCTAGATCCTAAAAGGAAGATGCAACGTACTGATATCGAATTGTGAAGCTCTTCAAATCTATTTCGATCTCTCTCATCTATATACATCCAAGTATTAACAAAGGGGGCTGTGAATCGACATCCAAGCGAGTCTCACACTGTTCGACGGATTGTAGCCCGTGGTTAGGCCCCGGACGAGTCGGTTGGGTCTCTATCCGCCGGGCAAATTCCTCCAAGCTGAGCTCACCGAAATCGATGTCCTCAGAGAGGACATCTGGCTTCTCTGGCGGCAGGGTTGCCTCAACATCAGAGTTGGAACCGCCATGCCGCTGGCCAATAATGCTATTTAAAACATCTACCGGGTCAGGGTAGTTTTGGTTCCTCGCGGCTGATGGGGGCGGTCTCGAGAGCCCATTCGCGGCTCGGACGGTGCCTGGAAGAGAGCTAGTGGAGGTATTCGGGGTTGGTGAGAACGACAGTGACGAGGAACGAGGACTAAAGGTTGGACGACCCTGTTTATTAGCAGCAGATAGCTGAGACTGCCGCCGCGCTGGAGAGTATGGGAGGTTGGATGGCGTCGAGGCGCCAGGGCCTCCCTGGCTGGCAACTGCTCTATCGGACCACATCTTCAGATCACGGACACTGTTCGCTCTCGATGCCCCGTCTGCATCCAACGAGAAGCTTTAAATGCACATGTTCTCAGGAAGTCTCGTCTTTATTGCGAGCTCGCCGGTCAACCTCGTCGTCGTCGTCGTCGTTCTTCGTCTTTCAAGCTATCAGAACTAACTACGGACGGCGACTAAAGCCAAAGACGCGGATATAAGCAAACTAAGCAAACATGCCCAAAGAGGCTAAGTCACTGCCCCTCTACACACCCAAGAAAATTATTATTTTTTTTCTCTTCTTTGGCGGGTTGAAAAAGCATTAAATCCTTTGCCTACTTCAACTTCCCGCCTTCACTCCCCACCCTTGCCTCTCTACCACCTTCTTCCATCTCGCGCACACTTGTCGGCCTCTCATCCAACCTCCAGGCTAGCTTATATTCTACCCATTCGACTCCTTTCACCATGGCCGACGACGAGCAGGTAAAAAACATCCCACTTTCACTTCTTCCCCGCATCCAAGGTGGTGCTTCTCTTGTTCAAAAAATTTTTAGCAAAAAAAAAAATATAAAAAATATAAAACCACGAAGGTACATCCGATGATCATTTCGCTAACGCTCATATAGCACAATGTCACCTTCGAGAACGCCGATGCCGGTGCCTCCACGACCTACCCCATGCAGTGTTCTGCCTTGAGGAAGAACGGTCATGTCGTCATCAAGGGCCGTCCCTGCAAAATCGTCGAGATGAGCACCTCGAAGACCGGAAAGCACGGTCACGCCAAAGTCCACTTGGTCGCGATCGATATTTTCACCGGCAAGAAGCTTGAGGATCTCTCTCCCTCTACCCACAACATGGATGTCCCCAACGTCCGCCGCCAGGAATACCAGTTGGTAGGCTGCCACGTACTCTTTACATTTATGAGGCTAGGGGATCCTGTGTATACTAACGCTTTGATAGGTCGACATCACCGATGATGGTTTCCTCAACTTGATGAAGGAAGACGGAACCCCCAAGGACGATGTTAAGCTCCCAGATAATGAAGTTGGTGAGAAGATCACTAAGCTCTTCAAGGTCGAGGAGAAGGACGTCAGTACGTATATCCATACTCCTCCGTAAATCACCTGCCTTGTGTGATGGCTTTACCTGTCTAACTTTCTTCTTCTTCTTTTTTCTTCCTAGACGTTGTTGTCTTGACTGCCATGGGTGAAGAGTGCGCCATGGATGCAAAGGAAATGGCTCATTAAACTGGTTGACGAGTTCAGACTCAACATTTAACCTGGTTCTACCCGCTCTTGCTAGAATTATGTGTCCATAAGCCGTCCGTTAGTCACCCATGCGGGCGTTAAGCATTCTCGGAGAAAATCGACTTCTAGTTTTTTGCTCGCACTTGCGATGACAAGAATATGTCCTAGCAGCGTTTTCTGGGCTACGTTTTTCTAGTATACAACCGGATGCTCCTCATGTGCGGCATTACTAAATGACAGAGTGATGACAAATGAAAAGATATATGATGTAAACAATTCCTTACTGTTCAGCCAGCTTTTCTAGTACATATTGTTTTCATATTTACATCGCCTTCCAACAACATTGGAATATTGTTAATATTGTTTGCTCACGTGCCACCAGAAACCATAAAACATTTTGCGTAGTTATATCCAACGTTGCCTTTCGCTTTTGTGGGCGTGGCGAAGGGGCAAGGGCAACTTAACCGAGTTAATCGGGGTTATATACGACCCTTACGTGGGTATCCTAGAGCAGAGGCATAAAATGGAGATCTAATGGAAGAGTCTGTACGCGGTATTTGCGGCCAAGAAGGCTGCCGCGAGACCCGTTACTACATCGAAAATGGCTTGTGGTTTTGTCGTCAAGGGCACCAACAGGAGGTACAGTAGGAGACGGAAGAACCCAATCATATTCCTCTCAGTCTTGCTTACCTTGCATCTCATGTATGTAGGGCCAGGAGGTCATCGTAGATGACGAAAACTTCGGCGCTCAAGGAAGAACAGCTCGACGAAAGAAAGTACAGGCTGAACGAAGATCTAAAAGTAAGACCTGCAAGACAAGGCCGACGGCCAGTCCTACCATCAACCCATACCGCTGGTTTAACTACTCCTGCTAATGCACACTTGCTAAAGCTTATCATGGAAGTGATGCATTCCAGCTGTTCCTGGAAGCCTATCAGCTTCTGCTGTGGAAACAGTGTCACGCCTTGGTTCATGTCAAGGGACTTCCCCCTGAACTAGAGGTGAGCTTTTTGTCTCCTTGATGTGCGGTACATTTGTTGGTTTTGACTAATATCTATTAAATAGGGTATCGTGAAGGATCTATGGGTTCTTCGACTTGATAAGATATATGAAGGGAGGGACGATATCTACGTCGAAGATGAAAACTCTACTCAGCTCTTCAGTTCCCAGACAGGTGTATCAAACGAAATTGATAAGGAAGAGCATCAATACCACAAGCGAAAGCTCAGTACTTCACCACGAGTACTAGATTCGCTGGCTCTTTGCTACTTGGGCATCCTGTTGCTACGCCTCCCTGTTAGCATTGGGTATATGCAAAGGTAAGAACATACATACCTTTATGGGGAATGACACTAACAGTTAACTACAAGATGGGTTACCGAGGATGAAATCCCGTTCATGAGACCTCTTCGGTTTATACCATCAGAGATGAAAGATCGACTTCCTGCCATTTATCACGTGGCGTTTGAAACGAAGGTAAATCTGCTTCTCAAATCCATATACATGGGTACAATTTCTAACACTCACGTTAGAATGTTCCTATTGGGGATCAATTTCATCGAGCTGTCGCGGACTTGGTAATGTTATATTACCGCGGTTTTAGCATAGAATTCCCGGCCATTAATTCGTCGTTGCTTCTCTTCTCCTACGTCAAGCAACTTGCTCTACCCAGTACGTATACCAACAGGTGATCGTCATGGCAAGTCAACAAGATAGTTGTTGCTAACCTGCCCTATAGTTGAAGTATTTTCCGCCGTTAAACAGCTGATGAAAAGTGTGGAATTTACTTATACATTCCCAAAGGAGGTTAAGGGGAAGTTTCGTCGGATATACTTACCAGAAGTGCAGCTGATGAGCCTTGTTATTGTTGCCACCAAGCTTCTTTTCCCCTTCGATGACATTAAACGATATCCACGAGCACCGAATGAACCAGCCGTTCAAGTTATAGATTGGGACAGATGGGCTGAAGCTCAAAGCACGTTTGACAGCAGGGGGATTTCGCAAGGCTTTCTTACAAATACTGCAGCAATGCAAGCCACGGAAAAAGACGCTATGGAGATGACACAGCAGCAGCTAGACGAATACATGGACTGGTACGATAAGCTTTGGCTTGCTGGTAAAGGTAGAGGGATACTTCGTGACATTGTTGAACACGCAGTTATGCTGACCCTAAAACATAGAGACAAAAGCTTCGAACCCTTTCGCAGAGATGTTCCCGACCTCAAGAGCAGGCAATGTGGAAGCCAGTAGTCAGGCTAGACAAACGGAGGATGAAGCAGTGGCAGAGAAGCTGCAAACAGTCCTATCCAATTTACGAGTGAGGAGGGTTATCACTGAAGAAGAAGCCAGTAGGCGTATGGAACCTATCCTGAGGCCAGGCTGCGATTATTTACGGTTTAGATACGAGAACCAACTCGTAGACAGGGCAAGGAAATTCTATGACACTGCCGCAAAGATCATCAGCGTGTCCCTGGAAACTCTTGTTCTCGCGGTCTATCAGACAGAGGGTCAGATACAGAGTCAAAAAGGGAAGAGCGGAAATAACTAAGAAGAATCTATTTTATCATTGAACTTGTAGATAAAATGCTGTGTCAACGCTGGAGGGAGTTTGATATTTTAATGTAATCCATCACCGACTTGGCTTTTGCAAGTCGTTGGCATAAGCCGCTTAGTCATCATAGAGAGTAGGGCTTAGGGTATTTTTTGCTCCCACGGGCTAAGCGAACACTTCGAAATCTTGACGCCATCTTGAACGTCGACGCAGTTATCGGCAAACCACGAAGCAAAGCAGCGACAGATTAACTGCCAACAGTAAGTTGTCTCTAACGATAGACTATGCGGTTCATTAGAATGATTTCTAACGCGTCTCCTTTCCTGTCTTATAGTGCAGATGTAGGTTGAACCCTTATCCCATCAGATCCGGCGCCCTTTCGATATCCTCGAGATGTGAAGAAACGAGAGTTGGACTTCATGAATTTTGAATGCGCGAGACTGACTATGTGATCCTTTTCGTTGCGACCGATAGCTTCGTCAAGAACCTGAGTGGGAACACTCTCACTCTGAACGCAGAGCCCACCGACACTATCTCCGCCATTAAGACCCAGGTTTTCGAGAGAGAGTCCCTTTCCGTCGATGAACAGCGATATGTCTTCGGTGGAAAGCACATCCGGGACGAATTTCCACTGAGCGAATATGGCATCCAGAAGGTATGCACGATAAACTATTGAAGACGGCCTATATTCGATAACTTCGAGAATTGATGTGGCGAAGAGGGCTGGAATTGAAGATGGTATCTAACGTGGCTGGAATATTTTATAGGAGTCCACCCTTCACCTTGTCCTCGACCTCCCCGGTGGTATCATCGAGCCCTCTTTGAAGGCACTTGCCTCCAAGTTCAACTGCGAAAAGATGGTCTGCCGAAAGTGCTATGTACGTGGATACAACAATACTCAGCATCTATGAAGTGTGTCACTACGAGCACTTGGATATGTGACTAACCTTGGCTTTTCTGTTCCTACCAGGCCCGTCTCCCTCCACGTGCCACTAACTGCAGAAAGAAGAAGTGCGGACACACAAACCAACTCCGACCAAAGAAGAAGCTGAAGTAAACTGGTGCTTTTATATTACGTGGTTCCGCCAGGGTTGTGGTATGGTGTTTTACTTGGGTGAACATGACATAATGACGTCTTTCAAAGGAAGAAAAGACCGTATGTTATTTATTTACATTTCCAATTAAAAAAGGTCTTCCTAGTTGGCAATACCCAGAGAGCTATTTAGCATTTCAGAAGTCACGCCGGCCTCGCTACCCTGCGGAAAACCAGAGTCTATGGAAGTGTTGGAGTAATACAAAGTCAATTAAAAAATAATACACCATTCGAAAGACGCTCTGGAGGACATTTCAATTAATGTTGCGGGCAAAGTAGAAAGATCTTCTATTACGAAGAGCTAGTGAATCCCAATGATATAATACTTCAATTTTAAAATCGCGAGTTCTTGTCCTTGTCGTCGTCATGCTTATCACCTTTATCGTGCTTGTCATCGTGCTTGTCGTCATGCTTCTTCTTAGCATAGCTGCCATGGCTGTATAAGGGTTAGCTCTCTCTCTTGATGATTCAGAGTATGCTTCTTTTTGAACTTACGCAAAGAACAGCACTTTGATTGCGATGGCCAAGGCAGCATGAAGCACAATGACCACTATTAGCAATATCTTGCTAGTTTTCATGTCCGTTGCGCTCAGAACCGGATAAAGATTCCTCAGTAAGAAGAATACTGTCCATCCAAATCCGACCCCAACAAGGGCCCAATTCAGCGCAGTAAGTGGACTCCAGCTCACTAGTGCAACGGCAATCCAGATCAAATTTGCATACCCATAGAGCGCCCAGCACTCAATCAGATCTGCACTTGAGCTACCAAACCAGCGTAATGCTCCCCATAGTGCAACAGGTAGTACAAATGTATAACCGTATATAAGTCCCGCGGCTCCAGAAAGAAGGCGGAAATCGTACTCGAAATGATGGTCGCCCCTTCTAGCCAGATACTGGGAGACAGTACCGGTAAGGAAAAGGATTACTACGACAGTAGTAGCGATCCAAAACGGACCGTATAAATCTGGATTTCCATCAAGAACGTCTAGGAAGTTCGATCTCGGGTAGAGGGTCGCAACGCATCGTCGGAATACTTCTGATGTGTCAACGTCAAAGTATCGGTTGTAATATGCTATACTCCAGATCTTTGCGTTTGCTGCAGCACTCCCTGGCGGACCTGTTTGTCGAGACGAGCCACCAAGGAAAGATGAGGAATCTGGATGGGCTTTGGCACGGCGAGGTGTCTCCTCGAAATCTATATAGCAACGAACGGCATGGTCAGCTACATAAGGTATATATTTCCCTAGCCTCCATATAATAACGTATAAAATGAGAAGATGCAGGTCGTACTTGAGGAATGAAATTCAAGGTCTTCTTGAAGGTCTGTATGACCAAGGTCGCCCTGTGAATGTTCAATTAGAGTCCTGATATCATCATTAGAGCTAATAGGAGAGTAGCTCCTACCTCGACATCAACATCGACTACCGCATCGTAGCCTCGATTAGCCATCTTTGAGATTATGTTGTAATAATCACTGCTGTGATTGATGTTGATGCCTGCGAGATGACGAGCTTGGAAGAAGACAGCTTGAACTTAGAGATTACGTAATACATCCATGAAAGTACCAGCCATAGTATTAATATCTAGATGAAGATACATTAAGTAGTAATTGGATTAATTCTATGAATTGTGAAGAAGAAACTTCTTTCATATGTATACATGAACGTAGTTCAATTGATGTACAGGAAGAGTAATATCGCCTGACTCAAATCATATCTTGAAAGTAGTCCTCAGTGGCCCTAGACAACGCCAGAGATACCGCATCATGTCAGGATCTTTTTTCATAATCCAGTACGAAATTATGCCAACGATAACAGCGGCACCGACTACCTGGATTGAACGAGAATGCTTTTGGATAAGCACTGCGGCATCTTTGCGCATCTTTTCCCTCCGCAGACCTTGGATTTGCTGTTGGAAGTAACTCCTTGCTTGCTCTGGCGTGGAGTGCAGACCAGGGTTTCTCAAGGTTTTAAGGACACTACAGGACGGGATGGTCCTCCATGCGCCATGGGGGAGTTTCTCAGGTGGGTGAGCATGATATATCTGCACCGTCCTCGAGATTAGAGCTTCAAGATCAAGAGGGCGGGGTAACTTTGACAGGATGCCGTGAAACAATTCGGGCTCATCGGTGGGAATATCGTATAGTTCGTCCTTTCTTGAGATAATTATGGTGGCAAATAGGTATATTGATACAACTGGCTCATGAGCAAGAATGAAGTCGTAAAGCCGGGCAATGTCAGTGTATTCTTCTATGTCATGTGCATAGAGCGTTAGGGTGGCGGCAAGAGCGAAAAATGGCTGTATGCCAGCTAAATGTTGGCCAAGTTTCTGGTCAACGGAGGTGATGATGGCTGGTAGTAACTGAAGATGCGTGAGGGCAGGGGAAAGGGAAGGGAGCATATAGTCTCTTATACGAAAGAGGGATATGTGTTCCAAGGCATGGTACGCATGTTTACGGTCAAGGACCAGAAGCAGTACTTGGGCGATATCATGATATCCTTGGAAATAGCAGAGCATAGGGTTTCGCCTCAGAACCGATATAATCAGGTCTAGCAACTCTTCTCTTTTGCCTTCCAAGTGTCTCTCTGTCTTGTCTAGTAGGGTTATTTGTCAGCGTATAATTCATTGTCTGGTAAAGGAGAGGCTTACAATTGGGGTAGTAGACGAATGATCGGTTCACGTCTAACCTGACCTGGTCTTCATCGCCATGACTGGGCAGCTCAGACAGTGGCGGAAGTTCCTGGGTGTGGGTGGCATGGTTATATCCTTGGAGAATTGGCCCTAATAAAGAAACGTTTAGCCTAACGTCCTGACGGCCAAATAAAGAGGCAACAGCTGATTATCTTACAAACTTGTTTACGGATATCGTCCTGTAGCAGGCCCCCTTCTGAGGTGGCAAGCTCGACTAACGACCCAACGTCCTGTTTCTTGCTTGCTTGGAGAATCTCTGCTCTCTTCTGATGGTAGACTTTTGAGTCGGCAGGCAACCGGCCCAGTTTGATATCCCTCGACCTGGGTTCTTGCTCGGCCATAACACGGGCTCGATTCTTGTTTTTTTTTTTCTCAAACAATCTAAGCGTGAGCTTTCAGAATTAGGGGAAACGTCAAACTTGGCTTTTTGAAGTGGCCAGGATAAGTAGCAGCTGATGTTGATGCTTGATATTTAACAGTTATATACCCCCGTATAGCCATGTACCTTTTAAACGGGATTAACCTTGGGGAAAATCCATGTCTAGCGATCAAGGGAGGGGGCCGTAATGTATAAACAAGACCCTTTTTGGGGGGTGATGGGCGTGCGTTCGGATAGGTTCCACAGGTGATAGGTTCACAAGACGAAGAAGGCGGCTTTATCATAAGCCTTGGGGTTTGAACCACCAGCGGGCTAGATAAGGGTGTGGTTATCCTCCGGTATAGGTATGACAAGCAACGCCCAAATCTATATTCTAGAAAAAGCTATAATGACATCAAGAAACATCCATTTGATGCTGTTAATATTAAACTCCGGTAGAAGGGTTTCTGAGGCCTCTTATTGGCTAGAGAGGATTAATGTTATTCCGAGAAGGAACTTTGCCGCGACAACCCAAAAGAGAGACAGAAAAAGGTCGAAGGTACAAGAAAAGGTGTAAGACACTTAGAAGGTTGACCTAGTCTTGTTCTCTCTTTGGCGGGACTGGGGAGGCTGAGAGGTGTCCTTGAAGGGGTTTCTTCTGTGTATCTCTCTCCTGTTTACTCCAACTACCTTACCTACCTACGCGCAGGGATTGTTCCTCGACTGTTCAGTTTAGCCTCATAGTGGGTCGTCAAGTTCAAGTTCCCTCCACCAAAAAACAAACCACCTGGATAAGTTGTTGTACTGTGTGATGTTCCTGTGATATACAACGCACCCTAGCGTCTGCCATTAGGACCAACGGTTATTATTGTTTCTGACTGGGGATGCAGTTTTATTATACCCAGCATGGCAGGATGATGCCTGAGCTGTCTTGAGGTCGCTACTCTTAGGACGTTGCTGGAGGAGGGTGACACTGCTCCTTTGCCCTTAAACGAACACACAGAGATAGACAGACAGGCTATCAACAGGGCCATACTTTTATAAACGAGCTCTGGTCTTCTAACACAGCTTTGACGTCCCCTTCCTGCATGTTTTTCAACAGGAACTCAGTCAGAAATTTGTGTATGGAGTACCCCGCAGTGCATCCTGAAATCCCATAACAGGCCCCTTCCCTGATTCTTATCAAAATTTACTTGGCTTTTTATCTTTTCTACCTATACTTACCGTCTACCTTGCTTGGTCCACTGTTCATTAGGCAGTGCAATTCCAGAGTTGCTGTCTACTATTAACGTCAAGCCGCGACTCCTCCCCCCAACCTTAATTCTCTATTAAAAACAAAAGTTACACACTTAAGCGTTTCCAGGACCTATGTCAAAACCTCAATTCGGCCCTTACAGTGTCGGTGTGAGCTTTTGTTACTACTAGTCAGTGCTTGGTTCTTTCTTTATAACTTTCACAATGTCGTTACAGACCACAGTCTTGGTCAATGGAACCTGGGCCACGAGGACAGTTGATATTGGAGAGCTGCTCTCCCGCAACCGTGAGGCAGACAATACCTCTGGAAGGACAGAAAGATTCAAACCTCCTGCTACTGGAATGCTCTCTAGAACGCTTATCCAGGGTCCTGCCGTCCAGTGGATAATTCCTGCGCGTCTCAGGCACCAGGATCAGAATGATGTCGTGTTCATTGGAGATAAGTTCATTCAGATCAAAGAGCTGGTTCCAAGTGGCCATCTAGAGGAGGTGGTTACGAAAGCCGACTTCGACTCTAGAATCATCGGTGCCAAAATTATCAACTCGCGGCCAGGACCTGGGTTACAAGATGAAATAAAGCAGGGAGCGAGGGTTCCAAGCCACTCTACCCAATCTTTACCGGACGAGGGAAGTGTCCCGCCTCATATATTAGTTCTTGTATTAAGCTCAAAGGAGATTCTATTCATGTTTACCAAGCCAGGGGCTCGCGGAATTCCTGAGTTCGTCTACTTTAGACGACCTTTACCAGCAGATACAAGTGCTCTAGAGGAATATGGACGACACATTGCTGTGGAACCTCGGTAAAGTTACCACCTCCAGTCTCATGAATGTATTTAATGCTAATAATTACAAGAGCGAGAGCAATGGCTATATGTGCCGCCCAAAAATTTTTTGGAGTGTTCTCCCTGAAAGCTTCATCCACAATTCAGGCCGAAATGGCCAAAGGACCTGTAAATCCTATCAAGGAGGTACTATTCCTACTATTCCCACCCACCTAAACCAAGTTAAACAACTAATATTCATGGCTTGTAAAAAGGAGTGTTTCTTCCGTGCAGACGGCGACATTTTGAGAATGGAGTTTCTCTATCCAACACCACCAGACGATGACAGAATAATCTTGCTTTTGCTCATAGCTCAAGACTCGGAATCATATTATGTCACATATGACTGGAGTGCAATGGAAACCCTACGATCGATGGATCCGAGGGTCACCAGCCACAGGCTCTCCAATAATTACCGTATGCCCACAGTTTTAATCCCTTTAATCCACTCGACTTCTTTTATGGTTGCAACACATTCCACCATGTCTATCTACAAGAATGTATTAAACACAGAAAATACCACCCCACCAATCAATTGCCCCTTCCCGATATTGGAGGACCGCCCACGGTCAAGAAACCAGATCTGGACTCATTGGGCTCGAGCCAGACGAAACCGCATCCGGAATGCCCAGTTTGACGACATTTACCTATGTCGTGAAGACGGAATGGTTCTTTACTTGGAGATTGGCAAATCAGGTGATATCGAACGTCAGTCGAATTTAGGTTCACTCGGTTGTAACCTTGATACAGCATTTGCCATCCTTCCCGAAGGATACCAAGCTGGGGATGTCCTAGTCACTGCCGGTAGCATGTGCGGTGGCGGCCTATTCATTGAAGATGCGCGAAAACCTCCGAGATGTATCCAAAGGGTTCCTAACTGGGGCCCTATTCTAGACACTGTCGTCGTAAAGGCAAAGCGCTCAATCACCGGGACACAGCCCAAAGGCTCTCAACAAGAAATGGGATTACCCTATGATCGAATCTTTACCTGTTCGGGTGTTGGCCCGGAACATGGCACAATCTCCGAGTTGAGGTACGGTATCGAGGCACAGATAGGACTTGCAATCGAACATGGAGCTTGTTCAAGCATAACAGGAGTGTGGGGGATTTCCACCCCCAGAGGCGAAGGGACTCTTTGCCTGCTTACAGATCCAATAATGTCCTCTTTGATCTTTATTCCCGTAAGTGGCGCCGAGGAAGGAGATGCCATGAATGAAGAAAGAAGTGGTCTAGATCTTAGCCACCAAACACTAGCAGCCAGTATCACACCGGACGGTGTTATAATACAGGTTACCAATGCATCAATTCGCCTGAGCCATGGAGTTATTCAGCAGCGTTCTTCAATAACATGGGAGGACCCAAATGACCGGGCGCTTATAGCCTTCACCAGCGGGCCTCTTTCTCTCGTTGTCGTAGCTATAAGAAACGGTAGCGATATTCGTGTGGAACTCCGAGAAGTCAGGTCTGATGAAAGTGGATGTACATGTGCTCTTGTGGGACTTCCTCTTGCCCTAAATCAGGAACCTATATGCTTTGCGGTCGAAGAGCTTGGTGGAAAACTATACCTCTTAATCGGGACAAGTGAAGGAAAGCTCCTGATTGTAGCAATAAATGGCTTGGATGGGCTAACCCCTTATCTTGAACGGGGGATAGTAATGGGCAAGGATGATATCGATTCACCAGCCTTTGAGTCTCTGAGGCTCATATATACCGCTGGCGAAGAAAGAACACGATCGACCCTATTTTGCGGACTCCGAAGCGGGCATTTGATTCCTTTCAATATCATACAAGGAGATTCTTCATTCGGTAAGCAACCGCCTTTTTTTTTTACAATCTACTAGTCATAGAGTAGTCATAGAGGAAAAGTACTAACTTTCCGCCCATTTTTGTAGAAATACATCAAATGCCTCCTCACAAGATTGGTGAAACCTCTGTTCGCATAGGGGGCTATGAATCCGACAAATCATTTGCCGTCGTTACTTGTGCACCAGGCTTTTGGAGGCTATCACATAGTCCGATTGAAGCTTCACTGCAGTACTCATTAGATAAGATTTGGGTCACTGATCAAAGCAAGGTGAGATGACTTCGATGCTTGGTACATTTGTTAGAACTTTTGAGGCCATGATGCTAATGTAATGATAGCCAGAAAAAATGCAACCAGTAATCGACGTATTTGGCTGCGTTGATGCACCTTCTCAGGCTCCACCCACAGGCCTTAGTGGCTCCTTGTTATGCATTGCAGACGATACTCTCTTTGCCTGTAGCCTGGAAAGAGTCGCAAAGGCCGTACCTCGTGAAATACGCGTCCGCGGAAACCCCAAGCGGCTAGTCTATTCTGAATATCTGAATAAACTAATTGTGGCTTATAACAGGGTAGATTTCGACTTCACGCCATCCACGGAGGGGACAAAGCGCTGGATATGGCCCAAGATCGGGTTTCTTGATCCAAATGGAGAGACAATCATATCGGCCCCGATCGATCTTAGGGCTAGGGGTAGTGAATCTTCAATCCCTATTGTTTTAACCCGCCAACCAGTTGGGGCGTCTGGTGAAAAGGTAACGGCTTTGTTGGACTGGAAATTCTACGGTGAAGACAATGAGTACCATATGATTGTTGTAGGAACAGCATATCCAGATGCCGATTACAAAACGGGGAGAGACGTTACCATTGAATACAGAGGAAGGATAGTTTACATTACAGTCCGGCAAAGCCCGCCAGGTACAGGAAATATTGATTGCATGACCAAACGCATCCACAAGTACGATCAACCTGTCAGGACGATTGCTTCATTTGGACCGAGCTCTCTGATTGTTGCCACTGGAGATGATATAATAATGCAGACGCTAGACCCATCAAGTCGAAAGTGGCGGAGTCTGGAACCTCACCATCTTGAGTCTCATGCAGTTTCAGTTTCTGTAAAGGAACCATATATCTACGTGCTAACGGCGCGACATTCTCTATGCATCCTCCAGGCCACCCAGGACGGACTGATTATGCATTGCCAAGCCGGTGCCGATAAAGGAGGGCTTGATCATGTCAATCTTCTCGGAGAAAGCAAAATTATATTCACTGCTAATCGAGGTGGAGCGCTTGTTGGCCTTAGTGAGGTTGGGCTGATGGATGACAAGGTGCTACGACCTATATTTTCAGCCAATACCCCTTCCGCAGTTGTTCGAGTAACCCGCAGCTTCAGGCCTTATCACGGGGAATCTGGAATCATCTACGGCACAACACTCGACGGCACACTATACAAATTCCAGACTTTATCAGAACATGAATGGCGAATTCTGCGATTTATTCAAGGTTCTTGCATCGCAGATGTCAACATATGCCCCTTTCGCCGCAAACGTAGGATGACAATGGACGAAGATGGCCCTGCGGGTGGCAAGCCAGAATATATGCATATTGATGGGGACATCCTTGCGCGCCTTATCAGCCACGGAGCTACCTATCTTAAGGAGATGATGCGGAGAACCACCCCGGACGGCGCTCCGGTAGCATATACCGAAAAGAAGATGGAAAGATTTGTCGAATTCGCCAGATTAGTCGTAGGTGAGACTAAAGATCCCTTCACAGATGTCCTGTTATGGATGGAGAATTTGCTCAGGGTTGAAATCTAGCGTGCTATCACGTTTCTGGGGAGATTTTAGCCTAAAGCGTTTCGAACTCGCTTTTTTACTTTGCCATAGAAGAATTCATACCACTCTTTTATCCCCTTTCCCCCTCAGCTCTTTGTAACGGGATGTCATTGCATACGATGTTGGTAGTCAAACAATGGAAAACAATGTACTACTTACCTCCAACACATCCTATAGATATTTCGATCACACCTTTGTTTTAAATTGCCTATAAAAGATTTGTTATAGCCTAATTATTGTTCCCTTGATCTTTATACCCAGCACTGACTTCAAGATTCAGTCTGTAAGAGGCTGTACTTCTACAACTAATTTCTCCAAGTACCGTAAGTATCACTATCTCTAGTTCCACTACTATGTACGTCACCTTCGGCTTCAGGGATTTGTCTTCTTCATATTTGACCAGGGGGCATCCTTGCAAATATATTCGCCACACACACACACAACCAGCGTTTTGTGGGCAGAAGGAGAGCTCGAGGATCACACCTGGACAGAAGAATACCAGGAGCTCCTGGCGATATTATTACTTCAATCCTTAACCCGAGTCTATAGATATATTTACCTACATCTACCAATGTCATAGATATAAAATAGGCGAGCTCTAAGCTTAGTAATTTTTAGCCGCTAAAGGTTTTAACTGTGATATTTTTAACATGGCGAAAAAGAGCCCCCCACCATCGCCAAAGAGGGCTGAAGAATGTTAGCAGAGTGGAAGAAACACCAGCTTAGCTCAATATAAACACTTATAGGAAATAAATAACGGAGGACGTAGATATATATACATCTATAGCCAAAAACCTGGTTATGGCAGAGTGTGGAAGCCCCAACTTTAGCTAAACCAACAACTTTACTACCACTTTTTGTGAATAAGCGTTTCGAGGGACGAACTCACCCACAAACCTCGCTTTTATACATCCCGCATATAAGAACAGCGAAGAAGCGCTGGGTAAGTCTCTATTTGGCATATGTCTCCTGTTACAATTTTGAAAGAAGGCTCCTTGCTAAGCTCGTCTGTAGGGGGGAAAATTCTTAACGCACACGACTGAATCGCCATGGCACCCAAAAAGAAGTCGAATAAACAAGCAGACGACTGGGAAGCAGAGCTAGGCGAATCCATAGCTCCTGTCAATCAGAACGAGAACGAGAAAGAGCCTGCTGCTGAGCCTGCTCCTCAGGACGAAGACGACGATCTGGGTGGGGGGCTGCTCGCAGCTCTGAGGAAGAACAAGAATAAAAAGGCAAAGAAAGGGAAGGCTGCCAACAATGATTTTGTAGAGGGAGAAGATCTCGCTGCCACTATAGCGAGCAAAGAGCCAGAAGAGGGTACCTTTGACGAAGATGATGTCTTTGCTGGAAAGCCAAAGCCGGCGAAGGGGGCTGCAAAGAAAGAGGCAGAGAAACCGGCGGAGCCTGAAGAAGGAGGAAAACTAAAGTCGAAGAAGGAGAAGGAAAGGGAGAAGAAGGAGAGAGAGAAGCAGAGGAAAAAGGAACAGGTGAGCGCTTGAAAATTGGAGGGCATTCAAAGTCATATATACCCTCCTTAATGTCTACTAATTTACTGACAACACCATTGTGACAATATCTAGGCCGCAAAGAAGAAAGCTACTGCACCAGCTGCAGCTGCAGAGCCTATCCCTAAACCCGAGGCCGCTAAATCTACTCCCGCCGCAGCTAAACCCGCTCCTACACCGGCTGCTGAACCTGCTGGAAAGAAGAAGAAGATCCCTGCCCATTTGGCCGCAATCCAGAAACAGCAAGAGGCATTGCGCAAACAACAGGAGGAGGAAGCACGACGTTTGGAACTCGAGAAAACGTTGGCAGAGGAAGAGCGCAAAAGGCTAGAAGAAGAGGAACGAAGGAAAGAAGAGATTCGTCAGAGGAAGAAGGAGAAAGAGCGGGAGAAAAAAGAACAACTTAGACGCGAAGGAAAGCTCTTGACCAAAGCTCAGAAAGAGGCAAAGGACCGTAATGAGTTGCGAATGAAACAGTTGCTGGAAGCAGGTGGTGCTGTAGTTGCTGGACTGGAAGAAAAACCCGCAGAAAAGAAGAAGCCAGTATATGACAACAAGAAGAAGCGTGGGGTCAAGAAACAGGAAGAAGACCTGGAAGCTGCTGCGGCCAGAGCCAAGGCACAGCACGAAGCTGAGGAGGCCGAGAGAAAGCGACTGGAGGAGGAGAAGAAAGCCAAGGAGGCAGCTGAGGCAGCTAAACAGGCAGAGGAAAGTGACGATGGCATAAAGGACTCCTGGGATGCTCCCTCTGACGAAGAAGATGAGGCCAGACCTGAGCCTGAGAAGGAGGTTGCAAAGGCTGAGAAGGAAGCGGAGGCTACCCCTGAAGAGTCTGAATCAGAGGAAGAATCGGAGGAAGAATCTGATGAGGAGGATATAACTTCTACCCAGAAAGCGCTTGCACAGAGGAAAGCCGAAGCGGCAGAGCGAAGAAGAAAGCAGCACGAAGAGGCTGTGGCAGCACAGTCGAAGGATAACCTCCGATCCCCTATTTGCTGTATTCTTGGACACGTCGATACTGGAAAGACCAAACTTTTGGACAAGATCAGACAGACAAACGTACAGGAAGGTGAAGCTGGAGGTATCACCCAGCAAATTGGAGCAACTTACTTCCCGGTCGATGCCCTCATCCAGAAGACTGCAGTTGTTAACAAAGATGGTAAATTTGACTTCAAGGTCCCTGGTCTGCTTATCATCGATACTCCCGGGCACGAATCTTTCTCCAACTTACGTTCAAGAGGATCCTCGCTTTGCAATATTGCCATTTTGGTTGTCGACATTATGCACGGTTTGGAACCCCAGACTCTCGAATCCATGAGGCTTCTCCGTGACAGAAAGACCCCCTTCATTGTTGCTCTAAACAAGATAGACAGATTGTTCGGCTGGAAGAAGATTGACAACAACGGCTTCCAGGACAGTTTAGCCAAACAAAGCAAGACTGTTCAAAGTGAATTCAAGGACAGAGTCAGCAAAACGAAGCTCGCATTTGCAGAGCAAGGATTCAACTCTGAGTTATACTACGAGAACAAGTCTATGGCTCGTAACGTTTCTCTGGTTCCTACCTCGGCCCATACTGGAGAGGGTGTGCCTGACATGCTCAAGCTGCTTGTCACTCTTACTCAGGAGCGTATGACGAACGCACTGATGTACCTTTCAGAAGTAGAGTGTACTGTGCTCGAGGTTAAAGTCATCGAGGGTCTCGGTACTACTATAGACGTCGTTTTATCCAACGGTGTACTTCGCGAAGGAGATCGTATTGTTCTTTGCGGCCTTAACGGCGCAATTGTTACAAACATTCGTGCTCTCCTGACTCCAGCCCCAATGAAGGAACTACGACTAAAATCCGCCTACGTTCACAACAAGGAAGTTAAAGCCGCACTTGGTGTCAAAATTGCAGCAAATGACCTCGAACACGCCATTGCTGGTTCCCGACTTCTTGTCGTCAACCATGATGATGACGAAGAGGATCTTACCGATGAAGTCATGTCTGATCTAGAAAACCTTCTCAGCAAGGTCTCCAGGGACAACCGTGGTGTTGCTGTTCAGGCTTCTACTCTGGGTTCGCTTGAAGCTTTGCTAGAGTTCTTGAGGACGTCCAAGATTCCTGTCGCTAACATCTCCATTGGTCCTGTTTACAAACGTGATGTGATGCGTGCTGGTGCTATGCTTGAAAAAGCCAAGCAATATGCTGTCATGCTCTGCTTCGATGTCAAAGTCGATAAGGAAGCGCAAGCTTATGCAGATGAAAACGGTATTAAGATTTTCACCGCTGATATCATTTACCATCTGTTCGATGACTTTACGAAGCATATGGAAGAGCTAGCTGCTCAGAGGAAAGAAGAGAGCAAGCTACAAGCTGTTTTCCCCTGCGTCTTGTCCCCAGTCGCTGTGTTCAACAAGAAGGATCCAATTGTTATTGGTGTTGATGTGACTGAAGGCTCCCTACGCCTTCTAACACCAATCGCAGCCGTCAAAACCAACCCGACCACTGGGCAGAAAGAAATCATCAACCTTGGTAGAGTGTGAGTAGTCTCCCAACTGATTTAGTTGCTGAATAGATTGCGCTAACCTGTAATAGAATGTCCATCGAGCGTGATCACAAGCAGCTCCCTATCTGCAAAAAGGGACAGCCTTCAGTTGCCATCAAGATTGAAGGCCCCAACCAGCCACTGTACGGCCGTCAGCTGGAAGAAAAGGATATCCTTTACTCGTTGATTTCAAGAAAGAGTATCGACACGCTCAAGGAATTCTACCGATCAGATGTAACGATGGAAGAATGGGGCCTTATTAAAAAGTTGAAGCCAGTGTTTGATATCCCCTGAGCATTGATATAGGTACCGAGATACTTCGATTCATGTTGACTAGCATGCGGCCAAAATATGTTTGTAATGACTTTCATCCGTTTTCATGTCTGGGATGTTTTTCTCAAGCCTTTTTCGTTATTTTATTGCGTAGAATATTATTTTCATATTTGGAATATAACTTTGTATCGTGGGCGCTGACTTGAGTGTACAGTTAACAACGCCCAATAAGGTATCATAAGAAGTAAAGAGTTTTATCAATGTCAGGCTATCCGTAGGGGGCGGCCGGATGAAGCGTCTTTACTACTAAGGAGGTAGACAACGGCATTAAGCATATTCAAACATGGGACGTCTGTCAAATATTGAACACTCACTCATGCCCGGATGTGGCCGGATAATATTTATACTGCTTATAGTTATTTTTTATAGCTAGTACCATTTTAAAACGATATTCCATAAATACAATTTACATCATCACCTAGTTATACAAGAATGATTATAATCCACAACCTACCTGGAACCCAACCATGCTCACATCTCAGGTCCATCCCATCTCTCAGTTTTACCACCATTCCTCTCCCAATCCAAGATGCTTCCGTCATATACTCCAATTCTATCGGCATCATACCCCGCCCTAACAGCCAATTCACCCGCAGTGCGAGCCCTGATACCGGCCTTGCAATAAAACACCATCTTAGCCTTGGTGTTATTGTCACCGCCCTCAGTCCCTGGCTTCGGAAAACCAAAGCGAGTCAGAAACTCGTCTGGGGTTAGGAACATGGCGTCTGTCTGGGACCCGATGGGTATAGATAGAGCGGTTGGGATTATGCCTGTTGCTTCGAGCTCTGGTGGTTCGCGGACGTCGATTAGGATTATGTTTGGTTTTGACGACGGGGAGGTTGGGTCTTCTTGTGGTAGGGAAGATTGTATCTGTTTTGTTTTTTTTTTTTTCGCTCTCGAGTTAGTTCAGTTGATTATGGGCTGTGGTTTGTGCTATGCGTACATCTTCGAATTTATATTCTTTTAGAGAGAGCGGTTGCGCATCTCCTGAGAAACTCCGTTGAGATGGCTGGGATGAATTTGAGAATGGCCGGGGATTGTATGTCGATTGACTGTATAGGGAGCTGCAGGCCTTTAGGGGAGTAGTGAATGTCCTCTTTGCAACGGCTGTAGATACACTAATGGTTCGGAGTCGGCGAGTAGATATGAGGCGGTATTGAGCGGAGCAAGATATTTTTGAGGGCAGACGAAGAGCCATTCTATTGGAAAACATGATTGCTATGCTCGCTATGGCTGCTATTCAAAACGACGATAGCTGAGAGAGAGAAAGTCGAGCAAGAACGCCGCGTTTGTCGGACGTTGAATAAAAAGCAGCTTCGGCAATCCGACGCCGTCTTCCGCAAAGTCAATATTTTTTTTTTCCCTTTCTTGTTTTCTCCGGGTCATGAATAACGAATATATGAAAGTGCGGATGTCATCAAAAGAAAACGAAGTAGATGCCTTCACCAAATATCATTCATTAATAGCTATTAATTATTATATGCACTCAATAGCATGCTGAATTAGCTGTTGCGATGCGTTAAAAACCGGCCCTTTCCTTCCCAAAGGCGAGATCTAATGTTAGAGAAGACATACTCGCGATGCTCGTGTACCATATACGAGCCGTTTCTTAAAAAAGCTTTTGCAAGAATAAAACGAAGAAGAAGAAAAAGTATAGAAACGTGAAGGTAAAGAGAAGGATGAAGGGGGACATGTAAAGAGAACATTGAATGGGAATCACAAGGGGGTGGGGAAGACGCCTGAGGGAGGGTTCCACGAGAAAAGAAAAGTGATAATAAGGATTGAAAACATTAGTAAAGGAAGTAAGGGCGGTAGCGCAAAGCAAAGCCGAAGTCATGCTGCAAAGGGGTCGTTGTATATGATGTATACAGCGGGACGGGAGAAGAGAAAGAAGAAGAGGGTGGGGGGAGGAAGGAGAAGAAGAAGTAGAAGAAGAAGGGGATGATGAAGGGTGCAGCTAGTTAGATATTAAGGCGAGGTGTATTCTCGAACCAGAGTGTTGGTAAGGGGAGAGTGCCCTGAGTTCATTCAACTTGTGTCATTAAGGAGACGCGATTCACTCTGGTCGTGGTCGTACGACGAGAGGGCAGTCATCCTGTGTATAAAAAAGTTAGGATGTTGTGCAAGTCGGGCAAAGGTTTAGTTAGGGCGTCTTACCTGAGGGAAGATTGTAGCGAAGACTTTGATATCTTCAGACTGGGGAGTGGCATGGTGCTCCCAGTCGAGAGTCATACTGGCCTTGCCGATCATGGCCATCAAGTTAAGCTGTGCGTAAGTTTGGCCAAGGCAGTAGTGAGGGCCGGTCCCGAAAACAAGGAAGTTCTTTGCGTTCTGCTCAGCGGTGCCTGTGATCCATCGTTCTGGGATGAAGGACTCTGGATCCTCATACGCCTCTGGGTCGTGGGTCGCAGGCCACACGGATGGAACGATCATGGAGCCCTTGGGAAGGGTGTACGTCGGGGTAACGGGGAAGTCCTTCTTGACTTCGTAAGGGACCATGATGACTGGAGGGCGGTATCGGAGAGTCTCTCTGACGACGGCACGGGTGTAGGTGAGCTGGTCGAGAAGTTCCATGGAAATAGGGACGTTACGGTCGCCATTCCTGACCTTCAAGTTCTCATCTCTGACCTTGTCGAGGATGTCCGGACGGTCGGCCATGATCTGGAAGAGCCAGGTACAGGCGCTGCTGGTGGCATCCTGGGAGGCAAAGAGGAAGGTGAAGATGGTCTGGGCAATCTCATAGTCCGTGAAGTCACGGAGGATATGCTTCGGCTTCTCAGCGTCTGGAACGACAACGCCCTGGGCGATCTTCTCACGATAAGCGGCCGAGTCTAGCATGGCCTTCACCCAGCCGTCCATGATGCAGGTGATCTCGTATCCAGCGGCCATACGAACTTTGCTCTTTGCGGCGCACTTGCTGAATTCCACCAATACCATGTCGGCAGCCTTCTTTCCGTACCACGTCTTGGTGAAAGGGAGGATGATTGGGAAGTTGACCAGTTCGAGGGCGGCGGTGATGAGGTAGTAGTCGTTGGCGATTTTGGTCACCGCATCGTCCGTCATGTAGTCGCCAACGAAGGTCTGGCAGGAGAGAGCGCACATCAGCTCTCTGAACTGCGGCATCCACGGGATGGGCTTGTGGTCGTTCTTCGCAGACTCCTCGAGGAACATTTTGAAGTACTTGTCGTACACGCCGTCGAGAAGGGGCATGTAAACAGACAATGCCTGCCTGGTGAAGAGGCCGTTGAGGCCCTTTCGGTACTCTACATGGTCTTTGCCGTCGAGGAAGACCCAGTTGGTCTTGCCCAGGAGCTTGTGTGCCGAGTCAACGACACATGGCTTGACGTACATGGGCGAGTTGAACACTTTGCGGGCCATGTCACGGGTAGATGCAATCACAACAAACCTGCACGGAAGCGGGCGGCGCCATTAGCAAGACAACAATGCATTCATCGATCTGAACGACGACAATGAGGATGACAACGATGAAACTCGACGACGTACTTGTGAAAGACGGAGACGCAGCTCAGATCCCCACTGGCCCATTTCGCCTTGTATTCAGAGAACTTTGGATTGACAGACTCGAGGAACGGTCCCATGAAGGGGATCTTGAATCTTGGGCCGACGATGGACCCTTTCAGCCATATGTATTTAACTAGACGAGTGAGGATGTCAGTTCAAAGGATGGTTCTCCCCGAAGCAGCCGGAGGAGTGAGAGAGACCGACATTGATCATAGGCGACTGCGAAGAGGAAGAGCGCAAGAACGGCGCCCCAGCCGGAGATGTTGTTGTAGATGGCCATGAAGAGACCGGACGACGAGGTGACAGCGGCATGCAGAGACGCATCCGCCGCTGGAGATGCGAAGCTCCCGTTGATGCTGGCCATGGCTAGATTACTATATGTTTTCCTTCTATATCTCTTCTCTTCTCGATTAGTATCAAGTATAGCCCATCAACCACAGTCCAGAAGGGGGGGGAAGAAAAGAAAAACACAAAGGGAATCTCTTGGTGTTGTGAGAAAGAGAGATGCGACTGGCGACGGGGTGTTCTTCGTCTTCGTCTTCTTCTTCTCTCGCAAGGGAGCAGACGAGGAGGAGAAAAAAAAAGGGTGAATAATTTCCATACTTCAAGTTTTCTTAAGCAGAAGAAAAAAAGAAAAGAAAAAAAATAATTAGGATTAATCTTGATGACTAAGACAACCCTGCAAGGACCGCGTTTCTGATTGGTGGAAGACCCAAAAGAGGCTTAGGGTGGATCCATGATTGTCCCGGTAAATCCGAGTAACGCCACGTGCCACGCACTTTATGCACACTATTACGCTGTGTTCACGCACTTTGTGTACATAAGTACGGCTGCGGTGCGTGGACATAAAACAAGGCTTCTCACGTGATATTCCGTCGTATTTAAAGTCACATGACTCGTGCCTGGAAAGTGGCTTGACGTAAACAAAAAGTAAACAAGGAGAAGAAGAGGAGGAGGAGGAAGAGGAGGAGGAACAGACACGGCGATCTACTACGTACATGCATGAAGGATGAGGAGGAATTGATACATGGTACCCCTGTGCCTTGGCCTCCCGTCTCTCCTACACATCGCCCGACTTCTCCCCATGCTCGAACTACTCCGTATATAAACTTTCACGGCGTTTTCCCACTATTGGCAAGGAATAAAAAGGAGAGGTTTTGGCTCGTTTTTAGGGTGCCGACGATAGAGGTTTTACGTCAATAATCGAGTCATGCAGAGCTTCGCTGGCTTTCTAGTCTGCTTCCTTGTATGGAGACCGTACATACATCGTTAGTAACTCTATGAACGCATCGTTAGAAGTAACTTATAACTATCTTATCCGGGTGGCCCCATTTGTCATCAGGTGATGTTCTAGCTCTTCTCGGTGGATATAACGAGCCGGTTCCGCAGTCATATGTAATAGAGAGAGTACAGAGTACATACGGAGTTCAAAGGGAAGAGACCAAAGAAAAGTGTGATACAACCATCGACCAGATGTCGCATGCACATAACATAACGAGCCCAGCACTGCTGGCCCGAAGGGGCAGGAGGTCGCCACAGAACGCTGCTCCATGGTGTCACGTGATATATTTATATGGATATCACGTGACCACTGGGTACCGGGAGTTGCTCTACTAGGCAGCCAGCGGTTGTTATCGAAGTCAATGCATTGCCTGGAGTCTGTCGACCATATGGACTTACCGGTTGTAAAGTTACTGGCAAAACACTTTGGTGCGCGAGACCCTGCAGAAAGAGACTATATTATACACCCCGATTATGAGGATGGTGAAACAGACAACGAAGAGGAAGATGTTGGGTGGATGTATCTCGAAGTTTACAATTATGTTGAGATGTATGGCCTGTTGGAGGAGACTGATTGGTGGTATGACCAATACCAGAGACCACCCTTATTGCCTTATGACTCTCCCACGCACCAAAACCCAGGCTACTGGCGCAATGGTTAGTATCTATATCATGCAACGCAGCACGTACGCCCACATCACGTAGCATCCAAAGCATATATCAGCTATCAAGTAGGTAAATCATGAATGCAAGGTCGAGCTCGAGTGATTCAAAACCGTCCACTTTGTAACTTTTGCTCTCTTAAAACTCGCTCGTGTTATGGACGTTGGGTTTACTATCAAGTTAACTACGCCAAGGCCTTATACTTTTAACTAGCGCTTTGGCCATAAGAGTACATATATATTCAGGTTATCCAATGTTAGCTATGAAGACATATTTGGCCAGGGGATGTATCCGTTGTCCATATAGCTTTACGGTGTGGATAGCTTGGCGACGTCAGGCTCCGTGATTCCGGGTCGACAGAGAGGAAAAAATAAATACTCGGGGTTTGAGAAAGGCCCCAACTCGACGTCTTGATTTAAAGACACCGGCGGTCGACGGTTCTTGCAAGAGAGTCTGGAAACCACGTCTTTTCACACAATACATCTTTCTAGCGGTTTAATTGATATCACTACCTCTTCACTATGTCAAAAGTGTGGCTTATTACCGGCTGCTCTAGCGGGTTCGGTAGGGAGATAGCTCTGGCAGCAGCTCACCGCGGAGATACCGTTATAGCTACGGCACGCGATGTTTCTAAGCTTGAAGAGCTAAAGGAGCAGAATAATCTTATAAAGACGAAGAGACTCGATGTACTGGACAATGATGCGCAGATGGGCGCTACCATAGAGGACATCATTAAGGATGTGGGGAAGATTGATATCCTGGTCAACAATGCTGGATACATCCTTGTGGGCGCCATTGAAGAGTGCAGGTAGGCTCGAGCCATTCTCTCTCCCTTATACATACGTACAAGGCCTGACAGAGACATATAGCCTCGAAGAGGTCCAAGCATCCTTCGCCACCAACGTTTTCGGACAGATGAATGTTCTCCGTGCTGTTATCCCATACATGCGAGCCCGAAAATCTGGCACAATAGCGAACCTCGGCTCAATTGGTGGCTGGGCTGGTACTCCTGGTGCAGGAGTTTATTGTGCTACCAAGGCCGCAATTGCAGTTTATACGGAGTCCCTTCGCGGAGAGCTTGCCGCGTCTAATATCGAAGTTGTGTGCATTGAACCAGGATATTTTAGGACCAACTTTCTAGAGAGTGGCCATAAAACCAGGGCTAAGAAGGCCTCCGAGGCCTCGGACAGTACGAATTCCCTCTTGAACGCATATAGCAAAAAACAGCCGGGGGACCCGAGGAAGGGGGCAAGCGTGATCGTGCAGCTCCTAAGCAAAACAGGCCCGGCTGCTGGGAAGACTCTGCCTGCAAGGCTTGCACTTGGCAAGGACGCTGTTGGTTTCATTAGACATTCATTAGAGCGAAACATGACAGACTTGGATGAATGGGAGGATATCGTGTCCCAAACAAATTGTGATGATGTCGTTTAGTTAGATTAGCCTCCAAATAATATTGGTCAATGGCAACCGACATATATTCTAACGACAGTATTATTAATGCCCAATCCGCCCAGAGTATCCATACTAATAAGTCAGGAGCAATATTTTGGAACAGGATGTTCAAGGTAAAGAGGTAGGGGCGTATGTGGAGAACGTGAGACTATCCATGTGAACACGGAATGAACAGACGAAGGGGAGAGGAAAAGGGATAGATGAGCTGTAGATATTTGGATGAATGGACTTGTTAATTGATAGCTAAAGATAGCTACATCTGCTGGTTACATTATATACCGAAGCCAGTAGACTTCCGCCCCATTTATTGGGTCTTGGAAAAAGCCATGCGGCATGAAGGTGACTCGTCCGCCGCTTAATGCTGCAGGCAAAGCTTTCGGCCACACATTCTTCTGCGCCTGGAGGAGCACTGGTTCTCTATCTTGAACCACAAATTTTAGGGAAGCATATCGTTGCCATAGCTGCATGGAAAACCCCCCTGGACAATATAGATTCATTATTAGCGATGATGGAGCAACGGAACCATTTTATTTCTCGGGGTTCTTACCGGCGCCACCACCAACATCAACCACGGTAGCTTCCCTTAAGCTTGACAACTTAACCTTCTACATGAGCAGGCAGCACCAGTAATTTCCCCTCCTCCAATCATAGCAATCCCAAAGATCGCATGTTCTGGGCGCGAGTGTAGATCTGGTTGCAAAGAGTCTGCTTGGACAGCGTCATTAGATACATTCCCGTTTATTGAGCCACCTACTGTCAGACTAGAGTTGACATTTTCATGAGCCTTTTCGAGCAATGGCACAAGTTCAGGAGCTCCGGGATAACCGCCGTTCTTGCCGCGCAATTCGTCCATAGGGACTTTCTCCTCAAGCCAGTCCCATCTAGTCTTTGTTGTACCCACTGCATTTTGGATGGCTGTCTTATCCACATCGTACGAAACTCCTTTATCCTTTGACAGCAACGTAGTGGGAAGATGGTCAGAGGTAGTATAAAGGTCAGGACCGCTATAGAATGGACATTAGCTCTAACACTGAGTCAAAAAAAAAAATGTGTGATTCATCCGTACAAGAGCAAGATATAGGCTCTCAATGGCTCATTCTCATGCAATGCCTTTGATACGTGATTGTTTGCGAAATAGCCTGGTTCAGGTTCGGTGAATATCCCGATAGAACATAGACAGCGAAGTATCCTAGCTACAGAGAGTGCTAGTTTAACTTAAGAGCTAACCTCATCTTCAAAGAAACATGACTTTACCTAGTTTGAACTCTTCGATTCCCGTGGAGCAGAATATTTCTTTACAAGAGACTCCGTTGCTGTCCGACGAGCAGATGCAATTATGTCAGGAATTTTCCTTTCCACTGCAATGAACAAACATAGAGATTCCCAATATTGCGAGCTCACTTCCAACAACCTATTGCTCGGTTCCTGGATGAGTTCAACCAGCTTCCCAACAGCTGCAATTACGGGCTTTTGAGCTTGATACACCGTGTGTGGGGGAAGTCCGATCTTTAGTTTCGCGCTGCAACGCGCATTATTAATGTAGAGTTTTAGTAGGTGCTTATTTAGTCGTGATGCTCGCTGACTAATGAAACACGTTAACCAGTCCTTCATTCAAGTACGACTCGCACCTTATCACCTACTACGTATATTTCTATGGGGCAGATAGGCCTTTTTGTATGGCCCAAGGTCCCGACAGTTAACTTTAATTAAAGTTACGGTCCGAACCTCTTTTGTTCTTACATCTCCTTGCTGATACTTAAAGGAAGCAGCCCCTACACGGATAATGTAGCCCTGTTATGGCTGTGGGGTAAGAGGGAAAGAAATTATCAAATATAACCAGTCTCTCTGCCACCAATCAGTGCGGACTCACCTTTTTGACCGAGATGGGTTTCCTGCCCAAACGTTAGAAAGCGGCAGGCTGAGAGTGATGGGATACTAGTTATACACACTCTTTTGTTGGCCTTCATATTCTCGAAGTAATATTGCATCCTCCTCGTGTGTCCATTTATTCACACGCCTTGTCTCCATTTTCCAGGGCAATTTAACTAAGCAGGGAGAACTGGATAGAAATAAAGTAATAGTTACTTTCTGAAGAATTGTCATATGGAATCTACCTGTCAAAAAGTACTGGGCACTAGCCTACGGTTGCTTTATCCAAATCCGTAGAAGAAAGGAAGATAATCCAATGTAGACACCAGGTAACTAAGGAATACCAAAGTAGCTCGGGTTAAAATACGGCCGACGAACGAACTCGGGACCAGAGTGGAGCTGCGATGATCAGCCTAGACAACGATTGCTTAAGGGAATTGCCTGATTCATGAATAGCTACCTCAACCCTTGGCCACTTATACACAGCGCTGTACTATAGATGTTATGTAGATATCTTAGGGATTACGCAGCGATGCTCCCGGTGCTTAGACCGGCGTTAAGCTCCGGGTCCGAAGCCATGCTAACTCCGGATCAAACAACGAAAGGCACGGATGAACCAATCTACGGCATATAACTAAGTAATTAGTTAAACGGTGGAAGCGTCTTATAATACAAAACGAGATCTGCTTCCTACTTGCATTGAACCACCCATTCCTTACGGTTTTAAAAAAGATATCAAGACCAGAGCTTTTTCATCTTCAGCACCATGTCTTCACAGCCACGAACTTGGCTCATCACGGGCACATCCTCTGGGTTCGGCCTCGAGCTGGCTCGCATCACCATCCGTCGTGGAGACCGAGTGATTGCCACATCCCGCAACCCGGAGAGAATCCCAGCCATTGACTCGGATCGGTTTCATACTGCCCAGCTAGACCAGAATCAGCCACTGGAGGAAGTCAAAGCTCGCATTGACAATATTCTGGCTACTTTTGGCGGCCAAATAGACGTCGTTGTCAATAATGCTGCCTACGTTCAGAAAGGCACTATTGAAGAATCCACGCCGGAGGAAACTCTTCGACAATTCCAGGCCAACACTCTGGGCCCCATGAATGTTTACCGGGCCATCCTTCCTCATATGCGTGAGAAACGATCTGGGACACTAGTTACCATTGGCTCTATGGCAGCCTGGTATCCTATGCCAAGCTGCAACCTGTATAATGCTTCGAAGGCTGCCACCAGGTGGCTTGCCCTCGGTTTGGCCGGCGAGATTGAGCAATTTGGAATTCGCCATTGCCTTGTTGAGCCAGGATTTTTCCGTACTGGGCTTCTTGAGCCTTCCGCCAACATCACGGACTCGACCTCCCGTATCCCTGGCTACAAGGAAATGAACGCCACGGCGGATCGCAACTTCGTTGCTTTTAATGGTGCTCAGCTCGGTAACCCAGAAAAAGGGGCGGAGGTTATCTATGATGTGGTAACATCTACAGGATGTGCGCAAGGACGGGAGCTCCCCAGCTGGTTGCCCTTGGGTAGTGATGCGTCTGCTGAGATTGCTAAAAGTGCCAGCCAAGTCCTCGCAGACATTGAGACTTGGAGGGAAACCAGTGCCCTGAGTGATTTTCCTGCGGGCCAGTAGTTAACTGGCGAACAGGGTAGCCTGTATGTAGCCTTTCATCTTCGCTCGCTGTCCACATACCCTTATTTGAGCCTGTTAGTTTAAGCCAACGCTTGCGGCAGTCCTTGTTGTTGCGGTTTGCGATGGCTCTCGACACACTGCCCCAGCTAATGGCTGCGTCGGTCTTGCCCTTCGATCAAAGTTTTGATGGACTTTCTGTGTAGCCATCGATCAACAGTTAAATATTCCTGTGACCTTATCCACAGGGCAGTTATAGAAGGTAACATGGTACATACGGGACATACAACGCCCATCCCTGTAAACCGCTGAGGATGCAATTCCATAACCAACTAACCTGTTAGTTAGCGTCCGGTTGTAACGTTTCATACGTCGTACCCTATGTAGAGCTTGAAATCCTGAAGAGTGCCAGCAAATGAGGTTACTCAGGCTTGTTGTTGCTAAGTAACGACAAGGATATCAAAGAAAAGAGAAATGGAGAGAAGGAGATCTATACGGAGTATTGGATCGAGGTACCACTGGTTACAACAAAAAGACCCTGTCGGCTATATCCTAATTCTCAAGCAGCGATAAAATAACCACCCTCACCAAGAGGCCACATAAATTATGTCTACATAACACATCGTTAGAAGTATAAAACTTCTAATCCCGGGGGCCCCATTTGTCATCAGGTGATTCTAGCTCTTCTCGTTGGATATAACGAGCCGGTTCCGCAGTTATCTAGAGAGAGTACAGAGTACTCCGTACGTACGGAGTTGCATGAAGAAAGCGAAGAGACCAAAGAAGAAAAGTGTGATATAAAATACAACCATCGACCAGAAATGTCGCATGCACCCCCAAAGCCACCGTTGGCTGGACGAGCCGGCGCCGGCAAGACTCCATCCGCATCGTGCCATATCCGCATCGCCCGTCCGTCGCAGGACATCGCCAAAACAGAACGCTTCTACGTCGACGGCCTCGGGCTCAAGGTTCTCTGGCGATGCGGCCCGGATGCGACAGGCGGCCATCCGCTGCTGATGCTGGGCTGGCCCGGAGCAGCCTGGCATCTGGAGATCGTAGACGACTCGCACGCCGAGACTCCGCCAAAGCCGACGGAAGAAGACTTGCTGGTGATATATGTGGGTGACTCCATCGACCCGGACGTGGTGGACAAGCTGGTTGAGGCGGGTGGGAAGAGAGTCACGGCGCGGAACGAGTACTGGGAGCAGTTTGGGGTGACCGTCGCTGACCCGGACGGGTATCGACTGGTGCTCAGCCAGAGGACATGGACTAACGAGGCACTCTAGAATATCAAGTCGTTATTTACTTTATTTCCATCTCCTTTTCAACCATAGCTCTCGCTTTACTTCGTTTTACATGTCTTGTGGTAAACATATATAAGTGAATATGCACAGGTTAACGACCAAATCCGAACCAGCCCTTCTTCTCCTTCTTAGGTTCAGCCGCAGGCGTTGGCTCGGCTGCCACGGTGTCGGGTGCGGTAGAAAGCACGTCCTTCTTCTCCATCGGGTATTTGATATAGTTCCAAGCTAGATCCAGGAAAACGGGTTTGACAGGGATGGGCTCGAGCCTGGGTGGATATGCCACGAGGTTCCCTAGATTTACCCCTTCTAGATGATATTCGTTCATCCGGTGTAGAACAGGTGGCAGCGTTGCGGGATCTCTCTGATCGGATTCTGCAGCCAGCTTTTCTATCTCGACTATCCCCCGGTACTGCCAGACGAGATGCTGCAGCTGAACCTGGAGTTCTTCCACCTGAGGCCGCGAGACGTCAACCCCTAGTGGCTGACTTGGACGGTCAGCCTCATTCGATGATGGCGGGAGAGCCTTTGCCACAAGATCAATAGCGCGGATAAACAATGCAAGCGCATTCTTAGCGTTCGACTTGAGCGCATGAGACCTTCCAATGGCGAGACACCTATAACTTATCAGTTTTGGGGATGACAAAACTTTGGGATGAAAGGATCTCACCTGAGTGACTTGAAGTAGGAGCACTTTGCTTCGAGTTCACGAACAAAAGCGGTGTCTGCCGCAACACCAGGAAGTTCTTTAACAGACTCCAAGCTCTGTAGGATCGAGTCATACAGTACAACATGCTCTCGAAGGCGACCAATGCGTCTGCCCAGGCTCTCCTGCTTCGTACCCTCCTTCTCTTGCTTCCCCTTCCGCTGAGTAGTCGATTCCGGGGTGAAGTTTAACCCGTCCGCCTCGCCGCAGAGTACTCGGTTCCTACCAACACGCCAGCCTACAAGCCGGTAGTTGACGGCTGTTTTCGTGATCTGTAGACTCTGCATCCTCACGTCACCCTGGTCTATACCCTCACTCGTCAGCTCGTCGATCGCTGCCTTGGTTGCATCAACCGCATCTTGACTCGCAATTATCACGCTGTCATAGTTTGCTGCAGTCTCCTTTGCGGATGCCTTTTGGCCCTTCTGCTTTGCAATCCAATTTGAAAGCTGAGCTTCGGCAGAAGCTGCAGAAGCCAGCGCTTGCGATATTGCCGCATCCTCAATTTTGACCGTCCTCGACCTCCAGGTGATAGTTTGTGGGAAAGCTTGAGAGTCTCCCGACGCCGCAGCGGCCCCTCCCTCGATGGAATCTTCGCCTAGACAATGGGGGTCAACAGCTTCAACTTCCTCTCTCAGGGAAGAGTCTGCCGGGAAATACTTCTTTGAAATCGTACTCAGGGGGATCGAACGGGGTATTTTGAGCTGGTAGGCAGAGTAGCGTATGCTGGGGTCAACAGTCCCTGAAATAAATTCTTGGATGTTCCCCTGCTTGTCCTGCTTCTCCAGTACGGTATATAAAACCCTAGCCAAGGATGCCTGTTTCAAGCATTTTTCCCACTGCCGTCTTTCCATCCAGGATGCTGTTGAAAGCGATGCCAGATACGCATGGGCTTCTAGAAAGTCGGCCCGAGACGCCTTTGATTCCTGTTGGTTTTGAAGCGCGGACGCCAGCTGGTTTGCGTATACGGTAGCTTTATTTAACCGCGAGATTATATGCCGTCTTGCTGAGCCAACCATCCCCTTCTTCGACGTATCCTGAGAATGAACAGATCGCATATGCATGGCTTCCGCCCATGCCCGTTCTGCGTAGAGGAGGAGTATACGAACAAAACTAAAACCGTGTCAGTCAAAGTAGAGAGGAAACCACTAGACGTGCAGACTATACCTATGATCACTTGCTATATCGCTGGATGTAATAACTGATTTCGCCGAGTATTTCTTGCCCTTGGGTGTTGTTCTTCCAAGTCGTTTGTTCAGGGTATGCAATCTCCGCGTTAACATTGCTCGATATTTGTTGTAATCGCCCATTGAAAGGGCTTCTGCCCTATGGGTCACTATAAATCCAGTGATATCCATGGTATATCGGCTCTCCAGCTGCGACTTCAGGTAGAAGAACTAAACCACCAATACCTTATACCTTCAATATGCCCTTCTTTCTCCCTGCTAGACTTTGCGTCGACATAGATTATGTAAGCATTTGTGGGCAAAAATGTACCGGTGACGCATAAACTATATTCCGCAGAGCCTTACTAAGCAAACGCCTTTTTGAAAGCTTTCAATTATCATACGACGAAGCTAAAGGACTTTGTTATTTTTTCTCACGTCTCTTGTCCAGCTTGTCGGTTTATTAATATTACTGAGTTGCGTGAGAATAGGGAGCTGATTGTCAGCGAGGACTCTTTGGTCTAGGGATAGTTTTTTCCTAGAGGCTGGTGTTGTCTACACCTTCGGCTTTATGAGGATTTTTTTCTCACGTTACTATCTTTCCCTCGACCTCGTCCGATTATGAACTTTCAGTTGTGAAATGCCAATTCTTCTCAGAAGTGTGCCAGCTCGCTGTCCAGGGAATGCTCGAGCGTGCTGTTCGGTGTATCGAGAGTGCTAGCCAGCATGTCTATCTCGGTTCCAAGCACACCTTTCGGACACGGCGTAGATTGCACCCCAAATTCTGGAACTGCAATCCCGACGAATCCGCTATATCCCTCTTATATTTCTACATCGTTCAGTCAAAATCTGGGAAGCGTTTGTCGGCACAGCATAACAATGGTGCGCCCTTCGATGTGGCCTTCTCAGCAACACCTCTCGAATTCCTCTACCCCCCGAAAACCCGGTTGTTTGCCCGTACCTATGCCTCCGAACCTAAGAGAAGCACTGTCCATGGCAAGAATAAACGCAATATATCTAGAACATACTACTCAGCTAGCAGTTGTCTCACGGAAGAATCACTAGATGTCGGTAACTCCTTTGCGAATGACGTTGGATTGGAAGAGAGTCCAGATGTTCTTCGAAAATTCCTTTCGGATAAAGGCCCACGAGATTATGGTGCCGCTTGGTGGCTCTATAGGTCCAGCGGATCCCCTGAAGGGCTCGAGTCGGAACTTTTATCATATCTCTCTACTTCGCAGGATCCGCGAGATTATCAACGTTGCCAACTACTCCTCCAAAGCATAGAGCCAGCGAACCGCAGCGAACGTGATTATTTGAGCGCAGTGAGAATTGCTTTGAATGCTAAAAGTCGGGCCTATACAAATTGTGCCTTGGAGTTATGTGAGGAAGCGACTGTGAGGGGGAAAACACAGTGCTGGCAATATGCATTTATGCAGTTCGTGAATGGCATGGACTGGGAAAATGCTTTTCGTCTTTGGAATGCAAAACCCGATCGTTTGCCTGATAAAATTCGACTCGTGGACAGCCTACCGTTGAAATCTTTAGCAAATCCTTTACTTGCGCTCCTAGAGATTGCTCGGCAACACAATACCAAAGATATGTTAGATATGTCTCGTTACATCATCAAGCTTGTCATATCGCATGATAAACTGTTGATGGCTGTCCCGATGAACGAGCTGTTGAAGGTTTTTGAAAACTCTACTAAGCTTAAGCTATTTGATCGTGACGACTACATTCAAGCTATCAGCACTTTACAGTCCTCAAAAATTAGATCGGCAAACGGCCGCTCAATTATGGTATACCGCAACTTTCGCTGGCGCATAACTGAAGCGACCCCACCGAGGTCGTTGATCACTAGGCTATTGCATATGTTGTGCGAGATAGAAGTTTTGGAAGGTGTCGATTATCTTTTGGATGAATATCGCCTACACTATGGTAAACCACCAATGCTAGCTTACCATGATGCTCTCACAGTATCTGCAAGGCTTGGTGACACCTCGACCACTCTTCGATTTTATCACGACTACTTGGCGGATCATGGACGCGCAGTTTCGACAGAAATTCTAACACCCCTTCTTTATGTCCATGCTAGAACTGGTGACGTGAAAGAAACTCAAAAATGGTTCAATTATGTTTCTGAACTTGGAGTTCCTTCAGAGGTTCAGTACTGGAACATTCTGCTTACTGCATATTCGAAAAACAAAGACTTAGAGGGGGCTCTTCATACGTTTCAACTGATGCTTCAGAGTGGTATGGCTCCAGACGCGGTTAGCTTCACAATCTTAATGGGCTTGTCTGCTGGACGCGGTGATGTCAAAGCCGTCCTAGATTTGTTCGATATGGCCAAACGGAATGGAGTCCGTATACACCGCTCCATGTTTGATACCTTGGTTGAAGTGCTGTGTAAGCACAGAAGATACCCGGACGCTGAGAGGGTGGCCGAAGAAGCTACGTCCAAATTTCCGGCCAAAGCCATGACTAGAACTTGGAACATCATTTTGTGGAATTACGCATACACCATTGATATCACCTCCGTTTTAAGGATACAAAATCGAATGCAAGAAGCAGGAATTCCATTTGACGGTATGACCTACGCCGCTATGATGTCTAGCCTTGTTCGCGTTGGCAAGACCGACTCTGCGCGCAAGATCCTGAGAGTCTTGCATAAAAACCACGAGATTCATCTAACACTTTTCCATTATGCCATTCTTTTACACGGCTACGTGCAAGAGATGAACCGTGACATGGTCCAGGTTTTGTACACTGAGATGATGGAGCGTTTCAATAAAACTGGTCTAAGTGGCACGCTTGCTATGCTCCAATCTCAGATTAATCGTGATATCCGACGAGCTCGTGAAACAATGGGAAGCACATCTAGCGGGAAATTTGCTCTTCCGCATGCAGAAGAGCTTCTCAAGTCCGCAATGGATCAGCTTGATGCTCAAGACTTTAGTACCAAGCAACCACAGCCTGGTGCCCATGGACGGCCACTTCGCGAGGCGTTCCCCACGGTATTCTACGAACAGCTTATCAAGGCCTATGGGCGGAATAATAGAGGTGAAAAGGTTGGAGAATTGTTCTTGGAGTTCTCGAAAAAGTCAAGGGCCACGCTCCCAGATCGCTTGCCACACTCCCCGGTGATACTCCACGCTCTAATGGTAAACTTCCTCTCTCAAAATAAGCACTTTGAAGTCAAGAAATGTTTCGAAGCCGCCCTTACCCATACCCTCCAGCGCTCGCGCGGAATCAATATCCAGGCAGCATTATCACGCCCGACCGGACCTCTTGCAGCACTTAAGGCTAGCGGCAAAAATATGCCTGAAGTTTCATATTACAACGATACACCAAGAGTTCTTGCATCTCATCGTTTTGATCTTTCGCACTGTATTTCGACATATATGCGGTCTCTATCGTCGCAAAATCTCCACTTAAAAATTGCTGACCTTGTGACTCAGATTGAAAAGCTCGGTTTCGCATTCAGCACACACAATTGGTCTCTATATGTTAATATTCTGTGCCTCTCCCGTGACCCTGCTTCTCAGATTCGGGCGTTTACCATTTTTGAGGAGAAGTTCATGCCCAACTACCCAGGTTGGAGATATATAAAACGTGGGTACGCCTTAAGGCCAGAGGGCGCAACAATGGAAATGGATCTTATGGAAGAACCGTTTCGCCGTGGGAAACCAGGAAGAATGATGGGGCGAAAAGCTCGGGCTCTTTGGGCCAAAGTTCAGCCGGATTATATGCAGCCTACCCATCTCAACATTCTTCACCTTGCTTCTGCTTTGATTGATTTCAGGTCACGATCAATCATTGATGGGGGGGAGGAGATGAACCAATTATTTTCCAAGGCACCCAAAACTTACACTGCCGTCGCAACGATCCCGTACCTGGAAGAAAAATTCGATACCATTCTTCGTCGTTACAAGGCTGATCAGGAAAATATGGACAGAAATCCAAGGGTCGATATTCCCAATGATGCTGTCTGGACCGGAGGCGTTTTGGGAGATGGGAGTGAACGAATAAAAACTGATGAGGCGTCGCCCGATCTTGAGGGTGAAAGAATTGAAGACGTTAAAGGATATGAAGACGACCCAGGATCGGAATGGGATCCTTCTGAGATGCCTGGGCAGGCAGAAATTTTTGAATCAACCGAACCCATAGCTCCCTTGTTAGAATCGCTGTTGGCGGAAGACATGGCTCGTAGGGGGAGGATCAGTACATCAAAACAACCAAATACCGTTCCTTTGGCGGAGCGGATACTTAGTACTGAAGACCAGTGGGATTTGGATAACTACAAACGTCTCTCTACGTTGAAGGAAAAGACGGCAGAGCATTAATCCATATGCTCTTCCCGTTGCATTTGTATATAGTATATCCATGGTGGAGGCGGTGGTATTACCACCATCCAAAGAATGCCCCCTGCTGTACCAACATCTACTTTATGTATTATATTATATTTGCTTGACTGATTAATTAATGACAAAATGCAAGTCTCGCTCGACTTTGTAAAATGCTTGGTAGCAAGTATCAACCCACCTTCCTATTGGTCCAATTAACGCGCGTTCTCAAAAACCACTTAAAGTCGCGTGTCGCGTGTTCGTCTCGCGTTTGAATGATTTTCTTCTTTTCGCAACTTCAACTTTTGAAAAGCGTCAAGCTCATCCTCGTCGTCTTTTTGAAGCATTTCTTCTAATCGTTACAGCCGTTTTAAAAGCGATTTCAAGCTTACTGTCCTAATTATTTGTTTATAACGGGCCCCAAGCTAAGATGGACGCCCCTCCGCTTCGTGACGAGGCCGCTCGCGATAACAAGCGAGCAGCAACGGAGTTCCTTGACCCAGGTCAGTTCAAGTACACAATCCCATGAATTGATATAATTTCTAACAACTATCCTTTTTCTTCCAGTTGACCCACGGGCTAGAAGGTTGCTCTTATCGCTTAGTTTTGATATTGCCTAATTCTAACGCCCTTGTAGTTACCGCGCGGACATAGCTGTGATGATAAATAGAGGACTTCGAAGATTCACGGTATTCAATTACCGTCCCCAATTCCCTGGATAAAATATTATTATATATGAAACAAGAGCGCTGACGGCTTTGCCTCTAGATTAGCATTGACGAAATTCGAGCCCATAGCCCCGAATTAGCGAAAGGGTTTGCCCCTCTTTTGCCATTATATTTGAAAGAAACAGTTTCTCACCTTTGCATAGCCTCCTTACTTCCCCGTTTGCCTATTGCCAGGCATTTGATGAAGCGTTACGAGAAATAGTCACAACTATCGCCAGTCAACCAAGGAGAGATGAAACAGATGAAACCGTATGTCGAAGTTTGAACTGGGCATTCCAGCCCTAGGTGCCTCATATCTAATTGATGGATAGGAATATCATTGTGCATATGTCGGTGCATTCGGCGAATACTCTTGCAATCCTAGAACGCTCAGTTCATCACATTTAAACCGAATGATTGCCCTTGAGGGGATAGTGACTAAATGCTCACTAGTCAGACCAAAGGTTATTAGAAGCGTCCATTACAACCCCAAGGAAAAATCCTTCCTGTCAAGGACATACCAAGACCAGACCATGACGGCCAGTGGAGCTACCAGCTTAAATGGTGTACCCACAGCAAGATGAACATGGCAATCCGGTGAGCATTGATGTCCCAAGAGTATTTTAGAGTTATATTTACTTTACTAATTTATCGGCAAAGCTCATAACCGAGTATGGATATTGCAAATACCGGGACCATCAAATGATATCCATCCAGGAAATGCCCGAAAGGGCACCAGCTGGGCAGCTCCCGCGTGGTGTTGATGTTATCCTTGATGACGACCTTGTTGACAAAGCTAAGCCAGGAGACAGGATACAGCTCGTAGGAGTTTACCGATCTCTTGGAAATCGAAACGCGAGCTCAGGCAGCGCCACTTTTCGTACTGTTGTTCTTGCAAATAATATCATACATCTTGCCTCTAAGTCTGGTGGAGGAATTGTTCAACCCACAATAACGGATACGGATGTTCGAAACATCAACAAACTGGCAAAGAAAAAGAACATATTCGACCTCCTTTCCCAGTCTCTTGCACCGAGTATATATGGCCACGATTATATTAAGAGAGCTATATTGTTGATGCTCTTAGGAGGCATTGAGAAGAATCTCGACAATGGAACCCATCTACGTGGTGATATAAACATATTAATGGTTGGTGATCCTTCTACCGCCAAATCCCAGCTTCTACGGTTTGTTCTCAATACAGCTCCGTTAGCTATTGCCACCACTGGTCGAGGGTCATCCGGTGTTGGTCTCACTGCTGCTGTGACGACCGATAAGGAAACAGGAGAGCGTAGGCTAGAAGCAGGCGCTATGGTCTTGGGAGATCGGGGAGTAGTATGCATCGACGAGTTCGACAAGATGAGTGACGTTGACCGAGTAGCAATTCATGAAGTTATGGAGCAACAGACGGTCACAATTGCAAAGGCTGGCATTCACACGTCTTTGAATGCCCGGTGCAGTGTGATTGCAGCGGCGAATCCAATCTTTGGACAATATGATACGCACAAGGATCCGCATAAAAACATTGCTTTACCCGACTCGCTCTTATCCCGTTTCGATCTTCTCTTTGTGGTGACGGATGATATCGATGACACCAGAGACAGGCTCGTTTCTGAGCACGTACTGAGAATGCATCAGTACCGTGATCCAAGGCAGGAAGAAGGGGCCCCCGTACGTGAGCAGGTTGGTTCCAGTCTGGGAGTTGGTCTAGAGGAGAGCCAGGACGCGAACAGGACGACCGAGGTATACGAGAAATTCAACGTGATGCTTCACGCCGGCATTTCTCAGACGGGAAAAAGAGGCGGGAAGAAGGTGGAAATACTCAGCCTGCCGTTTGTCAAGAAATATATTCAGTACGCCAAATCACGAATTAAGCCAGTCCTCAGCAAGGGTGCGGCGGATCATATTGTGAGCACATACTCGGCGCTCCGAAATGACGAGCTACTCGGAAACCAGAGGAAGACATCTCCCATGACGGCGCGTACGCTTGAGACGTTAATCCGTCTTTCCACAGCTCATGCAAAGGCACGCCTTTCAAACAGGGTAGATGAAAAGGACGCAAAGGCAGCCGAGGCTATTCTTCGATTTGCCTTGTTTAAAGAAGTTGTTGAGGACGAGAGACGCAAGAGACGCAAAACCGCCAATATACCAGAATCCGACTCGGATTCCGATGAGTCTGATGACGATGACAGAGACTATACTCCTCGCCGGAGGACGACGCAGTCAGCGACGGGCGCTCGATCCGGCACCCGGTCTGGCCTGAGGGGCTCTAGAGCTACGCCTACTCCTGGTGGAAATGGCAATGATGATGATGCAGACGAGATATACAACGCTACCCCTGATAGCAGACAACGGCTCTCATCATCCGGCCAGACGCGAAGCCAACAGACACAGTCCCAGTCGCGAATGTCGGTGGCCTCGTCGCAACCAGCATCACAGCTTCTCGAGTCTCAGGAAACAGACAACACCGAGTCTCAAGCCGATATCCTGGCGAATGCGGTTGCGGCGTCTGCTTCCCTGCCTCCCCTCCCGCCGGCTCGTCTAAGTACCTTCCGACAAGCCCTGGGCCCGCTCATGAGGTCAGACCTGTTCCAGGGAGATTCTGCAGATGTACAGCGGGTAGTCGACGCGGTGAACTCTTCAGTGCGCTCATCCGGAGCGGGAAGCGATGGCGTGTTTGAGCTGGCCGAAGCACTCCAGGCTTTGGCCGTGATGAATGACCGAAACGAAATTATGTAAGTCCTCTCTCTCTCTCGTTGAAGACATGAGCTGACTCAGTTGCTACTAGGTATCTTGGTGATGAGACCGTTTATCGGCTTTGAGCCGGACTTTCCTCTGCCCAAACTTTTCCCTTTAGTTTTGTAATGAGTGATGGTAAAGATATGGAACTAGAATATAAAAGAAGTTTTGTCGATTAATTCTAAAAAGCTATGGATATGATCCAACGACCAATTTGACAGCCAAACCTCCGTTTTCTTCAACACAAAGTGAATAAATAGATTTTGTACTTACACTTCGCCATCTGCACTGGCTGACAACGGCGTTAAGGGGGTGGAAAACCTGCTCGACTGAGAGATGGACTTGTTCCTCTTTGGCATGGCTGCGGCGCCGCTGCTGCCTCGACGGGAGACCGAGGACCTCCGCTCGCGGTCGAGGGGCAGCCTGTCCTCGACGTCCGAGACCGGGTGCGGCGTCGAGCTTCGAGAGGAGGTCCTGGAGTGCGAGTGCGAGTCGGAGTACGGGGGCGTCCTGCGGTGTTTCTCGTTGAAGTGGCGGGAGTGAGAGGGCGACTTGCGATGGGTGTACCTCTCGATATCCCGTCCGCTCTTGCTGATGACGGGTATGGCACGGCTGTAGCTCCGTTTCCAGTATCTCCATTTAGCCCACCAGAGCCAGCCGGCGTTCGCCCTGGCCTGCTGGCGGGAGTACTCCTTGATCTTCTGGCGGAGACGGGCCCGCCGCTCGTTCTCCTTCTCCCAGTAGTCTGTCCGGTACTCGTCCCAGTTCTTGCGGAAGGCCGGAGAGAACGATTTGGGCAGCAGGAGGAGGCGTATGTAGTCACCCCCGGGGGCGAGGTCCTCCTCGACTCCTATCCGGTTTTCCTCGTCCGCCGGCTGCTGGCGCAGGCTCGTCACGGAGCTGCCTCGACGCCGGCGGCCGGCAGGCCTCCCCGCCTCCCCGGCGGGCGTTGTTGTAGAAGCAGCACCGGCGGCGGGCCGCTCGTACTCGACGTAGTGGAAAGACGTGTTTGACGGGAAGAAGGCCGAGTACGGGAAGATGAAGGAGAGGTAGGAGAGCAACTCCTTCCACCACGGCCCCTGGATAACGACGACTTTGGCATTCATCCCCCTGATGCCACGGTTGGTGACCCCCAGCCACCTCCGGGGCCACCGCAGGCCTCTCTCCCACTGCCCGGTGCCCCAGATGAGGATGCCGGTGACGACGCCGCCGGTCAGGGCGACCTTCTCCCCCGTCTCGACGACCCAGTAAACAGAGCCCCCGAGCCCGCGTCCGTCCTCACGCGGCCGGAAGAAGAGGGCGTAGGTGAAGTAGACGATCCAGAGCGCCAGCAGGAGGAGGAAGAAGGTGTTCTGGCGTCTGCGGGCGCGCAGGGCGAGGTACTGCGAGCGCAGGGCGGACTCGACGATGAGCAGGTTGAGATATATCTGCGGCGGCGACGACGGCAGGGCAGAGAGCGGATCTGGCGCGACGGTAGAGACGGACGAGGTCGACGACGAGGGCGACGGCGTCTTCCCGGGGCTGTCAGGCTGGTGAATCTGGATCTCCGGCGGCGGAGCGCCTTTCACGATCTGGTCGAGCTGCGACATTCTTCATAGTAGTGGATGTTGTTGTGAGATGGAGATGGAGATGTTGCTAGACTAAGACTGCGCTTCGTCCGTTATTACCATGGATTCTCTTCTTCTCTTCTTCTCTTCTTCTCTTCTTCTTCTCTTCGTCCGATAGAAAACTTCCTGCGCCACCAAAACTCCTTTTTTTGTCCGACGGCCAAATCTCTGCGCAAACTCCGGCTTAACTCCAAGTCATCAGAAGATACAGAGATACAGAGATACAGAGATAAAGAGGATAGAGTGACAGAGGATAGAGTGACAGAGTCTGTCACTCTGGCTGCCCGCGATCAAGCTGTCTTCAAGCAGAATCCCAGCGCTTTCTCTTCAGGCCGCTCGTTATCCCCCGCTGCTCGCCCACAACCAGCGCCACCAGCATAGCATCGCTGCCTCGACGCTGAGTGCTCGCTCGCAGACACGGCTCAGCTCGTCTGCCTCTTCTTCAGCTCGTCCGGACGGCTGGTCGGACGCTGCGATGGCCTCGACCGTCCCCGCGCAGGCTGAAGCTCGCCCGCAGGCAGCAGCAGGACAACCGCCAGCAGCTCAGGCAAAGCAGCCCGCGAGCTATTTCCCGCTGGGATACAAGGAAGGGTTCAGCCAATGGGTTCGTCTGTCTACTCTCTATATGTGCTACTGATGTACTGACGGTGCAGTGGACGTGTATGCCGGCTGCCGCTGCTGAACACAGTGTGCTCTCGTTCATCCCGTACCTCCAGCAGCCGCCAACCCACAAGCAGACCGGCAAGGAGCCAGCGGTCCCTGACGGGCAGACAGACAGCCTCACCGCCGCAGACACCTCGCAGGAGGCGCAGGTGTCCGCCAACTCGGTCAATGACCCGTACGGGCCCCGTCGGTGGCGGTCCAGCATGGTCCGGCTCAGTGGCGATAATCGAGCACTGAACGAGTTCTCCGTCGAGCGCGTCGGAGAGAAGGTCGAGAACAACCTCGTGGTGCTGCACGGGTACGGCGCCGGGCTGGGCTTCTTCTACAAGAACTTCGAGAGCCTCAGCCGTGCCAAAGGATGGCAGCTCTACGCCCTCGACCTGCTGGGAATGGGACGCAGCACCCGGCCGCCGTTCAAGATCCGCGCCAAAGAGAGAGACCAGGCCGTCACCGAGGCAGAAGACTGGTTCATCGACGCCCTGGAGGAGTGGCGTGTCAAGCGCAAGATCGAGCGCTTCACCCTGATGGGACACAGTCTCGGGGGCTACATGGCGGTTGCCTACGCCCTCAAGTACCCCGGACGGCTCAACAAGCTCATCCTCGCCTCCCCCGTCGGCATTCCAAAGGATCCCCGCGCGGTCGACACCGACGTCAGCGAGCCGTCGGAGTCGACCCTGTCGGCGGAGTTCACCCAGAGCCAGGACGCAGCCACAGGCGACGGCGCTGCGGCGGACAACGGCCTCTCGAGCAGGACTCCGCCTCTCCTGCGTCCTCTCCCCAAGTGGCTTACCTACCTCTGGGACGCAAACGTCTCCCCCTTCTCCTTTGTGCGCTGGTCAGGCCCTCTCGGCCCCCGTCTCGTCTCCGGCTGGACGTCCCGACGCTTCTCGCACCTCCCCCAGCCGGAGTCAAAGGCCCTGCACGACTACGCATACTCCATCTTCAGGATGCGCGGCAGCGGCGAGTATGCGCTCGCCTACATCCTCGCACCCGGAGCATACGCCCGCAGACCGCTTATAAACCGAATCCACGGCGTTGGCCGACAGCTCATCAGGGAGCCAGTCCCCTCAGCGTCGCCGTCCCAGGCCAGCCTCGCCTCTCCCAAGGCCGCTTCCACCCCGCCTGCCACTCCATCGGATACGGCCACCCCATCGGATACGGCCACCCCATCGGATACGGCCACCCCAGGCGAACAGCCTACACCGCGCAAGGAGAACGGCATCCCCGTCGTGCTGATGTACGGTGACCACGACTGGATGGACGTCGAAGGCGGCCATGCAGCAAAGAAGAAGATAGACGAGGAGAGAGAACGTATCCTCAAAGACGCCACGGCAGAGGAGAAGCTTGCGGACCGTGGATCGGCCAAGGTGGTCGTTATCAAACAGGCCGGCCATCACATCTACCTGGACGGATGGGAGGAGTTCAACAAGGTGGTCATGGACGAAATGAAGGCCACTTCTAATGAAGGACGAGCATGACAGACGTTTTCCTCTTAGTAGATTCAGGAGTTTCGAGTGGCTTTTTCCTACTCTCTGCTTATAGTCTTGTTGGATATATATTTCTTGCCTGCAGTCCATGAGGTTGATTTGCAGAACCGTCATTCAGATATTAATAGATAGACTATTATAAACAGCGCTCGATAGTAGATTCAGATATTAATAGATAGACTATTATAAACAGCACTCAATAGTAGTTTTGAATAGACCGTCTTTTTTACTTCGTTATCAAGTATCTTTGAGTTGGTCACTTTCCAACTTTCTACCAACAGATAGAATATACCCAACGATGCAGTCCGAAGAATCCAGCATGTTTCCCTGGGACATTGGTGTCTTCGATGCTCACTGCCATCCAACCGACACGATGTCGTCCATTGACGATATCAAGGAGATGAAAGCCGCCGTCCTGACGGTGATGGCAACCCGCCAGCAGGACCAAGATCTGGTCTCGCAGGTAGCATTACAGTATAGAGATGCCAGAAACAGCAGTGAGGAGCACAAGGGGCCTTGTAACGACCGCATCATCCCTTGCTTCGGGTGGCATCCGTGGTTCGCTCACCAGGTATTCGATGATACGAAGCATGGCCAGCCCAGGGACAGCGAATACAGAGCTTCGATAAAGACCGAACATTACAGGAATGTGTTATCCCCGCCGATCGATGATGACGAACTGCTGAACGAACTGCCCGTTCCGTTCTCCCTGTTGGAGCTGATATCAAATGCCAGAGAGAGACTGCAGAGACACCCCCGCGCCCTGGTCGGTGAAGTCGGCCTGGACAAGACATTTCGATTACCAAAGGCATGGAGCTCAGCAGGCGGCGATGGAAACGGCGACACGTCTTCTACTACGCCGGGGACAAGAGGCGGAAGAGCACTCTCTCCATACCGTGTGAAGATGGACCACCAGCGAGCCATCCTCAAGGCTCAGCTACGGCTAGCGGGCGAGCTACAACGACCAGCGTCACTCCATAGCGTTCAAGCACACGGAGCTACCATCGAGGTACTCCAGGAACTCTGGGCCGGACACGAAAAGAAAGCCATCTCCAATCGGCAGCGGAAGAGGAACTCTAGTGTCCCCAGAGCTCATGAAGGTGAAGATCTACCCGCATCAAACGAAGGGAGTGAACACGGTGAAACAGAGAACAGACTGCCTAAACCGTTCCCGCCACGGGTATGCATGCACTCTTACTCGGGGCCGGTAGAACCGTTGGCCCAGTTCTTCCATCCCAAGGTGCCTCTTGATGTATACTTTTCCTTTTCGGCAGTGATCAATTTCCCCGATGGACCTAGTGAAAAGTCTTCCAGTGTCATCGGTGCTTTGCCGGAGGACAGGATACTGGTCGAAAGCGATCTACATTGCGCCGGCCAGCGGATGGATGATCTCCTGCAGCAGGTCGTCAGACAGGTCTGTGATATTCGAGGCTGGACACTGGAGAAGGGAACTCGGATACTGGCTGAAAACTGGAAAAGATTTGTATTCGGCTGAAATGATAGTTTTCTATGGGATAGTCTTCTCGGTCTTTTTTAATAGAAATACCAAATTCATGTCTAGTTTTTGGAAAACACCCCTTCCCTGCCATTTAACTGTGCATCTAACACTGCCGTTGTACCGTCCATGACAGCTTTGACAGCCTCAGGTAATGCCTTTGCCAGTTCTTCTACACTCCCGGCTCTACCAGCCCATAGCTTGCCTCCCGCAGCAGCCTTTGCAATGCCAGCATAGTCCGGTGTAGGGTTAAATGATATGTTCAGCTCCTCGTTCGATAGCCGGGATCCCTCACCGTTAGGATGAACAAGCATAAGGCTGCTACGAGGTGCGTTCCAGCCTCTGTTGTTCAGCACGATCGTCAACACAGGTATTTGATACCGACGAGAAATCCAGTAGACAGAGCTCGGAACACTAAATAGATATGTGCCGTCGCCGACAATCTGGCAGACGAACTTCCCCTGGGCCTTACCCCCGTTCTTATCGTCAGTGGCTAGTTTGATGCCCAAGGCAGCGCCCCCAGACCATCCTAGGCCGCCGCCACCGCTGTTGATCCAGGAGCCCGGTAGGGTGGCTCGAATGTGTTCTGAGACTGCCCCAGCGCTCGAAACGGCCTCGACGCACCATATCGTATCCTCTGGACAAGCCTGGCGGATTTGGGACATCAGGTATGGGATATTCAGCGGTGCATCAATTCCAGATGGTGTAGCTTCTTGTTCCGCTAGGGATTGCATCCTCTCTTTGAGCGCATCTTCCAGTAATTCGTGACGAGACTGGTAATCCGGGCTATCTAGAGCCTGTTTGAGATCCGCTGTGCTTGAGATATACTGGTTAAGTTGGCTGAAGGCAATGGCCGAATCTGCACGGTAAGCTGCCTGTGAATTGATATAAAAAACGGGCATCTGTTGCTTCAGCGGATCAACGTCGATATGGAATATTGAGGCAGAGGGTGAAGGCTTGCACTGTGTAGGTATCCAGGGTACGTCGCAGTCAACCACCAAGATAACATCTGCCGTAGTGATTGCGTTTGTGCCATTCTTCATACTAACATAGGCAGGGTGGTCGGCAGGGAAACACACGTCAGACATCGCGGTATCCAGCACACGGAGGCCCCTTATCAACTCTGCCAGCTTCACTAGTTCAGTAAACCCTTTCTCATGACGACCCGTATACCCTACAATCACGAGCGGGTGCTTTGCATTTACCAAGCGCCTCGAAAGGTTCTCCACCGCATCCTGTGGTAGGGCAGAGGGCAGTATAGGAGACCATAGCTTCTGGTCAAGGGTATATGGTTCGATCTCTTCTTCCAGTATCTCCCTTCCTGCAACCATGTAGACCGGACCCTTTGGCGCACTGCTAGCAAATTGGAGGGCTCTGTTTACCATCTGCTTGACATTTTTCCCGGTCTTTAACTCACTGGTATATCGGCAATATTGGGCCACAATCTGTTTTTGATCTGGAATGTCTTGGAGTCAGTGGATGAATTCCGACCTGGACCCTCGAAGTTCTCCTTCCTGAGTAAACGGGGAGAGACCAGCAAAGATGAAAACGGGCGTGCGGCCACAGGAAGCATTGTGGACAGCAGGCCCAAGGCCTTGGGTACCGACATCAACGTGGATTAGGACACACTGCGGAGTGCCGCTGATACGGGCATATCCATCCGCCATTGACATTGCTACCATCTGCCATTTTTACAGTGAATTAGTCACCGTCAGCATGGTATCACGCATTATTGATAGATGTAAAAGTCTCACCTCGTGAGGACAAGTTATAATCTGGGGGAATCGATCTTTCCGTTCCCTCTGTCCTTTGATGATGGCCTCCATCACCGCAGGATGGTCAGAACCAAGGTTAGCAAACACATATCGAACTCCGGCCTGGTAAGCATCAGTATTATAGGTATAATATAGCTTTATTTCTAGGTGACTTACATCCCAGAGCGCTTCGAGTAAAGCGTACGATGTTGTGTATGTCCTACATTGAAGACCCCTCTGTAAGCAAGATGTTAAATATGCATCGACGGTGAATCTCTTACATGGTTTGCCCCAAGTTGCCGAGATTATATGTCCATACGAAATACTAACTAGGGAAGGATATCAAAGAAAGCTGGAATTCGAGGTTGACGAGGCCAGTCTTATATGAACAGGTCACTATATTGTGATCAAGGGAGAAGTTTAGACGTTAGATAATAATACCCAGAGTAGTAATAAGATGCAGGGCGAAGAGATCTCCACCTAGAATAAAGCCGAGGGTACTTCATAACCGTGGACTGTAGAGTTCATGTATATTCAAACAGGAGCTATAAATCCTAGAAAATAGATGCTAAGAAATGTCGAAGAGAGGCAGATGACTACATATCATAGCTGAATATGATATATATGATATATAGACGAGGCTTTCGATATTTGATACGCCTACAAGAGGCATCGGTTGCCTCTCACTAAATGCTGTGAAACCAACCAAAGAAGCAAAGAAGCACGCATTTAAAACTAGATATCGATACCTGCGCCCTTTTTTGTACGCTCAATAAAGAAATATCGCTTCGCTTAGTCGGTAGGATATTATGGGAAGGAGATTAGAGTGAATATACCCATGTTACATGATTGAAAATAAACCGTCACCCAAAACAAAAACAAGACAAGACAGCGAATATACATCAAGAAGAGAGGTAGAAAAAAAAGAGATTGTTCAACAGTGATCGAGGTAAAGACACATCTGAGATGGACATCCGGCTTCGTAAACACTAAGGACCGCGTATCAAGACTATTAGGCCAAAAATGTGATGCGAGTGGAATGGTGTATCGTCGTATTAAAGTGGTAAAAAAAAATATTTGCAGCTACTCCCAGCCAGCAAGGATTAAAAAAAGATGGAAAAGAAATGTATGTGAAAGGGAGGAAAGTTCGAGACAATCACATATTGGCGAGTTCATTATCAATCTGGCGGTCGAGGAAAGCCTTCTTTTCCCCAGTCAAAGTCGTTTGTAGTCGTTGTTCAACAAGAGCACGGACTAGGCAGGTGTGTTAGTAAACGTTCATGTCTAAATCTAGGACTCCCAGGTGGCTATGGTTTACATACCTTGTTTCTTGGTGACAGTGTCAAGGTCTACTTCTCCCAGGCACCCTTGGATGGCAGCAGTGATAGTGGCCTCGTCAGGACCATGTCCAGGAGGATTCCTGAAGTCTACCAGGGTGCTAGCTGGGCGTGGCATGGGGCTCCGCATGCTCTGGCGTTGGGATGCGGCGAAGTTGTGGTCAGAACCAGGTACACCAAAGCCGCTCAAACGGCTGCCATTGGCTGGGTTATCTCGGTAATGGCTCAAATTACTGACAGACAGGTGAGATGCCCGGTTACCTAATTGAGGCTGATCGGTGTAATGGGTAAGGTGAGACATATGTGAGCTCCTGTTTCCAGGTAGGTTGCTGTATGGGTTTGGAGAGTGAGGAAGGACGTAGGGTGTTTGTTGAGCACCTTGGGTTGGGAAACCAGTTAGAATAGTCGATGCTGGCTTCACGGATGAGTACATTGATTGCATGTCGTCCATCTCGACTGCGGCTTCGTCATTGTATCCCGGGAAGCCAGTCTTCTCCGGTGCGTTTGGATTACCTCGGCGGCCGGGGAGATTGTGGATAAGCGCATAAGTGTCCCATCTTTGGAGAGGAATGCTCTTAGGGTCAAATGGTTCGTCTTCGATGGCAATGACCTTTCGGTCTCCCTTCTCCCCAATAACTATACGAGTGTTACCCCATGTGAAGTTGTCCTGGTTCCAGAAAGAGTATAAAGGCAGGATGAAACTGTAGAAGGGGAATGCCATCAAATAGATAATCATCCACCCAATGTGCTGCCATTGGCGTTTGATAATGAAGATGATGGCCTGTAAACCATATACAGCAGCAATCAAAATAATGGAAATCAGCGGGAACTGTCCTTTATGGGCGGCAACGAGATAGATGAGGTATCCAAGGTAAACCGTTGTCGCTGGTAGAATGAGAGTTCCGAACAAGTCAATGAATACAACGAATCTCATACTGAAGCAGCAGAAGCCGCACAGATCTTTGAGAAGCATAAGTTCAGCCAGATTGTGGATAGTAGAGTTGATCCAACGACGTCTTTGGGACATAAGAACCTGCCACGTTTCCGGGGCTGCTGTGCTGGCATATGCATCTGGAACGAATTTATAGGACATGTGAGGGAAATGTTTCGTCATAAGGGTCGTAAGGAATCGATCTTCTCCTAGAGATAACAGATTCTTCTGATGCAGGGTATCAACGCGTACATCGGCGTACTCGCTAATGACCTTTTCAGAAATAATCAATGGACGGCCTTTATCTTGAGTGCGAAGTCGATACATAGAGAAACTGTTATGAAGGTTAGAATATTTATGTAATGGATTGGCGGGGGAGGAGGAGCCTTACCATCCAGGAAGACAAGTAACGCTGCCAAAGAGAGACTCGAAGGATTTGGCCAAATGATGAGAAATATAGTACTCGTAGACTTGAATCATAGTCCACCAACTCCGCTCTTCGTTCTGCAAACTGGTTTCACCACAGATACCCGCAATCTTCGCATCGTTCGCACAACTTGCAACCAACCGGTTGAGAGAATCTTCCCTGACACTCGTGTCAGCATCTACCATGAGAAGATACTCATAGAGCTCGGGATCCACGCCAATAACGTTGTTAATTTGATGGAACATCTCCAACTCGAGCGGTGACATATGCGCACGGTGATGGACTCGGTTAAGGAATCGTAGTAGGAGGACCTGGGAATCACGCTTTCCACGATTTCCAGGTTTGGTCTTAGACTGTTCCGATTCCTTACCCACCTTTACAACAACAATATAGGGAACAACGTTGCCTTCATACTCATATAAACCTGAGTATACCTTTCCGTAATTAAGCTGGTCACTTCCTTCACCAACGGATTTGAATGGGAGAGCTGGGGGGTCAATTTTGGGATCGACACCAAGGATATCTAGGACAATCTTGGGAGTAGGTCTATCGTTACCACCACCAACGATCATACCGTCACAAACAACGAAAATAAGTTTCCGCTTGTTGTCATATTGAAGGGCCGTGAGTGAATCAATGGCTTTGCGGAGTTGGTCCTCTCCCTCGGTATAGGCTGGTACCTGGCAGATAACAAATTTATCTTGCATGGCAGGTCGTCGTTTGGTACCAAGTTGTAGTGCTGCCAGGAACTTTATAAGAATAACGGCACAAAGGATGATAGTAAAAGCCAAAAGGATGTACTTGTTCGCCTGGCATCGTGGAGTATCACGGAAATCAGTCGTTCCGACGTAGAACTGGTTGTTCAAACAGTTCAAGCTGTTCTTGAACTCGGTAGTATCACCCCAAAGGCTCGTAATATCAGTTCCAGCTTCCTTCTTGAAGAGATCTGTGACAGCAGGTGGTAAAAAGTCATAACCTGCGTAACCGTCCATCTTGTCGATGCTATTGAAGTAATCAGTCAAGTCGTATACTTTCTCATTAATGATAACCCATTTCCTGTCAAGTTCATTTGCTTGCACTGTGACATTCTTTCTCGACCAAACCAAATCACCCTTGTAATATTCTTTAATAGTAGGCTGGAAGACGGCCGGGTACCAATTAGCATTGTGAGTTTTTAGTGTTGGATCGCCATTTAAAGGACCGGATTTATGGACAGCAACGCTATTTTGTACGGCGTCTGTATTGTTAGGTATGAGTTGAATTTCATCCTTAATATTGAAACCGGGGCAGGCCAGCGGCAGTGGAACGGGGAAGTAGGCATCGAGATTCTGGCCAGCGAATGGTTGCATAGCTTCCCGATCGGTTGGGTATCTCCGACCAGATGTATGTGGAGTTTTGGCGAACTTGCTAATGTCATAAACGCGGCCTCGGATACTGACGAAGAAATCATTTTCACCCTGATGGAAGGAGACTTCCTGGCTGTTCCATACTTTGTCCTTGCCCGGACAGATCAAATTGCCAAACTCGACGATATAGAAGACAATGATACAGTTCAAGAGGACAATCAAAGCGACGAGAACAACTTTTTCTCTCCATGCCATGCGGACGTCTGGTCTCTTCATCCGCCCGACGTAACGGAGAACAGGGGATGGGATCCAGAAAGTAACGGCCCAAACAAATGCGATCCACAGCCGACGAGTGAAAGTAATCCTTTCGTGTTCAATGTTTTTCGGTTCAGCAAATTCGGGGTCAACTTGGCCGACATAACGGCCGAGATTCTCGTCATAGTAAGTGTCATCATACTTGATATCGTCTCCTTTAGATCCAAGGCCATAATCTCCAATATTTCTGGAGACTCTGTTCATGGTAGGCGCTACTGATTGAGCGACACCGGGGCCTGTAGCTACCGTCCCAGCTATTGTTCCAGGTCCTTGTCTATTGACGAGATGTTCATGGCTGCCTTGGACACTCATTCCATCGGCGGTGAAGAAGCCACTCTGGTTTAAAGCTGGGTTCAGAGCCTGTGGGCTAGGAGTGTAGCTGGGGTCGAAATTGCTGGCCATCCCTGGGTTGAATGGATTGGATGCTGCTTGCTGTTGAGGAATGAGGTCAAGCATAGATTCGGCTTCCCACCAGGCACTTTCTCTCATCCAGATGCGCTCCTTTCCAACTACCACATCACCGTTGCTCCAACCTCGCTCCAGGATCCAATTCTCAACACCATCTTTTCCTTCCTGGCAGCCGAGCGGAGCATATCTGATGACAAACTCTTCCACATCGAAGTCTGCAGTGAAATCCAAGCGCTTGTTTCGGCGATTTGCAAGTTCCGGGAGCCTCCAGGCACGAAGTTGACGGGAGACGGTTCCAGCAGACCAGGCAGAGGTAGCAGATGGAAGAGAAGCAAGGGCGGCTGGCTGATCATCTGTGGGGTGGATGGAAAGATGGCACCAAACCCTACTGCTTCCAAGAGTGGTGGCCAGATCGAAGCGCTTCGTCTGACCAAATCTAACGCCTTGTCCTGGAACAGGGTACAAGAGTTGACGGAAGAAACAGCCAGGCTCGACTTCGACTCCTATTTTTTCCAAGACCCCCTCGACTTTGTCATTAAAGTAGTCTCTCTCACGAGCAGTTGGTGTGTCGGTCATTCCCAGATGCACACCAACCTCTGCTTTGGCAGCGTTCATTTCACTAAGGATGGAATGGCCTGGGCCAATAACTTCGACGCCATCCTCCTTGATTTCGGCGTTGATACCTACAGTGTCATCGAATGCACCTCTGAGGACGATTGCCTTTCCTAGCGCAGGGTCTGGAATTTCAACCACGGTGAGGCCAACTGTATCAGCACTCTCTTCCTGGCGGCCACCGTCACTGGATCCATTTTCATGGAGAGAGACGATCTCGTTATGGATCGCCTCATTTGCCTTGGCGATAATCCAGTCGAGCAATGCATCGTAAATACCAGCCATCAAGGCCTCCCGCTCATTTGTGTTAAAATTTTTGAGTAGAATGAGGGGGTCAATGTTCAAGAGGCCTCCAACATCTTCACAGACCTCCTCGATCTCCTCTTGGTCGACCAAGAGGCCCATAGCATTTCCTAGTTTAAGCAGGGCAGCCAAGACGGAGAGGAGGTTCCTCTGAGCGGCACCCTTGATACCGATGGCTTTCAAACAGTTTCGGAAGTCCTCTGCGGCAGCCGCATCGTCAGCTGTAGGAAGGTAGGATGGGGGGTCGAATGTGCCGGATTTATTAAGCAAGGCACACGACGAAGGGTCAGATATTCCGAGGAACTCCCTCTCCGCCGGGGTGGAAGACGAGGTAATGAGGTAGTAAAAGACATCAAAGGCCCGGTAGCCGGCCTCGGCAGGGACATTGAACAGGCCATGAGAGGTATTGATGCCAGAGTTTGACACCGCCAGTTGAACTTCGGTGACACGACCGGTCAAGGTAAAGGTGTAGGACACTGCAAAGGCAGAGTACTGGAAGGCAGTGGGGTTGTATGGCGTGACCTGAGAGACAAACGGCCGAATGGCAGAGATAGCGGTATAAGCAATATCAGGTGTGGACAGTGGTAGAGATCCTAACATGGGGAAGAGGAGAGAGGGAGAAGACTGATGTGAAGTGCTATCAAAAACAATGTTAGTAATAAGGCTTTGATATAAAGCTCCGGATGTGAGTAAGAAAAGAAAAGAAAAAGTTACCATAAAACGATGCAGCCGTCTTCTGCTCTTCGTCGAGCGTGTTCCCAAGCTCTTCTCGCCAGACTGGGGTCCAGCGTGCCGCCGACCTCCCCATTAGGGCCTGGAGTGGTGGTGGTGAGCCATGTGTTGACGACCAAGCTGGTCCCGGCCTCGAGCTGGTACCCCTGTGCCGAGGCGTAGGAGGTGTGAAGGGCGTTCAACAACGTCGTCGTGGAAACCTGAGCGGCCTGCTGGGCAGCTGCTCGAGGGTCCTGGGAGACGGACGAGAGGGCCGAATATATGGACATACGGTTCGCCATGGCTGCTCTGTGGTTGCCAATGGCCTGATATTGTCCCTGTTTTCAATGAGACAGCAACGCCGGCCTCTTAAAAGTCCTAGATCTGTGACATCCAAACGAGCGATGGGAGTAGACTCTGGCCGTTTCCTCTATCTGTCCAGTATAATAAACGTGTCTATATGTCGAAGATGTTCGCTGAAGGGTGCGTTCGCCTGTTGGGAGTCTCTTCCTTGCTGGCAAGCGATGGCTGTCGACTCTTTATCACCGAGCCGCCTCTTCACCGCGAAGTACAGCAGAGAACAAGAAAAAACGAACAAGACGGCTTAACGAGCGAACGACGAAGAAAACGATAGAGATTAGAGGACGAGAGAGAGCGAAGGAAAAAAGAACCTGAAGTTCAGGGAAGAAGAAGAATTGAAAGCTCACAAGAAGTTGTTTCACCTTTTTTTTTTTCTTCTTCTTCTTGTCTTGGACATCAACAGTGGTATGTGTACGGTATGTAATATAACCTGACCATACGCTTTTGATTACATCTACATACGCTGCTCATGATGTGGCAAGGAGTTTATGGTGGTTAAGCGACGGGCTGAGGTAAGACTGGACAGCCAGAGGATCGTAGTATGGAGGCACTGCCACGCGAGTTGAGGTCTCTTACGGCGTATCCGCAACAGTCTGTGATATGTTGAAGCGGTGATGGCAGAGACCTCCTGCAGCCACGACGGTTATCGTACTGTGTGTATGGAGTGCTATGACCATATCGATCGGTTGCATGCTCAAAGCAGGATGTGGGAGTTATGCATGTATCTGTCATGGAACTATATATGATGCTCTGAGATCAGCATACAAAATAATAATAGTTCGCGTAGTGGTGCAATGCCGGCGGTGGCGATTGGCGCCGTGTCATGGACCGGGGAAAGGGAGAAGTTTAGCGGTTGTGATGTCTCAAATAGACAACCCAAACAGTGTCTCATCGCCGGTCCCTCGTCCTCCTCTCCTCGCTGGCCGGGTGAGAAGGATGGCCTTGTCAATCGTCCTTCGCTCGTTGTCTCAAGCCAGGGAAACAGCCCTCGCGACCCATTCCCATGTTATCCATCGGCCTCCCCCTTTCATCAAAAAAGAAATAGCCCTCCCATGGCGTCTGGCGGAAGAACGTAAGCCCGTCGAGGATCGTGCCGCTATTTCTCGATCCACGAATCGACATCGAGGGATGTACGAGCCTAATTGGCTACTTTGTGGAGTTGAGCCGGGACGTGGGGAGGGGGGATTTGAACTTCAGAGCTGGTTAGTTAGAGGCTGATGACATATACTGGAGGAGGAAACTCTTGATATCAAGCCAGGGTTAGCCTTCTGTCAACTCTGCCACGCGAGATCCATTTACCTTCGCCATCCTTCCTCAGTCATCTCTTCTTGTTTCCCTCTCCTGCATGACAAAAACATCGACAGGGGACAAACTGAAGAAAAGAAGCAAAAAAGAAAAAAAAGCTGGCTCGGGCCAGAAGGTTGTTCGTAACTTATTTTTAGTCTTTCGAAGGCGATGCTAGTTTGTATTTTCTCCTTTTTTGCTCTTTATATGCGTGTATTGTCGTATTGTAATTACGTGTATGTCTGATGTTTCACTTCCTACTTTACATCTTTTCCCTTTTCAGGCTTTGCAAGGAAAGGGAAAAAAAAAAAAGAACGTCGACTTTTTTTCTTCTTGTCAACGGATTTTCTTCTCTTCTTCTCTTCTCTCTCTTTTCTGTCTCGATAGAAGAACACACTCGCTTTGCTCTCGAGAGATAAGGCGTCGTGTTGTGTCTTTTAGTTGTTTTTTTTCTTCATCACTCGTTTTGACTGTGCTGCGTTGTTGCTTTGCTTGTTTCCTACGTCGGTCCGCCGCCTGCTGTAACACCACCTATATTTTTGGGTAGAACTTCAAGAGGTGTGGCCCATCCTTCGTTCAGCCTGTTCTGCATTGATCTTTCACGCAGAGAGAGTGAGAGAGTGGAATACCTTCGCTATATATCCAGCGTGGTGATAGGACACAGGGGTTATATGTCGACCGGACAACTACCGCTATCCTACGACTGACGGCAGCAACAACAACAACATCAATCGCTTCGTTAACCGTGAACAAGAAGAGACACTCGCTATTCCAGGCCACTGAGCCCGTTGCCCTCGAGAGGGGAGGCTAGATAGAACTAGCCATGGCGACACCAACTCATGCTCAGTCCTCCCTTCCCGCCCTGCCGGCACATCTTCAGAACGACACACACCTTGCTGCCCATCTTGCTAGCAGGTAAGAGACGCCTCGTCAGAACATAGTGGAGAGTCATTTAACCGGTGGTGACGATAGGTTCCATGTATCCCTGCCGACTGCACGTCTCTCCTCCCAGGCATTGATATGTCTCAACACATACACCTCGTCCACCAAGGGACCAGATGGCGGAAAGGAAGGCAGTGCGATGGGAGAGGCCGAGGACCTCGCAAGACGAGCCTGGACCAGACTGGGCTCCCGAGGTGAAAACCAAGCCATCGTTTTCTTGTGAGTTTACCCGTGTTTCTACTACTTTGAAGACGTATAGCTAATTCATAACGAAAAAAAAGGGGTGAATCTGGATCTGGTAAAACCACAATCCGTTCACATCTCCTCTCTTCCATCCTTTCCTTTTCGTCGACTCCTCTGTCGACTAAACTCTCTCTTGCCGCATTTGTCTTTGACACCCTAACTACCACCAAATCGGTCACCACGCCCACTGCCTCCAAGGCCGGTCTCTATTTCGAATTACAGTACGATGGATCGTCTACCATCAACCCCACCCTTATCGGTGGAAAGGTGCTCGACCATCGTTTGGAGAGGAGCCGTATTGCATCCGTTCCAACGGGAGAACGTTCGTTCCATGTTTTGTACTACCTTTTGGCTGGTACCAGTGCTGCCGAACGATCGCATCTGGGACTGGACAGCCCTACAGCCACAAGAGGTGGTGCCGGCAATCGCGCTTCTATCGGTGAAATGCACAAGAGATGGCGTTATCTAGGCCACCCAACCCAGATGAAGGTCGGAATTAATGACTCGGAAGGCTTCCAGCATTTCAAGACTGCCCTCCGCAAACTGGAGTTCCCTCGTAGCGATATTGCAGAAATCTGTCAGATCCTGGCCTGTATCCTCCACCTCGGACAGCTAGAATTCGCGACTGGCCAGTCCACCAGAACCGCACCCGAGGAGAGTGGTGGATATTCTCATGAAGGTGGTGAGACCGTCACTATTGTCAAGAATAAGGATACCCTTGCCATTGTAGCTGCCTTCCTTGGACTAAGCATCGGTGACCTGGAAGTGAGTCTTGGAAACAAAACCAAGACTATCCATCGCGAGCGTGTGACCGTCATGCTTGACCCTGCCGGAGCTCGAGCAAATGCTGATGAATTTGCGCGTACCCTCTATGCCCTCCTGGTTGCCTACGTAATTGAAAACATCAACCAGAGGGTCTGTGCTGCAGAATCTGCTGTTGCCAACACCGTTTCAATTGTTGACTTCCCAGGTTTTGCCCAGTCCTCTTCTACTGGTTCGACCCTTGATCAGCTGTTGAACAATGCAGCGACCGAATCTTTGTATCATTACTGCCTGCAGAACTTCTTCGAACGCCAGGCAAACATGCTAGAGACTGAGGAAGTTAGTGTCCCAGCCACCAGCTACTTTGATAACTCTGATGCGGTCAGAGGTCTCCTTAAACATGGAAATGGCCTTTTGTCCATCCTCGACGACCAGACCAAGAGAGGAAGAACGGACATGCAAATGTTGGAAAGCATGAGAAAGAGGTTCGACAATAAGAATCCTGCAATCGTTGTGAGCAGCTCTACTGCTATCTTGCCAGGAAGCAACTTCCCGACTCAGAACACTGCTGCATCTTTCACCGTCAAGCACTTCGCCGGAGAGGTTGAATATCCCGTCAAGGGTCTCATCGAAGAAAATGGAGATCTAGTTTCTGGAGACCTGCTCAACCTTATCAATAACACCAGAAGTGGATTTGTGCGTGACCTCTTTGGACAAGAGGCCCTCCAGACCATCCATCATCCAAAGGAAAAATCAGCCATCATGCAAGCCCAAGTCAGCTCTAAGCCTCTACGAATGCCCAGTATGGCTCGCCGTAAGATGAGCAGAGTGTCCAGATTTGCACCAAACGCTCCAACTTCGGAGAATGACGATACGGACGATACCAGCAGTGGCAGGAGGGGTGTACACAGTAACAAGAAGGGAGATATCGGTGGCCTGAAACAGGGAGCTGCAGCTCAGTTCCTTGCTTCCCTTGATAATATCACGAAGTCCCTCTCTGCTACAAATGTCAACCCATACATAGTCTTCTGTCTCAAGCCAAATGATCGCCGAATTGCCAACCAATTCGATAGCAAGTGTGTTCGCACGCAAGTGCAGATGTTTGGCATTGCAGAGATCAGTCAACGCCTGCGAAATGCTGACTTCTCTGTATTTTTACCCTTTGCCGAATTTTTGGGCCTGGCTGAAGAGGAGTCTGTTATTGTTGGAAGTGACAAGGAGAAATCCCAACTGGTCATTGATGAGAAGCGCTGGCCTAATAATGAAGCCCGCGTCGGCAGTACCGGTGTGTTCTTAAGTGAGAGATGCTGGGCAGATGTTGCTAAGGTCGGAGAGAGAGTGCTCCCCGCGTTCAACGGAAACGGCACAGACGATGGCAGTGGTCTAGGGAATAATGGATATAGTGATTCCAAGGTCCGACTGCTCACTCCAGCAGACAGTACCCCTGGCGCCTATATATATGGCGATGAGACGAAGGGAGGATATTTCACTAGCCGAGATGTTGATGCCCGTTCTGAAGCCGGTGCCTCCGCATTCCATTCAGGGGACATGTTTAAGAACTTGGAAACCCGTGAGCAGATGGCCGAAAAAGGAAACGAGAAAGAGATGGTTGAGGTAGAAGATGTCATAGTTTCGGGTAGCCGTAAACGGTGGTTGTTCCTCGTCTACCTTCTCACTTGGTTTATACCTGATATCCTCATCAGGTTCGTCGGCCGGATGAAACGAAAAGATATACGGGTTGCTTGGCGAGAAAAGGTTGCAATCAATATGCTCATCTGGTTCACCTGTGGCTTTGCTATCTTCTTCGTCATTTTCTTCCCTGGCCTCATCTGCCCACCACAACACGTATTTTCTGCCGCGGAGCTAACCACTCACAATGGCGATCCTGGCAAAGATGCATTCATTGCCATCCGCGGTGAAGTGTTTGACCTTGGAGAATATGCAAAATCTCATTATCCCAGCATCGTTCCCCGAAAGGATCTGCTGAAATATGCCGGTACTGATGCTAGTGATCTGTTCCCGGTCCAAGTTTCCGCTCTTTGTGATGGTGTGGATGGAAAGATCGACGATGCTGTTCAACTTGATTATACTCCAACAAACCGTACCGGCTCAGCCTCTGTTATCAGCAAGACGGACACTAATGCACAATATCATGACTTCCGAGCTTTCCTTAAAGACTCAAGGCCGTGGTGGTATTTCAAGCAGATGAAGATGCTGCGCCAGAACTATGCAAAGGGCCGTATTGGCTTTACGCCGAAACAGTTGGCAGATATGGCTAATAAATCGCAGTACGTTGCGTTTATTCATAACAGAGTATACGATGTGACTACCTACATCACTGGTGGTCGGGTAGTCAAAGCCAAAGATGGACAGCCTCTTCCAACGAACGTCAATGTTGACTTTATGCACCCAGATGTCATTAGCCTCTTCCAACGGTATTCTGGACAAGATATTACGAAACGCTTCGAAGAGCTGAATATTGGCAATCCCATGCGTAAGAGCATGCAAATCTGTCTTGATAACTTGTATCTTGCTGGTGAACTCGATATCCGAACTTCGCCTCGATGCTTGTTTTCCCAGTATTTCATTCTCGCTATTTCAGTTCTGCTAGCCACTATCATTGGATTCAAGTTCTTGGCTGCTCTGCAATTCGGAAAGAAGAATATCCCGGAGAATATCGACAAATTCATCATCTGTCAAGTTCCCGCATATACTGAAGATGAAGAGTCTTTACGCCGTGCCATCGATTCCATGGCTCGCATGAAGTATGACGACAAACGCAAGCTTCTCCTTGTCGTTTGTGACGGTATGATTATTGGACAAGGAAATGACCGCCCAACTCCCCGAATTGTTCTCGATATCTTCGGCGTTCCAGAAAACGTCGATCCAGAACCATTGAGCTTTGAGAGTTTGGGAGAGGGAATGCGTCAGCACAATATGGGCAAGGTTTACTCTGGTTTATACGAAGTGCAAGGCCACATTGTTCCATTCTTGGTTGTTGTCAAGGTTGGCAAGCCATCTGAGGTATCGAAGCCTGGTAACCGTGGTAAGCGAGATTCACAGATGGTTGTTATGCGTTTCTTGAACCGTGTTCATTACAATGCGCCATTGAGTCCCCTTGAGCTCGAGATGCATCATCAAATCCGAAACATCATTGGAGTCAACCCAACGTTCTACGAGTTTATCCTACAGGTCGATGCCGATACAACAGTGGCTCCAGACTCAGCCACTCGAATGGTAGCAGCGTTCCTTCATGATACACGTGTCATTGCTCTCTGCGGAGAGACTGGTCTAAACAACGCCAAAGCCTCGATGATTACCATGATTCAGGTTTATGAATACTATATCTCTCACAATCTCACAAAAGCCTTCGAGAGTTTGTTCGGTTCCGTTACTTGTTTACCCGGTTGTTTCACCATGTACCGAATCAGAGCTGCTGATACTGGCAAGCCTCTCTTCGTTAGCAAGGAAGTGGTTGATGCCTACGGTGAAATTCGTGTTGACACTCTCCATATGAAGAACTTGCTTCATCTCGGTGAGGATCGTTACTTGACAACATTGCTCCTTAAACATCACTCGAAGTATAAGACCAAGTTCACATTCAATGCCCACGCCTGGACCATCGCACCCGATACCTGGGCTGTCTTCATGTCTCAACGTCGTCGATGGATTAACTCCACTGTGCACAACCTGATCGAACTGATTCCTCTTCAACAGCTCTGTGGTTTCTGCTGCTTCAGTATGCGATTCATCGTCTTTATTGATCTTCTCAGTACTATCATCCAGCCGGTTGCCGTTGCATATATCGTGTATCTTATTGTTCTCGTTGCGTTGGGCAGTGGAACTGTTCCCTGGACTGCCCTTGTGCTCCTTGCAGCTATCTACGGTCTTCAGGCTATCATTTTCATTGCCCGAAGGAAATGGGAGATGGTTGGATGGATGATCATTTATGTTCTTGCCATGCCAGTATTCTCCATGGGTCTCCCCCTCTACGCCTTCTGGCATATGGACGACTTCAGTTGGGGTAACACCCGTATCGTCACTGGTGAGAAGGGTCGCAAGGTCGTTATCTCTGACGAGGGCAAATTTGACCCAGCATCTATTCCCAAGAAGAAATGGGAAGAGTACCAATCCGAGCTATGGGAAGCCCAGACCCATGGAGGCGGTGATGACCGATCTGAAGTTTCCGGCTATACATATGCCACCAAGACTCATTACGCACCTCCTACTGAGTATGGATACTCTGCCTCACGGCCAGTGTCTCAGATCGATCTCAACAATCGTTACAGTTCTCGACTCTCCATGTCTGCCACAGAGCTACTTGGCCGGGGCTCAGACGTCGAGATGGCGGATCTCTCTGCCTTACCAAATGATGACTCCCTCCTTGCTGAGATCAGAGATATCCTCCGTACCGCAGATTTAATGACCGTGACGAAAAAGAGTGTGAAACTTGAGTTAGAGCGTAGGTTCAACGTCAACCTAGATGCAAAACGAGCGTACATTAATTCTGGTATGTTATCCATATTATTAACCTTCAATGCTTAATTTAGTTCAATAGCTAACGTTGATCCGTGCAGCTACCGAAGCAGTTCTCTCAGGCCAACTCTAAAAAAAAAAACATTAAATAATTAACTGAAAAGTGACTCGGAGCGGGCGATCATTGTCTCCATTTCCATCATCTTTACGATCACAATGTTGGCTTCATTTTCGAATTTACAGAGTTCTACACCTTTTTATTTTCTCTTATATCACATCTCCGCCTTTACTCGATATCTAACTCCTAATAAGCCTTTGAACCGTATACTATTCACTTCTTGTTGTTTCCTATTTACTCATTGGTTCTGCTTTGTGTCTTGGTTTATGACAATTTTCAGCTGGCCTAGGTCTTATATCGTGTGTCTAATTATGTATTTCCCCTTGTTACTTTTACCTAGCTATCAATTGTTGTGTGCCTTTTATATTTATTCCTGGGAAAGAACGGAGTGTGAAGTAATCTAGATAATGTTTAACACGGTATGTATATATATGCTTCTTATCTTTTTACCTTGATTGTGCCATGTGGTATTTACAGACATGCTTTGGCCGTTATCATCTTCTTGTCGATGCTAGCCACGGTGGCGTTGAAATATCAGATTTGTCACATCGACCCTTGGATACTGTTGGGGCGACGGGAGGCAATAATAAACTGGCTTCGCTAAGTGATGCAGAGTATTGTCAAACTGGAATATCAAGCCGAGAGAACTTCCACAGCAAAGCAACTCTCGACTAATTAAATCTACCATGCAATAATTCAACCAAGAGAGCAGAAAATAGGCGAAAGACTGAGAAAACCTTATTATCTTTTCCTCTATGCTAAGCAGGTTGTTACATAGGTAAAATGGCAACGTAGCTAACCGTGTGTCGAGTACGTATGTATATATACCCTTGGACTTTTTAAAACAGAAGCATAGCATAAAAACAATACATGTGAATGATGATAATAATTCAGTCCGTTTTTTCTTTTCTTTAATTCGTTAGACTTGTATAGGGGGTTTCTTGTTTATACTTCATTGTGTAAAGCAGACAGCAATGGTTGTGGTATCATGTCATATAGATGATTGCAGAAGGCAAATGAAGAGAGAGGAAAACACATGAGGTATAGGAAAAGGAAAGGATGTATAGAAGGAAACCCTTTGGAACGTGAAACATGAACACCGAGATAAAGATAAAAGGTTTGGTATAAGTAAGTTCAGTTATGAAGAGCGAGAGCGGGGTGGGGGTATCCGATGAAACAAGACAAAGAACAGCAAAGATGAAACATGGTATAGATGTGGAAACGGGAACAATTCCTACCAAAAAGTGACTTGAGAAAAGGAAGACTCTCCCACAGGGCTAGACAAGAAAGTAAGAGATGGATCGACCAATAGTTCGTTGGCGGTATAGAGTAAATGACTTTTCGATAAAAAAAGAACTCATTCATCGGAGGCTTTTTTTTGGTATCATTGGAGGTTGGTTAGGGTATAAATAGTTTTCGGGTTTCTTTTCTTCGTTTCATAATGAGATGGATGTGAGTGAGCGAATTGGATTGATTGCTTAGCGAGGGGGACCGATGGGGGCGGAGTATGAGTTGGAGGTGCTTGGTCGTCCACTGTCGAAGGAAGCTCGTAGGTCATGTTTGGGTGTCATGTCGCCTCCAGATACAGATCCAGTGCCACCTGTGCCAAAGGGAAACTTATTATCGAATCGACTGGGCCAGCCATTACTGCCTGAAGGAGTCAACAAGTCTTCCTTTGCCAAATTCACACCTGAATCATTCCAAGGATTGCGGTAGCCACTGTCTCGAGATTCCATTGAGACAAGTGACGCTTTAGAGGCGTTGCTAGAAGCGTGTTTGAACAGAGAACCAGGCGAAGATGATTGGTTCTTCCGGCCGATGAACGACGAGAAGGATGCAATGGAGCCAGGTTTCCGAAGACGCCCGAAGATGGAGCCGCGGTCCGCAGAGTCGTCAGTGGCAAAGTTGGCGCGGATAGGTGAGTCGGCGACAAGCGGGGCAGGAGCATGTTGGAGGAGTTTGGAATCAAAGAACGGGAGGGATTCCTCAAAAGAATCGGACTTAGGCCGGGGAATGCTGCCCTTGACAGTGGTAGCGTCCAGTCCATACGGGACGAGGCGAGAAATAAGGAAGTCGACAGCGTCTTTTATGCCACCGGCATTGTTACGGGTGAAGCTCATATCAAGGGTATCTTCAGAAACGGGCTCGGCATTCTCTGGGTCGATAATAGCTTGGCGAGTTGCCGTACCCAGCGAGAGTTCGATTTCATATTGTTCACGGAGGTTTCGGCATATTACGTCAGAGAACTCGGGCGTAAGGAAGAATGCGCGAAGTTCCTCTGAGACACCGAATACCATTGAGTGGCTTTCCGGAACCATTCCCTAAGGTAGGTTAGTACACGGATGGAGGGAAATGAATAGATAATAGGAGTGATAACATACCAAAAATGCATCAACTGCCTGGGGAACCTGGTACTCAGGGCCAGAAATGGTGACAAAATCACTGGCCGTTTCTGTGCTTGGAAAGTCGATCTTGCAGTTCCACTTCTTCTCCAGTTCATCAATCTCCTTCATTCTGGCAATCAATTCTCGATGGTAAAGACGGTTGACGACGACGGTCTCCGAGACGAACTCCGCATCCTAGCACTCGTTCAAAGTGGACATGAGCAAAATCATCCCTCAGCGGAAGTGTCTATATGCGGACGACTCACGACTTTCTCAACCATGTCCATAATCTCCTGTTTGACTAGTTCGAGATTCTGTGCATTCCTTGCCGGGGTACGGCAGATGACGTTCTCGACTCGGATATCGTCATCATCTTTACCAGCGCCACCTCTGTCCATCGCGTTGGAGAACTTGACGAAGACGGAGTACTTCTTCATAACGCGCTGGATATGCTGGCCACCGATACCAATAATACGCTTGTGGTATTGATCTGGAACATGGAAAGAGATGGATGCTGGCATTTCCTGCTCAACTAGGTGGAGACCCTGCTTGACGGCTTCATAGTCGTTGGCACAAACATCTATGTAGAAGTTGTATTCATTGAAGCCGTCAAAGATGATTTGCACATTTCCTACGACTGGGAGAAGTTAGTACCAAGGGGTGGGGGAACAATGTATAGTGAAGGACAGGGGGAGTCACTCACTTTGGCTCATGATCTTGTTGATCTTGCCATTCTTCTTCCCACTGACGAATTCCTTATGTTCGTTGGCGAGCTCGATCTTCACTTTCATCTGATGCGGGGAGCGTTTGACGAAAGGAATCTGATGGATGACCATCATGGCAGCCTTTACAGAGTCGTCAGAGCCGTGAATGTGGAAAGTGAGCTTGTCGAAAGTGACATCAGCTCCAGAGTTGGCACAGATGTCAGAAAGCATAGTTCTGACGTCTGCAGGGGATGGAGCCCGCATCTGAGGGTTGTCTGCCATGAGCCACCAGGTAGCACCGTAGAATTGACCAGCCTAAAGTAATTAGTGACGTCTCGACCGTTTGGAGTATGAATAGATAACATACGACATTCATGAGCTCACGAATGGTGCGCTCGACATGCAGGACGTCCGTCCCTTGAACACGAATGGCACTAATGCCACTTCCTAGCTGAGGAAGCAGAACAAAGCAGCCATTGGCCTCCATAACCTTCTGGACCTTATCTAGACGCTCCAGGATGATGCTATCGATCTTTTCTGGGTGGATGATGGCCTCTTTGACATAGACTTTGAGACCGGCGACCAGGTCACGCAGTTTCTGCTTGACAAGGTTAATATCGTCTTGATTCATACCGGTGATGTACACTTCATCTTCACAGCGTCTGGTGGCTCCTGGAGGCATGTAGCCGTACACGCGGGGAAACGGAGGGGGGAAATATATGGCCGTGTTTGTGGCAGCTTCAATCATCTTGATGTTCTTGCGAGTGCGGCCACAGACGAGGAAATGAGTACTCAATTCGAGTTTCACCGCATCAACACGGCGTTTAAGCTAGATAAGGGAGTAAGAAAAGAAGGTCAAGAATAAAGGGGGGAGAGGAAACGTACTATCTGATCGATCATGATCAGAACTCGCGACTTGGCGTGTTCTGCGCTCTCAGCATCGCTATAGATGGCGATTCTAAACCGGCGATCCAGTCCGTTCTCGGCAGAGTAGCCGTAAGACGAGCTGAGAGCACTATCTGCGTCGACAATCTTGGGGCTGAGGAGGAAGATATCTGCTCCAGTGTAGCTTGCCAGGATGTCGATATGTTCAAGGACAATCTTCCGGATGGAATCCGTCTCCTTGTGCAGGACAACATCGACATCGACATCGATGGTTAAGCTCCGCTAAGACATTGGTTAGCATGGCATGAAACCGAGTAGGAGTGTTACAAAGAGGGGGGGGGGGAGAGGATGGCTACCAGCACTATGGGTGTCTCCTTGTATATCTTGGCCCTCATCTGCCGTACGAGGTCAGCTTCTCCCGAGATACAGACGTTGGTGACGAGTCCGTGATGGCGTCTCTGCATGGAGGAGGCCATCTTGAGCTCGGAGGAGGTGACGGTGGCCTCGATAAGGCCTCCGCTGCTTTCACTCATCTGACGACACAACTTACGCAGCGAGTCGACATGCTGCGTGTGCACGGGCAGACGGTGGATGGGGGTCCCCTCCGGCGTCCCTTCGGGAAAGGTCCATCGCTGGAAGGCGTTCGGAGACGAGTGCAGGATATCAGCCGGATCTGGTCCAGGCAGATTCGACGAGAAGGGGATGTTGAAGGAGATGTTAATCATCGGCTGCTCTACGGAAGCCGCAGACAGAACCGTTCCGGCGGGGGTACTGGCACCACTAGTCGGGTCTGGGGAGGCCGATTGCGAGGGTTGATGTTGATGTTGATGTTGATGCTGGTGCTGGTGCTGCTGGTGCTGTGGCTGCTGGTGGTGGGAGGGATGCTGTTGGTGATGCGGCTGCTGTGGAGGCGGCTGGCCGGGGCCTTGGGGACGACGATACTGCGTGTTGGGAGCATCCTGCTGAGGCCTGGACATGCCGAAAGTGGGCGTCATGCGTTCCCAGCCATGGCGAGCCTGGCCGGTGAAGTTGGAGATCTTGTGCATTGTCTAGGGCGCCAGCGTGGGAAAGCTATCGCAGTCGCAACCACAAGTCGACGGCATACACGGAGATGTTATAACGAACGCAGGCTGAGAAACGAAGAAGCGTAAATAAAAGAGAGAGAAGAAAGAAAACGGGAGAGAGGAAGAGAGAAAAAAGGGGGGGGGAGAAGAAGAGGAGGAAGAAGAAGAAGAAGAGTGAACGCAAGCGCAGAGTCGGAGAGGAAGAAAAACGTCCAGAAGAGGAAAAGGTTGAAGCTGAAGATGAAGAAGAAAGAGAAAAAGCGAAAAAGGGAAGAAGAAAGAGAAGGCGGTGGGCGCGACCCTTTGCGAGTTTGGCGCCTTTTTTTTCTGCCAGCACTAGACCTAAAGGGGTTAGTGAAGTAACACGTGATGGGATTAAGTAAGCAGATATAAGACAAGAGGGAGAAGAGAAGAAGAGAAGGTGATATCGACGGTGGGAGACGGCGGGATACAAGTGGTAACAAGTGGTATACGGTAAGATATGGAGATGACAGGTGGTGACAAGATGGCAAAGAGTTGGGAATCCAGGAACCCCAGGCTGAAGTGCGAAAAGGGTAGAGGAAAAAGCAATATGGGATGGATGGGAAGAAGAACAAGAGGAAGAGGAAGAAGAAAAGAAAAGGCCCCAAGCCAGGCTTCAGCTCCAGCTTTTTGAGGCTTCGGGTTGGTAGGGAGAAGGTTCCCCTTGGGTCCGGATGTCTAGGAAGATGCATGCCAACCAAGGAGAAAAGGCACACTCGGATACGCCCAGAAACTCCCATCTCCAGCATATTATTAACCTAACGCAGAGCGACCATCCATATACAAACTACGGCACAGCCACACAGAACGAGACCTGTCTTTGACGTGATGTCATGTTTCTTTGGATCGATAATCTGCTGGAACACAGGGACGTGCAGGGTACGTATACATCAACAGTACAACAATATATACACACGAGGGTTATGGCTGGCTGAGGCTGGGGGATTTATTGGTGAGGCCGTAGTTATAGGCCAGGGTGAGCCGTATCTTTTTTTTACTCTGGGATAAGGCAGGGATGGAGATATCATCCCTGAGTCGAGCCTGGCCAGAGTTGCCTCTTCCCTCTGTTGCTTCTCTTCGGATGGGAGGAGGAGGCAACAGGCCCGCGAGGGAAACAGACCCTTCCGCTGGTTTAATGATGCAAAAATGTCCGAGACTCCCACGGTTCGGATCATCCGCAGGCTTCCTCTAATATGATACTGGCGTTTCCTGTGCCTTTTCTTTTACAATATTTGGATACATAAAACGTCGTTATTTACAATGGTTTACGTTATTCTACCCATGTCTACAGTTATCTAGCTGGTCTCTTTGAAAAATTGTGGGAACAGAGCCCTGATCTCCTCAAGGTCACTGATCTGATACTTTGATGCTCGAGTCTCTGGAGCCGGGAGGCTCGGCTCGACAAAGTGCACAGTAGTCCAGGCGTGAGCCTGCGCATGACGACAGTTCAGGTGTGAATCGTCTAGAAACCCGTCAGATCCAGGCTTCAAGACAAGAAAAGAACGAGAACAAGAGGATCAGCTTACCAACAAAGTAACACTCTTCCCTAGAAGGCGCCCCGGCCTCCCTCTCTGCCTTCAAGAACATCTCCCGGTCGGGTTTACAGATTAACTTCTCCGCTCCATAGTCGCAGTAGGTGATGCCCTCAAACATGTCCTCCACCCCCAAAAGCTTGACCACCCTCTTCCCGTGGGTGACGTATGCGTTTGTCAATAGCCACAGCTTCACCTTGGACCGGTCAAACGCCTCCAGCAGCCGTCGCAGCCGCGGGTTCGGCTTCAGGATCTCGTCCAGCGGCAGTGCATCGTCCACTTCCTTGTTAAACTGAAGAGGGTCGATCTTATGGAAGCGAGTTAGCCCTTCAATGGCAAGGCCGTATTCCCTGTAGTATCTGCGGTGCAGCATCACCGCGTCCTCAACGCTGAGGGACAGATGCCGGACAAAGAACTTGTCTACGCTGTCTTTATTAGCAAGGACTCGTTCTTAATTCGTACACTATCGTTAAGTTATTTCAAGAGTTGCTGTTAGGGTGCCTAACCAATGAGCTCCTGCATCAAGTCGTGGATTTTGCTATCTGGCCGGCGAAGGTGATACCGTTAGCTGGCTGTTCTAGCATCCAAACCACCGCCCCCAGAGTTATACTGCACACGGCACACACACACCCCGCGAATAGAGCTGTCAGTTCATACACAGAGGCGTTAGCATATATCAACTCATTACCGATCACCGGTCTGGAAGCTCACTGGTTGGGTTCAGTAGATGTCTGTAGAAACGTACACAGTTGTCAATATCAAAAAAGAACACCGGCCGCAAGTCACGGCTCCCATTTGTTTTTCCCATCATTCTCGTCCCTTGCAATGTGTTCCCCGTACTCAGCAGCAGGTCAACTATCTCACCATGTCTGTCTCTTCTCTTCTCCTCTCTTCTCTTGACTCTTCCATCTCATCCGAGGGGAAAGTAGGGATTATGTAAAGATGACATAATCATTCAAAATTTAAACTTTGCACGTGACCAAATATTCTGAAGCTTCGAATTTCTTGAACAAAATTTCTCCTGATGGGACGAAGAAATCAACAACAAGACAGCTTCGAGCATCGCGCCTCGTCCTGCTCCTAGATTCGAGTGAACTAGCTCGAGGGCCATAATGCTCGCGTCTGAAAGCCATGCACACGCTCGGGGCCCCATTGCGTCGGTGCCTGCTCCGCCAGCTGCCCTTCATGATTCTCATCCTCTAGCCACGGAAGTGGCCGAGTATGAGAAGATACTGCATATCCGCGACCAGATATTTGCTGGCACTCATCCTAGACTAAAAATTCCAGAGAGCGTCGTTCGCAGGGCTCCTCCGCGGCAGGTTGCTCAGACCTCGCAGTCTTCTGCCTCCGCCTCTGTTTTTACTCCCGTTTCTCAAGCTTCGGCTTCAGAACCAGCGCCTCCTGCTCTTGCTCCCGCCCATTCTCTTGCCCCAGCGCACAATGCTGGTCAGACTGCTGTTATATCCTCAACTGTGAACGCTGTTCCGGGTAGAAGCACTGACTCTCCTGGGACAGGCGCCTCGACGCCCAAACCAACGTCGGAGATTGATCCTATATTCCTAACTAAATCAGACGATCTCATCAGGGCAGAGACTCAATTACAACGACAGCGTCTTGAACGCGCATTGCGTGATCATGCTGAACAAAAGCGGGTAGAGGAAAGGCAGAAACCTCCGTTGCAGGAGCTTAAACCGGATTTCGACGTCTCAGACGTTCTCAATAGGGCGTTAGAGATAGTGAAACCGCTTCCCCCTGTCTATGACCAAGATCATTATGTTAGCGTTGATGGAGACGGTGATCGGGTTAATGGAGATGTAGCCGGTGATTCATTTGATGAAAATTCCTACTATTCGAGCAGAGCTCCTGACTCGCCGCAGAATGAGGAATATGATGATGAAATGGCAATTGTGCCACCCTTGGCAGGAAAGATGGATACAGAGGAGAGTGACGAGACTGTTATTGTAGACCGTGCAGTTGCTAGTGAACCTGAGCATGAATCTGCTGCCGGTAACCATCATGTGCTTGATCAACTTGCTAACACTGATGATGCAAGGAGGGATTTGGAGAACATTCAGCCGTGGGCAGAGGATAATGAGCATCATTACTCCCCACCAGAGCCATATGAGGAGCCAGAGTATTCTCCGCCGGGCCCTGATATCTCCCTCAACGGACGTCGAGATTTGTTAGAGCCCAGCTATCTTAGCCCGTCGAGTAGAAGACAGCCTCCCGTGGAACAACCACCAAACCAACAGTCTCCTGCTAGCAGGAATCTAAGAGTGGTTAGAAACCATATCACATCTCCGGCGGCCCCCCAACCTTCCCGTGTATCTCCTCTTGCTGTTACAAGGGTTTCGTCAATTACGCAGTCGCGTCAGGGCCGGCAGAGTAGACAGGCCGCGAAAGCCTCTGCTGACCAAGGTTCTGCGCATACTAGCCCAGAATCTGCGCCTCCACAGGTGCTGATGTCGCGGAAACGCCGTCGCCTTCAGGCCCAGGATAGGAAGAGGCTTGCTGAGGAGAGAAGAGGTGCCGCATCTCCTGATATGCCATATATTAAACCTGAACCCGTCTCACCTCCGCCGTTCATTGATGCACCTCCTCCTGCTGCTGCTCACTATTCCAGAAGTCGGTTAGTCCAGGAAGCGCCTGCTGAGGTTGAATATGCACCTCGCCATAGCCTTCCCGACGACCATGTTATAAGCAGCCGTGTTCCCACATATGACGATGGGCATGGTAGACACTATGAACTGGACAGTCCAATTGAGCTACATACCCCTCGTACAACCTCAAGAATAGGTTATAGAAGGCCAGTTCGAGATGAACATGATTTACGAAGAGTGGCTAGCTTACAGCATGCTCGGCAAACAGAGTATGTCCACGACTATCCAGAGCAAGTTGCAGATATATCCCCTCGTCACGGACGAGCTGTATCATACGCCGAACCAATTCAACCGGAGCGCCCAAGGTATCATGATGAAAGCCAACCGGCGCAGTATACCAGAAGATACATGACCAGGCCCCTTTCGCCCCATTACCGCGAAAGCTACGCCCCAGTCCGTGTTTCGGAGTCGCGCGTCATGGGTCCTCCTCCACCTCAAAGGCGCATTGTGGTCGATGCGGAAGGTAACAGATATTACGAGTCAGTTGATGCTCCGCGCCCCATGCCCCCAGTATCAGTTCGGTCTTCAAGAGTGGAGTCCTACGACGGAGGGAGTCACACTCCCGCTCGACCTATGTCTATCGTTAATGAACACTACCGAGACCGTAGATACATCCAGGAGATGCCCCCTCCTGAGATGACCTACCGCCGTAACCCAGGCTCTGGTGTAGGCCCTGCACTAAGCTACGCGGCGGATAACGAACTTGGTGAACCGCGCTTCTATGACCGCGAGGCTCCAGACCGCGGACCCATGATGCGAAGCGCAAGCGTCCAAATGATAGATTATCCGCCGCGTCAACCCCAACAACACCCACGCCAGCCTCAGCCGACATATGTCGATGAAGCCCCTTTCCCTCACGATGAAATCGTACGGGTGGCTAGCGTGCGTCCTCCGCCAGTTGGTGTACCTCGGTATGAAGAGCATCATGAGATCCGGCCTCGCATGACAAGTGTGCGGCCTATGAGGCGTGAAGTGAGTGTCTACGTCGATGACGAAGCAGGACATGGCAGGGAGTACCACCCTCCTGTTGAGCGATATGGTGGCGGGCCTAGCTATACTGCACGGCCAGTAAGAGAAGAACGCTTCTACGAAGGCGCTGATCCTGGTAGAATGGAGCCCGATGCTGGCCCCGAAGCCATTCGACGAGTGCCTCGACGGTACTAGACGTTGATAATCTTTTTTTCTCTCGCGGTGATCTTATGTTGTTGGTGTAATGTATGAACGCTTGTTTTGGAATTATAAAGACCTGTTTTTTTGTCGGATACCCCCCCGCGCGCATATGCAAGATGTGTGTTGAATTATAATGCATATAGCATCGCTTACTTGACTGTGAATCTGATTAATGTCATATTTCTAGCCATATCAGCTTCTTCATTCTTCTCTTTCATCCTCCAAACGTGATATTGCTCCCTGATTTAAAGCGGCCATGACTTCTCCTGAGAAGCTTTAAAACAGCACTGGATCTTGATTGTTCCTGGTGCTTACGTAAGAAAGTAAGCAACAACCTTAAAGCCCAAAAAAAACAAGCAAGCCAAAGAAGCAGAAGAAGAAGAACAGCTTGCTTGAACAACGCCAGGCCTGCGGAGAAGGCTGTCTTTCTTGTTTTCCTTTCAGGTTGTTTGCCGTCCAACATCATGGCTGGGTTTACCGCCGGCCAACTCATCAAACTTGCTGACGGCCGCCACGCGAGAGTTCGGTATACTGGGACAACGCGTTTTGCCTCTGGAGAATGGATCGGGTTAGAACTCGAGGACGCAACTGGGAAAAACGATGGCTCGGTTCAAGGAGAAAGATATTTCGAGTGTGAATACGGATATGGCATGTTCGTCCGGGCACCTGCTATTATAGAGGTTATTGAACAGCCCCGGAAAGAAGAACCAAAAGTTGCGCCCAAGAGTGGCCTTGACGGCAGGGGAAGACCAACTTCGATGGTAGTGTCCTCAGGAGCCTCAGGAAGTGCAGCTGGATCAAGACGGCTGAGCCTGTTGTCGTCCACGATTGGGGCAAAGAAACCGAGCTCGGGTGCTTCGAGTCCTTCGCCCATTCCAAGAGCTTTGGGTCGTTCATTGCGGGTGAGTTATAGCTTAACTATTTTCAGCTCCTCTTGCTAGACCCATTCCTAACAGCATCATATATGTATATAGTCACCTACGAAGTCTCCGGTAAAACAGCTAGCAGCCCCAGGCACGCCTGCTGCGTCGCGAACCTCATCTTCTGCCCCAAGAACTCTTACCAGCCATAAGCCTAGGCCGAGCTTGTCTAACCGTAGCTCGGCAGCTCCTACCCCCACACCTACATCATCTAGTACTCGGTCGTCATTACGCCAATCCATGTCAGGACCTGCGGCCAAACCAGCTAGGTCTGGGTTGGCCTCTTCACGTACGACTACAAGCCCAGCCACATCCAGACGAATGTCTCTTAAGCCAGCCATTGCGAAATCGCCAGTGATAGGCAAGGGGGATGCAAGCTCAGGCGAGCAAAGCGAGGGGGCTTCGCGTTCGAATTCTCCTCCAGATGGACCAGAACTTGATGTCGTCAAACCAAGCCTAGCACGACCCACACCGTCGCCATTGAGCCAGAGATCTGTTTCTGGAAGCAATGCACTGCTGAAGGAGCTTGATGATCTGAAAACAAAACTAAAGATCATGGAGAAAAAACGGGGAGAAGATCGTGAGAAGTTAAAGATGGTGGAAACGTACAGGGCAGAGCGAGACAAATTCGAGACTATCATCCAAAAGCTCAGAGAAAAGTATCAACCCCAACAACAAGAAATCACTACGTTGAGGAAACAGTTGAAGGAGGCTGAATATAGAGTCGAGGAAGTCGAGAGGCTCCAAGCCGAACATGAATCTATTCTCGAGATGGCTGCCTTGGATCGAGAGATGGCCGAGGAAGTAGCGGAATCCATCAAAGCTGAATATGAAGCTCTGAAATTCCGAACTGAGGAGTTGGAACTTGAGGTAGAGGTTCTAAGAGAAGAGAACGACCAGCTTGGCCAAGTCATGAGCCCTGAAGAGAAGTCAAGTCAGGGGTGGCTACAGATGGAACGGACAAATGAGAGGCTGCGTGAAGCTCTAATCCGTCTCCGTGATATGACACAACAGCAAGAGGCTGATCTAAGGGACCAGGTTAAAGAGCTAGAGGAAGAGCTGAAGGACTACAATAACCTCAAGGCCCAGTATGAGTCTACAAAGGAGAAATTGCTTGAATCAGAGGCAAACATGGAGGATCTTAAGCAACAAGTGGAGGCGTTAGGCGCAGAAGAGATGATTGAAGAGCTCACGGAGAAAAATATGCAGTACCAAGAGGAGGTAAACGAGCTAAAGGCTATCATCGAAGATCTTGAGAGTTTAAAGGAACTGAACGATGAGCTCGAACTCAATCATATGGAATCCGAGAAGCAGCTGCAAGAGGAGATTGACTTTCGAGAGGGCATCTATCATGAGCAAAATCGAAAGATTTCCCAGCAAGATGCTGTCATTGAGGATCTTGAATATACTTTATCAAAGTTTCGAGAGCTGGTCTCAACTTTGCAAACCGACCTCGAAGACATGCGAGCCTCTCAACAAATCACTGAGACTGAAGCTACTGATTTATCTATGCGCTCAAGAGCAATGATGGATCTAAACATGAAACTCCAGGCATCTGCTGCTAAAGCGCAAGTTAAGTCAATCGATGTAGAGTTAGGTCGAATGGAAGCGGAGGAGTCGGCCAGTCATCTGTCCATTCTGAAGTTATATCTACCTGACTACTATGAGAGCGAACGAAACCCGATCCTTGCACTCCTTCGATTCAAACGAGTAGGATTCAAAGCCTCGATAATGAGTAATACCGTCAGAGAACGCCTAGCGGACCCCTCGGTCCGCTTTCCTGAGCGAGATGGCTTCCTAGCCTATGAAGTCCTTGAAAAACTTACCTGGATATCTTTGCTTTGTGACAGATTCGTTACCTTTATAGATGGCTGTTCAAGCGAACAATTCTCCTCCTTTGATGGAGCTCTCTATGAGCTTGAACCAGTGGAGCGCATCTTGAACTTTTGGATCGAAAGTTTGAAAAAAGGAGAATTGAACGAGAAGGCTTGCGCAGATGAACTCCAACGATCAACTGCACTGTTATCGCACTTAGCAGAAACACTAATACCACAGCATGTTGAAGGCAGTGGGAATGAGATGTACATGCTCTCTATGCTGACGCAGACTTACCTGGACAACATTGCGTCCTCTCTTTCTCAATTGAAGTCAAAAATTCAGTCTAAAGTACCACCTTCACCGGAGGATGAGGAAAGCCAGCATCTCTACAAGAAAATCGATCTACTCGTTCAGCAAGCAAGAGGAATAAAGGTTGCATCAAGTAAAGTCACTCGCTCTTTGGAGGAATTGCGAACAAGATCTCTAGCTCTTACAGAGGAATGCAAGGAGACATTTGAGTCCACGGAACAGGCAGCCAAGGAGACATCAGCATTGACTCAACTCATCGGAAATAGTTTCTTGCGGCTTATCGATGATGATGACCGTACTGAGCCGTTCACATATCCAGAAGTGTTGACCGGTATGGCTGACGCAATCTCTTCCATCCCTGGAGGTTCTCCTGGAGAATCTGTGACAAGCGATGCCCTTGCTGTTATCGCGAATAAGCTTCGCCTTTTGACAGGTTATGTTGACGAGACATCGAACCTCTCCTCTGATTTATCCCAAACGGTAGAGTTTGACAGAAGGCAGTCTCCATGGGTTGCTCGCTCCAAGATGCTCAAAGCCAGCCAGGAGACATCCCCAGACACTGAGGAGGAGATCAGACGATTGAAAAATGAAATCAGTGAGGCCTCCAACGCGCTTGGGGCGAAAGATAGAGTATTTGAAGAACAGTCTATTAAGATTGAACTTCTTGAAGCTCGGATGCGTGAGGCTGGTAAGAAGGCGGCAGTTGTCAAGGATCTGGAAGCCAAAATTGAGAACCTACAATCCAAGGAAAATGAATTGGTTGCTCTTGTAGAACGACAGTCTCAAAACATGCAGGCTATAGAGCGAGAGCGGGATGAATACAGAAGCCGACTAGAAAAACTGAAACAGGCGTCTGAATCGGACGGAAGCTCTGGCACAGGCGGTGTTGTTAATGCTGCAGCTTCTCTGTCGATCATGAAGGAAAACGAGGCCTTACGGGCCGAAGTTACCAGCCTCCAATCCGCCATACGCTACATTCGGGATGACAACAAGCGTGCTCATCTTCTTGATCCGTATTCCGTACAGAGAAGCAATCATATGCGTTCCTGGCTTGACGTTCCCTTGGTTCGTCCCAAGCTTTCGGCCAGCGAACACGAGCCAGACCATAGGCACAAGCAGGCTGCTGAATGCCGCGATGTCCTTAGCCATTTACTCAGGCTGACCAAGGAATCCAATATTGTGGATCTCAAGGCAAGCAACATCTCAGACCCCGCAAATCGCCTTGCATGGCGCCCTGTCAAATCGACACCCAAATATCAGGCCATGAAGCAACGTGAAAATTATGAACAATGGAACCAATGGAAGGACGAAGTTGTAAAAAATAGGAAAGTGAAGAGGCTTAATACAAGTCACAGCATGCAACGAAGCGGCCAACGAAGTGGCCAACCGGACGACCGTATTGGCTTTCCGGTGGATCAGCCTGCCTTCACCGATATTCCACGGAAAGGTCTAGGGACTGACGGAGACGAGGGCGTTATGGGGAGAACATGGAAGATTCTAGGTCTTCAAACCGACACTGGCGATATTTCTCGGGTATCAAATGAGCCTCAGATACTTGACGACTAGTTCTTTTGTTTTAACTGCTAGAGGACATGGCCTTTCGCGTTTCCTTTTTTTTTTTATAGCTTTGTCTTCTCTTTTATCCTTCTACGCAAACTTGATTTTGTTGTTATATACCCAAACCATTGTTGTATACACCCCAAGACCAAATAATGTGTTGTATATCTCCGGTTCATTCTGTTTCCATTATCCACCATCCAGCACAGATTTGGGCATTTTTGCGCATATAAATAACTCTTACCGCTGGCTAGAACTGGCCAGAGAATCTTATATATTGTTTAATGAAGCCTCAATTTGTGTATAGAATAAAATCGGCTATACAACACGTTGTATAGACTCAATGCCGACTGGTTGCAGCCAATCAAATATTGCAGCTCTCGCCCTGCGCGCAAGGCGAGGAAGAAATACGAGATCGAACAACACTTTCTACCTATTCTGCGGAGAGCGCTATACATACGGTAGTCTTCTCTGTCAAGATCCATAAATCTAGCTCCCAAAGGGCGTGTTGAGAACAGTCAGAATGACAGCCTTCTTTGACAAACAGCCCTATAATGGGATTGACAGCTACTTTCATTTTCAAAGTCCCTTTCAAGGGCAATAAAAAGTGCTTCGCTCCCTCTCTGTGTTGGATGAAGAGTTATCATTCAATTCTCCAGCCTTTGTACATATCAAATCATCCCCTACAACAGCTATGAGCCGACCATAGAACTATGCGCGCGGGTAGCAAAGCTTCTCGGAAAGGAGGCTGCTGTCTTTCTCCCGTCTGGCACAATGTGCAATCAAATTGCCATTAATGTCTACTGTCGACCGGGAGATGAAGTCATCTGTGATCGATCAAGCCATATCATCAACTACGAGGCAGGTGGCCCAGCCGCGAATTCAGGGGTCATGATCCGTACAATTGATGGACGGCGCGGGATTTTTGAAGCCGAGCAAGTTAGGAACGCCATTCGAGCTCCATCGAGGTATTTTCCTGAAAGCAGGCTCTTATGCGTTGAACAGACCGCGAATCTAGGCGGTAGAGCAATATGGCCTCTGTCTACACTTCAGGAGGTCGCTGCGGTTGCCAAACAGGCCGGGATGGCAACACATATGGATGGCAACACATATGGATGGCGCCCGTCTGCTCAACGCTGTTGCGGCTACCGGTATTTCAGCAGCAGTGTATGCTGAACCGTTCGACTCAGTCTGGATTGACCTAAGAAAGGGGCTTGGATGTCCGATAGGAGCGGTGCTTTGTGGCTCTGCAGGTTTTGTTCAAAACGCGTGGCAGTTAAAGCAGAGGTATGGGGGCGCAATGAGACAATCAGGTATTGTTGCAGCGGCCGGTATATACGCCTTGGATTACAACATTACTCGCCTTGCTAAGGATCATGCAAATGCCAGGTTACTGGCCAAACTGATATCAGCCATCCCCGGCGTTAACATCAAACTTGAGGAAGTGGAAACTAACCTAGTATACTTTGAGGTTAGAGATCAGAATGGACACCCTACAGCCGTTGAGTTTGTGACAAGATTGCTGTCCATGGGGGTGAAAGGGGGCGCAATGGATGCTTCAACAGTTCGGATTGCGACCTATTTGAACATTAACGAAGATGATATCAGGGCAGTCATACCTGCTATCAGAGAAGTTATTTCTTCGATAACTAGAAAAGAGGGAATATCTGCATAAGTGATGATGATATGGCTTGAGAGGTGGAAAATCCCAACTAGTTTTTAATTATTAACTGAAGTTATCGAACAACAGAAGCATCTTCCTGCATGCTCTATGGGGTATATATTCCTCCTAGATTCCACTGCCCATAACAAAATATGTGCCACCCCTTTTTCCCGCCATTATCAACAATTCCGGCGCCTCCCGATAGATACCCACTATAGTGGGGGAATAAAATCGAGAAATATATATAAAAATTAAGCAAGTAAGGAGGGGGAATAAGAATGCATAGATAAAAGGCAGGAGGTATCAGCGGTATTGAAGAAAATATGAAAAAAATATGCCTCCTACACCCAAAAATATAGATTAGGGAAACGATGTAGGTGAAACGAAAACGAGGAACCCATCAGTATGCTACTCCAATATCATTTGGCCCTAGGGGTATATTATAGAATGACTCTTTTTTGACAGTGGTTCTGGGCTGATGCCTTGCATGGGTAGTTGGACGAGCCTCCCGTGGTGTTGTTTTATAGCCCATAGCCAAATCACAAACCTCATAATCCTTCTCTGTTACCGTGTTGAAGGTGAGAGGTGACTGGGTGTTAGTTGACATTATTACCGAGCTTGAGAGCGAGGGGTTTCGGGACGAATACCCTCCTGTGGATGCATTAGCTAATGAGACCATCGTCGAGCCGCTAAGAGTACGCGCTCTTGAAGGTGATACGTCAAAGCGGAAACTTGAGGTTGGACGGTTGTGGTATGGTTTAGTAGAAAACCATTCTGTAATGGTGCGAGAGCGAGTGAGGTGATGTGTTGGAGTGGGAGTATATGAGCTGTTGCCTCTACTTGAATTGATACAAGGTAGAGGATTTTCAGGATCGATCTGCCTCAGCTTGGAGAGGTCATCGAGTGAGAGCGGGTAGCCGTTTAAAGTCTCACAACTCATTCGGGGTGGATAGAGAGAGTTTTGGATGTTCTGAAACTTTTCTGGGTCTGGCATTGTGTGGCGACGATCATGAACTTCGATATATAACGAATTTCTAACCGATGTAGTGCCTACTGGCTTTCGGGAAACAGCCAATGGAGAGGACTCTGAGCGTTGATGGTCATCCTTACGTTCTGATGGACAAACAGCCTTGGGCGGTAGAGCTAGAGTTGAATCTGGGGTCGGATCTGAGGATTTTGAGCTATCCCGATCATCTATTTCCAAGCTAAAGTTGTCTAGGCCAAAGCTTTCGAATGCCGGCAGGTCTGGCAATTGGTTCCCCGGAGCATAGATACTCAGTTCCAATGGTCGAAAGGACTGACGGCGGCGTCTGGGAATAGGTGAGCTTCTCGCAGTGAGATGGCGGAAGTCCGTCGGGCCACTGATATTTAACTTGCGGACTGATGTATGTTGTGGCTTTTTCTTGTTCTTGAGTAAGACGCTTGCTCTATTTGATGCTCTGGAGGCAAGGCTCCTGCTCTCAGTGACCAGAGTGGGCAGTAGTGAATAGCGTGAATCGACACGCGGACTACTAGGAATGTCTTCATAGAGGACCAGCTTCATAGGAGCCACCGGACGGGGCTGATCAGCACATACTGTGATAACATCTCGTGTGCCTAAGAATACGTTAGAATTTTTCTTTTCTTGCACATTTGGCCCGCAATGGACTCATCCAACACCGCCAGCATGGTTAACGCTATTACATACCCTCATGCTTATTCGTGCCGTTGTGCACCTGGGGAGGAGGAGCCTGCTCAACGACCTCTGACCAGATGCACCAGGAACAAGAGGGAAGCCAGGCCGTGAACATTGAGCTTGCTCACTCCAGCACCATCGTACCCTATGCTTGGAATGCTGTGTCCATGGTAGTTCTCCTGGAACCTTCAAGATGACGATGGGGGAGCCAGTAAAAGGGCCCAGCAAGCTTCTCTAGAAAAGAGATAACGTGCATTTAGAGAGTGCGAAGCTCTGCCAATATATGGGAAACGCACCCTGGAGAAGGGTTCCTGGAGGGCCAATCTGTGGGACCTTCCTTCATATCAGTGAGGGGGCAGGCGCAGGCGCCTCGCATGAGCGTTGGCCAATTGGATGGGCTGTGTATGCAGCCGACATGGTTCCATCACAATTTTACGTTGAAATCAGCGGTGTTTTAGAGCCGGTGGATGACAGTGCGTATCTAAGTTTTATGTGCGATGTTTGCCAGCATCGCCAAGGGTTTAATATGTCGGGCATTTGACTTGGAAACCCGCTCCCGTTCGCTGAAATGAGAGGGGGAAGCCAACAAGGATGATCCTGGTAGCGAAGGTTGCCAGGACAGGGTCGTGTCCAATCGAGAGTCGATGGAAGCCATGCGTTGTGGTGTCAATCTGCATGGCAGTCTGATCTTAGTTCAGAGGAGAGGGAGCTCTTTTGACGTCGTTAAACGGCTGGCGGACGGTGGGCAAAAAAGAGCCGCTGCAGCAGTGAGAGATCGTGTGTGTATGTAATTCCCAGGATAATACCAATACAAAAAAAAGAAAACACATCCAGGGGTGATGGAAGAAACGCCAATATACTCCGCAGCTTCAAAATTTGCTTCTCCAAGAAATTAATTTACTATGCACCAGATGTGTAACGGAGGGCGAACCCATCTATTTGGTTGCACCAGAGGTGTTCCAGGCATCATGTTCATCATCAAAGACACCGCTGTACCCCCCAGTTCCTGGCTTGGATCCGTCATGTTGGTAGCTGCCGAAGTCCCCCGGTGTATTATAATTAGAAGAGTCAGGGTTCTCGCTTTGATTTGATCGTAGCGACGGTAATACCTTGTTAGTGTCTTGTGTATCGATCCTAGCATTGATATTAGTGGTAACATTCTTCAATGCAAGGGCTTTCCCTCTCTCTCTCCTTCTTTCTTTTTTCTGAAGAAACTCACATGGATGGCTGTTCCTGTGCATAGTCTCGTGTTGTGGTATCACGAGGAAGCCGATCTCGATCCCCTGCTCTCTGTGTTGGTGCGTCTTCTGCACCCTCCACCAAGTCTGCGAGTTGGCGAGATGAGCTGTTTGACTGGCTCGTTTCGCTTGACCCTCTTGTGGGTGCAGCCGGTTGCTTGGCCTTGTCTACTCTGATGCTACTGGAGGAGCCTGACTGTCCTTCTCCAGAGTGCTGGTGACGTCTGCCTTGGCGGTTTCCTGGGCGTTTGATCTTGTTTCCTTCGCTTGAGCCTCGTCGGCTTGAGTAAACGGATGGCTGCCTTTGCCATGCTTGTTCCCTGTATACCTCGTTCGTCGTGATAACGGGATACTATATCGTAATTAGAAGGGCCTGAACTTGAAGCGGCATACCGAAGCATTCCTACATACATTCCAGTCTCCAAACTCAAGTTTGCGTGCATTGGTGAACCACATCTCGTCCTCGTCATTAAGAATGGGTTCTTCAATATCATAATCTCGCTGACCTTCGTCCCTTATCCGGCTCGAGCTGGCATGAGACTCTCTCCGGGACGACGATCCAGGGCCTAGTAGTGGTGTACGGCTATTCGCTTCTTTAGGCTTGGGGATCCAATACTTAGCCTTTCCTCCTCTTTCGTATCGCATACCATCCATCACACGAGCCATTCGTGACCGCGATTCTTCGTGAGCAAGGACGTTTGTTTCCGAGTCAAAAAACCGATACTGGTACTTTTCACCCCGGAAAGTTTCCTTGGTGTCCTCAATTAGATCCTTTACCCCGAACGCATCGCGAATCGCATATTTAACGGGCATTCGGGCGGAGGAGATGGATGCATTTGCGTAGTCATGCCACGAGAACGCATACCAGTGCATGAGTGCAAAAATAGGCATCTCACAGCAGATCAGGAGATCCTGAATTGCTGCCGCCATGTTATTTGGTGTATAACCCTCCGGGCCATGGGGAATCGCTCCTAGAAATTGAAGAATAGAAAGAAAGAATCCTTGCCAGTAGGATGCAAATATGATAAGCTTGACGCTTAGAAATTTTGGGACGGGTCTATAAGGCATGAGGTCATCGTGCATAATGATCCAAAACAAGGCGAGCGAATACAAGCTGATTGTGACGCTAAGGTTGTAGATGATTCCGACCCAAAGATAACCGGAGGAGAGCCCGATGTAGCCCTCTTGGAAGGTATTGGTAGCTTTAAGGATGATAGTAACCAGAGCAAGTATCGGCTTCAACCACGCGTACTGTAAGATCCCTCGTTTCACAGCCAGGAAAGTATATGGGTCTGAAATGTCAATCTTCGGCAGAAACTGATTCAGCGGCCAGGTATGTTGGATTGGAGGACGGCCATGAGTCATTATGATAAGTGATCTCTCTCCTCCGAGGAAGTTGATCAGCAGCTGGAAAAAAGTATATATGGTAAATGCCTATTAAGAGCCAGAGTCAGCAATCGTTGTCACTTGTATAGAAAGCACACATACTTCATATATATCTCGAATGGGTGCAACCCAGGCTGCTGCTTTCAACGATACTATGCTTGTCCAGGATGATATCGCAAATATAGGCACCCTGTGAGTGTTAGTACATAATCATGCCCCCAACCAGGTGGATTTTTCACTAACATCAAGAGGATTCTGACGACATATCGCTGGAGGAGAGGCTTTCGGTAGTTTTTACTATATATAATATAAGCAACCAAAGTCGATAGGACCTCTGAGAGGCATGGTGGAGCTTACGTCTGAAGCCAGATGGACCTTGATTGATACTGTTAGTATATGCAAAAGCAAGCAGGCGAAATGAGGTCAAACGTACAGTAATGAGATGAGCGAGGCCATCAGAGAGGCCACACCGGCCACAATAATAGCGGCTCTAGCCAGGCTGGAGCCTGTACCTCCAGTATTTGAGCTAAAGAGCATCATCCTGTCTCTTTTGCTATGCGACGGCGTTGGTGGTCAAGCTATACCATCATCCTCCCTTCACATCTAGGAGCGGTCGACTTTGGCCGTCTAAGGCCATCCAACGCCGTATAACAGAACCAAAAGGCCCTTATAACCTATCGATGACGGTAATATAATGTCTGACAGCGTTAATTACCTTGCGTTAGGAAAGTCATGATGTAGGCAGCAAAATAAAAAAAAATATGTAAACAAGCTCGTAATTTCCATGCAAAGCTTCCAGATCGTTTTTGGTTGGTTTGACTAAAAAGGAAAAAAACGCGTGACGTCGCGGAGCCCCTTCTTGGTCTTCGTCTTCTTCCTTCACCCACTTACAAGCAATTAACAAGGCCTCCTACTCACTCGCAACGGCCGTGGAATACACCTATGGACTGAATATACGATGGTGCGCTTCAGAGCAAGCTGTTCTTGTTCTCACACCCTTCATCGGCGATGCGACTGAGCGATTCGAAATGCATATGACCAATGTCCTCCTCACCAGAGCACCAGATTGCGAACGGCAAGCTGACCCCAGAGTCACTTACTCCAGTCCCTCAATTTAACTGGTATGTTGATCGCCTGCTCGAGTCGCTTGTGCTTTTGCTAAGAATTATTATATGTAGGGTGTTCTTAATTGAACTGATTGTGAGCGGAGTTCTGTACGTTTTTAAATATCCTCTTCCGCAAAAATATACACAAAGCTGACTGAGAGTTATTGGTGTGATAGGACTCTTTTCTTTCTTTTCTATTTTAACCGTCTATTTGCGACCCTCGTATCGTACGGAGTTCGTGCCTATACCTGGCATTACTATCGGGTCTACATTGACATACATGCACTTCAAATTTCGCTACTGGCTGGACGAATATTTTTCAAGGGGATACGGTATCATGGCGAAAATGAAACAATCCTTGTCCAGACCGGCTACATAACCTGGCGGTTCTGGTCTCGGCCAGTGCCACCGGGAAATACGTTTCACCAGGAGCGCAAAGCTCGACACCCAGCAAGCGAACAGGATGGGGACAAACATGCTGGTACCGAGAATAAGAAAAAACAATCCCCCCGGATTGAAGTCACCATCAACGGCCTGGAATGGTTTGTGTATAACAGGAGCCCTGCCTATGATTCGATTCTTGCTGGGTTCGGATTGGTGCCGCCTGCTAACGGGGGGAGCGATTCCTCTGCTACACGGGATGGAGGAACATCACTGCCGGATGCCAGCAATGGCGATATCGATGATGAGGCCGCTGCTTCCAGCCCATCTGAACCTTTAACCCCTTCTTCCAAAAAGGATGTCAACTCACAGAGGCAAAAGGGATTATCGAGTAATAATGGAAATGTCGGGGGCTCCTCTATACTTCAGAATGTGGAGCAGAGATCAGGGCCTCAGATTCTATCATTATTTCCGATATCTATGGATTGTTATAGAGGAGCACTGGCGCTGGGCAACGAGAACACAAAAACCATACTCACTTTGACCTTTGATAAGGCCGTCGGGAAAATCGATGCAGGGCATTCTGGTCCTCTTGACGTTTATAAACAAATATTTGAATATGACCTCTCCCACCCCATTGTACAGATGAAGCCAAATCCGGATTACAAACAGTCACAATTGGCCGCTGCGAGCTCGATAGAAGCTACAAACGAGGAGTCTAAAAACCGTGGCTATATGTACAGCTTGCATCGACGGTATCGAGATCACAGGCGCAGGGTATGGAATAGCGTCTGCGATTTAATTCCTTACTTTCAAAGCTCAGTGGAATCGTTTCATCCTAGACATGATCAAAGAAACCGACCTGCTTCTGGAGCGGTCCATCAAGATGGCTGGTTAGGTCTTACACGTTATCTCGATGAGGAAGAGCAAGACGAACATGAAGGGTGGAGCTCAGTTGAGTATGGGCGCTTCTCAACGTTGCTAGACTCTCCCAGTGTCTATTTCCGCTATTATTGGGATATTGGGGGCCCCGTAGCAATCTCCAAGACCGGTCCTGAACCTCCCGATAAGTCAACTCCTTATAATATTAATGGTGCAGAGCCCCCCGAATGGGGAATGGACATAACCATACGTGGTGGGCTGCTTAACTATGGGCCATGGGCAGATCGTGAACGCATCAATCTCCAAAGTGTGTTTATCCCAAATTCATACCGGGATTCGCAAGTTACGCCCATACTAAAACCTGGAGAAATGAGACAAAGTACTGCCTTCGTTTTGAACATCCTTATTGATGAGACTACAACGCTTCGTATACCCACAAGAGAGTCATCAAAGGACTGGCAATGGAAAGGGCGTGCGGACCAGTCGCGAGGGATGTCTCGAGCGAAAAAAAAAGACAAGGATCGTTCTCGGGGGAATGAAGCTGATAAGGCAGGAACTCAAGGGCCTGATATCAGACCGTTCGGCTGGTTATCCCTTAGGGTAGATCGGGGTTCGACTATTGTTTATTCGATGGCAATGTTTGCGAGTAACCATGGATATTGCAACAAAGTGGACATTGACCTACGACATACGAAGATGTCCTCCAGTGTGAATCATGGCATATTGTGGCAAAGTGACCGTCAGGTCATCTCCTGTGATCTCTCGAATCCTCTGCAGTGGAACAGCTTGCACAACTGGTCTGTTGATGTAGAGAGCACCAAACTGGAACTCTTTTTACTTTGGGATCATCTGATTTTACTCACAGACCTCATTTCTGACTGGACCTCGGGGCCTTTCCAGGAGTTTTATACGTTCGTTCCGATCAAATACCACCTTTCTTTCGCCTTCCTTGATTTCAAGCTCTTGATAAACGTGAATGATTTGAACATCATAAATAATCCATCCGACCTCGATGATAACTCATTCCTGATCATCGAAGGAGAGATATTAATTGCCCGAGTAGAGATCCCAATTGTTTATCATAAAGCAAACCGTAACGTTGCTAAGTTTGACATCCAAGGCTCAAACGGCGACTTGAGGCTCTCAACCCCTCTGTGGAACACGCAGCGTACGTTCTTGGATGATCGACCTGTTGGTGGACTGGATACTCTTAAAATTGACGGGAGTTATTCATGGTATAGCTTGACATCGCCGAAAGTAACAGATGTTGCAATCATCAACTTATCTGGCAGCGCACCATACCTCTACCTCTACGGATTTATACTGAAAAATTTCCTTGATGTCAACGAGAATTACTTTGGCAGAACTATTCATTTCAAGACGTTTGATGAACATAGAGCTGCAGTTGATTCTGGGGCCGCTCAGGGGCACAGTGGCTCTAACCCGGCACCTGTCACCAATGGCCTAGACGTCATTCTTCACATTGCCGCGGATGATTTAAAAGTTCTTCTTCCTGCTGGTTTATACGATAGGAATGAGAACCTCGCATTGAAGGCAGCATCTCTAAACCTAGATGTGAGGTTTACGAACTATTACATGGATTTCCACTCCTCGCTATCGCCTGTGGAAATCTCAGTATTATCAGAAAATCCAGGCGCTCCCCCCGTTAGGACCGGTCCTCAACTCTATATAAACGGCCTAGCGATCTTTGGCCATAGGCTTTTTGGGCTTCCACCAACTGAGCCTACATATGCCTGCAATTGGGACTTTCAAGTGGGATCTATAGTTGGCGAATGCTCTCCCTCGTTCGTGAAATCTGCTAAGTCAGCTTTTGAATCCTTAGCTTTCTCATTTGATGATGATGAAAATGCCTTACCTCCCTTACAGACTGGGGTCTATGATGTTACTTTCTTGCGCGCGAATGTGAAGGCCATAAAGGTGTGGGTATTGGCAGAAGAGACAGCGTTCCTATTCAGTACAGGGACTATTGATGTCGAATTTAATGACAGATGTGGTTTAAAAATGTCCCTATTCGTCAACTTGACTGTTCCCGACGTGGTTGTCGCAATTGTGGACCGCAAATCAGCACGCTCTCAGGCTATATCTCGAAAGCCGGTCAAGACCTACGCCTGCTTCCAAACAGCTCTGAAGCTCAATACGTTGGGGAAGAGGGAAGACTTTGAGCATTATCGCTCCCTACAGCAAAATCATATCAGAAAGCATGACTCGCGAACCCACCGTACACCATGGCTTCTCTTTGACGAACTTGATATTCCCACTGAGGACGAGGCATTTCCACACTTTATTCCTCCTACCATGCCTGTTCCCTCTATGCCCGAACCTGTCCGGTTCCCAAAAACCCCTAGACGTAGTCCGTATTATCAGACTCCGCATCAATCTCCATTGAAGGGGCTTTCTGACTTGATTACTATTCCCTTGTCATCTAGCACAAACCCTACACCTGATCAGTATATACCCAGAGGTCGCCTTGTTCGACCTACCTCTACCACATGGGCTATGCCGCAATTCCATTTCTATCACATTGAGCCTGATAAAACGAATGTTCCACCTATGCCGTCAAGTTCTGAGTTTGTTATCGGCCAAAAACAAGCCTTGGAAGCTGGTTTTGGCCGCTCTGACGCCTATGACAGCCTCAAGGGAGCCCAGGCCTGTATTATTTGCACATTAGAGCCTGGCTTGACTGGCTTTTGCTCAACGGAAGCAGTGCATGCCTTATCTTCTCTCCTAGAGTCAATTCAGCCCCGTAATCCTATAGAGATTCTCGACTCATTCCAGGCGAAGCTGACAAGTGCGGCACTTCGAGCGCAAAAGTCTGCCAATAAGGAAGTACGGAATATTTCTACCTTCTCTTTAGAGCTTCCTCTATGTCGTATTCGACTTCTCAACCCCCTCCTAGAACCGAATGACCCAACAGGTTCCGTCAGGGACCAATACTATATCGATCTCCTACATGCTCGCGCTCTTATTCATGAAAAAGCTATCCTAGATGCTAACATTTCTATGAAACCCAAAAAATCACTTACGACACATATAACAGTACGCTCCATATCTATCTCTGCTCAGGAAGAAAACATAGACGCTGCCACGGAACTAAGCTTATGCGTATGCAAAATATCCGATGTATCCTTCCTGTTTCTTGAGGATAAAGATATAAAGTCTCGCCTTCAGATACAAAATATCCGCATAATGTCATCCAATGAGTCTGTTGCAAAATTCGGCCTTCTGCTGGACCGAACGAATAAGGTGGTTGGCTCCATTTCAGCCGCCTTCCAACAAATTTTTGAGGCTCACGAGAACCGTCTCCTCTATCTCGTTCATTATCTCGCAAATGCAGGTGCAAATATGCCTGAACCGCAATTTATGACACGTCTATCCTATGCCCTCAGGGTCACAAAGCCACACCTAAGGCTTGAGGATGCTTGGAAGATCATATCGCGGCTTCGTAATATATACAAATCAATCACAACAGAAGAACAGGAAAAACTGCGAACGGATTGTCAGAATGACCGAGTTTCCTACCCGGCAGATGTTAAAGACGTTATTCTTTCGGTTTTCGAGACCTGGCGCTCCTGGGAACTGACCCCAATTAAGAAAAGCCTCATCGTCAAGGCCCTATGGGGCGAGGATGATGATGTAGCCAGTAGGACAGCTGATCATCCTAAGGAGATTGATGCCGCGGTTTTCTTGCGATCAACTCATGTCTCACTCGGCCCGGGTCCGCGAGAGAACAGTTTTCACCTCGAAAGTATGTCAACTACAATCCGTTTTGGGGCTAAAACCCGGGATTCTTCGCCTAGTCTAAAGACAAAGCTATTGGTTGTACAAAACCATTGTTCAAACGTATCCTTACAGTTGAACTGGGAACTATGCGAAGTCTTAGAGCGGGTTTTATCAAGCGATCTTAACTTCGCCTTCATGTCAAGCGCCTCTCAAAGTGAGCCAATGAATCAATCTGGTGATGCACCCAAAGGTGAGCATGAGGTCCATGTTATTTTCGTAGCGGAGAAAGGTTCTGCAAGACTGGATGGAATCAACCTGAGGCTTGCCTTGCTAGGGAATGCATTAAAAGCATCCATAATCCATCGGTCAAACCCAGCGTTGACAGAAGAGACTATAAGCGTGATGTTGGCATCCAAAATGTCCTCGGCTCATGTCATCAGCTACTCAAACCCTCTTATGGAATGGAAGTTTCATAATCCAAACATTTTTCTGTCACGCCATTCGCAAGAACGGGATCAACATATCGAGCATGACTGGAAATGTGCCGCAACCTGCGAAAAACTAAGATATGAGGTGACTGAAAACCCACTGGGACTCATCCATGTGGCTGACCGTGTGGTTGAGGATGAACTGAAACAGGTTCTCGGGGTGATTGGTTCTTCTGTCGATACATATTCAGAGATGGGCTCTTCGATACAATCCAAGCAAGAGATTCATCATTTTCATGTTGCAACTTTTCTCGACGATTACCAAATCTGCATCGCGCTACTTCCAACAGTCGAATATACCATTGGAGGAGATGTAGCACGACTATCAGTTACACCTCTTGGTCGGATGAAATTCGAGGTTGATTACGATATCAAAAATAACCTCCACACAATTCAGTCAAGTAAGGATGGGAACCTACGCATCCTATCTTCAATGGCAATCCCTCCTATCAATGGGAGAGTACGGCTGGATATGACACATGATCCAGTTTTCGTAGATATAGACACTACTATTGAAATTGTGGATGTTGATGCAAGTGCTATACAAAATATTCTCGGTGCCATAAATGGACCTGAAATATCACACTTTATTGAAGATTTAACTCATGACGGAAATATGCTCAAGACACACCTTAACCAGGTTTTATCAAGTGGTAAAACCGCGCAGCCAGTGAAAATGAATATCCAAAAGCCAGGAATTGTGTATCAAGTACGGCTTACCTTTGCTGGAATCAGGACTCATGCTACTTCTCCTGGTTTAAGGACAAAAGATCACTCCGCAGATATGTCTCTTGAATTCAGGACTATTCAAGTACATATGGAAAACTCCGCTGTCAAGGGGATCCGAAACACACAGCCAGAGTTTCATATATACATGTCCCAAATTGGTATCAGTGTTAAGAAGAAAGGCATATATGAGACCATTTCCCATGGAAAAGTTGCCCTTGGTGCCCGAGTTAGCGGGTCACTGAAAGATTTGCCTGATGGACAGGTCATGCGACTGTTCCATCTAACAAGCTCAGGATTAGAGGTTGAAATATCTGCCGAAACGGCTTCTCTTGTAGTCGACATTGTCGCTCATTTGCAGGAAACCATCAAGACTATCGACATATCTCAAGATATTGCGCATTTAAGAAAAATTCGCAAGATCTCGTTCCCGCGGAGAAAGAAGAAAGAAGTAGCGCATACCGCCACTACTACCACTAGCCCTACCGCTGGCGAAGAGGGCAACCGAGATACCCTTGCATTTTTGGATGCAACTTATTCTGTACAGCTGTCCAATATTCAAGTTAGCTGGCTAGTGTTAGATAATTCTTCCTATCATGGTGCTGGCATGGAAGACCTTGTCTTCTCTATCAGCAAGGTTGAGCTTGCGACAAAGAAAACTAACGCTGCAAGATTGCGTATTCAGCACATGCAGTTGCAGATGGTGCCTGTCTCCGACGACAAGAGGAAACGATCCCAAAATTCCGCCCTACTCCCAGAGGCAGTGTTCAATGTTTCACTCCTGTCTGTTAATTCCAAGTGGAAGTTGGCATTGCATGCTGCTGGGAAAGCGCTTGATCTACGAACCACATCAGACTTTATCATTCCGGCCAGTTTGCTGCAAAACTCATTGGCATCCGCCGTTGAAAAAGTTCGTGAGGCTAAATCATTATGGACCACTGAATTCATCGAAAATCCTAACGTAACGAAGGAGTCCCTTGGGTTCAAGCAACTCGACTCACTCTTGGTTGATGCGGATTTTGCTGGAGCGATAGTCACTCTTCAAGGAAGGTATAGTGCTGGCGAGTCCGCTCCTACCGCGCCAAGCAACAGGAACAGCACAGGATCAAACGACCTAAGATATGGACAAGCCTGGTCGGGTGACTCAGTGTCCACAGCAACTCTTCGAGCTCCCGGGGTTGCATTGAAGGTTCGATATGAGAGCTCAGAAGCAGATACCCCGATTCTTGAAGCAGAAATGAAAGTTGACGGATCTTCCAATGTACTTCATCCGAGTGTAGTGCCGCTTCTTACACAGATTTCATCAAGTATACAGGATGTCGTTGGAAGGCAAGAAAAGAGGGATGAACGTGTTGAGGTGGCACAGGCTAACAAGTCTCAAGATATATCCATGGACCCAACAACTATACTTGGGAGTTGTAAGCTGAGCATTGGGCTCTGGATCCGCAAACAGGAATTCACCTTAAGCTGCCAACCAATTGCACGAGTAGCAGCTACAGCCGGCTTCGAAGATGTCAATATCACGATTAACACGGTGCAGTCGGAAGAGCAGCGACGATTCTTTGCGGTGTTGGTGGCCTTTGATAAGTTACAAGCATCTGTGAAGCATGTTTATTCCAATGAATCTACCGCGAGCTTTGAGGTGGACTCTATTGTGGTATCAATGATGAACAGCAAACATGTCAGTTCTAGCAGCGGTATTTCTGCTATTCTCAAGATCAGCCCAACAAGGCTGCAGATGAATGCAAAACAAGCCCAGGATTTCCTCCTTTTCCGTGAAATCTGGACACCCCAAGATGACCAGCCTAAGCGGCCAGCCCCTACACATGAAGCGTCCCCAGAAATCCAAGCATATATGGTTCAAAGATACCAGCAAATGGCCGCCACCGGCGCATTCCCTTGGAACTCAACGCTGGCGATAGAGTCACTGGACATACAACTTGACCTGGGACAAACAATAGGGAAGTCAGATTTCACAATAAAAAACCTCTGGATATCATCGAAGAAGACATCTGATTGGGAGCAAAACCTGTGTATTGGCTTTGAAACTGTTGGAATCAAAAGCCGCGGGCGACTGAGCGGGTTTGTGGAACTTTCAAAGTTCAAGGTACGCACGTCCATCGAATGGCCAGACGGTGTGATCTCGACCGGTCAGACTCCTCTCATTCAGGCAGCGGTCGGAATCGGCAAGCTGCAGGCTGAGGCATCGTTTGAATACCTACCCTTTTTCGCTGCAGACGTGAACTCTTTCGAGTTTTTCATGTATAATGTCCGAGACGACGACGGAAAGAGTAATGACCGCCTTGTCAGTGTTCTCGAAGGCGATAAACTACACGTGTTCTGCACTACTATGACGGCCGCACAGGGATTGGGTCTATATCAAACATTACAACGGTTGATACAAGAGAAGAAAGCTGCGTATCAAACATCCCTGAGGGAGATAGAAAACGCTCTACATCGGAAAACACTTTCACCTGGAGAGCTCCCAGAGGAGTCTGCGACGATACCGGCCGTGAAGAGTGATAAGAGCGATATAAACTTACCGATATCTCTCCAGACAAGCGTTGTGGTCAACCTACGGGCTATCAGAGTTGGAGCGTTCCCCAACAACTTCCACGACAATCAGCTCTTCAAACTGGAGGCTCTTGACGCTGAGGCACGGTTCTCAGTTGTGATCGAAGATGGCAAGACACACACCGGCCTTGGAATGACGCTTGGACAGCTCCGCGTTGCGCTGGCTAGCGTGAACAGCCCGGGGCCGCCTGCAACAAGCGACATAACGGTGGACGAGATCGTCAGCCGCGCAACCGGTTCTCGAGGAGGAACCATCCTGAACGTTCCCCGGGTGGTTGCGACGATGGAAACCTGGCAGGTGCCGGCGTCCAACCATATCGACTATATCTTCAAGAGCTCGTTCGAGGGCAAAGTCGACGTTGGCTGGAACTACTCCCGCATTGCCTTTATCAGAGGCATGTGGAGCACCCATTCTCGCGCCCTCGCGACCCGACTGGGCAAGCCACTCCCCCAGGCCGCCGTCCAGATCACAGGCGGACCAAAGGCAGAAGGCGAGGAGGGCGAGTATAACGGGCAAGAGAAGATCACCGCCGTCGTGAACGTCCCTCAGTCGCGGTATACGTACACTCCGATAGAACCAGCCGTCATCGAGACGCCCCAGCTTCGAGACATGGGAGAGGCCACGCCACCGTTGGAATGGATTGGGTTGCAGCGTGATCGGCTGCCTAACATCACCCATCAGATCATCATCGTCACTCTGATGGAGATTGCAAAGGACGTGGAGGATGCATATTCGAAGATTCTCGGTTCGTCATGAATGCTTTCACCGGTGGCCACCATTGGCTGCACTATAACTGCAGGCAGTCTCTGTATTCCTTTTTACTAGTTGTTCTTCTTTTTTACTTCTTTTCCTTGCTTAACCCCTAACTCCGGCGTTCTATGCATGGCGTGGCTATTGGTATAGAATATATAGTTATGGGACGGGATATATAGACTGGTGGTCTCTGATTAATAATGCTATTGTGTAATTGACATGGAAACAGCCGGCATCCCCTGGTCTTCTCTTTTTTCCTTTTTCTCTGCGTCTTCCTCCAGTGTCATACATACACACTCTCTATATACATAGTATGACTGCTATAGTCACTGATGCGGTCATAGAAGGTCGACTGAACCAGAAAAGAGACAAGTACCGCAGAGGTACCTTTTCACTGTAAGTCTGCTGTGAAGATACTTGCGAGGTACTTTCACTGCCGGCTTCGTGCGGGGCATCTGCTTACCTCAGCAGGTCTCTTCCCCTTCTGGGTTACCGCCCTCGCCCGCCTGGCAGAAACCGCACAAGCCCCGCCATTAATCATATTTTTTTTTCTCTTTCCGGACGCGAGAGAAAGGGAAAAAAAATTCTCTTCCTTCTTCCTCTTCCTCTTCTTCTTCTTCTTCACCAACTCCAGCCTGGTGTTTCATCCATCACCAACTTCTGCTCACTTCCTCTACGTGACCAGATTTCTCTTTCTCTCTTACGCTGCTTGATCAGGTCGGGCTCTCTCGATCCTGATAAACATCAAGCCACAAGCCACCTTTCGATAAAAAAAAAGACACCCCGCCCTCGAAGGCATCTATCTGAATAAACAACCGCCAAGATGGTCAAGTAAGTCATATCTAGGCTCTATGGCATGCGAGAGAGAGGGGGGATTGTCTGTATAGGAGCATCTTCTCCTGTCGTGGCTTGTCGTTCTTTTTGCTTGCTTCATTTTTCACCCTGTTGAGAGGACACATTACTAATGCGGTTTGGTATGGAACAGCTTCACCATCGAGGAGGTATGCAGCATCCCGAAGCAAGGAAACAGGGAGCTTCGAGAGATATCAGGCTAACCCGTGCATTTAGATCCGTCAATTGATGGACCGTCCTGCCAACATCCGTAACATGTGTGTTATTGCTCACGGTATGAAGCCACCCTCCACTCTCTCTGTGTGTGCGTGCATGTCTTGGTGTCAGCTCCGGCTAACAGATGTAACCACTCCAGTCGATCACGGAAAGTCCACTCTTACCGATTCTTTGGTCCAGCGTGCTGGTATTATCTCCGCCGCCAAAGCCGGAGAAGCTCGTTTCACAGATACCCGTCAGGACGAGCAGGACAGATGTATCACCATCAAGTCCACAGCCATCTCCCTTTACGCCCAGCTCGTCGATGAAGATGACTTGAAGGATATTCCCCAGAAGGTCGAGGGAAACGAGTTCTTGATCAACTTGATTGATTCCCCTGGCCACGTTGACTTCTCATCCGAGGTCACTGCTGCTCTCCGTGTCACTGACGGTGCCCTTGTCGTCGTCGACTGTGTTTCCGGTGTCTGTGTCCAGACCGAGACCGTCTTGCGACAGGCTCTCTCTGAGCGTATCAAGCCCGTCTGTATCATCAACAAGGTCGACCGTGCTCTTCTCGAGCTCCAGGTCTCCAAGGAAGATCTCTACCAATCTTTCTCCCGAACGGTCGAGTCCGTCAACGTCATCATTTCCACCTACCTCGACAAGGCTCTCGGTGACGTCCAGGTCTACCCCGAGAAGGGTACCGTCGCTTTCGGTTCCGGCCTTCACGGCTGGGCTTTCACTATCCGACAGTTCGCCGTCAAGTATGCCAAGAAGTTCGGTGTTGACAGGAACAAGATGATGGACAGACTTTGGGTACGTTGAACACCTTCGTTTCCCTTTTGTTCTCCCGGAATGGGGTAGAAATAAAATGTTAACATAATTCCACAGGGAGACAACTACTTCAACCCAAAGACCAAGAAGTGGACCAAGAACGGCGAATACGAGGGCAAGGCTCTTGAGCGTTCTTTCAACCAGTTCATCCTTGACCCTATCTTCAAGATCTTCAACGCCATCACTCACTCCAAGAAGGATGAGATCGCCACCCTTGTTGAGAAGCTCGAGATCAAGCTCTCCTCTGAGGAGCGTGACCTTGAGGGCAAGCCATTGCTCAAGGTCGTCATGAGGAAGTTCCTCCCCGCTGCTGACGCTCTTCTTGAGATGATGGTTCTCAACCTCCCATCTCCCGTTACTGCCCAGAAGTACCGTGCTGAGACCCTGTACGAAGGTCCAACTGACGACGAGGCCTGCATTGGTGTCCGTGACTGTGACCCCAAGGGCCCTCTCATGCTTTACGTCTCCAAGATGGTGCCAACTTCCGATAAGGGTCGTTTCTACGCTTTCGGTCGTGTCTTCTCCGGTACCGTCCGCTCCGGTCTTAAGGTCCGTATCCAGGGTCCTAACTACACCCCTGGAAAGAAGGATGATCTCTTCATCAAGGCTATCCAGCGTACCATTCTCATGATGGGTCGTTTCGTTGAGCCCATCGAGGATGTCCCAGCTGGTAACATTGTTGGTCTCGTTGGTGTCGATCAGTTCTTGCTCAAGTCTGGTACCCTCACCACCAGTGAAACCGCCCACAACTTGAAGGTCATGAAGTTCTCTGTCTCCCCTGTCGTCCAACGGTCCGTTGAAGTCAAGAACGCCAACGACCTGCCCAAGCTTGTCGAAGGTCTCAAGCGTCTCTCCAAGTCCGATCCTTGCGTCTTGACCATGATCAACGAGTCTGGTGAGCACGTTGTTGCCGGTGCCGGTGAACTGCATTTGGAAATTTGCTTGAAGGATCTTGAGGAAGATCACGCCGGTGTTCCTCTCCGTATCTCTGACCCCGTCGTCGCTTACCGTGAGACCGTCGGTTCCGAATCCAGCATGGTTGCCTTGTCCAAGTCTCAGAACAAGCACAACCGTCTCTATGTTACTGCCCAGCCATTGGGTGAGGAGGTTTCCCTCGCCATTGAGGCCGGAAAGATCTCTCCCCGTGACGATATCAAGACCCGTGCCCGTCTCCTCGCTGATGAATATGAGTGGGATGTCACTGATGCCCGTAAGATCTGGTGTTTCGGCCCAGACACCTCGGGTGCCAACGTTCTCGTTGACCAGACCAAGGCCGTCCAGTACCTCAACGAAATTAAGGATTCTTTCGTCTCTGGTTTCCAGTGGGCTTCCCGCGAAGGTCCAGTTGCTGAAGAGCCAATGAGAGCTATCCGGTTCAACATTCAGGACGTTACCCTTCATCCTGATGCTATTCACCGTGGTGGTGGTCAAATCATCGGTACTGCCCGTCGTGTCCTGCTGGCCGCTACCCTGTTGGCCGACCCAGGTATCCTCGAACCCGTCTTCTTGGTCGAGATCCAAGTCCCAGAGCAAGCTATGGGTGGTATCTATGGTGTCCTCACCCGACGACGTGGTCACGTCTTCGCCGAAGAACAGCGTCCCGGAACTCCTCTGTTCACCATCAAGGCCTACCTCCCAGTCAACGAGTCGTTCGGTTTCCCTGCCGACCTCCGCTCCGCCACTGGTGGTCAAGCCTTCCCTCAATCCGTTTTCGACCATTGGCAGCTCCTCCCCGGTGGTTCTGTTCTCGACCCAACCACCAAGCCCGGCCAGATCGTCACAGAAATGCGAAAGCGCAAGGGTATCAAGGAAGTCGTCCCAGACTACACAAATGTAAGTTTTCCTTTCTATCCCCCATGAAATTGGGGTTGGAAATGCCGAGATGGCCTGCTAACAACGTCCGCTCTAGTACTACGACAAATTGTAAACGCCTTATCGCAAAGATATGTTTAGAGCGCTCTTGTGTATTTAGAACACAATGCCGAGAAGCGTATGCGACCTTTTTTCAAAAGAATACCATTTTAGCAACGATCAAATTGGCCTGCATGTGCTCGAGAGCTTTTGTCCCCCTTTCCCGGCGGCAGACTTGAAAACGAAAGAAAAGAACGGGTAAAAAAAAAAGTTAAAAAGGACCGCCTCTCTCGCTCCACGACCTCTTCACACCACCCCGTTTTGCGTCAGGCACTTCCCCTTGTCTCTTATCACCCTGAGATCACCAATATCCCTTGTGGCCGAGAGTAATGATGTTTCTTTTCCTTTGTAATGTTAATTGTTTTGCTTTTTTTGAAGTTGATAACCTCTTGTATCTTAAAAATGCTCTATAACGTTCGTCTAAAGAATACCAGAGAGTTATCAATGATGCTGCTCCGTAAGGCATTTTTAATAATATTTTTCTCTCATGTAGAATTGTCGACGTCAAGCTTTATGGTCAAAGTGATAATCACGTGACTATACGTGCATGATTAAGTAATCCAGAAAGCTTTGCGCGCGATGCTTTTTCCATCAAGCAGAATGTTAGAACAATATAAGGAAACGCTGAGCAACGACGGGACGAACTGCCATCTTACGTCTGTCGCTTTAAACTGCTACTCGTTTACAGGAGCCAGGCTGAAAAGGCGTCCATCTTTTCTTACAATTCCAGTTTAACCCTCGTTTTTGATTGGAACTCGGCTTTCTTGCGATACCTTTTAATCACCCGAGCCAACGTATCTCCCCGCTGCTACGCCGTACGTCGAGCCTCTCAAACTTATCCTAGGCTATTGGAGAGTATACGGGATACCTACAGACGCGAGTACGGGTTTAATGCGCGTAACCTAAACCGCAACGATGCAGTTCACGGAAGAGAAGGCCGCGGAGGTCAAGTCATGGGTTGTGAAGAAACTTGAAGATATGTAGGTATCACCAGAGTACCAGGTGACGGCGCGTTATAATGGAGATCTGAGGCTTGAGGGTGTCTTCTATATAATGGCATTACCGGGTGGTTCCTACCTTGAACACGGGGGATCATTTTCATACTCCCTCTCCCTCTTTTTAAGCTGGTTGGCCGCAGTTGGTGTTTTTTGCTCAACATTGCTAATGAGGGTTTGCCAATTCTTTGTAGCTCTGATGCGGACTCGGAAGTGTTGGCGGATTATGTTCTTGCATTGATTTCCACCGATGCCCCGGATGAGGAGATAAGGAAAGCTTCTATCGAAAATCTCGAGGACTTTTTGAAAGAGAGTGAGTGACTTCGGTTTGTACAGTATGTCTCTTTCACATATAGGAAGCTAACAAGTGAATTATGTTTAGATACCATCACTTTTGTGGACGAGATCTTCGAAAAATTCCATCCAAAGCCAGAGCAGCAGACACTTCCGGCCACCACTCAACAGCCCGCTTTGCCTTCGCCCGTCCGGGATACCCCGTTCAGCCAACCAGCGCCAAATGCGGATATGATGGCTCAATTTGCGCAAGCTCAGCTTGGGGCCATGGCTCAGCCGGGGCCAGCTGGATTTGAAAGCAACGACCAACAATTCAACGCACGGAAAAGAACATTCAACGACTCGCAGGGTGATGATCAAGGCCCTTATCAGAGAAATGCGGATAGGCCGTATAAATCCGCACGCGGTCGGCGCGGTCGAGGGGGTATAGGAGGATGGGATAACCGACAAAATCAAGGCTCACCGGGCCAGGGGTATTCACCAAATATGCCAGGCGGCTTTCGCGGTGGCCCGGGAGCCCCACAGCCTGGTTTCCCTCCATTCAATCCCAATGACCCAATTGCGCAGATGTTGAGCATGTCAGGGATGAGTTTCCCGCAGATTCCAGGCATGCCGCCTATGCCACCGCTCCCATCTCTCAATGGGCAACCTCAGAGCTCGGGCTCTCCTCCTAACAAGATCGCAGAGCGATGCAAGGACTATGATACTATGGGTTTCTGCGTTTTGGGAAGCACTTGCCCCTACCAGCATGGCCAGGATCATTTGGTTGCCCCCTCGAAAGATGATGGTATGAAATAAAAGCCTCCCTTTCTTTCATTTTGCTCTCTTTTACTAATGCATCAATTTAGAGTATGATCCAACTAAATCCAATATTGTGTCTATGCATGCAACGAATGGCGCCAATGGACATGGCTCCGGAGGACGCGGCGATCGAGGCAGAGGGCGAGGTCGTGGCCGCGGTGATAGAGGAGGCCATGGCCCGCAGCGCCGTAACCGAGCTGACTTTTCACACGCTGGCCCCAACGAAGACCGGAGAATTACAACGATCGTGGTTGAGCAAATACCAGAGGACAAGTTTGACGAAGCTACGGTCCGAGAATTCTTCTCCGATTTTGGTGAGATTACAGAGATCACTATGAAGCCGTATAAACACCTAGCGCTTGTCAAATATGACTCGTATGATGCAGCTCATCGAGCATGGTCGAGCCCCAAAGTCATTTTTGACAACAGATTTGTAAAAGTGTACTGGTATAAACCTACAGAGTCGAAAGGTGATAGCAACGGCTTTAAACCAGCCTCTACCGAAGCATCGTCATTTGACATGGAAGCGTTCGAGAAGCAGCAGGCAGAGGCCCAGAAGGCCCATGAAGAGAAAGCTAGGAAACGAAAAGAAACGGAAGAAGCAATCTTGGAGCACAAAAAGAAAACAGAGGAGTTGCTCAAACGTCACAAGGAGGAGCAAGCTAAGCTACTGCAAAAGCTAGAAGCCAAAGGCGCCGGAAAAGAGGCTGCTTCCTCTGAGTCGGGAGCTCCAGCGAATGATCTGACTGCCTCTCTCCGTGCTCAACTGGCGTCTCTACAAGCAGAAGCTAAGAGTATGGGTATTGACCCTGATGCACAACCAGAATCTACATTCAGCCGTGGCCGTGGTCGAGGCTATGGTAGCTTCCGTGGCAGAGGTGGGTTCGCTCCTCGAGGCCGTGGCTATGACCCTTCATACAGAGGGGGGTTGAGAGGTCGTGGAGGGTTCCGAGGCCGTGGAGGTGTGATTCGCCTCGATAACCGCCCTAAAAGGGTTGCTATTTCAGGGGTAGAATTCGATACTAACCGCGATGAGGCACTGAGGCAATATCTTTTGGTACGATAACACATTCCTAACCTCCTGGTTATTTACACCTCAAAGCGAGGTAGACTAATATTATGAATTTGTAGGGAATTGGAGAGTATGAGAGCGTTGATCCCAGCCCAGATCGCCCTGGAGCTTTGGTAGTATCGTTCAAAGACCGATATGTTGCTGAAAAGCTGTTCCATGGGCCAACCGACATCCCATCCGTGGGCAAAGTTGAGTTTGCCTGGGTTGCCAACCCTGCGCCAGCCTCGACGCAGCCGCCTAGCACCGGGGCTGCGCAAAAAACAAGCGAAGATGTAGCAATGACTGATAGTAATGCGTCTGGTGCAGCTATACCAGAGAAAGAACCCGCCCATGAAGTTGACTATGATGTCGCCGAGATGGACGATTCCTGGGCTGAGTAAAGAAGACCCTAACGAATTAATGGGCTTGGATTTGGATTCCAACGTTTGTATTTCTACATATAATTTTACCCTCTTTCTTCTTGCCGTGCCTTGTTGTATGGCCTGAACATGACAATTCCATTATATTTTTACAAGGGCTCGTTTAAAGGTGTCTATATATATCACGGTATCCTCATCGCTTCCTATAGGAGGAACAGGTTGGCGCCTCGCATCAAGCAATACATTGTCTCACTCTGAAGAAACATGTTTCACGCTGAGTCTCTCCTGATGAAACTGGCTCCTTTTGGTATAAAACGAGTCTGAACTAAATACATCATGGTGTGATAATAAATACAGCATATTTAACCAACTGCAATAGGCCGCGCAATCGCTCTTAGAGGCTCAATTCAATCATCAACACTACGTCAGTGATAGTGTAGTCGAGATTCTACTTCTCGAGGTACTGCCGTTAACCTAACCCGGATTGTAACGTCGGAGTGTGGCGTTGGTAGAATGTACGTCATATAAGATTCGCACCGGTTTCTAGCTAACCAGAACGTTTTATCAGCCATGTCAAGGGGCTTCCGGGTTTTCGCAAACAGCGTGGAAGAGCTCGCTCCTAAGCAGAAGGCACGAAAAGGCCTGCGTACGTCCTTCGAGCTAAACAATCATTTAGATGAATGCCTAGGATAGATAAGGTATCGGGTATAGCGGTAACGGTATTTCTTGCATCCTCCAAGTTAAGTTCACTGGACATCCTTTCCGGGAAGACTTACACCCAACACACGGATTAATGCTCCTTGTAGTAATGAAAAAGCCTCCGGGTAGCGGAGCCCATAAGTCGTTAACCGGTGAGTTAATCTGTTCTATGGGCCAGACTGGGGATTGTCATCACTCAATCCGTATAGGCGCCCGAAGAGCTCCGCCTCCATTCTCTCAGCAGGCAGAGGCCCCTCTCGGATGACGCCCATTATATCGCTTCCAGGTGGGCAATCGAACTCAAAAGTCGGCTCTCCATCACCACGCATATTGTAGAGTACAGCCTGCTCAAAGTGCCAGGTGAATAAAGCGTCAATAACACGATGAGGATCATTAGGGCGGCGACACGCAGTGTTAAGGACTATGTTATGATACCTATGGGAGTTTGGCCGGAAGCTCTGAACGCGATAGCCATCGTGTGGGTTGATAGCCAGTGAGTAGCTATCCCATAGTTGATGAATTTCGGAGTTAAGCAGAATGCCGTTATTTGGGGAATTAATGCCCCTTTTTTTATCTGGGATGATTGCTTGGAATTTTGATGATAAATATGAATCACTTAAAGATAGAGGGATTATATGAGCTGTCTCAAAGCCGATCCATCTATCATCTTTAATCTCCCGATTCATAAACCCCGTAATCATGCAGCCACCATCACGTCGTCTCACGTCCCGTATAAAGGTGGCATCTCGGCGGGTGTTACACCTTGATAATGTGCGGTGATAATATCGTTTATCACTTACTTCCACTATTTGGCCTTGGATATCAGGGAAGATTATGTATCGGCCATGGGGAAGAATTTCATTATTTTGCTGGACAGGCAGATTCGAGCCCTCTTTGCAGGTATAAAAGCCTCCTCTAGGTGCCTTGATTAAGACCTGAAGTAGGGTGAGGAACTGTGCATTGGTCATCGTATCTGGGGCGTGTAGGCCACCTCTGATAACCTCTGGGTCAGTACCAAATACGATCACTATGTTCCTTGAATGAGGCATGTCGGCTAGAAAGAGAAGAGACAGGGCTTGAAAATCGTCCTGATGAAGTTGATAATATGAAGAAAGAGAAAAAGAAAAGAAAAAGAGGCGTGAAGTTAACTAAGCGCGCGTCTTGCTGTGGTTAATCAGCAATGACTAATAAGACATGACTGGTTCTAAATATGCATCTCTTCACATGGACGAAGCCTCCCTACCGAAGACAGTTTTCAATGACAAAAAGATGCTTTTGCTACTAGGAGATAGGAAAGGAGATCACGGTTGATCCAGGAAGTCTATATACATATCCTAGAGTTGTTTATTTCCCTCTAGAGTGAGATATATACTTGCATATTCAACCAGTGGGAAGATATGCGCCTTGCTATGTCCATGGGAATCTTCACAGAAGTAGAAAAAGCTAGCTCAACTCATACATAAATTGTGGATTGGTAGGAAGGCGAAATGTGAGGTATGGGAGATGTTTTTAATATGCATACTAGAAAGGTCATATTAACGATTAGCGAGCGAATTAGAGTAAGCATAACGGGGTTTAGACTTACGCGAAAGGACAAATTCTCCCTATCCGTTATATCCAGGAAATCAGCAGTGGTTTGCACCTGTCCTTCCTCCAATCGCTTGTCTCTTCTCCTGTTTTCGTAAATGTAGTAGTACCTCAAGACAAAGATAGAAACTATCGTGATTGACATGGTTATGACGATGGCGAGCTTAGCCGGTATATATTCGGGAGCATCCTCGTCTTTGAAGGTGAGGGGCCCTAGTACATTGCCTAAGCAGAATGCCATCAATATGATTGCATTCATCGTCACTTTCTTTGTATGACCAGCATAATTGGCAGTGACAAGGGAATATGCAAGCGGCAAAAACGCATTGTTGCAGTGAGTAAGGTAGTTCCCAGCAAGTTTGGCTGCCGGGTGCGTATTATCTAGAAAAGCAAGCATGCATGCACCTAGCAAGCTAGGAATAAGGACAGCAACCATGAAAATTGTACGCTTGCCGAATTTAGCTGCTAGGAAAGTTGCTGCAACAATGGCAACCATATTAACGATCCCGCTAGGGATAGAAAGAAGTTGAGTTTGCTTTGGGGTGTACCCGATCGCCTTAATGATGAGAGACTGGAATTGAGATATGGCGGCATTAGGGACAAGGCCTGCAGTAGTAATGAGCGTTAAAAGGTAGGTCTGTGGATCTTCGAAAACTTCTTTAAACTGTTTTATTTTGAAATGTTTGTTCTCAATGCCTGTTTGGTTTTCTCGAAGGCGTTCGATTGCGAAAACTTTCTCCGCTTCGGTTAGTCGGGATGTCATGGGGTTATCTGGGAGGAAGAGTATGACAAGTATGCCTGTGGCTATTGTGATTAGGCCGAAGATAAGGAACATAACCTGCCATGGTTTGAATCTTTCACCGGTGTAAAATAAAAGCCCATATGCGCTAAGGGCCCCAATTATGGTTGCTGTTCCGGTCCCAGAATACCATAGGCCCATACGTGCTGGCTGCTCTGTTCATTGAGTCAATGACTGCCAAATTTTGGAGACACCCCATTGAAAGAATAACATAAAACTTACCTTTCTTCTTATACCACATACCCGTAACAAGGATTAAACTGGGATTCCGTCTTAGAGCATGATATGAGAAGTATGTTAAAAGGTGTCATACCTTGGAGCGACGGAGGCTTCGAAGCAGCCAAGTAAAAGCCGGAGGACAAGAAGACCGCCGAAATTTTTAGCCGCACAATTGAGTGTTACTACAGTACCCCATAAGATGACTATCATGATTAGCACGCATCTAGAATGATGGGGAGGAGATACCTACGATTTGCCCCAAGATATTTTGCTGTTGGAAGTCGTTGCATGAGATATCCAGTTGGGAACTCGAAGAACAGGTAGGAAACGTAAAATGCCAACCCAAGGTATGAATACTGATTTGTATCCAGGTGAGCATCTTCCAGTAGACCCATGATGGAAGCGAAGTTGACTATATCATCAGCGGGTGTATAGCAAAAATTTGTTGCATTGAGACGGGCAACATACTCAGCACTTTGTCCACATATTGAAGATTATAGCACGCCCACATGAGAGGAACAATCATCCAATCGATTTTCCGCAGTAATTCCTTTTCATTGACGGAGCTCAAGTCGATGTTATGCCCATCCAAAAAGGTATATGCGGCATCAGCATCGGCTGGGCGAGAGCTGACCTTCTCGTCCATTGCGGCGATATAGAATAATCGTCACGCCCAAGACTTTGATGATAGGATAGAAGAGCAAGCGCAGGTTTCTGAACTCCGAGTGAGGAGAAGAGCTTGTCTCACAGAATTGGAGAAGCCAGCAAGCTGAAATATATATATAGAGTGCCATGCTTCAAATGGGGTGAGGGGTATCTTTGCGGCCCTGGACAAGACTATCGCTCCTCCAACGATAATGGGGGAAGACGGTGGAGGATGCCATACTTGCCAGGTGCTGCGCCGATCAATACAATGCAACAAGCAGATTCCCTTCGCTGCGCGAGGATACAGGGTATATCGAATGCAATGCAACAGCATTTCTGCAGCGTGGGTAACGCCGAAGTTTGTTCGACCTGTGAGAACCGATGTTATTACAAGTGCTTTATGCACAAAGGATGATAGTTCTGGCTGGGAAGCCGACGCAGTATCCGAGCAGTGGATCGGAATGCTATAGCGAAGTGGGTTTGCCGCCCAGCCTAAAGACAGGCGAAGGAACCCTTGGCTGAAGATCTGCAGCTCTGATGAAGATCAGTCACACGGAAAGGATTCAACATGGGCGTCCCGTCTGGACATCAAACTGACCAAACGGAGAGGCGGGGTCCTGAATATGCAAACGATGGTAGAACTCAGCGGAAAATAATAAAGATGCCATTATCCAACCTCTCTTATTCAATTAACAGGGTAACACTAGGTAGTATATGCACGTATGGGACATAGCCAATGGCTGATGCATTATTCCATGCAGCTAGAGAGATTCTTGGCAAAAATGCTTGTTCAGACAGTAACGTGGGGACAAGCGGGTAAGGCGGACGAAGCTCCCGGATGGTACTTCCCTACGTAGTGTCCGTGAGGGGAATATGTGGCCAAAAATTAAGCAGTCTTCTTCCCCTAACCAAGAGACAAAACAAAAATACAAACCCTCGTCAAAAATGCCATCGTCGTATCATATCGTTCAATCGTCAAGACAACTCGTCGTGAATACCAAGAATCATAAAGCAGAGCACCTGGCTTGGGGCTTGGGTAGAAAGAGGGAACACCAAGTGATTTCAGGTGCGGAGAAAGTTGGAGAAGATTGTTAGCCTAGAGTCTGAGCGTTATTACTAGGTTGAAATATAGCCGAGTCAGGCAGGCTGCGTTAGTCGCTAGGCTACTGGCTGCGTTGCTGAGGCAGGCTAAAATTATCCCTGGCCCCTGACATATGAGCAAACCAATCATAGTCTGGTTCATTGTCGCTGTCGCCCATCTCATCCAACATACGGTCAATCTCATCACCAGCATCTTGCTCTAGCCTGGGCCGGCTGCAGCTTGCGTATGGAGTTTCTCCACCATGGTCTGCAAAACTAACACGTTTGGCTTGAGGTGGGTCCCCTCGGGGCTCGAAGCTAAAAGCCGTGCCGAATCCTGGTGTAGAAGAGGTAGGAGCCGATATATTTTCACATAGTGAAGGAGCTGAGTTGTATTGCAAAGAATCCTGAGAGTTGCTTGGCGGGTTAGTCTGTGATCTAGAGTCGTTGTAATATCCAGAGTTCTCTGGGCTTCCCATGAATACAAGAGTTTCAACAGCGTCCTGCTCCATAATTGTCTTTTGGGCAGAAGTGCAGTGCCTTCCAAGAATTGCTGTTGTTGCAGAAGATGGAGCTTTGAACGCAGGTTGGGGTTGAGGAGGTGTAGCCGGAATACGGCAAGATCCATTGGTCCCTACTGCAGAGGAGTTTGAGGATTGCTGTGATAGTGACGGAATCCTGAGTTTTTTAGGGCTGGTGCTATTTTGGGCAACTTTACGTCTTGCATGAGTTCCATTACGGGGCACTATATCCGCTGGTGGAGCAAGGCGTGGAATTTGCTGAAAATTATTCGGTGACGGCCGTTCGTGGGGCCCATTGGAAGGGGTTAAGCCCACTGATAAATTATGCCGATGATATGATCTGGACGAGTGGTTTGAGGACTTGCGTCGTGATATATCTGGCCTCGGACTGCTAAACCCAGTGGCGATTCTTAATACTTCAGCAGCAAGGTCGCGTTCTCCAACAGGACCAGTGACCTTTGGAGCCTGATTTGATATCGACGGGCCATTGGGTTGTGTAGACGCTCTGATTCCCCTTGGCGAAGATTTCTTGCCAGGTGAACCGAGCTTGCTGCCATTGGGATTGGACTTCCAATCTTTTTCCACCTTTGCTGCTGCCCAGGATAATCGCGAGCGGAGCTGAGCCGAAATCTGTAACCCGTGGCAATGGCATTAGGAACTCAACGTCCAAAAATAAACAAAGGAATAAAATCAACTACTCACTTCTGCAATCCGGTTCGAATGCGAATCAGTACTCATTGATCTTGAATGATATCCAGTTTCGGTAGGAGTCATTAAAGAGTATGGTCGGTCTGGGGAAACTGAATATTTCATACCACCACTTGCCGTTCTTTTTTGCCCCGGGGTGAGCTGTACAGTACCTCTCGCACTAGGTGGACTGTGAAAAGGGCTAAAGGCTACTGTATCGTGACCAGAGTCAGTCCTTTGAAGCGATCGAGGAAGTGAGGTTGTCTGTAGCTGTAGGAGTGATGGGTGTTCATCTGCCATCTTAGCCTGGGAATTCGGTTTCGAATTCGCGCCTGGATCTGTTCCAAATTGAATAGATGATGATGTTGATGGTGGGGAGTTTGAATCGCTGGCATCTGCCACTGACGATTGGGTAAGGTCACTGGCGGATGCCCTTAGCGGTGGGAAGAAGCCATGTCCCGCTGCTGTCGAGGTCGAAAATTGTGCTTTGGCGTTTACGGGGTCAGGATATGCTCCATGCTCATCCATGGCAATGTGAAAATGGAGATACGGAGTATCCGGAATAAACGAAGACCTTGTTCTGTGGTAGTGGCGGGCAATATTGAGAGAGAATAGACGACCGAGGTGAAATATTATTCCCAAGCCGCCTTCTCTTTCCTTTTCCCTCCTCTATTCACTCTTAAGCGAATAATAATGGCCTGACGTAAACCGATTGGGGCTACCAAAGCCACATCGTGATAGTGCAAGGTGAAGTTGTTCAGTGTGGCTTCGAGCCGTGGTTTTGAACGTAGGGTGGTGACTCGGCTGCGGTACACTTGACGGCAGTGAACACGGCCTTGAGCAACAGCATGGAACAGCTCTCTGGATCCAAAACTTGCCCTGCTATTACCAGCACCCTTTCCGATGCTGCATGTAAAGAACAAGTTGTCGGTATTTTCTTTTTTGTTCTGCCTGTCACTGTTTTCTGTCACTTTTTTTTTTGACGTGGGATGTTGAAGGTTGAAGGTCTTTGAGTTAGACGCGTCGCGCCGGCACGTGAGCAAAGTGGTCACGTGTATATAAAAAAAATAGATAAGATAAGATGAAGGTTAGATGATAAGAAGCGGCGGATGTTGGAGATGCTGAATTGACGATTATTGCTTTTCCTGACCGGCCTGTATCCCGTGTATATACAGAAAGAATGCCTACTCCAAAAGAAAACTGGGGCTCTATGGGCTATAGATATAGGTATGTCATCACTTTCTCTTCTTTGGCCGACTCGCACCGCCGTCTCCTTCATTCTTCCTCTTCTTCCCTTCGCGGCTCCAGTATTCGTCACGCTCCCTCTTCTCTCGAGCTTCCTTTTTCTCCTGGTTCTCTGCGACCTTTGCACGGTATACCTTCCTTCGCTCCTCCTGTGCGGCCTGTCTCTTGGCTACCTTCTCGTTTCGCAGTGTAGTGAGCTTCTGCATGAGATCTCGGGCTCTCTTCTCTTCTCCTCCAAGCACCACAGCGCGTTTCTGCATATACGTCTCCTTCTTCCGTGGCCGCATCTTGGTGATCTGGGATTTGAACGGAAGGTCGGCGGCCAGCTGCCTTGGTACCCTCAGGGGGTTGAAGTGTCTGGTCTGCCGCTCGATCTTACGATAGGCAGAGTCCTTCTCCAAGGGTGTGGGGATATTTAGGTCACGCCGGACTTCTCCAGTCAGACGCATGCCTTGCCATGTCGCACCTGTACCGGTTTCAGAGTCCTTGTAGTCGAGAAGGTTGGTCACCGGATTATAATACCGGGCTGGCTTAACAGGGTACCAAGTCCGTAGGAAGACAATGTCACTCATCAGGATCTTATCCTCAAAGGTGGCACGGAAATGGCCCTCTGGTTTACTTAGGGCACGCTTGATTTGGCCTCGGATTCCAGAAACTGTACGGATGGCAGCTCCTTCAAACTTGGCGATTTCTAGAGACGAGTTGAACATGTTCTTAATAAATGCCGTATTGCGGAAAATCTTGTAAGGCTGTCCGGTGAGTTTCAGCTTCTTGACAATCTCAGTGCCTTCATCGACACTCAAAATTACACCGCTGGCAGCTATCCTGAACCCAGGATTCTTGTTTGAAAATGACTGCACACAGCAGAAACCAGTATTCGGAGCCACAAGGGGACCATAAAAGGTGCCAAAGCAATGCATGTGCTCGGGTGTATATTTCAGCATTCTGTTGCGGGTTCGAGAGTCTGATATGCTATAAACAGGCATTGTCTGGAATCGGCGCCAGCCCAATGAGAAGATCAAAGGGTCATTGGTCTTAAGAATCTTCTTATGCCACCGATGGCGCTTGATTCGGACCTGGACAAAACCGAATCGATCTTCGGTAGGGGACAAACCTCCAACGATAACCGGGAATCGAGGGTTGAAACCTTCGGAGAACTCACAAGGAACATTTTCAAGAACAATTCTCGCGTATGTCCCAGCCTTGTAACCCTCTGCTCTGGCTCTCGACAATGCATCAAGAGTATCAAATTCAGCACGGTTGATATCGGCTTGTTTTTGCAGCGCAGCTTTTTGCGCATCATACCATTCATCTTCCCCAAACTGCTCTTCATTCTGTCCACCACCGGCTCTCGCTCCATCTTTCGAGTTAGCGAACCCTTCCCTATCTTCCTCTTCAAAACGAAGCTTCAGCTCTTCTTTTCGCCTTGCATTACGCTCACGTTCTGCATTAAGGTCCTCGGGTTCACGCTCTCCCTCGTCCTCTTCATCACCTTTGTCGTCACCTCCAAATACCTCACCGGTTTCAAGATCTGCGAATGCCCCATCTCCTTCGTCGTCGGAATCTGTATCCCCAAGCCCGTCTTCATCATCATCTTCTTCGCCGGAACCCTCCTTGCCAGACCGGTGTTTTGAGAATTTAACGCTCGCAAACCGACGACGAAGCGCATCAAGGTTATCCTTGTCCTGCCACTTCTTCTCAAGCTCGTCATAATCATAAACAGGAATGGTACGGTCATCTAACATCCTTTTTTCAGCATTGGCCTTTTTGAAAAAGTCATCGGCCTCATCATCTGCGTTATCCTGGGTATCTTGTGGAGTCTCTTCTCCACTCCATCGACGGGCGACATCTGCTGGATTCACAGAATCATCGTAAAGCATGCGGGTAAGCTCTGCTACCCGATAAGGAGGTTTCTTGCTGAACATTGCCTTTGCATTGGCAGCCAGATTGTCTTTCCAGCGCATTTCTCCATCGTCTTCATCTTCGTAGTCGCTAGGAGCACTTTCTAGCTCTTGGCCTTCCACCGAGGATATTGAACCAAGATCGGAATCGCTATCAGCAAATGCAAGATCTTCTCCGTCTTTACCATTAGAAGTTCCATTCTGTCTTTCTCGAAACTTTGCTGCAAAGTCGACGCCTAACGTCTCATCCTCTGAGTCCTCTTCTATATCGCTTCCGTATTCTTCCTCTTCCTCTTCCTCTTCCTCTTCCGCGCTCTCAAGCCCTTCTTCCTCGTCATCTTCTAAGTTATGACCATCATCTTCACCCTCAATAAATTGAGCTTTTCTCTTCTCGTTTCTCCCCAGATGCTCTGTTTCTTCAGTATGGAGACTGGCAACGGCGCCACTATCTCTGAAGAGTTTAACTCCAGCCGCCGTATCTCCCAGCAGTTTTCTCTCGCCTTGTAGACCGATAATCATTTGCTCTCCTAGGCCTCTTTCCTCGGCCTGCTCATCGTTGTCATCCTTGTTAAATGTATTTGTCCTGACATCAATGTATACAGCATCTTTATCCACTAAAACGCCACCAACATCGGCCATAGGTGCAAATAGGAGTTTTTGTTTTTCACCTAATCGTTTCCGGCCATTCTTTCCCGCTGCCTTCGCCATTGCTTGATCCATGGCTGGCGTAGGGCAAGGGTCAGGGAGCGCTTCAATCGAAGCAACGTTAAGGTCACCAACACCCGGAACATGTACCCTTGCGCCAACCGCAGGGAAGTTAGTACCTCGAAGGTATCCGTAGAGGGCAACCGTTCTATCACACTTGGGGTTTTCTTCCTTGGCAGTTGGAGGAGTGATATCCAGAAATCTGTCCGCTAGGCAGTACGGGTGCGAGTTTCTCCATATAAGTGGGCGAGGGTTCTTCATGACGGACAAAAATCGAGAAAGATTGTGAATTTCTCGATCCGGATATCTTCCATTTATGACTCCAGAAAGGTAGAAGAGTTTTGCACCTTGGTACAGCTCGCTCCAGAACCGGTGTTTTAGCCTCTTCTTTGCCATACGCAATGTGCTCTGCTTCTTGAACAGATCAAGATGAGTGAGAATGCCGAAAACATTTCCAGGCATTCCACTCGCAGAAAGTGCATTAAGGAACTCCATGGTTTCCATCTCAAAGCCATAGTTGCCATCTATCATAAGCAGTACAATATCAGCGATCTTTGCGACATCTATCATGCTCGCCAGAGAATCCGAGGGACATTCTAAGAAAGTCAGCCTCCGCTTTTTCGACGTGACGACGGTCAAAGGGCCGGTGATCGACGTGAGTGAATGTTTCGAGTATCGCTTGATTAATGACTTGATGAGCGTGGTTTTTCCAACCTATAATTAACCGAATGTCAGCTGCGCAGTTCTGCCGTTATTCGGGTACGGTTTCAATTGACATACTCCTGGCGGACCAACAACCGTAACAATAATAGGCGGAGGCTCCTCTGGAAGGCGATCTACGAGCGGAACATGCAGCCTTTTTTCTTTTATCTGGTAACCAGCATATCAGTACTGCAAGATCCAAACAATATACCCCCGCGCAAACTGGAATGACAAAAACGCACATCGTGGGATCTAGCCGCCTGCCTATGCAGCTTCCCGGGGTTATTAACGGCGAATGCTTTCGGATTAGGGCCTATAAGATATTTCGACAACCTCAATTAGCAATCCTGAGCACTTATTGTTGTGGTATGAAATTTTAGAAGCTCAATATACCTCCATGATCCTTCTTCTTGCCCTTGTCTTTGGACTTCCGGTGGGGTTTATTGGATTGATCCTCCATGGCCAAAGAGCTATTTAGCTATGGAGGCCTCTATCATCTCCAGACCACTGAATGATTGACCAGCTTCAAAAAGAAACGCCTCTATCTAAGCTTTTTATCAATCTTTTTTTTTCTCGCAGTTAATTTTTTGCTTAGTCTATTGTTACGTAATATTATTATATAAGCGGTATATAAGCGCTAAGCGCGATATTAACCCGCTTAGAAAATTCTTGCTTGAAAAAAAAAGACGAGATGAAACTCTCTACTAACTACCTCAGTGGCATACTTATTTGATTGGCGCTATAGCTATGGCTTCTCTGTACTTTTATATGCACAACGCCCACCAATCCCCAAGGTCTCTATGCTAACTAAAGTTTCGGCAACAATTCTTGTAAAAATGGAGGGGGTGGGTTTTGATTTATCAGCTAGCTACAGATGACTACAAGTTGATATGACATTTGCAATCCCATCATTCAACTTTCTAACAACTTGAATTATAAAGTATAGCAGAATATCTAGGATATAATTTATAATACATACAAACATGGGCTTGGAAGACGACCGTGCCCGGCGGGCCGCGGTCTCCCATCGTGCTGCAAAAGTCGCAAAAGAGACGGAAGCCAACATGATGTGGGATGTGTTTACCAACCTCTACGATGCCACGACAAATAAAGATGGATTCGTCAATGTCGGAGTGGCAGAGAACTTCCTGATGCATGATACGTTACTTGAATATATCCGTACCCATGCCGACCTGCCTCAGAAGTATCTCACGTACAACGACGGCGGGGATGGGTCCAAAAGACTGAAGACAGCCGCCTCTCGATTCCTGAACCAACATTTGAAACCGGTTGTACCGCTGACACCTGAGCATCTTCTCGTGACCAACGGGGTGTCGGCGGCTATAGAGCATCTGGCATGGGCGTTCACCAATCCAGGCGAGGGCATCTTGCTCGGACGACCACATTACGGGGCCTTTGTGCCGGACATGGAATCCCGTCCGGAGGCCGAGGTGGTGCCCGTCTCCTTTGACGACATCGATCCCTTCGAAGTGAGATGTGTTGCCAAGTATGAAAAGGCGTTGCTGGAGTTCGAGGAGCGAACGGGCAAGCGTGTTCGGGCGCTGATGCTCTGCCACCCGCACAACCCGCTGGGACGATGCTACCCACGCAACACAATCATCGAATTGATGAAACTGTGTCAAAAGTACCAGATCCATCTTATCAGCGATGAGATATATGCACTGTCCGTATGGGAGAACACCGTGGACACTGCACCGGCACCCGTTGAATTCATCTCCGCCCTCTCGATTCCAACCGAGGGCTTGATCGACCCCAACCTCCTCCATGCGCTATGGGGCATGAGTAAAGACTTTGGCGCCAACGGCATCCGCGTGGGGGTTATCATATCCCAATCCAACCCGGGCCTGCTGGCCGCTCTCAAGGGGCCGACACTCTACTCGTACGTGTCAGGACTATCCGACCACATCGCCTCTAGTATTCTCGAAGACGACGCTTTTACCAACAACTACATCACCGTGAATCAGCGAAAGTTATCCGAGTCCTACGCCTTCGTCGCGCAGGCCATGCAAGACCACGGCATCGAGTATGCAACAGGCTGCAACGCGTCTTTCTTCATCTGGGTCAATCTAGGCAAGACATATCTACGGAACAAACGCGCGACGAGACGCGACGAGACGCCGACAGATCTAACCCGTACGGTCATGGAGGCGCTCAAAGCTAAGCGCGTCTTCCTCGCTGACGGCACAGCCTTCGGGTCCGAAAAACCAGGCTGGTTCAGGATCGTGTTTTCGCATCCACGGCCCTTCCTGGACGAGGCGCTGGGACGAATCATGGCTGCTATCGGAGAGCCATACAAGTATGCGACGGCACCCCCAAAGCTCTAGCTAGACATGAACTTAGAAATTGGTTTTACCCTGGATACTTACATAGTAGTACTTCGTAACAACTGTGTAGTTAGCTGAAAGCTGTTAAACCTGCTTATCTATGCTTCCTGTGCTACCCAGCATGCTTCTCCCTCTGTACAACCAGCCACATGGCAAAGAGGCGAGACAAATGAAACCTAGCTTCCGCTCCCCCTTGTTCCGCGAGCCCGTCATGCCGGGTCGGAAGCAAAAGCCACTTTTCATCCGGACCCCAAAGGCCCTTTCGCCTCGCGGCCCTATCCATGCCTTCTCCGGAGATTTGGTTTTGTGGTCAACCACTTTACTCCGTGAAGGAACGGGACAACTTTGGTGCGATGTGTGACGCCCATGCTACCATCAGGCGTTGAACCTCTCCCCCGCATTATCGATGCATGCATGCCTTGGATACGATGGGCGTTCAGGTTAGATAGGATTCAAAATGCCAAGTTTAACGTGCATGAAAGTGCGTTTCGCGTTGATGAAGTTATACTATGTGTCCGTGGGTTAACTCAACTGTTATATACGATACTGAATATGGAGAGACGTAGCGATAAGGATGGATTTTTGACTATCTAGAAAAGATATTTATGTAAGATAGCATGCTTTGTATATGGTATATACTGTAGATCTCTCAGACCATGCCGACACGAAGTCAGAGGGAGAGGTATCTCATCTCGTCGAGAGATGGAAGCAAGTGTGCAAGAGAGTGGTGAGAACGAGTAAGAAGGGAACAGCCGAGAGAGGAGGGAGTTGTTTTTTGTGTTCAGGGAAGAGGTATCGTCGTCATCACTTCATGAACGCCATGCCCAAAGTAAAAAAAAAAGGCCAACCAGCACGGGGGAGAGAAAAAAGCAAAAAAGGAAACGCTAGACGCTTTCTGAAAATGCCAGAGAAAAGGAAAAGTAACGGCCAAGGGTATATGTGGATGCAGATACGTTCTCATGCAGATAAAACTAGAAAGCAGCAATCATCGCCTGTGTCCTGGTTGGGTTCCTCGCGGGGAGAAAGAACCCTTCCTCGACGAAGGATGACTGTTCTTCTGCAGACAGTCTGTGGCTGGGAGCTTGGTCTGCGTGTATGCCCTTGCCGGTACCCTTCTCCGAGACGGAAGAGGCGGCTGTAACCAGGGCCTCTTCAGACTCATCCGGCGCAGAGAAGGAGTCAAAGGTGGTCTGTGGGGGTGATGGCGGCATGTCGTCTTCGGACTCCTCGTCGGAGTCGTGAAGGAGCTCTGGAGGCTGGTGCTGTCTCGACGAGGTACGGGTGAGGGCTAGCTCGTCGCCGTCGTCGTAGTCGTACTCGTCGTAGTCGTCGTACTCTTCCTCTGCCGGGCTGAGATCAAAGTCTGCTTTGGCATGTACCTTGCTGGTGGCCGTAGTGGTGGTGGCAGGCGAGTACTTTATCGGATAGAGCTCTGCGGCCGCGGCAGGATAAGCAGTCTGCTTGGCGGTGATGTCGACAAAGAAGTCGCCGTCTGTCTCGTAGTCTGACGAATCATCCGAGGCACTGGAGCCGTCCCAGTCCTCATCCTCATCGTCGTCTGAGTCTGGCTCGTCGTGTCGAACAACGGCGTCTAGCCATTGGATGCGTTTACCGGTGACTGGAGCCGGTGCAATTGGTGTGGAAGTAGAGGTAGAAGTAGAGGTAGAAGTAGAGGTGGAAGTAGAGGTAGAAGTAGAGGTGGAAGTAGAGGTAGAAGTAGAAGTGGTAGATCTGGACTTGATGGCTTGCTTGTACCAGGCCTCGCGTTCCTTCTCCGCCTCTGCGAGGTCGAGCATGAGGTTATCGAGCATGTTGGCGTGTCCGACAAGCAACCGGAGCTGGTGGTCAGCCCTGGCGGCTTCACGGGTGAGCTTGGCCCTGGCCGTGTGGGCGAGCACGTAGGTCTCACTGAGCAACATGTCTCTCTTTCTGGTCGAATGCATCTGTAGTGAACGAGTCTTGTATATGTTCGGGGTCGAGGAGAAAAAGGAGAGAGAGTCGGTGGGTGTATGTATTTATTTATACTCCGTATACAGTTTTGGTGAGTCAGGCAGCGAGTTTTCTCGCTTCTCGGCGCAGAAAAACTCAAAAAGTGTGACTTGGACTGGTCAGATAAGCAGAAGATCTGGAGGCGCTGAAGGCGGTGGGCGCAAATCCCTGTTCGGTTCCTTGCTGGCAAAGTCAATCTCGATGTCTGTGTCTTTGAAGCTGGTAGGTAGAATAAGAAGTAAGAGGAGGCAGAGGGCAGGCCAGGTACATCAGGTAGATATATATGCCGTAGAGCCGGGTTGCGATAACAGGTCCTTTGCTGGGACAACCAGTTTGTCCGTCCGTCTCATCCGCCCAGAGCCTAAAAGAAAAAAAAAAAAAATCGCGGTGGGCCGGAGGGTTTGGAACCGACCGCGTGGGCGACTCACTCTTAACTTTTCTTCTTCTCTCTCGACCCTCTCGACTCCTGCGGCTGGCGGGCTGGAACTCGCGAATACGAGGAAAGTTGCACATCAAGGGTTTAAGCGGTCAGCAAGGTCGAACTATCTGTGCATTATTAAGGTGGGAAACATCGGCGTTAGCGTTCTCCTTGCTCCGTACATAGCGGCCTTCACTATAGTATATGTAAGGAGCAGATGGAATCCAACGGGATGGCGTCACTCTGAGTAATCGCGATGGTGGACATGATGGTATCATCTTGTCGGTGTCATTCGTCTTCAGCCTGCCATGGTAACTGCATAGTAACTCCGTCGACCGGAGAAGAGTTGGTGTATGCGCAATAGTGATGCCTCGCTATCCATGCCGAAACAGGTCGAGAGGCTGCTGCCACGATAACCAGGAGAAGGCCACGTTAACCCCACGATAACGAGAAGGCCGAAACATCAACTCTGCTGCCTGTTTCGCCCTCTTTGCTTCTTCTCCATCTTCCTCTTCCCTCCTCGTCTTACTCAGCCGGTTTTCTTCTTAACTAACTAGTTAGTTAACTAGTTAACTCCGAGTGATGACTCATCGGATACTCGGCTTCCGGTCACATGACCTTCTCGGATCTTCGGGCTGTGAAGCTCATAAGAAACCGCTCGATCGCCACGCTGCGCTTCTCGAACGCAGTTTGAAGCACAAGGACAACTATCCTCCGCTGCGGCAGCAGATGCGCCCAAGAATAGTTGGAGTAGGTATCGATCAAGTTTGGAGCTGTTGGCATCCTCTTTTCTCCACTGCTCGATGGCTACCCTGTGCAAGGACGTGGTGGAACTCCCTGTTCTAGATCTAATCGCTCGTCCTACGATGTACTGGGCCTTCATAGTGTAAGTATGTAAGACATGGAATCTTCTGAGCTGCGGTCTTGGCCTTGTCAAGAAGCTCCCAGAATCGTGGATGCCTGACGATGCCGGATACCCAGCCAACCGTCTACGTAGTCTCTATCTCCGAATGATCAGAGAGTCTCTCCAGCTCCGTAACCTTCTTGACGGGATCTCGACATCCCAGCATTATTCAGTTTATGCGTGTTGAATATCTGGCTGCCTAGTCGCACGTGATGACGTCAGTCTTGCCGGCTCCCGGTGCAAAGTTCACCCCCCTTGTTCGACCAGAAAAGGACAAATCATGGTGTGAGAGTGCTTGCATTGCTTGGCAGGCAGGTTGCGCAACACCCAATAGTCTCCTCGCTTATTATCAGATGAGCATCTCGGAGCCTCTGGTGTGCCAGCTCGGCCCCGAGGCGACCCTGAACTTCCGTGCATGGGAAGAGGAGCCCTTTTGGCTTTCAACCTGTTACTACGAATTACCATGTCTGGTATCCTTTGCGGGTGAACTAGACTTTCTTTCAGCGTATTCGTATACGAACCAGTTTCTGTGAGAGGGCTGAGCAGATAGTTGTCTCGGCGGCCTCGGGGTCCTCAAGTGTCTCAGCCTCTTCCCTCGTTCGCTCGTTCACCAGGAACAGCCGCACAAGCGAACGAGGAACTTCTAAAAAAAGGGACGCGCGGAGGCTAAAAGAGCCGCCTCCGTCGATAACGTAAGCGAAAGTTAGATTACCTCGGCTTAACGGCCTTGGCATATCTAATCTTCGAAAATGGGCATTGATGTTGAACTGGATATTAGGAATCTCCATTGACACCAATCCAAGACGCGGAGGGAACAAGGAGGACAAGATGACCCCACCTCCAGCCTACGATGCGCCCGCCGACTCTCCCATCTACGCCAACAAGGAACTCTACACGCGCATCGCCAACTGCCCCTCCCGCACCCTCCAGCACTCCTCCATCATCCGCCCTCGATCCGCCCATGCCTGGACCGTCCGCGCCGGCCAGGTATGTCGCATAACCGCCCCCAAGGGTGCTCAAGTAGGCGACCTCAACATCTGGAACAGCAATAACCCCCGCGAACGCTTCTGGGCCTCGCGAACCCGCCAGCTCCACCAATCCCACGTCTCGACCTTCGACCGTCTCTGGTCCTGTCTTCCCTACATGAGGCCCTTGGTCACCATCACGGCAGACACCCTCTCCAGTTACGGCGTAGATGAGTCCGGCGGCCGCGTCCATGATCTGCTAGGAACCCGCTGCGATCCGTACATCCACCATCTAATGACGGGCGAATCCGATGACTACCACTGCCATTCCAACCTTGTCCGTGCCGTCGCCCAGCACGGCCTCGTGGAAAGTGACGTGCATGACGTGCTGAATGTATTCCAGGTGACGGGCCTGGATGAGAAGGGCCGCTACTTCATGGGCACCAGCCCGGCGAAGGTAGGTGACTACTTTGAGTTCTTTGCTGAGCAGGATGTACTTTGTGCGTTGTCGGTTTGCTCAGGAGGGGATCTGTCGCAGTGGGGTTGGAAGGGGAGTGAGGAGATGGGCGATACGACGAAGCCGTTGGGTGTTGAGGTTTATACTATCGACGATGCCACGGTATTGGAAGGGTGGAAGCCCCTTGAGCCGTCCGCGTATAAGGGACTACATGGTCTTCGTATGCCGGTGAGGGAGAACGACGGCCTTGCTGGTGTATAGGCTCGAGCATTTGATCTGTACTATGTATGCAGCTCATCTTATTTTCTATACGAGGTCGATATGGCTCCTACGAAGATATTGGGTGGAGCAGGCGGCATAACGTTACCTTTGACACACAGTTATATACGAGACGAGTAAAAATATAGAAAAAGAAAAAAATCTATACAGCTGTTCCTCGCATCATGTTCACGTTAAGCGAAACGTTATGGCCTGGATATACAAAAGGCCTTCCCTCCGCCAGCTTCGAGTAGAAATCCCAACAACTCATCAGTCTGCTACTCCTACAAGAACTTACTAGATAACCGCTACCAAACAACAGCATCACCATGCCTCGCTTCATCAGCCCCTTCGACGAAAGTCACCTCTTCTACCGTGACTACAAGCCAGCAGGTTTTCCAGCCCCTTTCAGGCCAGATGAAACCTACGTCAGCAACGAGAAGCAGCAGCCTGCCCTCGTCTTCCTCCACGGCTGGCCAATGTCCTCCATCATGTTCGAGAAGCTGACTCTCCCGCTCTGTGAAACTTATCGATTCCGCTGCATTGCCCCGGACAGACGAGGATTCGGCAACAGCGATTGGATGGGTTCCAAGCCCGTCTCCAAGCCCATTGACTACGACGTCTTTGCCGCAGACTTGACGTATCTGCTGGAGAAGCTTGATGTCGGCCCGTTTGTCTTCATCGGTGCAAGCATGGGCCCCGGAGAGGCTGTGCATACTTATATGAACAGCGAATATGTTCGCAAGAACTGCAAAGTATGCAGCCCTCCTTCTCCTCCTCTTCCTCTCTCAATTCGAATGTCAGCATGACATTGACTGACATTCTGCCATAGGGAATCATCGGTATTGGAGCCGCATTGCCATACCCGCTTCAAACACCAGACAATCCAACGGCCACCTCAAGAGAAGCGTGGGACGATATTCTCCATAATCTCCGCTACAACCGCCCAGCATACACCAAGGCCGCTTTGCCTACCATTCTAGGCCGAGATGCAGGCTGCCAGGTCAGTGACGAGTTGATCCAGCGTTATACCGATCTGGTACTCGGGGCAGACGCGCAAGCCGTCGAGCGATGCGTCCAGCTCATCTCTTCAACGGATTTCACCGAGAAGCTGAAGAAGTTGGAGCGCGAGACGGATATCCCGATTACTTGCCTCCATGGCGACCAGGACGCCCCTGAGTCTCAGGTCGTCGTACTGAAGAAGGTTGTCCCAAGGACCGTGGTGAAGATGTATAAAAATGCAGCGCATGGTACGTCGAATCAACATTTTCTCGGGTATCTTTCTGGCTCGTCCATTGATAACTGACTTGTTTCACTTTAGGCCTGACGGACACGCATGACGAGCAAGTTATTGCGGACATCCTGGAATTCGTTCAGACTCTAAAGTCTTAAAAGTGATGGAACGTTTATTATGTTGGTTTAGATAGTCGATCTTCAGTTTTACTTCCACTACAGATAATCAAACTCCACGATCTTTTTCTCCCTTTAATCTCCACAGTGCGTCTTCATAAGATTTTGGTAATAAGCATAACGTTATGCTTGAAACTCAGCCTCATTCATCGAAGATTGAAGATGCTGTCAAGGAGTTAAATTATACGAGAACATGGCTTGATAGTGCCGTAACCTATCACGGAAAGGGCAGCTAACACCCCTTCTGTCTATTTTAAGTATAAATATAAGAAGATGCATTCTCCTCCATTTTTCCGTAGTGATATCAGATATACAGATACCTGAACCGCAATGAACAAGAGAAAAGCAGACGATATCGTCGTCCCTGATATTGCAGAAGATGCAGCTGAACGGAAAAGAGTGCTTAACGTGCTGGCACAGAGGAGATACAGTATGCATTTTCATTTCAAATTCACTACATTAACCGTTTGCTAAACGAGGTATAGGGCAGCGAAAGCGAGAGCAATTAGCTGAGCTTAAAGCGAAGGCCAAACATGCAAAAAGCAAGGCCCCAGAGTCAATCGAGCATGCTGCATCTCCTAGATTTGAGTCTTCACAAAACCAGGAGCCAGTAAACTTACCAGTCGTGGTTGAAGAACAAGTTCCAACGCCTCCGGAGATAGACTATGAAATCCCACCGACATTCGATGGTGTGCCATCATCATTTGGAGATATCTTCAATCCACATGGTAATCCTGTTGAGACAGACGGAGAGTCGGCTCTACTTGGTCTAGACAGCATGCCGGAATTCAACTTTGACACTTCATTTTTATCTGCGATGGGGATAGAAACGCCTCCGCTAGACCTCCCTTCACCTCCATCGGATGACCACCTCATGCCCTCATCACGTACCTCGCCCAGTCTCTCTATGCTCTCTCTCCAGTTCCTCGCAAATCAACCCCAGGATGATACCCAGCCACTTTCCTCCGCCTTACAATCATTCCAGTCATCCAACTTTACGTTTCCGGACGATAAAATCCTCGACGTGCCGCCGTTAACTCTCCTGCGGGCTATGCTCACCATTGCGACTCGGCTGAATCTGACAGACCATATCTGGAATATCACAGGTATAAGTCCGTTTTATACGGGTTCGACTGACATCGATGTCAATGGAGCCCAGCCCCGGCTATCTTTAAACTTGGAAGATATCCCGAAAAATTTCCAACCGACGCCCACCCAACGGCTGGTTCCACATCATGCCCTCCTGGACCTGCTGCCATGGCCCAGTGCGCGGGATAAATTGATCCAGGTATTTAGCTTGCCAGTACAGTTACGTCCTCCAGCTGCCGCGGACCCGATGGGACTGATGGGCCTGGTATACGACATTGAAGATGCTGGTGAAGGACTCAGAGTCAGTGGACCAGATCCGTTCTCATCTGAGATGTGGGAAGTCGGGCAGCTCGTCTTCCAGCGCTGGTGGTGGGCATTTGAAGGTAGCATAGTGGAGAGGAGCAACCGTCTACGAAGCGAAAGGGGGGAGCAAGGGCTGATACTTGGAGATGTGCCATGATCACCATCAACTTCTCAACTTTCTTAAAACGCTGGAATTTCCTCTTCCTTCATAGTGGAACGCGGCAGATATCACATCGAGAATGAGTACGTCGCACATTGAATTAAAAGGGTTTGGGGATGACGATTCTGGAACATAATAGGACAGAATTTCAAAGCTCCGGCGTCATGAGAACAATGTGGTATATATTGTCACCTTGTGCCTGGTCTTGATTAGTTCTCCGAAGCTTCTTCTAACGGTAGGGTGCCGGCAGCGTCAATGGCGAGAATGGGCTCGGGTAACTTGACAAAAACGACGGGTAGCCCATTAATTTGGAATAGAGAGATATTTGGCTCTTCCTTTGACTGCGATGGAACGATTCTGTATTCTCCATGAAACTAAGGTAAACCATAAAAATAAGATTCAACCACAGAAAACTATTGATTTGCACGCTAGAATATTGTTCGATTCTGCTGTCTCCTTTCCATACTGCCGTCAAGCGACCTGCTTATCGTCCACCCCAGGTAATTTTATATGCCAGAAGCGTTAAATTCTATAGTTGAACCGCAGAGCCCAGACTGGAAAGCTAATAGCTTCAGTCTTGCTTTGTAGTAGAATATCTCTATACACTGCTGAAGAGCTCGGCAATCAGGATAATAGTAACCGTGCCACTAACAGTGAGCATCACAACAAGCAAAAAGGCTGTTCTTCACCTTCAACTCCAGAAAGAAGGATCGGGGCTTATGAGCCCACCACAAACGACCCAGGCTCTGTTTGATATATGGCGTAAGAATTGGAGCATAAAAAACGATATATATGTTGATTCCTCCCATGCTTTCGTATAAATAGCGTTCAAGTCCATAGTGATAATACCACATATACCCTAGCGCCAAATGAGTATATATAGTCGAACAGACGTAATATGGCTTAGTCCGCGTGCAACTGTTTGACTCTTTGTAAGTTGTATAGATACAACATCCACTACAGCACGCAGCTCTTTGTGTGATAATTTGCTGCCTGCTTCACTAGTGCTTGTAGGTTGCTACTATTCCTCAGCTTGGCATACATGCCAGCTCCCCTCACCCTATTTCTTCATTGATATGGTTAAAGCGGATGTCCCTAGGCTATCTGCCTCGAATATGCATAGATGTGTAGGTTGGCTGTGGTAGTTGGAACTCGTAAAAAGGATTAGCTAGTTGGGAGGATAGTTGAACTTTGAGAGTGCCGACAACCTTCGATAGCAGCAATAGGTATATGTATGATAAATGGACTTCATGGAAGGGATAGAGATATATATATTCCGTATATATTCTTCAAAAGTGAAAGGCTTGGTTAACAGTGAAGTAAAAGTAGTGAAACACAGAGGCAGCTGACTAAACCCATGTATCTATGTTTGCATGGTTTGCTCTTGTATATTAATAATAACTTACATAATGGCTAGTTGCGATGAACTAAAACTACTTTTTGGTACGCCTAACTAGCTAACTAACCGCTTCACAAGCCTCTCTTCTCGGAGAAGAAGCGATATGATCTCAGGCTGCCTCTCACTTGACCCTGTCATATGCAGATATACAACAACAGTGCGAAGACAAATACGTATTGGTGTGCGGCTGTTCCTGCTTATATATATGATCAGCTGGGCCACCTATATTTAAATTTCCCCTGTCAGGTACACCCTTCATGAACCAGAAAGCATCCACACCTTTTGACTATCCCAGCAGACTTTCGTCAAACGTTTGCCTGCTAGTTCTCCTATTGGCAAAGGGGGGTTAAATAATTGTGGCTGGGTACCTTCCATGTGGCTGTATGTACGTGGAATGATGTTTCACAGGCGACCTCGAGACAGCAAGCTACAGCTCCATCCTCGACTCACAAGGTGCTAAGCTTCGTATGCTACACACCACCCACAAGGTACAAAAATGGGATCACAACTGATATGAGGGCCTATGAGGACCTATGTTAGGTCTAAATAAGGTTAAGGAGCCTCCCTTCGTATCCTTGACCTTGTTCCAGATTCCGTCATCCCCGAAGGTGGTGGTTGTTCTTCTGATGAACGGTATTTTTTTTTAACGTTCTGCCCTACTCGTTAGCTATGTATCTTTATTGATAAATAGGCTGCCTTACCCACCAGCAGTGAGCAGGGTAAGAGTCATCTCACATGGAAATGGAGCGAAGAGAGAAGAAGAAGCAAATAGGTTTTAAAGGGAGGATATCTTAAAATAGTGCAATAAGGAGTGTTTTCTCTTTCGTTTGCTGCCTTGAGAGATAACAAAAACGGAGCCTACTTACTATATAGATACGCCTCATGCACACACACCATCCCAGCAGTCACTCCATGACACAGCCTCCCCCCTTGTTTGTTTCTCATTCTCCTAGATATCCTTACGGTCTATTATCTCTTCCCTCTTTCGGCCAGTTCCTTCCACTGAGGCTGCCGAGACTGTGCAGTGCCCGCTTTAAATGGACACTTTGTAGTCCCCTTCCGTCCTCTTTTTCCCTTGTCACAACATTTTAACAACAACACCGTTCTCAGACTCTTCTTCTTTTCATCAGACTCATCTCCATCGCTTGCACTTGAAAGATCAATCTAAAGGGCCTCGAAGCAGCCAAATAGGTGACTTGAAGCCATCAAAGAGAGCGTTTTTATGAGGTATATGGTTCTGACAAGTGTGCTACACCCAGATCCCTCCTATCTTACCAAGTAGTCAAGGTAGAATCACCAAGATGTACTTCAACGTGAGTGCCTTGAGCTCCCCTTGTTTTATAGTCTCTGCAGTTGAAGTACGTTCAACTCCGCTGACATTCTTTGCAGGTTACAGTCAAGCCAGGTGCTCCAGAGGAGGCGCTCAACAAGTAAGTATAGGTTCCATTTAGCCTCATGTTTCCGTATTCTTCTCTTGAGGGTAGCACCAATATGCGAAATAACGGGAATGACATACGGATCCCTCCTTCATACTGACCGGTCCGACTGACTCTGGAATCTACAGGGCGAAGGAATCAGCGAAGAAGACTGGTGGTACCATCCGTCATGAATACAAATTGATCAAGGGATTCACGTAAGAGATCCTTCCCGCATACTCTTCTCCTCAGTGGTGAAATATGGGCTTTGAGCTGACGATACCTTGGGGTTCGGAATAACTAGTGTGGAGTATCCCAACGACCACAACCTGGATGACGTCCTCAAGTCCAACGATCACGTCCACGTCGAACAGGATGGCCCCGGACCAGCTAAGAAGGTTGCTACTTCCACCATCTGAAGCACCAGGAGTTGAAAACGACTGCCACATTTGCACCTTAATCTTGTTGTAATGCCCCTCTCGTATTCCATCCGCTAACGTCGTCTTCTTTTTTCTTTCCTCTCTGGCAAACCGGTCGAACAGCACAAAAAAAGGCGTTATGGTTACGGGATTTTCTTTGTTTCTCCCCCTTTAATATCTCTTTCACTCATATGTTTTATTAACCAACTTGTTTCTTATTGAGGGGGAATGCGTATTATGTTTCATTATGTGGTAGCTTCGAACAACGCAATCGTACTGTTAAAAAAGGCCTATCTGAGAAGTAGACGCATCCTTCGTACTCGGACTTAATTCCGGGGTTAACTGCTATTTACAAGGTTCAAAAGGCTCAGTTTACGTGTCTGTTTCTTCTATAGATAGACAGCTGACACTATACGTGCTATGTAGTATATGAGAAATAGGCTGCAACGGCAGTAGTTATTGTCTCTCCTGACCACTCGATAGTAAACTTGCTACGCCTAACCCTACGTATATACATATGTATACCCCACACTTGACAAGGCTTCCCGCATGATCCTTGCTGCAGCTTATGTATGACGCTTTATATTTACCCCCAGGGAGATCTGACATGCAATAGATATGCGGCATTGCTTGCGGAACGCCGATAACCCTTCCTTTTTCCTGCCTCTCCTTTTCTGGCCATGCATTTCCGGATGTTGGCTACTATGTAGCCAATCCACCAGGTAACGGCATCGTGGCTGGGTATTTCTTTTTCTTCCTCATCTACGAAGTCCGGAGTATACAGGGATGGAGATGCATTCCCACACAGATGGGGCCGGCAGATGGGCTCCCTCTGGGGCGTTTGATGCGATATCCGTACTCTGTACTCCGTCAAGGCCTCATCTAGCTTCACTTAACTACTGCTGTTGCCGTATAACAGGGGTCCTTATATCGTCCTGGTTGGTCACTCTGTCTCCCCGTCCTGCTGGTTATATCGAGACGTCTCGGCCATCCTTGGGGCATGTTTTCATTTGTCAACCCTTCTCACCAGCCATTCAGCCGACCATGGCTTGCTGTAAAACAGCCGTTCAACCCTAGCCGTGGGAATGATAGATGCAACTGCGGTCCGTCTGACACAGTGCCATCCCCCACTGGTCCGCGTAGGGGAACTGTTCACTGCGCACGTAACATGCCGGACTTCTGGCAAACAGAAAAGAAGAACAGCCTCCCTTTATAAAACCATGGATTCTCACTGTAGATAACTAGCCTTGGCGAGACATTGGTTTCTGGGTTGGACTGTTGGGCCGAGTAAAAAAGAAAGGAAGACGCCGACGGGGTCTTTTATATATCAGCCTGGCCAACCGGATTTATGGACGAACTTCTTCGGGGCCCCTTGATGCCGCCAGCCAGTAGCGGACTCCTCCACGCCTACAGGAGTGTATCGCCGTCGTCATAGCTGAAGCTGGTTGGCGTATCGCGGAAATCACAAGATAAACCCCGGCTCACGCTAGAAGGAGGAGGAAGTTGTTGGGTGGTTTTCTTTTTTTTTCCCTTTACGCTTTCGTGGTGAGCCCTTTTTTGCCGCTTAACTACGGGGGGTCGCCATCACCACCATCGTCATCATCGGTACAACTACTTATACACCACCACCACCACTGCTAGAGGTGCCCCTACGGCTACAGGAGAGAGAAGAATTCACTGGATTGCATGTCACAGCATGGAATAGTAATAGCAATCGACTCTCTCACCATGGCATTACTTCGAGCACACCCTTTTCGCGCTGCTGCAAAGAGCCGGCCGATCTGTGGTGGCACGTCGGTGCGCTCCCTGTCCTCCGTCACCACGAGTAGCTGGTCCTACCCGCCCTCTGCGTCTGATATATCTACTGATGAGATCACTCGCCTGGCTATGAGCTCTCGTCGGCCTCTGACACTTGCAGACCTGCTCAGGTAAGTCGTCAGACCTGTTTTTTGTCGACGAGAAAGACAACGTTGACACCTTTGGGGGGATTAGACATGGCCGGCCGCCGCTCACAAGAGAAGCCCTCCTCGCGTCTGCAAACTTCACCCTCTCTCTTCTCCCTGCTAGACTTGCCTGCCGTATCCAGGCTCTGAGAAACCTCCCGTTTATCGTCGTGTCGAACCCACACATCTCCCAGATTTACAATAATTACATCCATTCTTTCGCTACCCTGCTACCCTTTCAAAAACGGAGGATCTCAACGCCGGAAGAAGAGAAACAGTTTACTGAGATCATGGCTGATCTGGTGCAGACACACGACAATACAATTCCTGTGCTAGCTCGAGGTTTTCTAGAGTGTCGTAAATACATCAGTCCCACCGAGGTGACTGCGTTTTTAGATGAGCATCTCAGGGCAAGAATCGGCACTCGGCTGATTGCCCAACAGCACCTGGCACTCCATCATGCCTCTCTCACGGAGAACGGCGATCTCTTGACGTCACGAGAGAAGCATGTGCCATCTAACTATATCGGCGTAATCGATACGGCCCTTAAACCTGCTAGTCTGGTAAAGGTGTGCGAGGAGTTCGTCGCCGAGATATGCGAACTCAAATATGGCGTTCGCCCTAGAGTAGTTATCAACGGAGAGCCAGAAGCGACCTTCGCCCATATTCCCGTCCACGTCGAATACATAATCACCGAGCTCTTAAAGAACGCCTTCCGGGCCACGGTTGAGGCTGGAAACGAACGTGAGCCTATCGAAGTAACCATTGCTTCAGCCCCCAACGCGCCCAGCACTCGTATCGAAGAGGTCCCCCCTCACGCTGAGAAAAGCCCAAACTCGCTTGGAACTGGCTCACAGAACAATTTCCAGATGGGCATGCATGATGGGCGACCTCTAGGCCCAGGCCAGTTGTTCGAGCCACTCAAATCATCTGCTCAGAGTATCACAATTCGCATCAGAGATCGCGGAGGTGGTATACCCCCAGAGATCCTGTCCGATATCTGGTCCTACAGCTATACCACGTTTAGTGAAGATGAACTACCCGTCGGCGATAATGGAAACATCGATGCTCTGAACGCGATATCTGGCAGTGGCGGCCATAATGCTAGCACCATCGCTGGCCTTGGCTACGGACTCCCACTTGGGCGAGCCTACGCGGAGTATTTTGGAGGAGGCATTGACATTCAAAGCCTTTGGGGTTGGGGTACTGATGTGTATCTCACCCTTCAAGGTGTCGGAAAGGTGCAAGGTTAGACCTGTCAAGCATGTCTTATAAACATGTCTGTGTCCCTGCCTGCTCATACAGGCATAACTTACATACGACTCACACTTCCACCCACCAAATCCACCGACTAAGAAAGGCCGGTCAGACAGCCTGGCCCAGCTTCCGTCTTGGAAGCATTATCTCGTAAGACGTACCCTACACATCTTCGAACATCACAAAATTGCAGGCTTAGGATGTTCACCACTCTACAGTGCTGTTGAAATTACGCTGATGATTGGCCTCTCGCCCTGCCCCATGATTTATGCTGGGCCAAAAAGTCCCGATGTACACACTTTATCCGAACAATGGTGTACCAACCAATCTCGAAGCGGTAACATGAAATCACTACTGAGGGTTTTAAGGCAAATGATGTGACTCTTCGGATTATCTACTACCTTTCGGGGGGTTATTTTTAACTATATCCTCCATGCGTCACGACTTGTTAAAATATCAAGCCGTTAAAGCCTACTTTTCTGGACTCAGCATATGGAGCCATATTCAAATGTTCACACACGTTGCTTATAGATATATTCTCATACTATGCCTGCGTGGGTTGTATTGTGAATGTTCTGAATAATACACTGGGGTAAACTACAGGAGGGCGTAGGCGGGCTGTTCGTTTCTTCTTTGAGCCATTGACTGTACTTTTCCTGTTTTCATCGGATAGCTGATCTAGTGATCCGCTTTATAACCTTTTTTAAGACGGTTACGATAGAGGGGAGTTGGCGGCACTTATCAGCATCCTTTTCTGCCATGTCTACCATTATTTTACTCATAGGCTTCGCTCAATTCATCAGGCATTTACATTCACATTTTCCTATCCTATAGTAAAGTCGAATGTCTTGCGAAAAACCGTTTATCTTCCTTGGATATATGTATTATTGGTTTTTACGTTAAATCCAAATCATTAACTAATAAAATCGTTCAATTGGTCCTGTTTTGTACACAGATTCAAGCACCTATCTAAGTCTGGATGGTAGTGGCCTAAGGGGTATATCTAAGATATATACACATGTCTATCTGTTGTAGTAAATTGCAAAATATGATCAAACACCGAGAGATGCCCGAATGGTGAAAAATGAGATGAAAAAATAGCCTGTGGTCGGTCTGCTCCCTAGCGTAGAAAGGTTGTCTCGTTAAATTCGTGAGTATATGGCCGCAAAATTCATAGTCAGGTTAATATTGCATGCATATCGGGACTCAACATCGTTCCAAGCTTGTCTGTATAGGCAGTTGCGTTTCAAGACCTGAGATTGCGTTGTGACCCGCGTTTTGCCGGACTAGCATTGGTAGGAGGGAATGTACTGAACTGTGGTGTAACTGGAGATACATCTTCGCCATCTTCGCTGATGTTCCCTATCATTTTACCTTTCACCCTTTGATCTACCTTCAAAACGGAAAAATGTTAGTAACGCTATTTTAGTATAAAAGGGGGAAAGGAATAAATGAAAAGTAAGAAATCAGGGATAGCAGTACCTTATCAAGCTCATAATTCTTCATGAGCAAGCTTAACGGGATCAAGGGTATGCAAACACAAATAGCAATTGTTAAGAGAGTCTGCATGGTCTCTTCGTAGGAGCGAATAATAGCGTCTCTTGTTGGTGAGCCCATTGGGTATGATAAGGCCTTGGTCAACTTGCCAAAGATTTCAGTGGCTTCCCCTTTGGTTTCATCGGGTAGATATTTTACTAGCTTGCTTGGTAAATAAGTAGTCCAGATCGCACCGGATACAGCTGATCCCACAGCTCCGCCCATCTCAAGGGCAGTCAGAAACATAGCAGTAGCGGCAGCTACCTGTTGGTGATTAGCCGAGGCTTGAACGCCAAGTTGGACAGGGACATTGACGAGTCCGCCTCCCACGCCAATGAGGGATTGAACGACAAGAATTTGCAACGTGGATTTGCCTGATTTGTGGGTGGCGAGCATTAAGACCAGCCCTAGGATATAAACAACACAGCCAAAGGTGATAAATGGACGGTATCGTTTCGAATATTTGATCATAAAGGAGACGACGAGAGCGGCGATCGTAGACATAAAAGAAAAGGTCTGGGTGATTCTTCCGGCAGTAACAACAGGTTTTCCCTGGACCACTTGCAGGTACGAGTAAAAATAGGGTTGAACGGAAAAGTAGAAGGCCACTTTATTAGTATAAAAAGGGTTAGCAAGAAAGAATGAAGATCCAATGAAAACCTCCCAAAAAGAGGCACCAAGACTTACTGAAGTAGAAGAAAGCCAGGGCACATCCAGCAAGTGCCGTTCGTTGGCGAAGGAGACCTAGTGATAGCAAAGGATGCGGTGCAAGCCTCTTAGAAGTCTCCCAGAATGGGTATGCTACCAAACAGACAGCTCCAACAACAATCATTGCAACGATGGCCCCATTTCGCCAAGTATCCTTCGCATGGGCAGCCAGGGTCAGAGGAACAAGAATCAGTGTCACCGCAGCTGAGAGTAAAATCAAACCAAATATATCCAACTCGAACCATGCGCTACGGAGCACACTTTTCAAGCCTTTGCCCTTCCATGGCTTGGGTTTCAGCAAATTCAATTTCTGCGCCTTTCTCTGGTTTAAACATAGCGATAGGGCCAATGGAAGAAACGCCAATGGCAAGAGTACCACCCACATGCCGTATCCCCATCTCCATGAGAGGTGCTTCAACACCCAGGATGCGATCATTGGCCCGACCCAAACAGTGATCAGGAAGGGTATTTCTGGAAGAATAGCGAATAGAGCTCGATTCAGCAGATTACTACTATCAGCAATGAACACTTGCTGGAGTATCTGTAACCCAGTAGATCCAGCAGAATAGAAAATCTGCGCAGAAGCATAGGTCTCAACGTTCTGAGAAGCTGCCATCTGTATGTATCCAAGCACATAGATGAAGACAGCAATACAGAATGCTTCAAAGCGGCCAAACACATCGGCAAATTTAGCCATGGGTGGCTTTATAACAGCTAAAGGGTATTATTATTAGCATCCAGGCCCATGAATGAAGCTGGGGATGATATGCACATACCATTGACCACATTCTGAATAACCAGGACAGTTGAGATGAGAGAGTGCTTGCTAAATGAGCTTGTAGCGTAGGCAGTTAGAGATGCCACGGTCTGGGTTTCAAGTGAAGAACAAAATGCCATCAGTATAATACTAAAGTCATGTTGGTTAGTCCAGGGGTTCTCTAGATAGCTGCTATGAAAGTATTACCCAAGGTATGCTATTAATAAGGACTTCTGTGTCCATGTCCGGCTGATTGCCTCAATCTTGCGAACACCTTCCTGGACTTCGCTATCCGACGAAGATGGGTAGGGGCTGATATGTAGGTGTTCGTCCGTCCCATCTGCCTCGTCTGTAGCTTGTAACAGCCGGTCTGCCTCTGCTATATCGTCCAACCTATCGTCCGGCTCGCAGCTACCATACGATGGAACTGTTCTAGTATGTATCTGGCCCATCGTTACCAAAGAGCAAATAGGGGCTTAGTGAAAGTGTAGGAGGAAGGAGTATGTTGTAACGGGCAGCGGAAGCTTGGTCATCGAGTTCTGGCAAATCTGTTCGAAAGCATCCGTCCGTTGAAAAGGTATAGGTGCTGCCCATCTGCCTATAATCAGATATCCAAGCCGCTCTGAATGTGTAACTGGGTCAGAGCAGGCCGCGGTTGACAGACCCAACGACTCACGAAGTGGCTTAAGGGCTTCAGGACAGGAATATTAAACGGGAACGGAGGCCGGATTTTGTTTCATTTTCTGCACCCACGGGCGACTATATACGACCGGGAGCCGGGGGAGCTGGGAGTGCGTGTATATGGAGTGACAGGTACGAGGCTAAAAAATTGGTCAGATGAGGCTTGCAGACGCCTCCGCAAATCAGCTGTGGACTTGACAGGTCGACTCTTTACGATTTCAGCAACAAGGCTCGTGAAAGAAGGGAGCTGGTCGAGCATGGGTGCTGGAGGAGGAGGGCGTTTCCCCCTTGTTCTGCATCCGGAATAGGTGGAATCTCCCTGGCATGAATGCAGAAGCACGCGCCCTTTGACATCAGGTCTCGAGGTGTCTCTGTGACTTCTTGCCTCTCCGGCCCAAAAGATGATCTGATATGATAAGATTAGGCCGCAAGAGAAGAGACCTGCAGGCTTATCTCATCGCTATAACGGCCTGCTATTGGTTACACTGCCACCGTTATGGTTTAGTTCCATCTTGGCTGCGCACAGAGGCTTAACCGAAAGAGGAAGTCATCGGCTCCGGTCGGATCTGATAGCAAAAGGCCCCGTTTAGTTCCGATCCCAGAAGTCGAGACGAATAGAAAAAGTGGAAGAAAGAACAGATAATAACTTGTTTTATACGTTGACATACGGAGGATAACTGGGCTACTTAGACATCGAGCTGCGAAAAAGACACGGTCAGATCCCCAAGTCCGGCCTCTGACGATGGCCTACAGACGTATACTCCGACCCAGCACTCCAGCTTCTCTTCGTCCTCGAACAGCCAGGTCACCTCTCTCATCGGCACCCTCTCTCCGTCTTCTTTGACGGCATACACCCACAGAGTCTGATCCTTTGGCCTTCGCTTCATCTCGATTGTAACGCCAACCTCGTCGCAGCCAGCAAGGTCCTCCCCGGCCGGGATTGGAGACAGACTCCAGTCGGCCCATCGATCCCTTGCCACAGTGCTACACCGCGGTACTCCCTCCACGAACTCGATCCCAGCCTTGATCCACTTCTCTCTTCATCGGAGTTGTGCCCCACCTGGACGATCGAGGGCGATGATAAGGCCTCCTTGGTCGTAGAGTGTTATCCATTTGGCCGAGACTCTCACGCTGGCTCGCTGAAAGGAGGCCAGAGGCATGGTTTTGAAGAGCATGGGTGCATTGAAACGGTGAGTCGAAGGTGGTTTGGACCATATGTCAGTCGACGGAGGAGCTTTGATGGTGAAGTTCGTCTTCAGCTCCTCAGGCGAGGGAACCGGCTGCTCTGTGTTCTTGAATCTCCAGCTCGCCATGTTCTAAGACGGCCAACATCGACTTGTGGTATAACTACGGATTGAAAGGACGATACCGATCTATTATCCTTTCTGATAGTTTTTGGGGATCAAGACATCTCAACCCTCTTGGGTGTGTAATATATATAGTGGTTCGACCCCGCAAGCCGTGCCTCCTTCCCCCCACCTTGGGTTGAGCCCACTCAGACATCCGCAGTTGTTTATATTCACACAAGTATATATATACATTCATCCTTTCGGAGATGAAGGGCTACGAGATGCGAGATACGAAATAAGAAGTACGATGAAGGTAAGTCTGAAAACTAGCTACGTCGGGGATGCTGGAGAGCCCAATCTAAAGGGATTGGCCGGATACAGCGGCCGTCTTATTGGCCGGGGATCTCGAAACTGGAGATTTGGTCTGCAGGCGGCCGGATGATGCCCGGCTTTGAGATGGGTGTGTGAGCATTGGTCCACTGTTGTAGCTCCGATGGGACATATAAAGTATACAAGTACGGAGTCGACAGGCTCAATCTGGCTGCTCCTCGACATGGTTGGTTCGGGGAAATAGGTTCAGTATCCCTTGAAAAGAGTGAAATGGAAGGGTTGACTCAACACTGCTGTTTTAATATACTTACTATGTTCTCATGTTTCTGGGGACTATAGAGGCTGTGCTATAGGCCTGGACTCCCTATAAATAGCGCTAAATGTCCATGTCTACTCCGTAACCTCCTTTTTGCGGCGTAGAATATAAAAACCCCACCCCGACGCCGTTGAGCAGGGTCTGTATGATTAAAAATCACTACAGAGCAGAACGAACGAGTAGCGAGCTGGGATATTATCCGTTACACATGTCAGGCCACAGCTTCATGGGTTAGCAGACATGGTTGTCTATGCTGAACCCCCCGGTTTCTCTCCAGTAAGAGAAACATGTTCCAGCCGCTAGAGGTGTAACTTCTCACCCAGTCTCTGTATCGAAGGGGAGGGAGAGGGGGTGGGAGGATAGAGAACATCGAGTACGGTAGACCTGTCGTTTTGATGCCTCTCAGCCGAGGGCGCGCCTCATATCATCTTAATGCCTCGCCCCAGACGAACGTAGGACGAATAACTAGAAAACGAGGCAAGATGATCTGAGAAAGTGAAGCGGTTCAAGGGGTTGCTGTGGAACGCAAGTCCTATCACATATGAGCCAGCACCGATATATTCCGCGCCATTCCCGCCTTCTTGGTGGATGGATGCCTAACCTGTGCCTGTCTGTTTGACCAGCGGTTGGAATCTGGGTTGATGAGGTGTACCTCGGAGATACATGCGGGTGTCGTGTATCCATCATCATGTAGAGACGTACCTCCCAGGTCTCCCGAAGTTGGTAGCACGCCCTCAACCAGGGGGGTTAAAAGGAGAAGAACAAAGCCTCAAATCGATCTGTCATGCAATAAAAGGCCATAATTATTGCCTGATATACACATAACATCCCCGAGCTTGCTTTTTCTCGTGGCGTTCATCTTGCAGCCTGTCATTCTTGAGCTTAACAACGCTCCTCTTTTTCTCTCTTGTCGTCTCAAGCTTCGACCGGCCCTCTGAACCGTCAGCATCATCTCGGCATCTTCTTCTTCTTCTTCTATCGTAACAGCGTCCTGTCCTGCCGTCGTACCCCGACTAGGCGCTAAGCTGCTCCGATATCATATAAATATCAAAGTTGACAACCTCGTTCGTCTCAGGTCTGTCAGGCAGTTGACGTCTGGTTGGTCGTGCTTCTTCTTCTCTCTTCCTCTCGTCTTCCCCTTGAATCAACCTCCCTCCTAGGCCTCGAATCTCTTACTAATTTAATATATCAGAGCAAGCCTCCCCGGAGAAGGAGAGGAAGAAGCAAAAAAGCCTTAGCCATTTTGACAGCCGAACTAGAACTGACTTAGAGATAGTCAAGAGGGGCACCGTTTGAGGTTGTTGACTGGTCCAGCTCCAAGTTTAACTAGCAGCCAGCAGCACCTTGCAGAAAAGAAAAAAAAAAAAAAAAAACCCGAACCCTCTTTCGCAAAAAGAACATCATAACCTCCAACCTCACGCCTCTCTCTCTCTCTGACACCCTCTTGCAAGTCTGCACACACGATCTCGCCTCTCTCTCCTCTCTCGCCCTCGCCCTCCCGATATCTCGCTCACTCGCAGGCAACACCTCTTCACTCTTCACTCTCTTCTTTCTTCCTCCCTTCACCTCTGATCCCGCCACCGAAACCGTCTCCTTGTCACTTTTTTCGAACGGCGAGCTCGTCCCTGTTCAACGCTACCGTTCCAATCCTGTTGACCATCGTGCAATTCACGTCACTCAGGGCGGTTCTTGGCCACGTTCTTCCTCCTGTCTCCTTTATTTAGTCTTCTCCCTGATATCAACGTCCGGCTCCCACCCAACCAAGCTTATCTCTCACACCGCAAGTTGCCCTTGAAGGTCTTCAGCTTCTTCTCCTCCTGCCTTGCTCCTCATATCTCCAAAATAAAAAAGCAAAAAATAAAAAAGAGACAAAGTAGCTCAACATGGTTGTTGCTACCATCAAGTAAGTCCACCTGCAGCTTGGTTTGACGTCAAGATAAGCAAGTTCTCGCGTGGATAATAAAAGTAAGAGAAAAAAAAGTGTTCTTGTCGTTTGCTGACACTTTCAACTGTAGATGCGTTGTCGTCGGTGATGGTGCGGTTGGAAAGACCTGCTTGTTGATCTCATACACAACCAACAAGTTCCCTTCTGAATATGTCCCTACTGTGTTTGATAACTATGCCGTGACAGTAATGTAAGTTGCGCCTGTCGCTTTCTACTCTATGTTAGCCCCTTTCTACTGTGAATGGTTTAACGCGTCTTTGTCGTTATCCTGCATGTTCATGTCACTCACACGTCACTCCCGATATCAGGATTGGAGATGAGCCATATACTCTGGGACTCTTTGATACTGCTGGCCAAGAGGATTACGACCGTTTACGCCCGCTATCCTACCCACAGACTGATGTCTTCCTGGTCTGCTTCTCAGTCACCTCCCCGGCTTCATTTGAGAACGTACGCGAGAAATGGTTCCCCGAGGTCCGCCACCACTGTCCAGGTGTCCCGTGTCTCATTGTCGGTACCCAGACAGATTTAAGAGACGACCAGACTATCAGGGATAAGCTAAGCAAGCAGCGGATGCAACCAGTCCGCAAGGAGGATGGTGACCGCATGGCCAAGGAGCTTGGAGCTGTCAAATATGTCGAGTGCTCGGCTTTGACCCAGTATAAGTTAAAGGATGTCTTCGATGAGGTGGGTTAAAAGAAGACCGAAAATGCCATTTGCCTTGTTCCTCCTATGTACTAACAACAACCTAGGCCATCGTTGCTGCCCTAGAGCCCAGTCCACCAAAGAAATCCAGCCGCTGTCTACTCCTGTAGAAGACCAGCACCGAGAGAAAGTTACAATACCATCTGTCTTTGATACATCGGCTCAATCTCGTGGACTAAGGGTGTTGATGGGGCTCTGCGTATTTACCTATTTAGATGCTCTTAAACTAGTATCTCACGATGCTTCCCTTTAGGCTCGCAGGAGCTGGGTTTTTTCTTTCTTTTCAACATCCTCGCACCCAGAGAGATACATCACATAATGGGGTTTTGGGCGGCGTGCTAAGGACAATTTGAATCGGATGAATCCTCTTTACGACTTTGTTTTGTTTTCCCTCTGTTTTTTTTTATTATTTCCTTGTCTTGCCTTTGTTATCTGATTTGCACCCGATGTGTCTTTTCGCATGTGGCTTGCCTGCCCCTGCTATTTATCCTCCTAAATGCATGCTATGCTGGTCTGGGAGGGAATCTTCAGACCGAGAAAGGTGACATACCCCTTCTGGTCTTGATCTGTTTTATTATTCCCCCTCCACCTCCTTTTTTTTAATCGAAGATGACAGAACTCACCGGGCCAATACAAGTGTTTCTTCTTTCCAGATTCCCTTGTTTTCTTCTTCCCTACACCCCTGCCCTGCCAACTCTAGTACTTTTTATGACGTTTAGATTTTACGACGCGCAAACGCCTTGAATGAAAAAAAGTGCTCAAAATATTATTCTTTTATACCGTGAAGGGTTAGGTTGCGTAGGGGGGAAATGACTATCCAGGCGGTGTGATGGAGCACCCAATGGAACCAAAAACCCGCCCTGTGTCTGCTCTATATACAGTCTCCTTCGCGCCCCCTTTTTTTTCTCAACAAGACGCTCAAAGCTCTTCTTTTAGCCCATCCAGACCAATTCGGACACCCTCCTTATACGAATTCATTACGCCATCTTTTATCGACCCCTCATCTCCCTTTCTACCAAACCAACCCCCAACCTTGGCTTGGTCTTCAACTCCAAGTTTCACCATGCTAGCAATGATCTCATTGACCACATGTGCGGCCGCGAGAGCTGTCCCCCCACCGCGGTGGTCATAGCTAGGCGAGACCTCAACCACATCGGCACCCACGATATTCAATTTCTCGAGCCCGCGGAGGATCCTGGCCAGCTCCCTTGATGTCCAGCCGCCTGATTCCGGCGTGCCTGTTCCAGGTGCAATGCTGGGGTCAAGAACATCGATATCCAGACTTATATAGACAGGCTGGTCGGGATCAAGGCCAACTCGCGAGTATATCGCGTCGATTATCCCCTGAGTACCGATATCGTCGATATCATCGGCATGAATACGCATGAACCCTTTCTCTACCCCAGTACGGTAATCTCTATCATCAGCTCCACCGAGATATGATCGTAATCCCGCATGAGCAGATGTCGTGTTTGAAATTAGCCCTTCTTGACCGGCATGGAAGAGCCAGGTTCCATGGTTGAGTCCATCTACATCTGGTTTCCAGTAGCCGTCGTAACGGGATGATTCCCAGGTATCTTGATGAGCATCAAAGTGTATCACAGTAATCGGTTTTTTATAGATCTCATTCAAGGCTCTCAATGCCGGAAGGATAATGCTATGATCTCCTCCGAGAGTTACAATCTTAGGCCTCCCATCAGAAATCCTTGGTTGTCTTTGGGACTTCTCACCCTTCTTCGGCTGATATGCCGTCTTTCGCATACCTAGCTCCAGAAAAGCTTCGAACATCTGCTTTTCCGCGATTCTGTTGTCCATCTGTGTGATGGGGATATTCCCGCAATCTATAACTCTAGCCCAATCCATATAAGGATTGATTCCGGCCCGCACGTTATAAGAACGCGCTGGTACTTGACGACCACTTGCTTCACGGATTGCCCTAGGCCCAAATCGTGCTCCAGGCCTGTATGAAGTTGCTGTGTCGAATGGTGCTCCAATAATGGCAATGTCGTACTGCTCATTTGGCTTAGTGAGACACGGGACATGTTCGAGTCCTCCAAACGTGCCCATGGTCGAAAATGCAGACTGGATACATTGTTAACATTTGGAATACAATTACTACAGAAACGGCTACAGGCATGCAGAGTATACTCACTAATTCTGGTGCCCATTTATGTTCTAGCTCCTCCTGGCTCAGCGGCGTCTGTTCCTCGCCATGGTGGTGGCTGTGAGAACTCACTTGAGCGCTGAGGTATGTTCCTACCAGAGCAAGTGTTTTGTATCTGAAGTACACCATTTTGTATCCTCCCCCTCTTTTTTTTTTTTACCGCAGATGCATCAATTACATAGTATGGATGGATATGGAATTAAAACTCACAGGTCAAGTCTGTGGGAGGTGAGCAAGCTATTATAAATTCTAATAGACCGCTTCAGCTGCAGATTACCTAGGCAATCATATATTCATCACCTGATACCTTAGCTTCAGTGTGTATACATAGCAAGTGGGTTATTCTCCATAAATACCGGCTAATGATTTGATATCAGCGAGTGACAGAGGGCTCCGTACCTAAACTAAAACCTCCTCACCGCGAGACGCCGAATATTAGTACCGAGCAAAGGACAGGGGAGTAGGGATATCTCCTTGGTGTCATCCCTGCCATGCACTGCTTTCAACAGGCGACTCATCCTGCCGTTTGGATATTCTTCATGTATTTATCACGAGTTGATTACTCTCTAGATGTTTATTCGCCAGATCCATCCATGGATTACCTAAGGTGGAAGAACATTGCTCCATCCCGATATTACGTTATCACGTGAACCTTAAATTCGTCCATTAAGAGATATCAACAGGGACGGTGATTGATGAAGAACTAGAGTCTACATCGTGTTTCATAACATTCAGCGGCTTAGGATAAACATAGTCAGGATATACCACCTTCTCGTTGCACTTTTAGCTCCAAAGGGCCCGTTAAACCTCCTTTAGTCCACACAAAGGGTGGAATGCGCCGAGTTGTCGTTACTGGCCTGGGTGCTGTCACTCCGCTTGGGGTTGGTGTGTTGCCACTATTTATATTCAAGTACTATACTTAATACCTGACTATATCTTAGGAATACGACATATATGGAAAAAGTTGCTAGATGGGCATAGCGGGATTATATCTATAAAAGATAGAGACCCAAAAATTGCTGAGCTACCGTGTCAGATTGCAGGAGTTGTTCCAAGAGGCCCAAAGGCAGAAGGCTGTTGGGATGCGTCCGAATGGGTGACTCGTGATGTAAGATTATCTACTATTCTATATAAATCTGTCTATTTTACTTTTTCTAATTGATATGGTAGGAACAACGGAAAATTGCTTTATTTTCTCAGTATGCGTTGGCCGCTACCCAAGAAGCTCTTGAAGATGCAAATTGGATGCCTACAACAGAGGAATCTAGGAATATGACTGTTAGTATTATATATCTAACCTGCACATTGAGTGACCAGCTACGAATATGTACTCCTTGATAGGGGGTGTGTTTAGGTTCGGGAATTGGAAACTTTGACGAAGCATTTAACACATCTTTAGCATATGCTACTGGAGTAAGTGATGACTTGGAACTTAGAGAATTATAACATTGCTCTTACTTATAGCAGCATTATTTAGGGATATCGAAAAGTGTCACCACTTTTTGTCCCTAAGCTTCTTATCAATTTAGGAGCCGGGCATATATCTATGAAATATGGGTTCATGGTATGTAGCACTGAATTTCTTATTTCTACCCTTATACCATATCCTGTAAAATTAGTGCATTGTTGACACCTATAAGGGGCCCAATCATTCAGTCTCAACAGCGTGTACGACAGGGGCACATTCTATTGGCGATGCTTCCCGTTTCATTGCACACGGAGACGCCAATGTCATGATTGCAGGAGGAGCCGAATCATGTATACACCCCCTTGCCATTGGAGGCTTTGCACGGTGTCGAAGTCTTGCTACTGGTTTCAACAACACTCCAGAAAAGGCATCCCGGCCATTTGACAAAGACAGGCAAGGGTTTGTTGTCGGAGAGGGAGCCGCCGTTGTTATCCTTGAGGTAACCATCCGTTCTTTTTATCCCTGCACACAAACCTCCTTTCTGCTCGCTAATCTGAGATGCCTTTTTTTTTACAGGAACTTGAACATGCCCTGTCTCGAAACGCCCGTATCTATGCAGAACTTAAAGGGTATGGGTGTTCAGCCGACGCATACCACATCACGGCGCCGCATGAGAACGGTAAAGGGGCTTTCTCCGCGATGAAACGTGCGCTAAAAAATGCCGGGGTGGCCCCTAGCAAGATAGATTACATCAACGCTCACGGCACATCAACTCCAATTGGGGATGCAGCTGAAAACACAGCAGTTAAATCCTTGTTTCTCGGGCCTGAAGGTAAAGCGAAGGCATCTGACATTAACATAAGCAGCACAAAGGGTGCCATTGGACATCTACTGGGTGGTGCAGGTGCAATTGAGGCTGCTTTCTCCGTTCTAGCTATTGATAAGGTATGATAAGCTAACTTTCCTTCCCGTTGATCCTGTCCATTTTATTTTTTAGCCCCAGTCTAACGTCATCTAGGGTATCATGCCACCTACAATCAACCTTGAGAACGTGACTGAAGAATTTGACTGCAATTATGTCCCAAATTTCGCACAAGAGAAGAAAATTGAGGTTGCACTTACCAATAGTTTTGGGTTTGGTGGAACCAACAGCAGCCTTTGCTTTGCTAAATACTAAGGGGCATTGTCGCCATGATTGTACGGATAGAATGTATTTATAGTGTGTATAACATTGGTCATTTATATTGAATTCCTTGGTATCCTCTCATTGATCGGCTATTTCCAATTAGCTAAATATACATATTTCCCTTTTTTGTGATAATGCTCTACTACAATTTTGATAGCATATTTTCCAGAACAGACGACCACTGTAGCTAGTGGCTCCAAGTGGTTTTGAATTTATACTGATCCTTGCGGTCCAGGTATACCACTTTGTTACTTAATCCAGCGTCCTCAACTGCTTTCTGAAAGTCCATTAGTGGCGACAGAAACACATCATAGTCACTAGAGAACGGTCAGCGAGAATTATATGGTTACTTGAAATCTTAGAGATGACTTAACTCGTAATGGATCGGAATAGTGACATCTGGACGAATCAACTTCAATAACTCTATTCCTTGCTTCGCATCCATAGTCACCATTAGTAATGGTATATGCGGAGATGGGATAGTTGTGCCTCCAAGGTGGATAAGCATCAAGTCTATTTTCTGATCAGCATAGATCTTGGGGATCTCCTTCAGCTCATCACACATCAAGGTGTCGCCGGAGATATAGATTCTAACCGCCAGTAAATTCAGCTATAAATCTTTTATCATTTAAAAGGAGCTACTGCACCTGTAGTTTGTTTCGAAATCCCCTTCCGCATGGTGATATTGGGTTGTATGACCTAATTCGACCATCCATCCATTTGTTGGCGGAACCTAGGTGGCTATATTAGTCCCTTCATGACGCAGCTCAGCCGCCATCTAAGCAGGAGACTACTTACAGCATGAAGGATATCATTGGCAATCGACAACGGGCCAGGAGGGATGTGCTTCCCAGGCATAGCGGTTATCTTGATTGCTGGCTCCTTTGTGTTGGCTGATTCTTTGGACTTGATTTCCACCAATATGCTTTGGTATGTATCTAGGCCCTCTACTTGGGTAAATGAGTCTTTACCCTTGGACTCGAGACAGCCTTTGGCATGAGGAGTTGTAATAATGGGTATATCACGAGTAAGGGAATCTTCAACCTTTTGGTCAAAGTGGTCGCTTTGTCCGAATACAGTCAGGTTAGCTCCGACTTGCTTGTCAAACACAAGTTGCTGAAGAGTGATATCATACGCATGGTAGTGTGAAAGAAGGATAAGATGTACAGGAGGGATATCATGGAGATTAATCGCAGGATTGGTAACCCGCTGTCCAGTAACCTATACAAAGTCAGAAAACTTTTGTGTCTAAAGACAGCAACCTGAATGGTAGCTCACCCCGGGGCCAAGATGAACATGATCTCCCGCGTGAAGAAAATTCGGCTATCAGTTATATTAGCAGTTGCGCAAAAAAGAAGGGGCTATTATATGTTGATACATCAGTCATCAGCCGTATATTTGCCCATTCTCTAATATGGACAAGGCATTAGCCAGATATTAGATGATAGCAGCATTAAAGGATCCTATACATAAATGTCGTCGCTGTCCCTACAAAAAAGATGTTTCCATCTTCCCCGCCAGAACTTTTCGGACGAACTTTCGTCTCGTTTGCTTCACACAGCTTCGGGGGATGTTGTGTAGGATGATCCCGGGTAGGCTCTCCTGGGTCTTCTGCGTCTACAACGATACGACGCATTCTGGGGTAGAATGGAAGCAAAGATATATAACTAGTTATATAACTCTGATTGCAAGGGGACAATAGTTCTGTCACCTCTCCTTGAAGTCTGCGTCGAGGAGGCAACTCTAGCACGGGAGGTTGGAATAAAACGCATGCCTCATAACGTCATAGGGATATAAACTTCAGTGTTGTTTATATTTTTCCACTTCCAGTGTTTTTGCCTTGAGATGCTGTATATTTTCGACTAGTAGTCGATATTTCATGCTAGTATCGGCTTGGTTTAAGCGAACGTTTCAAGCTGACATCTCAGGCTTTCTTAACCAGTGGGATCATGTCCACGAGAGAAAGTAATACCTTTTTACACAGCCTCGTTAAAAAGCTTGATGATGATAAGCACTCAGGAGGCTCTTGGGCCGTGTGGCTAAGGCAAATTACGCTCTCCTTCACTTTGATCCCACCGCCATATCATATATGATTATTTCCCTGGCTAATCCTCAAACGGCGTCTCCGACAGGCTCCTATGGCTGAAGATCGCGCACTGGATTCCGTTCAAGGTCTTTTGTCTAGACTATAACTGCTCCATCGCTATGCTTGAAGATGCTGAAAGTCTCAAAAGGCGAAGGATTCGCTTAGGATGAAGGACGCTAAACCGCTTTGGGCATGCATCGCGAGGCCTCCCAAAAGCCATGAAAGCCTTTATCCATCTCTATGGAACAGCTCAGCCTTGCAGCCGCCTGACGGTCGCGAGAAGATGAGTTACTGTGATATGGGCCCAGCCAAAGCCTCCTTTGGAACAATCCATGTCATGACTCGCCAACCGTGTCGTCACAAAGCCCCTCGGATCGTCCACCTTAGCTGAAGGCTCGCGATGCTACCCCAATGTAGCTGTGGCCGTGCGAAGCTTCTGCTGGTCAAGATAGATTTCTAGGCCTTCTGATGAATGATAGGCGCGAAATTGGGGTTTTATAAATCGTCTTCTCTCCCCTCATTACTCTGGGATCACAGTCAATCACCAGCTCTGTTTCTTCTCACGCCATAATAAAAGTCTTCCTGGACCTTCTACTCCTCTGTTCATACCAAGTATTCTCCAAGGAAGTCTTGATTACTCTAGCTATCATGGCTGTCGACTATCGGCATGGCGTTGCTATCTTCAGTCTAATTATCTACCTCCCCTGCTTCTTTGTTGCAGTATATGTTGCCCTTCGGCACGGCTTTTCAAAGGCAGCAGGATGGTACTTTCTCGTCATACTCGCCTTAGTTCGCATCGTTGGTGCATGCTTGGAGTTAGCGACAATAGCAAATCCTACAGAAGGCCTTTACACCGGCGCTGCAGTGTGTAACTCTGTTGGGATATCTCCATTGATTCTCGCCTGTGTTGGGCTCATGCAACGAGCGTAAGTTTCCCCAAGGCATAAAACCGATCACTTATATCAAACCAGTTTGCTAATATATATTCAATAGAAACAATTCCATAATAAATAGAGGCCAAAAGGGAGTTCCTCCCATAGTGTTCCGAGTAGTAGCACTCTTGGTACTTTTGGGCCTTATTCTCAGCATCGTTGGTATCACTGGTCAGAATGACAACAGCATGCCATATATGCCAAATGGAAAGAGCAAAGCTGCTATCTGCATCACCCTCGGTGTTTGGGTCATCGCCGTTGGTTTACTTTTTATCATCCACGGAAACAAGAAATACATTCCTTCTGGCGAAAAGAGACTCTTACTGGCAGTCGCAATCTCCCTCCCGTTTATCCTCGTCCGCTTGATATACAGCTTCATCAGCGCTTTCAGCCATAGCAGCAGGTTTAGCATTGTATCCGGGAATGTTACTATCTACCTGGTTATGGCTGTGCTAGAGGAAATGATCGTTGTTATCACCTGTCTTGCAGTTGGATTTACCCTGCAAAGAGATGGAGTCGCAGCGTACCAGAGCGAACCTGCGTCTGCAGAGGAAGAGATGAAGGTTTATCAAGAGGGTCATGACAATCGGTACGGACAAGGTGATCTTCTGTCCAGCCGTCGTTGAACGCAAAAAAATCAACAAGGCGTGACCTTTTTGTTCGCTGACTAGAATGGGCGCATGGCTATGGGTTGGTGGTACACTGGAGTTTTGGGCCACATACACGACATATTTTTATTTTATCTCCTATGACCAGTTTCCTTTTCTTTGGGTATATTTATTTTAGAGTGTCTAATTTCTGAAATACCATGTTTTATACTTATCAGTTGTTTCCATTTCTATTAATAACCTAGTGCATATGATGATTTGTATATAAAAGAGTATAGTTTAAGATTCATTGAGAGAAGATGCTTTTTAATGTGTACAGTCAAGCTGTTAAAATACAGTTCCTGGGCTCAATCCCAACTAAGTGGAACACGCCTACTTGTCGATACAAACCTCAAACCGAAGGGGTTGGTTAGGGAGCGAGGGATAAAAATCCTTCCTTTTCTCTGGAGGTAATAATACGCCGTTCTCGTCTAGCCATATCGTATCTAACGACGTGCTATATGTGCTGAAAATTCTGGCGATGACCAATCGACTCATTGCCCAAGCAACACTATTTATGTAAAAGCAGAATGATTAATATTTTTCATTTACTCTCGCGGGAGAGAGATTGTTGATATCCAAAATGAGAACTTACTTCATCCCGGTACACATCCTCGCACCAGACCCAAAAGGCCAAAACGAGCGCTGCATCTGACGGTATTCATTGGATGTAGGGGATATTTCCCACCTCTCTGGCTTCCAAGTCTCAGGTTCTAGGTAGGAATTTGGATCTTGATGGAGACTGTATGACTGGGATGCGATATTGGTCTGTAGAGTTGTTGCGTTAGCTGTGATCCTTTGAGCTAAGAACTATTCATGCAGGGAATACACATTCTGATTTGTAGCATACCCCTGATTCAATCTTGAAGCCCATGACTGTGAGGGTTTCACCATCTTTTACTACTCTTGGTAACTGTATTGGAATCGGTGGGTTTGTGCGAAGAGTCTCTTTGAGCACGCAATTTAAATAAGGAAGTTTCTGCAAACTCGAGAGGTCAGGATGTGTTCCGGGCCTAACACCCGCCTCGTGAAGCTCCGAACGGAGTCTTTCTTGACACCCCTTATTTTCGGGGAGCGAAAGGTGCCAAAGTGCCGCACCAAGAAGGTCATTAGTCGTTCGAGTCCCTTTACATAGTGTATATTAGCATTATTCTAGTGGAAAAATCTTCAAAGACTCACCAGCAATGAAATGGTCAAGGCAATCACTAGCAATATATCTTTTATTCGGTATTTCGGCGCTGGGGCCTTTACTCTCGTAAAGTTCCACGAGACGTCCAAGATGTGTATTGGAAGGGTATTTTAAGCTAACCGGACCTTGTTTTTGGGCTGATCTTGATAGAGCCGCCTCTACCTGGTGCAACCCAAAATCCGCCATTGTTGATTTCGGTGGGAAGTAACCGCTGATTCGTGAAATTATCCCTAGTAAAATTTTCTGTTAAAGAGGTGTGGGATATCGAAGAATACAGGGGTTTGACTTACGTGGATATAAAGTTGCAATAGCCTCAAGTGCAATGACATCGGCCGCATTGGTTTTAGGTATAAGTTCAGCCATGGTAGCTCTGGACTCCTTGTCTGCTAGCAACCTAATGTTATGATCATTTCCGTACACCAAGCGAATCATAATATCGGCTGTTAACCATGTTACCCACGCCAACCCATTGGCTACTCTAGATGGCGAATTGGAGGCCTCCTCTTCAATCATTGCCATGAACTGACTCATGAATACCTTGAGGATTTCTTGATAGGCTGGCCCTGAGACAACAGGTGCGGAATATAGACTGGAAACCTGTTTTCGCCGTGCAAAATGAAGGTCACTGTTTAGAGTGCTCACGAGATTATCGGAGTTATATTGACGAAGAGTGGATAGCAAAATCCCCCCATTCAGCCCACGAGGGCCATAGTAGATGGTTCGCAATGCATCAGGATGGCAAACGGATACACTATTCGGTGCTACCCGGACTACAGGCCCGTATTTCTGATGTAATCGATGAATAGTTTCCCAAACACGGCCAGAGTCTATATCCTTTCTGCTCAGTATCAAGGTAAGAGAAGCATTATTCCGGGGAAACATAAGTAAATCACACCTTTCAATATATTATACTGTATCCACAAGCTGCTAAACTTGGCAAGATTTGGTCCTGGGATGGGCGACCTGACACTTTGAAAAATACGCTTGACTGCAGTTATCATAATCCAAAAGCCCCAAGCGAGTGCTAGCAGCACCAGCAGCCGTGGAAGGTCTAGGCTGGAATGGGACGAAACCATAAGGATTAGTGAATGACCAGATAAGGGCAGTATTGAAGGATACCATGGACCCAAAGAATAAAATGTGCCAACGGATATTAAAAGGAATTCCTCAATAAGCTTTCCTAGATATCAAACACAATACTAGATATGATGTTCCTCGGAGCAGTTGGGAATATGCGGTCTGTTGAAGGGTAGGCCAAAATTTATATCAATCGTTTCCCCCCTAAGTTGTGAAGGTATACGTTTCCCCCCTGTGTGGGCGACGGACCCCGACGGTTCCGCAACAGTACGCATTTCTACCATATTCTTCGACTATGGCGTAGTCGCTGCTTGACACATGTTTTGGCCCGATATGGTCAAAAGGGAGGGAGAGATCGAACTAACCAGATTAGTCTATTTTCTGGAGAATGGCCCGCGCACTTGATATCACGTGTTGAACTTTTTTTCAACTTCGTTTCTGGTGGGTATAAAAAGGAGCGAGAAGACGCGAAAAGAAAGACGTTGGCGATGACAGGGACTTCGCGATAGAAGTTGGGAGCCCCTGGCCCAGAAGCAGAGGCTCGCTTGTTTCTGGATACGAAGGGCTTGGAGTCAATAGTGCCATTCAGCCACGATAGTTACTTTGAGGCTCAGCACTCTTTCAGCCTCCGCTTAGGCATTGTGAGGCTGAGAGGAGAGCCGCTGCGCTTTCCCCTCTTTTTGCTTATATATTGTTGCCTATAAATGGTGGAAAGCCATGTAGGAGTAAAGCAAGACGTTTTACTCTGTTCAAAATTGCTCACTTCTTCTTTGGTTACCTGAAATTATTTGACTGGGAGTTGGAAAGTAGTTAGTCAAAATGGCTACTAGTTCTAGTGACGATGGCTTCGAGATCATTGATGGCCGCCAGATTCCCCTCCGTCCTATCAGTGCTGGGACGACGATAGTAGAAGAGAACATGACACTAGATCCCATACTGAGTGTACACTCGATTCCTAACAAGAATTCCATGGTCGTCTCCATCCAGCCTCCTCTCAAGCCCAAGGATGATGTGCCACATGTTCCTTGTGACATCGTCCTTGTAATCGACATCTCCGCGAGTATGAACTCGGCTGCCCCTATACCAACTGGTGAGAGCGGCGGCGAAGACACCGGGCTGAGCATTTTGGACCTGACAAAACATGCGGCCAAGACAATCATCCAAACACTCAATGAAAATGATAGACTTGCAGTAGTGACGTTTTGCACTGAAATCAGGGTATGTAGCTACCCACCTCTGTATAATACTCCGCATGCTTACCACTTCCCTGTCTTTTTAGGTGGCCTTTGAGCTTGAATTTATGAGTGAAGAGAACAAATCGAAAGTCTTGGCTGCTATTGACTGTCTACACGGCATAAGCTCTACCAACCTATGGCATGGGATAAAAGAAGGTCTCAAAGTCCTTGCCACAAACTCTACGCAGGGGAACGTACAGGCACTGCTTGTTTTGACGGATGGTGCGTTTTTTCTTCCTTTTCTTTGGTTTGGAACCTTTTGAAAGAACAGAAATCTAACTCTCCTTTCCAGGGGCTCCCAACCACATGTGTCCCGCTCAAGGATATGTACCGAAACTACGTCAAACCCTGTTAGACCATCGTGATTTAACAGGAAGCCTACCGCTAATTCATACTTTTGGCTTCGGGTACTATCTCCGCTCACCGCTTCTACAGTCCATTGCTGAAATTGGTGGCGGCACCTTTGCCTTTATCCCGGACGCTGGTATGATTGGTATGTATATGTTTGTCTCTATAACGGTTACGTCAACGATAGTTTAGCTAATAGTAACTCTAGGAACTGTATTTGTTCACGCCGTTGCAAACCTGTATTCGACATTCACGCCCCAGGCAAATCTCCTTCTCCACGGAGATTCTTTAACAACCTTTACTGTGGATCTAGGAAGCAAGCCTGGGTTGGAATTGGAGAATCCTACTGGAAAAGGAGTGTCACTAAGATTGGGAAGCCTTCAATATGGTCAGTCGCGAGATATAATCATCCACTACGACAAATCATCGAAGAACCGTACAGTTAATATACAAGGTAAACTTAACTATACTGTCGGTGGAGATATAAAGACAGCGGAGGTGCATAAACTCGTTCATATTGACGAAGTGTCCTTACCTCGTTCCGTATATGATTACCATCTCATGCGTTCTACGATTTGCACTCTTTTAAGGAAGTTCCATCCACTCGAGGATACCGCGGAGAACTACCAGTTCCCTACTGCCAATCTTGGGGACATTAGATCCAAGATAGAAAAACTGGCTGCCGAAATTGAAGCGCTCGGCCACTCTGATGAATATAATCAGAGCCTCCTCAAGGACATTGCTGGCGAACCACCACATGGCCAGATTAGTCTTGCAGTGTCATCGAACGATTATTATGGTCGTTGGGGCCAACACTATCGTGAGTTTCTATCAATAATATTTCTGTTATATGCTTTAGGTTCCTCTGCTTACTTTTCTCAACAGTACTTTCAATCCTCAATGCACATGTCAATCAAGTATGCAATAGCTTCAAAGACCCAGGCCCATTGATGTATGGTAAAAACTCCCCCTTATTTTGCAATTGCCGGAAAGAGCTAGACGGAGTATTTGACAATCTACCTCCCCCTAAACCATCCCGCACTGCTGGGCCGTCATCATCTGGAGGGCCTCCCCGTAAAGTGCATATGGCGCGTTATAACAGATCAAGCGGGCCTTGCTTTACTGGGAACTGCCGTGTTCTAGTAAGTGGCAACGATGCGTCCAGCGACGCTACTATTGCTATTGAAAATCTTCGTGCTGGCATGTCAGTATGGACTCCACATGGGCCCCGAGAGGTCAGAGCTGTGCTGCAGACAAGCGTGAATGACATCGACATCTGCAAAATTGGGTCACTTGAAATTACGCCCTGGCATCCAATACGGTTCCAGGGAAGATGGAGTTTCCCATTCAACGTGGCCAACGGAGATGTTCATACTTTTTCTGGAAATATTTATTCGGTTTTACTAGAACCTGATTCCAACCCTAATGCACATGCCATCATGGTGGAAGACTGCATTTGTGTCACGTTGGGACATGGAATTCAGACAGGAGATGATATACGTGCGCATGAGCTCTTTGGCAACTACCATCTTATTTCGAAGAAGTTGGAATTACTCCCAAAACTTTCCAATGGACTGTTGCATTGTATAGGAGTACAGCGCTCTCCAGAGTCGGGCCGTGTATGTGGCTTCATTGGATATGATCGCCTTTTTGAAGAGTTTGCTGTACCCTGCCAGGCAAAGCACGGGCATGGTGATGAGATCTATACTAAGCCTATAGTTGCTTGATGGATTTTAGTATTATGCCATATGTTCTCTCTCCCTCTCTCTCTCTCTCTTTTTTTTTTTTTTTTTTTGGATAGTTTACTACTATAGTTAGCTAACTAAAGGTGAAAAGGCTATCATTTGCCGGGCAACATAGTATCATATTTTTGACCATAAAAACTATATAAATAATAAGGATTGAAGAATTGAAGGATCAAAACTTTGATATCCACTAGTTAACAATCAACCCCACGGACTTGGAGATGACTTGGCTGTAAGCTGAAGAATGGCCGAGGCGAACTCTCATCCTCTTCTCTCTTGGTTCGTACTCGTCATCCATTACACAACATCCTACTTTTGAAACTATATGAAGAACCGAAGAGCCATGGTTTTATTAGTCAAACTACGACATAAAAGTTACACCAGAATCGTAATGGAAATGTTTCTTTGGTTTGGAGTGAAAATAATATATATCAACATATTTATTGTCTAAACTTGGCAAAATGAAGCTGCAACTGCAGATAAAAGCTATTAACAAGAAAAATGTCATGAGCTATTAAAAAAAATGAGTAAAGAATCATAATTAGAAAGGGGAGAGGTATTTTATTTTATTTTATTTTTTTTGGGAGGGGGGGTATCACGCTTCGCGATCTAGGCTCTGTGCCTTGCACATTTCAAAATATCGGCCTTTCATCTTTAATAGGTCTTGATGGGTTCCTTGTTCGACGATTTTGCCGGCTTCAAGCACGAAAATCGCATCACAATCTTGGACGGTGCTAAGTCTATGGGCAACAGCAATAGTGGTTCTGCCTCTTTTGGCATGTTCGAGGGCAGCCTGGACGACACGTTCGCTCTCTGTATCGAGTGCACTTGTTGCTTCGTCGAGGAAGAGGAAGTCTGGGTTTCGAAGTAAGGCCCTTGCAGTTGCAAGACGCTGTCTTTGCCCTCCACTGAACGAAAGGCCGCGGGAGCCAGCTTCGGTATTGTAACCTTCAGGTAAAGAGATGATGAAGTCGTGGATGTTTGCGTTCTTGCAAGCTTGGTGGATCTCTTCATCAGGAACATCACGGGTCACGCCGAGCAGGATGTTTTCACGAATTGTGCCTTGGTAAAGTGTTGTCTCCTGAGACACGAGACTGGCTGTTTCACGATACTCGGTCACGTCGATATTGGTTAAAGGTTTGCCATTGATCAAAATATCCCCAGAAGTGACGTCGTAGAAACGTTCAAGAAGGGCAATCATGGTTGTCTTCCCGCATCCAGATGGTCCAACAAGACCAATGTTCTGGCCCCGGCGAATTTTCAGGTTGATTTTGCGAAGGACAGGCTGATCAGGGCGGGTAGGGTAGCTGAATGATACATCCCTAAATTCTACTGCCACATCGGTATCATCGCCGGACGCAGGCTGCTCGCCGGTTGAACCATTGATGGGAGCAACCTGGTTTCGAAGATGTAAAATTTGATTTGCTGCTGCATGCGCCTTGGTCGTATCTAACACAGGTATATTAGTTGATTATGCCAGAGCTTAAACCAAATTAGAAAACTCACTCATAGTGAAGCCGAAGATGAATCCGGCTGCTTGTCCTCCAAAGATAATGGCAATAAAAATCACAAAGAACTGCTGAGCCGTATATTCTCCATATGACATCAATCTACCACCATACCAGAACGCCAGTGCCATAGCTATTAAAGGTTAGCCGATGACGAAGTTAAAAATATTTATTCAACGATTGTATGAGTGAAGAAGTCTTACCAGCAGTGTCTATACTATCTGAGAAGCCGAAAAATATCATCGCAATGGCAGTGTACTTGAGTGATCTGGCCACCGGGCCCTTGAGTCTGTCGCCGTAATTGTTGTACACCGTAGATTCTAGTGTCAAGGACGAAACTGTTCGGATAGAGTTCACTGCCTCAGATGCAAATCGAGCACTCTCCAGATACAGTTTAGCGTTCTTATCCTGGGCCTGTATCTCCATCCTCATTCGGATGAAACCAGCTGAGAAAAGAGGAGGAAGACAGCCGAAGAGGGAGACAAGGGCTAATTTCCACCCGGTAGCAAGAGCCAAGATGCTAACAGCGAAAAGACTGACGATGACGATTAGGATCAATCCGATATTGGACGAGAGGAGATCCTGAAGGTGTTGTGGGTCGGTAGATAGACGTGCTGTAAGACTGCCGGAGGAATTATCTGGCTTGTCGAAAAATTCGATGTCCTGTGAAATCATTGCCTTGAAGTATTCGCTTCGGTAGAACTTGGAGGAACGGAAGGCAGCAACCGTCAAGAAGAAGCCGATAGATGCGTAAGTGAAAAGGATGCACAGTGCAAGGACAAAGAACATGAGAGACCAGAAATCTCCTTGGCCTTTTAACTCATCCCTCGGCAGTTGAAATGTGGTCACGATCCTTGAGAACAGAACTGCTTGGGCAGGGAATGCACCACCGCTGACGATGGAAGCAATGCCTCCCAAGAGGAAGAATACCCAGTGCCTTCGTTGCTCATAGAAGATTATCAGGAGACATTTGAACAGTGAGTATTTTCGCGATACATCCTCCGATTCCACCGCAACTTCATTGGGGATGTTGCTACGAGCCGATTTGGTGGTGACATGTTTCTCCAGGACTTCGGTCGGTTCGTCAGTCTCCTTGTCCGTTTCAGAGGCAGAATCATCATTTGTTAGAGAAAGGCTTTGAGCGTTCACCAGGTTCCAGTACTGTCCTCTCGCATCCAGGAGCGACTCGTGGGTTCCTTGTTCAATGACCTGTCCCTTGTTCATAACAACGATATTATCTGCTTTCTTGACGGTTGATAACTTGTGGGCAATTAAAACTGTAGTCCTGGTTCTAGAGACTCTGTCGAGAGCGGCCTGAACAATAGCTTCAGCAGTAGGATCAAGAGCGGAGGTAGCCTCGTCAAGCAGGAGGATAGGTGGGTTAGAGATGATACTGCGCGCAATGGCAACTCTCTGTCTTTGGCCACCGCTAAGAAGACTGCCTCTTTCACCAACAACGGTATCGTAGCCACGTGGGAATTCCTGGATGAAGTCGTCTGCGTTAGACTCGACGCAAGCCTGCCTGACAAGTTCTCTCTTTTTCTCCTCGTCCATCTTAGCAATTTCCTCCGGTGGTAATCCATAGAGCACATTCGTGTAGATAGTGTCGTTGAACAGCACAGGTTCCTAAAAAAATAATGTGAGCATTAAAGCGGATACTTCAAGGCTAAGGTAGAGACGTACCTGTTGAACGAGCCCTATCTGACTTCTGAGCCACTTGACATTCAGATCCTTGAGCTCGGTGCCGTCCAAGGTGACAGAACCGCTGGCGGGGTCATACCACCTTTCAAGAAGCCCGATGATCGTGCTCTTTCCGCTACCACTAGCGCCAACAAGGGCAGTCACTTTCCGAGCCGGTATCTTCAGCGAGACTCCATCCAATACTTTTATGGTAGGGCGAGCAGGGTAGGAGAAAACCACATCTGATACTTCCAAATCACCATTCACGGTATCCGGCTTTTGACCTTCAGTGCCCAGTGAGTCGATTTCGGGCGTCCTCTCAATCATGCTAAGAACATCATTGGCAGCTGCGCCAGCCTTGGTGAACTCTCCTAGGGTGGGTGCTATCATTGTGAGAGATGAGGTGCCAATGACGATAGAAAATAAGACGCTATCATACCCTTTAGCTATTTGTCCTGACGAAGATAAAGGAAGAAAGAGGAACATACGTGAGGATCTCTCCTCCACTACCTATCTTGCCCTGAAGCAAGAGCTTGATACCGTACCAAAATGCCAAGGCATAGGCACAGTACATGATGAAGAACTCTGAGCTGTACTGTACTCCGAGAACGGGACCCTTCTTGACACCGAAACCCTTGGCAGCTTCGAGATGGTCATCATACTTCTTACGTAGACGGTCTCCAGCCCCAAAAGCAACGACGACACGGATACTTCCCAGCGTCTCCTCTACCAGGCCGCCGGCCTTGGAGTAGATGTCGAGTATCTTGGCTTCAAGTTTAGCATCCAAGGCGACAGTGATGCCAACCAGGGTGACAGCAGTGGGTATAGATGTGGCAACGGGAAGAGTTAACCTCCAGTTCTGAGTAAATGCAACAACAAAGGCAGCAATCAACATGGCAACACCCTGGCAGCAGGTGCCTACCTTCTCAGACATGCCGGTCTGGATGAGATTTGCATTGTTTGAAATGCGAGTTGCAACAGAGCCGGGTGTATAGGTATCAAAGTACGCCATCTCCTGACGGAGGATGGCCTTGATATAGTGCAGACGCAGCTTCCGGACACTCCTTATGGCAGTGATGTTGAAACATATGGTATGGATGTAGACGAGCTGGAAGAAGTCAGTCGTAGGCATGCCTTGAGAGAAGTAGAGGTATACTCACGGCGAACTTTGCAACGAAGAGATAAACAAACCATAGCCTGGTTGGGTCCTTTAGTATTTCCTGTATGTCCTCTATGTCCAGAACATGATATCAAACAGGCTTTACTCACGCGTTCTTTGATATCCGGCCTCTAAAGTCGGCGCCATCAATCTTTCCCACGCCAAAGTCGTTGAAGACGTCCACAAACTTGCCGAAGACGATGGTCATGAGCGGGAGCGTCTATATCAGAGTCAGCCTGTGTATATACTTCCGGCAGTACATAACTATAGGCAACACTTACAGTCCCGGAGGCAACGGCAGCAATGAATCCACAGATGCGAAGAACTACATCTATTGGCTCGCACCAAGCCCATAATTTCTATAAAGAAAAGAAATATGTTTAGCCGCGACGTAGACGACGAGAGAAAGGATGTTATATTCACCACATAAGCGCCGAAGCCCTGCTGGGGCTCATCCTTCTTGTGCTCTGCGTTAGGGATATCAACTATCCCGTCAGCCTGCTTCTTCTGAGTCTCTTCGGTCATAGAGCCAACTTCTGTAGGCGCGGCGGTCTCATCCCGCGGGACCGGCCTCGCTTCATCAGCACCCATAGGGGGCGACGACGTTGTATGAAGTTGAAGTGGTGGGGGATATTTCTATCAAAAGGAAGCACTTGACATCCTCTTCAGCAGTCAGAGAGAGCTTGATGGTCCTGCCAGGAGTCCACTTTGGCGAAAAGAGCGGCTCCTCCGCATATATAAATGCCTTTGATGAAACTTCAGTCCCGGCTAGAAATGCTAATAATAATTAAAAAAAAAAGGATAACCGCCCAGTCCGAAGGCAACAGGCAGCAACTTGGCGTTCTCAGATGTTTCTCCGGCAAGTCACTCAACACGCTCTTATCTCTATGTCTCTTGTCTAGACTCGTGAGTTAACCAAGGCCAAGTTCGTATATTAACTATTTCAGCGGCGAAATAAACGAAAGAGAAAGGACAAGACGAGCCGCGAGGACACCGAGAGTCAGCTTAGCCAACGTCTTCCAGTTTCAACCAGGCAAGCAAACAAGCACTTGGCGATTGGACCAGCAACCAAGAAATAACTTGAATAGAGGCAGGGCTTATGACGGGCGCCGCGGGCACCGGAGAGGGCTTGCTTAAGTTGCGATCCAAGGGTCCAAGCAGTCATTGATGCAGCTTGATAGGGTGGATGGACCTGTTGATAGTATGCAGTCTGCATCTTCTGCATCCTCTCCCTTCACCTGGACGGGCCACGCGAGCTCTGGATCTTCAGGTGGCGGGACGGTAGGGCTCGCAGGATGGACAGAAAGGGCCACAAGGCATCCCTCTCTCTCCGTCCCTGTCCCATCTTTGTCCAAAGATCATGCCTCTCGCCGGGGAGAGAAATCCCTCGGCAGCCGGTCAAACAAGAGGGGGGGGGGGGGGAACATGCATCCCGATCCTGCCATACCAAGGCTATATCAGTCATTCCAGGTCTATAAGTCTATAACTATCGATGCTTCATACGGGGCCACGGCGGACAGAGGAGTTGTCAGGTTAAGCTACATGGAGAGATGAAGTCCTCATAGATGTTCAACTGTTGAACGCCTTCTTATGCGCCAAGTGGCCAGGATGGCTTTCTTCTGTGCGACGCTCATTGCTTTTTTGCATCAGATAAATAAAGATCGATTTATTTTTATATTTTGATCCAGAAGTAGATGTCAAGAGATGGAGTAGATGAAGTTTTGGATATGCTAGAGTTTTTTGGTAATTAAATCTGCAATATAGAACTTGTTACGCAGAAAAAGGACGAGAGGTTGCTCACGTACGACTTCTAAGGAGGAAGAAGAAAACATCTTCATCGGCTTCATCTTCTCAGTCGTCTTCGCTGGTTCGACCGGCTGAGGCTGAGCTATGATGTGAACTATTCATGTACTATGCAAATCCTGCGTCACTGATCTCATCTTTTCTTTTTTGGCCTGGGAGGAATCCTTCGTTGACCGCATCTTCTGCCCAAGAGAAGAGAAGAGCCCGATAGAAAGAAAAAGAGGAGGGGGAAGACGAAGAAGACACAGAGGCTTGACTTGTACAGAGTGTTCGATGTCCATTGGTCTTGGGCAGATGTCTGACTCCTGCGATAGCGACGCCTACATCCTCGATGACTTCGACCCGGACCACGGACGAGCCAGCCACAGCTACAGCTACAGCTACCTGCTGAGCAGTGATAACTCGGCTCTGTCCTCTCGAATACTCCGGCTGCTGCCCCCACGATGGCGTAGGAGGTTTGTCAGGCGCCAGAAGACCGCCCAGGGCCGTCACCATCGCGGCCAAACCAGGACATGTAGGAGCACCACCCTGCGCTGGCTGCTGGCGGGGGTTCTCTGTCTCGTCGTCGCGGTATCGCTCTTCTGGCCCTCATACACGCATCGGCCGCCTCACTACGATCGTCTCCGGAGCCTTGCAGTCGGCAGCCATTCACCCGGACGGGGGAACCCGCGCAACGAGAAGGTCTTCATCACCGCGAACATATATGACCCGGACGGCAGCTTGGCCCAGAGCCAATGGAGCAAGAACATACTCCAGCTGATAGACCTGCTGGGGCCAGAGAATTCCTATCTAAGCATATACGAGAATGACATGAACGACAGTGCACGGGATGCCTTGAACGCGATGGCAGAGCAAACGCCGTGTAACCACTCCATGGTCACTGAGGAGCATCTCGACACGGCTGACCTGCTGCACATCACCCTACCAGACGGATCCAGAAGGCTAAAGCGTATTGCCTTCCTGGCAGAGGTTCGGAACCGCGCTCTACGGCCGATCAACCAGCCTGGAATGATGCGGTTTGACAAGATCCTCTACGTGAACGACGTCTTTTTCGACCCGGTCGATGCCCTCCAGCTGCTCCTGTCCACCAACGCGGACCGGGACGGTGCTACCCAATACAGAGCTGCCTGTGCCGTCGACTTTATCAACCCGTTCAAGTTCTACGACACCTTTGCCTCACGGGACCTGGAGGGTTACTCGATGGGGCTCCCTTTCTTCCCCTGGTTCACCACCGCGGGAGACGGACAGAGCCGAAGGGATGTCCTGAGCCAGCGTGATGCCGTCCGCGTCAGGAGCTGTTGGGGAGGTATGGTTGCCTTTGACGCACGGTACTTTCAACAGCCCTCCTCCTCCCCCAAGCAGCAGCAGCAGCAGCACAGTAATACATATCGGTTCCGTGCTGAACCTGACCTCCTCTGGGAGGCATCCGAATGCTGTCTGATACACGCTGACATCCAGGATCGAGAATCTGTTGACACCGGGATATATGTGAACCCGTATATCCGCGTGGCATACTCCCCTTTCACGCTCTCATGGCTAGGCGTCACCCGGCGATTCGAGCGCCTTTTCTCTCTCCCTCACGATGTGATTAACCGCCTCGTAGGTATGCCGTGGGTCAACCCCCGTCGGACTGAGAAGCCAGGCGATCTCGTCGAGGAGATTGCCTGGGTCGAGAATGAAAAGGGTGAAGGCTCCTACCAGACCATATCCCGCACCGCTGGCACCGGTGGCTTCTGCGGTAACAGAGCACTTCAGGTTATGAAGCCTCATCCTCGACCGGGTGAAAAGACATGGGAACTCCTCTCTCCTGATTCATTTTGATGTTTTCTCTTGTATATTTCTATAACAGCATGGTGTTGGTTGGGGTAGGTACCCTTTTCTCATCATAATATTTTATATCTTGATACCATTAATGATATACATGCCCCTTTATATTCATATTCAACCCAGCAAATATGAAGTTCCTCTTAAACAACATATCTCCTCCCTATAGATGTATGATATAGATATCATACTGTAATGACTTCCACGGAACTTCCCACCAGGCTTCCCTTCACGGCTGGCCTATTAAAATGGAGCCTCTCTTTGATATCATTCACAGTCTTCAACCTTCACTCTGTGTGTTTCCAGAGGGAGCTCTCCCCTTGTCCTTATATCACGGCATCTGTCTTCTCTTGACCCCTTCACCAACGCCTTTAACCACAAACTATACTTCCATCCGCTTAGTCGTCTGCTTCTCTAACACTATATCTTAGCTATCATCTTATCTAAACCTTCTTCTTCTTTTTTGGCATCTTGACTTACATCTATCGTGAACTGGCTGTGTTTTCTGCGTATCAAAAAAAGACCATCTCCCGTTCAGCCATGGCGGGCGGTGATTCACCAGAGAGCTCTCTTGTCAGTCAAGCTAACAAGAGAATCCAGGAGTATCATGCTGAAGGAGAGAGAATCAACGAGGCTGTGAAGGTGGGCAGAGTCATCTTTGATACCTTCAACCAGATCAGTGAGAGAAGTGGTGGACTTGAGAAGAGCATCTGGGCTTCTGAAAACCACGTCTACTCTCTTTCTGAGCCTGTCCTCAACCAAGGCAAAAACAAAACACCAACAGCCAACAAGGAGAAGGAGAAGGGCAACGAGCAGGTAAGTAGATGTCTTCTCGATCTTATAGTTATATATCAGGAATAAAAAAATAGGGGGAGAGAGAGAGAGAGAGAGACGAAGCTGACTTGTGATAAGACTCCGTTGAAGAACAAAACTACCACAAAACAGCAACCAAAGGCCGGTTCTAACAAGCCAAAGATGGAGAAGAAGACTGACTCTGTTGCCGTCAATTTTGACGATACCGAGGCCTTCATCGGAGCCCTTGAGAAGATTCGTTTGGGCGGCAAGGTCCTGAAAACTGGTCAAGTCACCAAGTCTACCCCTGTTGAGGGTGAGTTCATATTGCTTGTTTCATTTATATTAACTGCCTAACAATATCATGCTCTCACAGACAAGGGGAACCACAATCCTGCTGATACTCCAAAGCCCGCGGTCGAAGATGTCAAATGCCCACCAACCGAGGAGAAGACCATCACTCCTGTTGAGGAAGAAGATCGCGAGCATATGGTCACTTTTAAGACCTGGGGAACTCCGGCCGAGCGTCCCACGTCCAGTAAGCCCATATATACGCGTATCTTCATTCACATATCACTAACATCTTCATATTCAGCTGCTGCACCGCGTCGTATCATCCTGACTGGTATCCCAGTTTCCCTCCGTGGCCAGTCTCGCATCCTCTCCCTAGTCCACGGGGGGAGAGTCGAGTCGATTGCTGTACATCCGGCTAGCCAGGCTGCTGAAATCCGCTTCTGTGACGCCGCTGACTGCAAGGCGTTCTATGACAAGCACCCTAACGGGATCGATGTTGACCACAACGGCAGCCGTGGAACAGTGTTTGTAGATATCGGCAAGGACGTCGATATTGTCAGCTCCCGTTTGGTCGAATGTTTGGATATCGGTGCAACTCGTGTTGTGCGTGCTATTGGAGCTCCTCTGGACGTCAGCATTGCTCAGCTTGTCGAGCTTATTGACTCAAAGAAATGGCAGCTCGAGAAGATCATTGACTCCTATGAAGCGTCAGCCGTAAGCCAACCCTTTTCTTTAATACTGACTCTAATATATATGTGCCTGGTGACGCGGACATTAACAGCTTTTTGGGGACTAGAAAATTCGCACTGTCGTGTTTCGATTCTGCTCCATCGACTCTGCCGTACGCTTCCGCTCGTGCCTCATCCGCATGGACAACTGGGACCAGGCTAATGTTCAGTTCGGTACTGACCCGTAAGTTGAGCTCTCAGTTTCCTGCGTCAAGCCGTTAGTCTAATGTGAATCTCTTTAGATGCGAAGCTGCCACTGGTATCCACTGGGACTAGATGCATCCACATCTACAGCTTCATGCTCATTCTAGGATCAATGCTTTTTTAGGAGAATTTAATTACTACGAACAAAGGACAGGACATGATATGGTGGGAATGTTTTTCAAGGGGGTGGATGATGAACTAAGGCTAGAGAGTAGCTGCAAGCCAAACCTGTAGTTAATATCAAGGCATAATCAAGGTACATCCGATAAACGGACATGGAGTGTTTCCCTCGCTCTCCGGAAGGCGTAGCAACCCTTCTCACTTCAGATCCATCAAATATAACTCGCTCAAAGAATCAAAAACCCTCTCGGCACTATCTTTCTAGCCACGCAATTCCAATTTCCATTCTTGGTTGGTACATTCAAACATGGTACCCTTCTCATCGGCCTTATAATCGCCGTTCACTGAAGCCGTCCGTGTCTTACTCCAGGGATTAAGAGCTGAATCTGCATCCCTCAGGCCGTGTGTACCAGGGTCTTGTTTGAATATAAATAAAAAAAAAGGAGAAACCAGCATGGGAACGCCCTTCTATAGATTACAGAGCTAAAAGCGAAGATATACCACCGCTGGTCGAGATCATGCTATACCGGCCAAAAAAATGCCAACAAGTCCAGGAATCAAAAAGTTATCCTGCCTTTCGAGTGCATTTCGAGGCCGGCCCTTGCCCTTTCGATAGAATTCAATAGAAGACGGAGTAAGTATTTCAAGACTAACTGCTGGTTATGTGCTTTTATGTTGGCCATGATCTTGGTCTGTCTCCCCATCCATCCGAAGCCGCCCTTTTACCCCCATGCCCTGCAGCTGCAGTAAATTAATAACTCGCAGTTATTCTTAAAGCCAACTTCTAAGGCTGGTCGTTACGGGGACGCAGACATCACTTCGCATCGACAGAGTACCAGACTCGACTAACAGCGGCGCATAGAAGGAATAACCAAAAGCAGGAAATGAGAAGTAGAAAAAAAAAAAAAAGAAATATCATCCAGTCAGCAACATAATTTAGCACGGGACAACTGCATAATTGTCACGGAGGCCTCCGGAATGATTGGTATGTAGGTACTTTGAAACGGTTAAAATGTAAATCACCATCCCGAACATACGTATAACCAAGAGCAAACGGGAGAGGGAAAAATCAAAAGGGCAAGGGGTCGAAATACCACTAACGAGGAGATATTTTCAGCTTTCTCATTTGTGGATAATCCGCGCTTCATACATAACTAGAGAACTGCAGTCCCATAGGACGCAGTAAGTCTTATGCAGCTGCCTCTCAACCATGGGAAGGGTAACTATTTGGGATTGATTTAATTCGGCCAGGTGGTACAGCGGTGCATGGTCCTCTTTTGGCGCATATACCATCGGCTTATATATACTATACATAGTATATGAGGACATGAACTTCTACATCTGGTCACGATACGCTCCACAGTACCGATACGTGGCATAGCTCCTGTCCAAGGAGAAGAAAATGGTGTTCCATGGGCGAAGCGGCGTAGCAAAAGCCTAGAACAATGGCATGAAGAATCGTACATAGTACGGCCCCCCATACAAAAAGAAAATTGATCCATCTACCTCGAGACGCGGAGAAGGAGGACAAGCGGCATTGCATGTGTTTCACGGTCTCATGTTGTGCTTAATATTACCATGGAGCTAAGGTCAGCTAGCGTGGGTGAGGCGCACATGGATAAGGTCGGGGATTGGGTCATAATAACAAGCGCTTGGATATGTCTGCGTTATGGACAATGCCTCTAACGCAAGGCTGGCGCGTGCATCTGTGCTTGTATGGAAAGGTAAATAAAAACAAGGCTTATTCGTTTCTTTCTTTCTTTTTCCCTTCTTTCTTCTTCGCATGACATTCCATTGAACTGTATCGGAACTTGAGTTTCATTAAACGCGATGCAACATGCAAACAGTTGGTAAATCCGTACGAAATGCCCTCTGCGTTATCATATTCGGTGTTAGATATCTCGGAAGCAGCCGGGCAATCGTCCTGATAACCACGCATACAGTCCCTAGTACGCCGCACCTGCAATGCACTTCCTGGGTCTGCCCGCTTATAGATGGAGTTCTTTAAGGCCAACGAGAAGGCGGCACTCGAGAGGGCGAAGGGAAAGGGCGGGGCCTGGAGGCGCAAGAACATTATCCTCAGCCATTTCCGCAGTCTTCTTGTTGGAGTTGTCGACCCACAGGCCTCAAGAGGTGAACAGACAGGATAGGGTAGCCTTGCAGCGAGAATCAGCCCCATGGGCCCCTTTCTCCCGAGAACCAAGGAAATCTCGAGAAAAGGGAATAAGAGCCTCCCCTTAGGAAGGTGGTAGCATCTACTATGCGCCTGAGGTAGTATATGTATTAGCTCGCAATGGTAGGTAGGGGTTAAGTAGCCAATCCGAGTAGATATTCCAGACTAGGTGCCAGCCGTTTCCACAACTGCATATCTGATAACCCTGCAATGAAGCGTTGCAGCCAGGGAAGCCAAACTGACTAATGTTTCTATACCATCAGGCATTCTGTTCATCCGATGAGAAAGACGACGGTTGAAGGTGGATAGAGCATCGGTCAGTTTGAGGTTAGGTTTGAAATAAAAGCATATATGCCAAATCCAACACGGCTTCTACCAGAGTGAAAGATGAGACCTGAGAACAGGGGAGAGTGACTCAACAGACACAGGTATCGAGCTGCTTGAATTCAATAATAGAGTTTTCAGAGTCACCGACGTATGCAAGAACGCTGCTCTTCAAAATTGCTGGTCATGGTAGGTCGAATTCATTGCGCAGGGCAGGGAATCAGCCCACAACCGACAAGGTGAAGCGAGAAGGAGACGAAACAGACCGTCATGACGAGGATCTCAAGCTGCAAAATGGCTCCTTGGGATCAGCGATTGCAGACCTATATTGTGCGGCTTCTCAGCCTTCATTGGTTCAGAACAAAGGTAGCAGGCAGGGAATAATGGGCAAGCATGTGAGAAAGCATAGGTTTCCACGAGTTGCAGGATACCGATATATTAACCTAAGCGGTTATGTGGACCTATTGCAGAAAACTGTCGACATAGTAGCATCGTAAGCTGGCTGGAACAGCGCCAGGGGCTCCTCTTTTTTCTTGGACCAAGGGCAAATCATCTTCACATCTCGGGAGCTGCATCGACCTGCATAGGCTGATCAGCTGCCACGTCCACCCTATCATGCTTCTGTGCTGATACCATAGGCCAGCGCAGGTAGTAGGAGGGTACAGACAGAGCTCCCTTGGGCGTGAACGAATGGCGTATTGCCCAAATCGAGGGCGGCCATGGTGGGATCTGCACAAGTTGGTTGAATATGTAATATACGGGCGGTTTTGATGCAAGCCAACTTTCAGAATCAGTAATCAACTATCGATTATGCCCATTCTAGAACAGGATGGGCATTTTTTTTCCCCTGGGGTGATTTGAACCACCCAATCCGTGCATTGGATGACAGGCGCGGCGGGCGGGCAAGCGGGCAGCTTGAACCCTCATCCCGAGCCGTTGATCCTAAAGTAGATCAACAACTGGTCCGTTAGTTGCTTTTTTTATTTCCTTTTGTTTTCCTAGACATTTACATATTATTAGAATACTTTTTTTTTTTTTTTTTTTGAAATAAGAGAGAGCATGGAGGGCAGGATGGGTCGTTTACGCGGCCGCCGAGAACAGGCCAGTCTGCAAGGATATCAGAACACGGGAGGAGGCGAGTATATATAAAAAGAAGCACCGGAAGAAGACGTAGAATTCGAAAGACAGCGGGAGGGATAGACGGAGCAGAAGTGCGGATTAGGCATGGTGAATATGAGAGGGCCCTTCTTCAGCTCTTCACTTAAAGGCAAGGTAGGCCTGCTATGATATTGAGGAGTTGTAGCCTGGGTAAACCTGGTCGGCTGTGCGTCTCTCGCCCTTTGTTCCCCTTCACGCCTTCCACTCGGTTGACTGCCGTGATGCCTTTCCAGTATGTCTGGACATCTCACGCCCTTCCCACGACGACTCGAACGACATCGTCCTCTATCTCAAACATCACATCATCATCAAAGATCGTTTTCGTTCCTCAATTTTATATAAGCAGTAACCTTGACGTAAGAGAACAAACCTGCAAAGAGTAATCATGGCATCTTTTATCAAACGCCCGATAAGGCATAATTCTTGCGGCGCAGCAACGAGTTCCAGGTATATAAAAGCTAAAGGAGACAGGGTCAATGGAGCCAGTAGTGTCGACCTATCGAGGTCTTTGGTTGGTTTTCCATATCCTGCATATACATAATCCGTATGGAAACATGAACATCTTGGAGATGCAAAAATACGAAAGAGCAAACGGCTCCCGTCTTGAACCTCAACCAGCCCAGCACAGACGGTGGCGGGCTACTAAAAAGAGGGATAATCGAAAAAAAAAAAGTTTGGTCGAAACCCAATTAGCGCTCAACCTCGAGCTTCCGTGATATGACAAAACGGACCTGGCAAGGTTTCCGCCCATTGATCCACAGTAGACGGCGATGTGGAGGACAAACAAGCCCACAAGTCACTCCGCCCTGCGCTCGACTTGCGTCTCTGACGATATGGTGAAAAAAAAAAACTTCTTCCGTAACGGATACGTGAGGGAGGAGAAACTCCTCGGAAGGGCGGAGGGTTTCTCCAGTTTCAAGACCTTGGCTTAGACTTGTGCATAAAAAACCGTGCAGCGTCCGACCTGTCAACAACCCCGGACCAAGGGAGAAGGCCCATAACGCAAAGCAGACGAACAGCCGCCGAGATTGATGCCCAAAGGGCACTGCACCAGGCCAATCAGTCGATTAGGTCGATATCACATGACCTCCATGCGCTGCGAGATATTGTCATTAGATCCCGTTTCGAAAGAGTTGGGCTTGGACGGGAGTGCGCCCAGGCCAATGATGGATCAAGCTTAAATGTTGGCTTCTCTCCTTCATGAGATTCGGGGAAGACAGGAGATCCAGGGGGTTGTCTTTCGATGCTCCCCGTTCTCCCCAGTGAAACAGGCAACGAGACCCTGTCCATGATCGCTAAGCGCTAACTATTAACCTTTTTTTATGTCAGTCAGTCTTATGTCAAACTCTCCCAACATCGGTAAGTTGTGATCCCTGAACGCCGAATAGTTTCCTTACTTATTATACATACATACGTATATATATATTTATATATATGCTGACCCAGCAAGATGGGAAGACTTTTTTTTTCATTTCCCTTTTCGGGCTAAGATGAGAGAGGATAGAAAAGAGAAAACTTGGCCGGTCACGGTAATACCGGTGTACGGTACCATTCCGAGTACAGTATCAGTATTATCAGTCTGATATCGGTAATATTTGCATACACTCATAATGTACAGAGAACTCTTCTACACCACATATACACATACTCTGAACATCAGCGACGAGCCTGAAAACTTGCCAGAGAAATGGAGCACCGATTATGAGGGGGGGAAAAAGAAAGCCGAGGTGCCATAAAAAAATTGAAGCAAGGATGAGGTTTACCTGCACATTCCTTGCCCGCCTCGTACGATGCATCTGATTACCAAATGAGGCAGAGAATCTTCACGGAACATTATTACCAAGTACACATCGTACGAGGTTCTCTAATACGAGGTAAGAAAAGAGGACTAGAGAAAAAGAAAAGAAAAGGGAGGATGAGCCATTTCTTCAGGGCTAATCGCGCGGTTGACCCCTGCGTATTCCATGATACATACATGTATACATATGTAAGTCCATCCATACATAGCACATACAGAGCGAGAGAACAAGGGAGGGAAGATGGGGACATCCTTCTTCTGCCTCCAGCTAAGCGTCTTGCAGTAGCGTCTTGCTTTTTGCATCTCTCCTGACTGGCCAGAAGGTCCCAGAGCAGCGGTTCGGCCTGGTCAAGCTCCATCAAGGGTCTTATATCCAATCAGGGGCCTTTTTCCGACTTCATTCAAATGTTGGTTTTTTCGCCTGCTCTTCATCCTCCCATCTCGCCTCGCCTGGATGGTGTTTTTTTTTTTTATCTTTCGTCAGGCTGATAAGATTCTTCATCTCCTGCATTGATACGAGAAGTTCTTCAGGAGAGCATCTTCTACGCGAGTTTAACCACACTCCAGTTATACATATTATAGTCAAACGGAGTTGTCATGATAGTAGATGCCTAAGACAACAACCTCCATTTGGCATGTTTCCTCCGTTTTGACGGAGAAGGTTCGTTGCGCAGGGCCATATTAACGGCAGTGCTAAGGACCAGTTACTATGTATGGCTTAACTATCCATTCCCCTGTTCGGGGTTAGGTTATGGATGTCCCCAGCAGCGCCATTATCACCATTTCCCCTGTTCTCCCCACCCAACTCACATCACAATACATATATATTATACTATGTCAGAAAAGACTTGGCCCGTGATTATACTCTATACTCCGGGCCTTGTTCCATCTCCTGGTCCCCTCTCCCTTTTCTTCCCCCTTGCCCTGTAGACGGGTGGTGTGGGTTTTGTCAGGGAGCTCGGTTCATCCGATCGTTTCTCCAGAGGGACCCTCTTTTCTCTCTCTCTCTCTCTCCACAATCCTCAACTTGCACAACGCATTTTTACCAGCCTGGAGCACTCAGCCGTATATTCCCTCTCGACTCTCTTGCCTCTGCTAAGCCGGATGCCCAAGATAGCTGGTGATTCGTTCCTTTGTTATGGAAAGCCAAAAAGAAAACGGTTCATTCGGTCGAGAGAAGCTGGTCATTCCAGGAATATTGGTATACTTGCCTTTATCAACGCCTCTTTCTTGGACTTTCAAGTATGTATCTGTACTTCATTTACCTTTCTTCTACTTGTTTCTTTTTCCTTTTTTTGATTTATAAGATTTCTTGAGTTCTTCAGGGGTTCTTTTTTTTAAGTCTCCCCCTTTTCACTAATATCCGACAGTTCCGACGCTTTCTTTCACAAGATCTCGCGATAGCACCCGATCAATAGAGGTTACTTGACGATGCAAATCCAACCATCGCGTTTGTTCCTCGCCATTTAGCCTTTTCTCTTATGAGAAAACTCCTTCTCTTGAGACAGATAAATACCACCTTGACACCGACACAGTGGTTTGGGCATATATATCAAGACATTGCCACATATTTTTATCCCTCTTCCCTTTCCGTTTGTTCGATTCCGTCTCCGTTTGCCTGGTCTGACATCGAACGGCCCTCCTCGGCCCTTCAAGGGGGGACAGGGTAAAAGGTATATGAAAAATCCAACATTTGTCTCATGGATATCATTCATTCATTCATCTATTTGTTTTATTTCCATCGCTATCCACCCCACGACCATATGCCATTGATCGGGTCTCTTCGGACCTCGTCTGGCTTCTGATTTTTCTTTCTTTCTGGCCTCCGTGTGCCGACTCTGGCGTTTGGATGCCCTTGATAATCTATATTCCCCGACGGGAGGCTTATGATCGACATGCTATATTCATGGTTAGCTCTTCAAGCTGCTTCAGCACATGCGCACAAGCAGATCAGACGTGAAGATGATTTTCTGCCCTCTCGCTCGGATCTCTGCTTCATTTCAAGGCATCCCAGATTGCTTCATGATCATACGCCCCTCCTCTACGCCCAAAAGGGTATATCTTGCATGCCTTTTTTTTCATTCTCGGGCATGACCTCGTACTTTTTTGTTACTGTGTATACACACTATTCGTCATCCTGTAAGCGTGTATACAGCTGGGCTTTTGTTAAATCTCCATAACCTGCACATGCCCGCCCCACAGATCAAGATCGATACTCCACAGTATTGGAAGTTGAAGTCGAAGAGAAGAGGTAAAAAAGAAAAAAAAGGCTCTTCAGTTGAGCCCCGTCCGCCAATTATTATGTCAGTAGCTCTCAACCCTAACTTGGATACACGAGACTATTGAAAGAGTTAAAGTTATGGAGCTGCTGGATACTTAGCCCGAGTGTCTATTACTCCATATAGTTAAAACAATGTCTTGAAGCCCAACCTCTTGCCTTTGTAGTTGAAGATATAGAATATACCCCGTATAAGGCTTGCCGGCACTGAGGAAAGGGATGGATCCAGCACATCAACTCACACGTGTTACATGTGCATGAAAGAAAGGAGTCGACGACAGGCATGAGCGATTTAAAATATGTTTGGCATAAAAACTCTACCATCAGGGCCAACGGTTAACACAGAGTCGGGTCAAGAACCCCGGGCATCACTGTATAATGAATAAGCCCACATACTCCATATGTACTTGCATAATTTTATATAAGACCAAAAAGTGTATACTGCTATTCCAGAGTGAATAAGCCTCATACGGAGTTCTCCGTACGTAAAATTTAACTCCCAACCTACCTACCATTATGTCAAAGCCTCCTATTCATAAACGCGCTACCTACCTGTAATCAAGCATCCGGACGGGACGCCCCGTTTTCCAGTTTATTCACCTCCAGTATCAGCCAGGATGGACCGCCTGCTCGTGTTGCACAAATCACGCCCAAGTACGACCACAGCGTGTCAGAATGGGAGGAAATGGGACACGGCAGTACAACTCGGTTAGACAACCCGCAGTAATGGGAGAGACAGCCCAGTTTAACCTTCGTTACATATAGCAAGGGGAAGAGAATACTGGAAGCGAGATGATGTAACGCTGCCAGGGTATTCAAATAACGTCGAATAACATCTTGTCCACAGCCAACATTGCCGAAATCTGCATAAAGGCGCAGAACATTCAGTCCAGAGTCATGATATCTCGAGAAATGCGCATGATGTTGTGTTTCACACTAATCTTCAGCAAAAGCTCGTAGCCGATCTGAATAGGCTAATCTAAGAAAACTTGCCTGGCGAATGGAGGCCTCCGAGATCGGTTTCTCTTCTGGTTTATTTTATTTATTTTTTTATTTTTGAGAAATAAAAAATCCTAGATGGCGAAGGAGCCAACAGTTCGTCTTTATCTGTGCTCTGATTTGCCTAAAACGCGAGAAATCCCTGGCTAAACCCATGGGGGCAAGAGGGTATATATGTAGCTTATATTATCCAACAGCCATTTCGGTCCGCCTATCGTTCGATCTCCTCTGTTGGCTCCCAGCGTCCAGACGAAGCAGGTCGACGCGGGCTTCCATCGAACTTCTAGATAATTGAAGTCGCAACTAGTCTTCGTAAACGCATCAAGGGGGGCAAAGAGATGCAGTTTTTCAACGTGAAGTTCGCTTTCGTATTCACGATTCCTGATCTGGAAAGGAAACTAGTCTGTATTGTATCGTATTGGTAAAATACCGTTAAATACTCTGTATTATTCAAGTATAAAAAATGAAAAGAAAAAAAAAAGAAATAAAAATCAAAAAGAAACCTCGTCGGGATATAATTTTTTATCAACGAACCTGCGCCGCGGCTTTCAACCAAGCATACTCATTGATGGAGACTGAAAAAAGGTTGCCAGTGGATCAGAGAAGCAGAAACTAGCAGGTTCATATTCTCTGTCCCATTTTTGCATACCGAGAGATGGAGGGGGTTTGGTCTCTCTATTTCAGACGGTCATGCCGAGAGAATGAAGAAGAAGCGGCTACGAAGAGAGAGAGAGAGTAGGGCGCAAGATATATTGGATCCTTCAATATAATACCTTCTTCTCCCTACCATGGCCCTCTCTAGTACACGGAGCCGTCTGTTGACCCATACATAGGTTTTATATTGACACCCACTTTTGGAGGCTTCTTTTCCCTCTGCAGTCTTCCTTCTCTCCACCTTTTATAACTGACGGGCTAATTAGCTGGGACCTTGATTGTGCTGTGGATGCACAGGTATATGCCATGATCCCGTAATAATAATACTCAACTGCGTCTATGCATGCAAGCATGGTCCAATCCATATATACGGAGTACCGACAAGGCTGCTACTGGGGCCCATGGCTCTCTATCTGCTGTCCCTACCCTCACACACATATCCTGCCTGTTTGTTTCTCCTCCAGGTGTGATATTTTCAAAAAAAGAAAAAGAAAAGAAAGCATCCGTCCCTCTTTACGGTTCCCTGACTCAGTTCCCTTGTCTGTTGCTGTCCCGCTGTCTCCATTGCCCTTCTTTTGTATCCTGGTCCTCCCTGGTCTAGAATTCAACTGGCATATTCTCTACACTGGATGGCCGAGTTGCCAGATTTATACGCATGAAGTTGGCTCTCATTGACAACTCATTAGTGACTGTGCATCTACTCACCGTATTATCAGAGCAGTACGCCCTCCACGTTTCTTGCCGCGTCCTCTTCTTGCTTTTCTCTTTCCTAGTTCATTGCTTTTTTTTTTTTTTTTTTTCAATTACTGCATTTGCCCCCCCTTAGGCGCCAGGCATCGCTGCTCCCCGCCTCCCCCTATCCTATGGTTGCCTTGATATTCCCAGAAGACTGGTACCGCCTACTCGCAGCCTTGTCAAAAATCAGCGAGAAGAAGAGGTAATAAATGCGAAGAAATAATACCGGAGCAAGTCTGTCCCACTTTTTATTTTTTTCAATCAGTCGCTAAGAAGTTATTACGGAAAATTCCGTTTCGGTACCTTGCCTCAGGGATCGACTTTACACATATATATGGTTTTTTTTTCTCCCTTGACCACTCTGGCTCAGCTCCGCTATACCCCCCAGGAAACTTTCTTTAACATATAAGTACTATATACTTCCTCATCGAGATATACTTTTCAAAAGCTGTCCTTGAGGTGCAAGTGACTACAATACCAAACTGGCGGGATCAAGACTGCATACATAAAGGGCACAGGGTCCCTTTTCATAAAAAGGGGAAGAAAGGTTAGATATCGGGAGAGCACCACGGAACCCTCTATAACAAAGAATACCACCTACCAATACCCTGAAGAAAAGGCGAAAACAGGAGGAAGAAGATAAAAGTGGAGGCGATATTACAACATCTCTTCTTCTCTTATCCTATTTGGCCCAACTGCTGCTGTTACATCACAAAACCGTCGGTGGAGTGGGCAACACACAAAGATACGCCGCTCCACGTTTGAGGAACATTTCCCAACTTATAGAAGGCGTCAGAGGATCTTCTTTGAGCAACCAACGCTTCCTCTACTTCATATTTTTCCTTGCCCATTTTACGCAAAACATCCTGCATTCAAACAACCACGGGTGTGGCTCATCAACGTGGCTGTGGTAACCGTTTCCTCTACCCCTCTCTACCAACAGCAGAAAGAAGAGCAGTACCTTCAAGAGGGTTGCATTTCGCAAAAAGACCCGGAAACCCACGTTTCGGTTGCGTAACCGGTCTCTCGGGCGTCTATCGCAAAAGTGATTAGGCACACTTATCTCCGCGCCCACCATTATTAGCCCGCATCCAACTTGCAAAATTGCATAAATTCCCTTGATTGGAACCCTCGCCCACCTACCCACTCTTTCAGCCTGTTCTTCCTTCTTATACACCTCTATCCCACCACCCTCTCATCCTCTTCATTCTTTGCATCCCCTAAGAGTGCAACATACCTACTATACTTGATACTTGGTTCACCCTCCCCGAGAAGGAGATTGTTGAACGCCCCCTTTTTTTCAACATGGAGTCGACAAGATACGGTTTACCATCCCCAAGATCACCGACAGAGTCGTCAAAACGTATCGCTATTGACACACTGCTCAATCCAACGAGCAGTGTCAGTGCATCAGCGTATAGCCCGCGCTGTGTACCTCGGTCTCTACACGAATCGGCAACGTATATGGACTATCCAGACCGCCGTGAGAGATACTCCAGTGGATCCTCGACTACTATTAGTAGCACCTGTTCAACGCCTATAAAAGCATCATTTCAGGGCTACAACCAAACCCATTTTCACCCGATTCACTATCTAAACACCGGTTTTGGTTCCTACGATGGACGACCAGAGCCCACATCTGCAATCTCCGACAGCTATCATTTCACCCATCACCATCACCATCATCACCACAGCACAGGGCACAGCAACGTCAACGGCCTTAATAAGGGCCCTGTATCACCCACTTCCTCCCCAAGGCCCTACAGAAGGGAACGTTTCCCTTCCGTATCCAGCGGAACGTCATCTGCTGCGGTCCCAGAACGCCGTCGACCACCGCGCCCAAAGTACGATGAAGAAGAGATGTACTTCATTTGGTACCATCGAGTTGACCTAGGCCAGGAGTGGAAACAAGTTCGTGAATGTTTCAATGCTCAGTTTCCAAACCGTCAACGGACTGGCTTCCAAGGAATTCAGTGCAAGTATTACCGCTTCATAAAGGAAAAGAACTGCCCCACCTTACGAGAACAGCGGAGAAAGCGGAGTGCAGCAGCAGCTTCCTCCACGGCTGGCGGTGATACCGGTAGTGACTCTGAAGGCAGAGAGAAAGGTCAAAGCTATAGCGGGTCCAATTGCCGTTTCAACGACGAGGGACCAGCCTATGGAGTGGTTCGCTGGACGGGCACCCGTTTCCCTTGGATGAAGCAGTAAGAGAGAGTGTGTACCCCCCCTTTTTTTTGGCTGTGCCTGTTGGGGCTATTGAGAACTTGAATCTCTTCGCCCTTCCCTTTTGTCGTTGGCGGTTGGATCCAATATAATGATGCTACGCGTGAAATGACTTATGCCTTAATGATAATCTTTCCTTTCTTGGGTAAGCTAAGGGAACAAATAACTCGACACACTCACGGTCGTTCTCTCGCAAAGCACCCCTTATCCTTCTTTTTATCCTTCTTTTTATCCTTCTTTTTATCCTTTATATATACCCTTTTATTACCCCCTATACTACATCATGTCACGAGAGGAAAAGAGAAAAGTTCTCAGAATCTGGCATGTAAATAAGTGCTCCTGGCGGGACACGCAAGACCCGATATCCCCTTCGTACACTTCTTGTTTATTATTATTCTACCTTCTGTCTCAGTGTTCTCCAACGCTTCAGTTTCAGCCTTTCTTACATTATTTTACGTGGTTTCATAATTACCCATCGGCTTGGTTGTTATCACTGCATAGGCTACGCTTATAACCCCTTATTCGCAATATGACGAAGCAAGCTGTCAACCCACCTTGATGATTGCCATACGTCTCCAAGCTTGAATCCTGGGGGTTCTCATCTCGTTTCCTTTATATGTAACACCTTCTCTACCTTCTTCCTTTGCTTTTTATTATCTCTTACTGGCTTGTAGGCGGGATGGGGCGGGCAATGGGATTTGGTAACTACTTGAGGGTGCCGGCTATAAAAATGATAACCACATTGTATTAACTAGCTTGAATAAAAAAAAAAAAAAAAATACATTAACAGTATCGATATCCGCCTTACCACCGACACACGCATAAAGGAAAATAGATTTATGCACGAAATACCCTTCCTCGCGGTAACAGTCAGTGGCCATCGATGGGTCAAACGGTTATCCTTAATTATTTTATGCGTGTAGTTGCTATTCTTATCTCAGCCAGCGTGTATAATGGCTGTGGAATGCTTGTCTGACGAAGCGCATACATATTTGACATGTATTTGGGCGTATCTAGGACAAGATATTTATGCGCTCTGCTAATCAACGCAAACCGCCAACTGAGGTTGGGTTGCGTTCTTCTCTACAACCCAAAAACTAGTTATTGAAGGTATCTATGAATGATTAAATGTCCCCCTCTTAACTTGGTGCCGATTTATATCTTCCTGCTCGATGTTGTGAGCCGCCAGAATCATTGCTGATTGACATGCTAGCAATCTTTCCGCATCTCAAGTGGATCAGCCTGATGCCGTTGAGAATTGCCTCCAGGTCTTGGCCATGACAGACAGATATTATGGCTTGGGACACAACCCAACACTGGATTTCTCAGCAATAAAGCCATCATCACCAGGTACGACAGTCGATCGGCGCTGATTGTCGGTCTTGAGGCCGAGCAAAGTGAACAAGTGGCCTTGCTGATAAATGTTGCCCGGTGCCACGGACGAAGGTCGGACCTTTTTGAGGAAGCATCGGACGAAACCTGAGATTAATCGCAGTTTCTCACGGACGCGTCACATTAGGGAGCTCCAAGGGCAAGCCTTCGGTTTATTATGAAGACAAGGAAGCTGGGCGTAGGGATTGGGGTATATAAAGCGACATCATTCCCACCAGATGATAGAAAATGGAACTACCAAATCAGCGAAACACCCACATTACAAACACCAAAACACCCAATTCCGCAAAGAATCCAGCAATCATGTCTACTATTAAGCCACTGAAACTATATGGAGGCACTTTCCCAGCCAACCCGTTCAAGGTTGCTCTTGTCCTCGAAGAGCTCGGGCTCCCTTATGAGACCGAGCAGGTCTCTGTAGCGGAAAGAAAACAAGCACCGTTTACCAAAATCAACCCCAACGGCCGTACCCCTGCCCTTTATGACCCAAACACCGACTTGAAAATCTGGGAATCAGGTGCAATCGTCAGTTATCTTGTTGACAAGTACGACAAAGACCATAAAATCGGCTTCCCTCGAGACAGCAACGAATACTACCTTGCAAACCAATGGCTTCACTTCCAAATGTCTGGGCAAGGCCCTTACTTCGGCCAGTATTTCTGGTTTCTATCGTATCACCCTGAGAAGGTCCCAAGTGCGGTAGACCGGTATTACAATGAGATCAATCGCGTGACGACTGTCTTGGAAAAATGGCTTGCTGGCAGCGAGGACGGTGGTGATGGCAAAGGTCCACGGAGCTATATTATGGGTGAGAAGTGCACCTATGTGGACCTGGCGCTTCTCCCGTGGCAGATCTTCCCCACTAAGGTGGTATGGAAGGGTAAACTTGACCCTGAGACTGAATTCCCGAATATGATGGCTTGGATGAAGCGGATAGAGGCTCGCCCTTCCCTTGCACGCTTGCTTAAGGAGTTCTATGCTGAAGCTGACCCGCTCATTAAAGCTGCTGAGGAGAATATGGCGAAGGCTAGAGAGGAGGAGAATCAGTAGCTAATATGGTTATTATGTGTATGTAGCTAGTTGGATGTTTTTCGAAGCAGAAATCTATTAGTGGTTTAGATTACCTGCTAACGAATACAGACATTTCTTCAACGAGTGTGCTGGGCAGCTGGCCGCAGTTTAAATTGAAAGTTAAAACATAATTTATGACTGGGCGGAGCGGAGTGGAGCGGAGCGGCTTGGCAGAGCTAACTGCTGGTTGACCAATAATGTATGAAGTATACTTCCAAGAGGTTAATATATACCTCTAAGAATATTATAGAATAGAACTGGTTGCGTACACTTTTTGAATTCAACATACTATCATGATGTACTCGTATAAATAGAAACTGGTAGATTACTTCCTCTCTCGCCGCCAACCAAGATTGCAGTAGCATAGTTAGATGGGCCAGAGAGCCTATAACATGGACTAGCTAGCTGGTTCATTATCAGAACCCTTTTTACGAGGGGGTAAACAATGTTTCATATCCCGATACGTCAAAAACAATAACTCCTTTCCAGCTGCGTCTTTGGCCATCTTCTCAAGGGCCTCATCACCAGGGTCCTCGATGTACTTTCCACCATACGGGACCATTGGGTCGAGGCCCTTCAAATGCGTGTTTACCTCAGGGCCGGCAATGGCCCAGTCATGGAAATCTAACTCCGGCGTAAACGTCTTCCGCTTAACATCGGAGTCAAGTTGACGTACATCTTCAAGGTCAATTATGTAACTGTACAGGAAATAAGGATGTCAGTAAAACACTGCTGAAATAGGACTGACTCACTACACATACCACTTTTTGTTCTCAGGGTCCCACATCAAGTTACGGCGGTCGGGGTCGTCGTGAACACATCCCATGGCATAGAATTCACTAATAGTAGAAGAATTAGGACCTAGGTCGCGACAAATGAGGAAAAGGGGTAGAGATCACTTACCGTATTGCTTTAGCAAAAGCTAGCCTGACCTGATCTCTTTCAGACATTGGCAATAAATCAAAATTGACCAAGTTTCGTCCAGGTAACCTTTCCATTACGATAAATGTCATGAAGCCACCGGGCAGAGGGTCCTCTTTCCTTGTTTGCTCGAAAAGCCCAAGATCCAGAAGCTTCGGTGTACATGTACTTCCACGCTCCGTCAGTTCCTTTAGGTTCAGAACTTCCGTAGCGGTGCGATAGCTAGAATCTTGCGGCTTGGTAGGTGCAGGAATCTCGTAGTCATTAGGAATCCTGTGTAGGTTTGTTAATAGATTTTCCAGTTTGCAAAGATAAAAAGACTTTAAGGACCTGACACCTACTGCATTCTTATCTTTGCTATACCCTGGACCCCAGGAGTAGGCCCTTCGACCTGAGTTGCCACGCAAACACCAGCAACCTCAGTGATGAAGTCGTCGAAGAGCTCGTCGTCTTCGTCATAAGTTTCGCGTTCAGAGAAAATGGGACCAAGCTTCCATTTAGCGGTATCAGTCCTGATGGAAGAATAATTTGGCACTTCAAAGGATGACCTATCGCAATGCAGCTCCCAAAGATCTCCATCCAGTTCGTCGACATTCATCGTGCAGACAGACTCACTATCTCCACAATACGAAATATGTGCTCTCGGGGGGGGGAAGGTTAAGAGACTCAAGGAAGACCAGATGTTGCAGTCAAAACACTTTATTAAATATAAGAAGCTTGCCGCCAGGCATCCACCGGAGTTATTTATGTTCCACCGTAACATATATGTACCCATGTATGTATATTCCAGGGATGGTGCATGTCGTTTAGTAACATTTTGGGCGCTTAGGCAGAACCCAACCGCCATTGGTCTTCTCCGTGCCAAGCAGCCAAAAAGAAATATTATCCACCTTTTCAGCCCCATTACTGTTATCATTACGGTTACTATTGTTTGGGTTGAACTTGTTATACGTATATATGGGCTGATTTGATGTAAAATACCACTGAGAAAAAGTTACGAAACAAAATACAACGAGGCCACTACAGCTTGATCCAACCAACTCCCCATTCCACGCTCATCTTCGAGTTCACTTTCTTGATTTCCCGCCAGAAGAGCGAGGCTTATTACCCTCAGTCTCAAGAGGCTCGGCAAAACGAGCACGGCTTCGAGTTGTGGGTCCCTGAATATCCATACCTGCGAGTTTCCTGGCCAGTTGTTCTTCATCATCTTCAGCAAAACTCGCGGCGGACTGACTGCCCTTTTTATTCTTTGCCACAGCAATATTCATTCTCTCTCTCACCTCCTTGGCTGACTCTCCTTTTTTCTTCTTGACGATACCTGTCTCTGAAATTTTCTCGGCGTACCATCCATCTCCCTGCACACAGTGCTGCAGGAAAAGTAATCCCTGGCGAACCGATATTTTATGCTCGCTACTCGAGGTCGCATTGTACGGAATTGGCCTTGAACAGTAGATGGTTTCCCTCCCCCCTTCATTCTCTCTTTTGAGGAAGAATGTGTAATTGTAACTCGTCAAGAATCCGTATTTTAGCTCAAGTTCGATCATGTAGTTTCCTACCTGACCTATTGGTTGTTTGTTGTCAGTAACGATGTCGTAAAAGAAATAAAGAATGCGACTGGTAGCTTACCGAGGAGATGCCTCATGAACCCTTCATCTTTGTTGTCCACAAATTTATCCCATCCGGTAAGAAAATTTTGTTTCCAATGAGTCTTTGCTTCCCCAACAGCACGCGGTGCACCATCACTCGCCACCATCAGGGCATAATCAGGGATCAGGTTATTCTTCTTTCGACTTGTTATCGGGTCTTCATCTACATTCAAGTTATCGGAAATATCCACAGCTCGGCCTTTGCCTTTGTTTGTAGGATTTTCGCTTTGGCCGAGGTTGACGGATTTACCAGTGTTTGAATCGGTTCCTGCGACCTGGAAGAAATCGTCTCTTTTCGCAGTCGCTTTCCAGTCTCCAAACACCATACCAAACTCCAAGACCTTACTGACAGCGGACATGGGATGGAGGGCATGCTGAACCCATCGTCCGCTGACTGAAATCTCCTCCCCACAGAGGAAATGTTCGCTGGCGCCTATATGGAATTCACTAATTCCAGCTTTTGGTAGGTCATACGCGATGGTGTCCGGGTATTGGAGCCATATAACTTTCGAAAAAGTATGGGTAACCTCGTCCTCGAAGCTGTCCCACACTTTAATGGCGCCGGTGAACCATGTCTGATGCAACGAGCTGCTTTTGACATGGCGTCCACTTTCGTTGCAGTACATTATTAGAGGTTGGAGGGTGACATCCTTTGCCGTCAGGGGTTTTACCACAACTTCGGGTTGGCTTGAATAGCCCTTTTGCTTAGGCATGTTGAGTTCTTGACGAAATGGGGGTTATGGGTAGCTTGATACTGAAGATCAAAGGGAAGGCAAATATGAGCAGTGAATGAGTGTATAAAGTGTTTGGTGGTGAAGGACTGTACGGAGAACTAGAGACCATTTTATAATGTAGCGCTCCGTAGTAGATTTCTAGGAATAGAAGTTCTGTCGCTCCTTACCCCATTGCGTGATGATGGTGAGTGGTAAGAGAAACACCTAGGCGCCGGGGGTTGTATAATACGTTGGAAGTGGGTCAAAGATATCGTCACTTCTCAGCCAGTACTCCCTAAACACCGCATGATGATGGCAAGCACTTAGGCGCTGGAGGGGTGACCTTCTGTTCTGGAACGGGGTTGAATATACCATCACGGTTCGCTCAGTTCTCCTTTCCCGCCGCACACCGTTGATATTGGATGAGCGGCAAGAGAAATACCCGACTAGCCAGGGGTTTGCATTATATGTTGGAATGGGGCCAAAACTACCATCACTTCTCAGCCAGTAATTTTTATCCATTGCATGATGTTGATGAGCGGCAAGAAAAATAATTAACTAACAAGGGGACAGGGGTTTGCATAACACATTGGGGGGGTACAGTGACTCTTCCTTGGCTAGAAGGAGGCTGAGTCGATATTTCCCGATAGGATAACCGTTTTCCGTGGAATTATTAGTCCTTGTTGGTCATTCATTTTGTCATGCAAAGACACAGCAGCGGTTGTGCATTGTATCAAAATGCCGCTCGTGAATGCCGTTCCACTGCTAGGCAGCCGTAACTCATTACGCGTAGTTCAACTATCTGAGTCACTATCGCCATATATATTGCCAGTATAAGCACGATACCCATACATATCATACTCTACTGCATCATATTCCTCGTCGTCTGACGCGTTTATGCGGAAACGCCTGTAAATCGCGCCGTTATCCCCGTACTCGTCATCAAAGTCGAGATCCTCATCCGGATACTCGTTTGCGGGATTATCTTCAGCTATAGTAGAGTAAATTAAACATATTAGCCTATGCAGATGGAGGAAGTAAGTGTGGACTTACCGTTAGAGTCCTCATCCTCTGTATCCCAGTCCTTCTCATCATCATCTTCAGCAATAGCGTCCCAAAAATGAGAGTCGTCCTGTGTAATCACAACGATTCCGATATCTTTCGGAACATCTTGCCCCTCAACCCATTTCCCATCTCGAAAGTATTGGATGCTCGGGTCCGCAACAACATCATGCACAGGTCTCCTCACAAATTCGTCGAAGACGTAGCCAGAGTCCGAGTCTTCGTCCATCTCAGATTTCACCCTCTCCTCTCGGGTTTCGGATAAATAGGTACTCTTGATTTTCTCAGTTATGTTGGTATCTCTACTTTCTATGGTAACTCCACGTACATCCGCCCCGTCAGATATCCCGCAAAGTGGCATGGAATGTTCATGGTGGTGATTATCCCGATGTGCTCCTGCACGAGGCACCTTGGGTAAATGCGGCTTATATTTCAGGGGCCGCTTCTGCGGAGTTGAGCGTATTGTACCGGTCGTTGTAGCTGAAGGGGGCTTCCCCAAAGGTTCGATGTCATTTGTCATCTCCAGAGCAATACGTGCCAGTTCATTGGCAAGATTATCGGAGTCATGGTCCCATGTGCTGGGGTCTTCAAGTATTGATTCCCCTTTCCGGGTTCTTTCGCTTGTTTGTTCTTGGTTGGCAGTATGTCGATTCCCCGAAGACGTACTAAATGGTTTAGGCCTAGTCATGCGGTTTCTTTCCAGAGACTCCTTCGCTGAAGTAGATGTCTTGTCCGTGGCATTCTTATTGGTAACCACTATGTTCTCCACAATAACTGGTCGGTAACTAGACGTTTTCCGTGATCTCTTCTTCTGAATCCCCCCACCAACTCTGTGAAGTACATCTAGGGTATCCTCCAGATCATCTGTAGAACTCGGTGCTTCTAGGTGAAAACGGCGTATAGAAGAGCCATTAGTTTGCATGGTATCTGGCCTCTTACCAGGTGAAATAACTCTAGGTATGCTAGCTAAAGTAGCTAGCGACGGTGAGTCACTTCTAGCTGACTCTTTGTCAGTGCCGTCATGCTCCTCTCCTTCTGGAGTGTTTGGCTGCTTCTGCTTCAATTTAGTAACATCGCCACGCGTCGATGGGGTTGTAATGATAGGAATGCCGGAATGGTCTACCGCATTCCCGGAGGCTGCGGCATGATGGCTGACGGTTACAGCACGATTGCCTTTAACGCGCCCCCTTAGCTGATGCTCGGACGTTAAGCCGCCATCGAGGCCATCTCGACTGCCATCTTTGCTACCATGCAGAACAACTCGTTGGAAAACATAGTCTGTGAATCGCCTCTTGGGCTGGTGGATATCTGATTGAATGTCTAATATCGATATAAAGCCGTGCAAAAGGGCATTTGGCTGTTAGTCCTGGTTATTTCGGAGTAGAAATATAAAATCACCAGGAGAAAAATTATATAACATACTGAGAAGTATGAGATCGTAGAGGTGACAGGACATAGATGGTGGCGCTGGTAATAATAATTACTTACAAAGTGTCTCAACGGGTTCATCCTCCCTCCGTCGTTTGATGCGTATTCGTTCAGGCGGAAGAGACATTCTAACGCAGCCAAACTTTACAGCTTGTCAAGGGGAATAGCAAGTATTAGCTAGGTATACTCTTTAATAAAACATTGATAAATAATGTAAAGTCTGCCCTGTCTCCTCGGCTTTGTCGAGGGTTTTTTTATACTGACGTTGGAAGAAATTTTGGCGGGTCAACGGAAGTCACGTGTTTAACCTTAAATATTTAACCATCACCAGAGCCTCACGAGAGCTTTAAGAGAGCTAGGGGTAGAAAGTTAACAACATCAAATATATAAATTCTGGTAGTTCTTCATTCTCTTATTCTTTTTATTAGATCCGTTCATCGACCACTTCTGAGGCCTATTAATTATACATCAACCCGATTTCCACCGCTACCAAGCCTTGCTCATACCGTTCTCAAGTGATTATTAGGTAGGCTGATCAGTATTGGGTATTTGATCAATTAGGAGCATCGTGAGCAAAAAAAAAGATAATGAAAAAGGTGAAGAATTAAAAGCGAACAAAGGAAGGGCAGCACGAAATGCAGCGAGTTGTGAGTATGGAATGCAGGTAATCGAAAATGGGAATCACAAGAGGTATAAAGAGATAATGAATAATGAGCTCATGAGCAATGTATATTTGCAGCTGAATTATCTTCCCGCCTCTTATTCCAACCGGCCAGAAACGAAGCATGACCCTAAAAGCCGCTGTCACAAGTGAAGGTACATGATTGTTGTGAAGCGCATTAAAATTTCAGTAAAGGTTGATGTTGGTGCATATCGGAATTAAAGAGCAGAAAATCAAACAGGGGAATAACATCCAAACAAAAACAAAAAAAAAAAAAAAAAAAATAAAGGAAATATGGCGTATTAAAGGGATATTGAGGGTAAAGGAGTAATTAGGGTAAGGTGGTAGTCAAAACACGAAAAGAAAAAGGAAAACAAGGACATGGAGTTAAATGCATAGAAAAGGAGGTCCACAAACAAAAATGTGGCGGATAAATCGAAAGCGGAAAAGAGTAAAGATCGTTTAATTAATACAGTTGGTGTGAAGGGAGTAAGCAGACAAGAATTATTTGGCTCCAATCTCTTCCTCAGCCCATCCAGGAAGAGATCCTTCATTGGTGATAGAGAGACCAAATCCACTATGGTTCAGCCCTCCAAGCCCACCGAAGCCAGAGAAGCTCCCTTGGGTCTGATGATTCATGCCTGACCGTGATGGAATGTGTGAATGCGGGCCTTGGCCAAAGCGTTCCTGTGAAAAGGATGGCAAGCTGACGGTTCTAGAATGCTGGGCGCGCGGGACACTCAACGTATTTCCATTTGTCGAGTTGTGCTGCTGCTGAGCAGCGCTTGAAGCGCTGGAAACGTTTAGGAGCCCGTTGAGGGAGGGCTTGTGCTGGAGGAGGGGTTCGCCCGGTGCGCCGTTATCCACCACTCCGTTGCTACTTCCATTGAAGTGGCTATGACTATGGGTATGGCCGTGATTGCTCTGGGATGAGCCGTAGTTTTGAGGTTGCTGGAGCGAGGGATACTGCATAGAGTTGTTTAGGCGGGATTCCTGATCACGGCTCTGTTGCTGGGAAACTTGGTTGAGGTAGAGGGTCAAGGGGTTATTGCTTCCCGTGTTTATGAGAGAGGCAGGGTTTGCAATCGAATGCAGAGGGTTTCTGCTCTGGCCATTTTGAGATAATGATCCAGAAGAACCAGTGACGGGAGATAGAGCAGGCCGAGTCGGGCTGGATTGCTGTCCGTTCTGGTTGCCACCTGACTGAATGGTTCCATTAACAGAATTGTTAGAGCCGTCCACGCGGTTGCTATTCTGGTTATTGTTGACCTGGCGAGGTGCATTGCCACAGCGATCTTTTCCAAAATTAATCTTGAATCGTTTATAATCCTCTGACCCTCGCATTCCTTCGATTGCCTTGATAGCATTGGCAATATTGGTGAAATTTACGAACGCACAGCTCTTCTCCCTCAGTGCATTGACCAGTTCAATCTCACCATATGCTGAAAAGTCCTGGCGCAAGCGCTCCTCGGTCCAGGTTTCATCCAGGTTGCCGATGTAGACATTGCGAGATGCGCCTCCGCTGACGGCCAAGGCAATGGCCGGTGGCAGTGCACCAGAATGTTTGCCCCATCCAATCTTTAACCGTCTGTTGTGGATCATTAGGCCCTGAATGTTACTGAGGGCGTAGAAAGAGGCAGCGGATGTAGGGTCAATGAATGTGACGAAGCAAATATGCTTGTCTGGGATGTAGCGGATGTGATGCAGTAAACCACCGCGGACAACATTACAGATCTCCTCTATTGTTGTTTCTGGGTGAATGTTGCCCAGATAAACGGTCCTGTTCCCAAGGTTATTCACACCTCCGGCTGTGGTTGCAACAGCGGCGGCGGCTACTGATTGCTGAGCTAGGGCGTTTGAGATAAGATCACGGTCATGAGAGTTCAGCATGTGTGCGTAGCCAGGAGCAATTCCTAGGTATTGTGCAGCATTTTGTTGTTGAGTTTTTGATACATAGGCACATCTATCTTTGCCATAGTATACTCTCTTTGGAGGTTGCCAGTTGGGTTCCTGAGGAAGCTGGGTAACAGCCTTGATTGCGTTACTGATAGACAAAAAGTGAACAAAGCCAATAGACTTCTCTTTCACAAGTTTCACAGTATCGATAGGACCGAATTTTCCTAGCTCTTCACGTAGCTCCTCCTCGGTGACGTCTTCATGTAAGTTTCCAAGGTATACATTCCTGGACGCGCCTGATTGCTGGACAGCAAGTGCTACGGAAGTGGGAACCTGTGATGGCTTTCCCCATCCAATCTTAATATCGTTGCCCTTGATGGATAGCTTTTTCAGAATAGCATCTGAATGGAAATGGGTGGCAGAGCTACTATCCAAGAAAGAAATGAAAGCGCAGTTCTTATCGGGAAGGAGACGAACAGACTCAATCTGACCGCTTCGAACGTGACCCAAAATTTCTTCAGAGGTGGTCTCTGGGGGCAAGTTTCCTAGATATACGGTTCGACTGGTTCCTGACAAGATACCGTGACCAGATTGAAGTTGTGGGCTTGGTGCAAACGCACCGGCAAATGCTGGTAGCCCTGATATAGGGGAATGGGGGCCTCCCAGTAGTGGAGAACCTCCCATGCCATCAGGAGACATCAAGCTCTGGTACATCTGAGGGGATAGGGCACCATGCTGTGCCTGTGTCGGGCTGTTGAGCTGATTCTGATGACTCTGCCCAACATTCTGATTAGACTGTGAGAATCCTGGAAAATTCCCAAACTGCGGTGAGGCAAAAGCAGAGGGAGTCCCCGGCTGGAAGGGGCTTCCAAGGAGAAGCTGGGATGGGAGTAAAGGTGCGAAGTTCATGTCGAACTGAGTACTGTAAGGGAGTTGTTCTTTAGAGACTGAGGATGTGGAATTGGTATTGATAGCAGGGATATTGGCTCTTCGTGAGTTACGGTCGGTGAAGCTCAGAGGCTGATTGGATGCGTATGCGTTGTGAGAAAAACCTGTCGATTCAGTTCCGTTACTGGAGACTTTAGAACCAGGCTGCATCAAACGACCGGTGTCAATCGCTTGCATGGCGAGCAGGTGTGGGGGAAGGACAGTAGTGTCCTGGTTGAGGAGTGGTAGTACCGCCGTTTTGAAGGATTTATTAGGCGATCAGGTATATATAAATGAGAAATACCTGGAGGTGTCAGTAACAGGAGGATTATTGCCGGCCTATATTGTGTATATAAACTAGTTAGCATCCTCTATAGCGGACATATAAATGTATATATACCCCTAGAAGAACTGACTAACCAAGAATATGAGATAGCCTCGCGCCAGAAAAGATAAGCCCTCGACCTTTCAAGCCCCTATTATTTAGAAAGCCAGCCTAGTTACGGGGTAGTTCGAGATGGTGTGCAAGTTTCCAGGGATATATGAAGGGTAGTCCGACTAATAAGCAAGTAGGTGACGGAACTATAGACGGATCAACGATCGAAACTTGGGTTCAGCAACCCAGCGCAGGGTCAGGGCGGCCAAAATATAACTTGCTGTTATATGTAAAACTAAGCAGATGAGCAAATAGAGAGAGAAAAAAAAATAACAAGTAATAAGGGAGAAGACTATAAATGAAAAGATGAAAGAAGGAGGGTTAGCATTACTATAGATGATATCCTCGATGATGCAACCAAAACAAGCAAGAATCGAAGCAAAGGGAGGAAGCCGAAGAAGGAAAGTAGAAAATAAATAAAAAGGGTTAATGAATGAACGAGAAAAAGGAGGCGAAAAAATAGAATGAGAAGAATGGAGACCTGCAAAGGCAAGGCAAGCAGGAGGCAGAGGAAGAGAGAAGAAGAAGGGGAAGAAGAAGAAGAAAAAGGAGGAAGAGAGAGAGAATATCAAAAGGGAGAGAAAAGGAAGAGAGAGAAAGTGAAGAAAAAAAAAAAGCACCAAGAAAAGAAGTGGATTGAGAGGACTAGTCGTATTGCGATTACCAAAATTACAGGCAGCAACCACGCGAAACTGCGTGTCCATCATCACCCCGGACTGGTATTTGGTACCTGCCTCGATACGATAAAATACCAGGGATGGGCGCTTGGCTCACCAGGCACAGGAAGGGGAATAAGGACAACAGGGCAGCGAGATGAGTTAAGATGCCACAAGGGGGAGGCAAGCAGATAGGCTGCAAAGGGGACGAACAGCAGTGCGAGCCATGTGGTTAAGCTCCCTCCCGTCGTACAGCATGAAAGCGCACCGCAACCCAACCCAACTTACGGAAGTGTGTACTCTTGTAGATGTGTATCCACCACGCTGGTTCAGTTCGGGAGCAGGCGGCCAGGGAGGTCTGCGGCGGTTTTTTCCTCTTGTTGATTGGCCCCCTTGGGCAAACTCGATGGCGATGCATTATGTATGGAGTGCTCTATATATGTATCTTTGTAAGTGCAGGAAAATTTCTCATGGCATCATCCCGGCCATTGGTGGGTATGGCCATGGGTCTTAATTACCACTAGAGCCTGATAGGGGAAAGTCAGGGACCGGCCCTGGTGATGCTGAGCGGATCGATCAAACGTAGCTTCAACTCAGTTTCTCCTGATCAAAAAACAAACGGCTCAAAGGCGTGGATGCTGTCTGTTCCTGTGATGGGCGACGCACCAAGACGAGCACAAACGCAAGACTGACAATGGGGTGGTTGGTGTCATTTGATGCAGGTACCCGGGTTCAGATCGCACAGCCGGTTCTCGGAACTGATGAAACCATGGAAGCGAGAGCTTGATACACCAGCAGGGCCGACTTTGAGCTGTTTCATGCTTTTCTGAGGTTGTAAAACCGAACTCTGCGTTCTCTCACACTGGCTTATGGCTACAACTTCTTTTCCCTTTTTATTTGCGACCAGCAGCTATCCGATATTCCAGAGGCGAAGGGCGTTAGGTAAATTAAGATCATCGCACTCTGATCTTGAAGAGACTTGTTCAGGCTGTAGTAGCTTCCTACTCGTAAATCAGTCTCAGCTTGCTTGGATTTGTTCCTCCAACTTCCGTCCATACGAGAATGACTCTGGGATGACGCCGTGTCCGCCCTGAAGCAGGGCGGACGTACTATGTAGTATGGCGTGTCTTGTTGAGTGTAAACTAGAGCACTCTCCGTATTCACAACCCAGGTTCCATGGACTGAGCCGCATTCTTCTAAATACTCCGTATACAACTTCATCCCCCCCTCCTCCTCGTCTTTTTGTTTTTATTCATATGATGTTGATATAAAGTGGCGGATTATCTAATCAGCCTTAAATATTATGTAATCCATGCGGGCAACAAAACTTCGTTCTCGCTCTTCGCTCGCCGTTAGAGACACTGACTTAGCGCTGGTTGGAGAGGAGCTGCGATGCGAGCCAGCGATTGACCATGGCAGAAGCCGATGTCGACGCCGAAGATGGCAGCGGATCGGAAAGCTACTATGTCGAACCTCTTGCGACGGGTCGAGCGCGACGGTCAACGGCCGGCCGCCTTATGAACACGCTTCTCGATGCAGAAGCTGATGATGAACTCGCGCGTATATTTGCAGAAGAGGAAGATGACGAAGAATTTGAATCTGGGGACGATGAGGAAGAAGGCGGAGAGGCGGCGGCGGACGACATGGAACTTGACTCATCGTCTTCAGATGAAGCGGATGACGGCCCAACGGCTGCAGGGAATGACGAGCTCGAAGGAGAAAAGGAGTTACAAAGGCAGGAAAAGGCAGAGCGTGCGAAGAAACGAACAGCACAGCAGGAAGGATTCCGGATACCGGCTCTACGCAAGAAAAAGGTCAAGATAGATCCGACCTTGCCTACACGAACATCAACGCTTCCCGCTCCACGGCAACGGAAGAAGTCAGAACGGATTTCCTGGCTTCCCACGGCCGATGATGGGCCTACGCGCGTGTCTTCCCGTCGCCAGACTATGCAGAACAGAGTACAAACCCACGCACGGCTTAAACGGAGCGAGCAGAAGCGAGTCCAACTCATTGCCACGATGGAAGAGACGGCCAAACGCAAGGAGAAGGCTAAACCGAAACAAATGACGCAGGCTGACCGTCTCGCTGAGGCTGAGAAGACAGAGAGACTGAACTATGGCAGTCTGACCCGGTGGGAGGAGATGGAGGAGAAGAGAGGCGAAGAACGACGGTTGAAGATGGAGGCGCTGCATAATCGACGGCTGGAGGGTCCTGTTATCACATTCTGGAGCGGAATTGCGAAATGGATCAACGAGAAGCTGGCGATGGTGGGCGTTAAAACTTTTCGACAGGCCGCAGATGCTGATAGCGGCCGTAAGAAGAAAGGACGCGACGCTGGCCATCAAGGACCTCCTGCGACACAGGATACGAACAAGGAGACTGAAGAATCCCAGAGAGCCACAGATACAGCGCCAGTGCAGTCAGATGCTCCTCCTACCGATGGCAAACAAGCACCACAAGAGCGCAACTCGTTTTTAGATGGAATACATATCTACGCTTCTATGCAGGAAGCTTCAACATGTCAAGACATTGAAATGCCTGACGCCACTGCTACACCTAAGCCTGCTACACCTGCTCCGGAAGCGACTACGATACCGAACGAAAAGACACCGTCAAACGGGAATACACAATCTCCCCTGTGCGCTGAAAAGAACGAGAACGAGGAAGAGCAAGCTGCCGTTATACCTGTGGAAGAAGCTGCACCTCCAGGGCAAGGAGTTACCCCGGGAGAGAAGCTGGACCAGTCTAAACCAGCTCTTGAACGAGCTTCTCGTACGTGCATTGTTTTAGACAACTTCGATGCCTCTACCGCTCCTGAACGAAGTGACGTCGGCGTCCTCTACAACCCGAAGAAGCCTGTAAAGCTACCGAGTACGTCATTTATTCCATGCCATCGTTCCCATGTTTATATACATAACCATCACTCCCCCCCTGAAAAAAGACTAACAGCAATGTAGAAACCCAAGTCGAATTCTGCCCTATCACTTCTCGTCCCGCCCGCTATCGTGACCCAGCGACCGGCATCCCTTACTCGAACTCTCTGGCCTACCGCGAAATTCGTCAAGTGCTAGCATATAGGTATGCATGGAGCGGGACGTTTGGGTGCTTCGTTGGGCCCATAGGTGTTGGGGCCAGGGGAGTACCAGAGAGGTTCCTCGCGCCTAATGCCGCTCCACCACAACAGCTGTTCGGGCCTGGAGAGGGTGACAGCAAACACGCTGCGACCCCCGGAAACAATCCCACTGCTTAACGTCAGTAGGCCGGGTCGGAAAGCTGCCTCTGGTCGGGGCATAGTTTTGGTCTTCTGTCTTTTGTACTTTTACGAAAACAATTTTTCTCCTTTTCCTTGCATGTTAGCGTCGGCGTTGAATCTACTACTTCTACTTCTACCTCTTCTTCGCCATCTTTTTGTCTCCCCCTTGGCCATCCCTTGGCCCCTTCGACCTCCGACTTATTGTCTTCAGCCCTTCATGTTTCCTTTTTCGACCGGATAGAGTCGGATTCGCACCGTCACGCGACCTGAAGTCGGTTTTTTTCCTTTCCCCCTTGATTTATACTCCAACGAACATCCAGGGATCAAACGCTCGATTAGACCCTTCAAGCAAGAAACAAACAGGCGACATACACGCAGAGAAGAAAAAGAAAAAGACCGAATGAGCCCGACGGGCCACTGACGTAACGGGGCTCGCTCTGGTGCGCTGGAACGCCGACTTAGGGGAGAGACTACCATAGGTCATCTCCCCGGGTCTGGTCCCCTATGATCCGATCCTCAGAAGAAGGGCCACGACCCCCTTTTTCTTGTCTTTCCTTGATATACAGACGTACGGACGCACACATAGGCTAGCTCTGGCCGTTGGTTTGGGTGACTCAGCGCTGGGCGAGGCCTTGTTTCACCGCCTCATCTGGATATCTATTATTCACAGAGACTTGACTACGCAGTTACGGCCCTACGCTATCCCTTTCCCCCCATGCCTGCATTTACTTTTTTTTTAAATACAGTGCCTCGTCTTTACCTAAAGTTCCTTCTTTCTTTTTTAACGAAAGAAAGGCACGGGAAAAAAGAAGGTTCTTTTTCTTGACTTTTATATCTTCCTCATTGTTTCCCTTCTACTTCCTTTTTTATTTTATCTGCATTGCTAGAAGAGAAAGGACAGGTCGCTTTAGCGAACACCAGGCCAGGCTCTGGAGCCACCATCTGCACCCCCAAGCCCAAGTGGTCCGCGATTAAACAGCGCATGTCAGAAAGGGGAGGGTGTTCCTCAAGGGCCTGAATTGACAATCACGCCGGCTGCTGGGGACCGGGGCGGAAGAGGGGTGTTGCAGCGCAGATGGCCACCTGCTTTTGCCAGTACTGGTATGGATGAAGGCATCTCTATTCTGTCCTCCTGCTACAAGTCTTTCCTCTCCCCTCTCGCCCTTGTCCCTCGGCGCCGTGCCAATTTTTTGCTTGACCTGGAACAAGCTTTCTTCTCCCTCTCTTTTCTCCCTTGTCTTTGCCGGGGAGATAGGCATAAGAATGCATGACATGGTTGAATAAAGAAATGCAGTTCTTTTTTTTTTCATTCTTTTGCTAACTGGTTGTTGAAAAAACAACATCTTCCTTGCAGTGCTACATGTGAGAAAATGATATCAAACCCAGACACTTCAATCCTTTACTGTAGTCAACGGTAAGAATACCCTTCTCCCTTCTACCTTGTTCAGTCTCATCCATATCATTTGCATCACATGGGATGACATGGATGAGCTCTTCCCTACTTCATGCCGGCACGGGTTTACTTATCCTACTTATTTCTTTTTCTTCTTCTTCCGCCCTCCTCAGATGCCGAAATCAGGACTCTTTAAAGCCACTTGCAACTCCATACAGGCCCATCTTCTTCTCACGAGCAACATCTTCCTTCTTCTCCCTGGTTCTTCCTCCTAAATCATACTCATCAGCTAAAAAGAGTGTGCGGACCGGCTCTTTCTCAGGTTTTGGTCTACTCTATTCATTACCAAACACAACAATATCCCTTTCCACCAGCCTGCCGCAGCTCAGCACTTTACATCAAGAGCCGGAAACAATGCCTTCCTTGCGCCAAAGTCGAGCCAAGCCGGTGCAATGCACGGCAGCCTATCGATATCTCACTCAGTTCCTGCAGGCAGGCCCAATGTCCCTAGCCATTCCAACATCGCCTAGAGCGGGATATATCAAGGATAAAAACGTTACTACTATTACTACGCTTATCGAGAATACCGGCAGCAAGGATGCGTCCGATATACCACTCCTAATTCACTCTCCAGCTGCAACAGTGATTTCAGCAGACGACAGCCCCATAACGCCATCCAGTACAGGCCCTGAGGACAAATTCACTTTCCTCCAGGACGACATGATAGAATCCAAGGTCGTAGCAGACCTTGCTCCTGTTATTGTGGATGCGGATAAGCCTTTGCTTGAATCAACTCAGTAGTGGGTGGCCCCATACCACCTGCAAAGCATTTACTCTTGTTTTTCGTGTGGTCGATGAAGTGTTTCTTTTTTTGTTTCTAATTTTTTGTTTCTTTTTTTTTCAGGGGCAAGATCAAGTACGAGGAGCTTGTTTTTCTGCCCATATATATATATCATCGATGAATAGCATTTTGGCATTATTTTCTTTTTTCATATTTCGTACAATGCATCTTCATGGATTCTTTGATTTCCACTCTCTAACTACGTTTTAGCTTTCTTTATCGTTTATTTTAAATTTCTAACCCGTTGGTAACTATTTTACGGTCTGCATCGGCCTGTGAAGCGGGGATACAGCGAGCATTCTCGTACAGTGTATCGTCCACACATCCAGGCAAGGAATCTTTCTAAGCCAATCCCATATCCTCCATGCGGAGAGGTACCATACCTGTTTACAGTTAGCGCAGATCCTTTATAAATTTATTCAGGGTGAACTTACTTTCTCTGATCGGTATACCAATAGTAGGGGGTAGGGTCCATGCCCTCCTTCTTATACGCGCCCATAAGCTCGTCCCAGTCATCCATCCTCATGCTACCACCAACAATCTCGCCCACGCCTGGCATGAGTACATCTACAGATTCTGTAACACGCGGGTCCTCTGCATCTTTCTTCATGTAGAAGGCCTTGATCTCGGCAGGGAAATGGGTGAGTAGAATAGGCTTGTTGATAATATCGGTCATCTTGCGCTCGGCAGCTTCAGCGATATCATCTCCAAACGAGTGCGGTTTGCCTTCTTCATTGTTGATGCCGTGTTCGGTCAACCATTCGATGGCTTCGGAGTACCGCATACGTCTAAAGGGCCGCGCTGGAGGTTGAAAGTCTGGGTTGAGTTGTTTGACGAACGCAGCGATCTGGGGGTCAGCCAGGGAAATGTCAATAACACTACATATTATCTCTTCGATATGGTCGAGTAGGTCGTTGAAGGTAATGAAGTCCAGCTCAGATTCGATATGGGTATATTCAGACAAGTGGCGGCGAGTGAGAGACTTTTCCGCACGGAAAGACGGACAAATGCAGAATACATCTCCTAGGGAGGCTAGACAGGTCTCTAGGTACAGCTGTGAGGACTGGGTGAGATAGGCCTTTTCGCCGTAGTAGTTGAATTCAAACAGGGTGCTTCCACCCTCCACCTGGGTCTGGACCATGGCCGGAGGAGTAACTTCGAGCATCTGCTTCTGCTCAAAAGTCTTGCGGAAGGCCCGTACGACGGCTGCTCGGACTTTGAGAACAGAAGAAGAGGTCTCTCCGCGTAGTACCAGATGCCTGTTGTCGAGGAGCGTCTGTGGGTCAGCGTCCGCGGCCACACGGGTGGTAATGGCCTCCTTATCACCGGCGGCACGTCCAATGACCTGGAAGAAGTCCGCATGTAGCTCGCGGTTATCAGGAGCATGTTGCTTCACCGGCACAGCACGCATCTCCCCGTGGATGGCCATGGAAGTCTCGAGCGTAAGAGTCATGGCGTCGTATGTCCTTGTCAGATCTCCAGTGAACACACACTGAAGCAATCCATAGCCATCAGAAAGCGTTAAGAATATCATATCTTTCTGCATCCGTAGACGGTGGACTCTGCCAACAACACGCACGCGAGTCCCTGGCTGCTCGTCCCCCTCAGCTCGAGGCCTGACGACCGCTGGGTCCTTTTCATTCAGTCTGATCTTGACGGGTTTTGGCAGCGACTCATCCTCCTTAATGATGACCTTCTTCGCCTCCTCCAGCACCAGTCTGCGTTTCTCGGCTTCTTCCTTTTCCCTGATGGCCAGCTCTTTCTCCTTGAGTGCCTTTTTCTTCCTCTGTTCGACAAGGTTGGTGGCCTTCTTGAGTGCAGACTTGGTCGCAGGCTTCCACTGCAGGCGGACAGAGGTCTCCTCGCCTTCAGCAACTGGTCCCGTCTTGGATTTCCTAGTCATATACTGCACTGGAGAGTCGGCCGTGGCGGGGTGAAGAAGCATCGCATGGACAAGCGTCTTGTAGGCGGAGGTTTCTGTGCCTGTCGCGGACTCATCGTCCTTGCCGACATCTTCGTCAATGAAGATATCCTTGGTAGTGCTCGCCATGGCCGTCTGTCTTGTCTCCTTGTCTTGTTCCTGTTCTCGACCTTTTTTTTTCTTCCCTTGATAAAAATATGTGCAGTGGGGTAAAGTTCGAAGTGGCACGCATGAAAAGTAGTAACTAGTTAACCAATATATAATAATAATTACAAGCTTAGTGTGAGTCACAGAAAATAAGATATTAATATTATGAGTATTTTGAACCTATAAGAAATAGAACAGGAATAGCAGATTCATGTGTAAATTACAGTAGAGATAGAGACAGGCGTTGGTGTTATTATCATGAACGTAAGTCTCTAGTATAACTATGGAGCATCAATTGGATATATAGAACAACCACTATTCAATTTCATACCTATGATTCAAACGTAGACTCCCTACTCCGTCGTCTTATTCAAATACCCACAGGTTCACCGCTGTTCTCTATAGTGAATTGAGTAAATGCCGGATGAACCCCTCATTGCCGTCTCAAGACTATCTCAACTGCCAGCAACCAACCAGAGAAGGTAGCTAATGTTAGCCGACGATGCTTCTCAATCGTCAATCCCTAGATCCTGGTCTTTTTAGTGATTCCTTCGCTCTGCGCCGTGCAACACCCTTCGTATGCGCCCGGAGCCAACACGATCGATCAACTCAAGGATAAGCAAAGGTTAGCGAGATCGGGCTCGTATTTGTCGGGTTTCATGCTCTTCTCCGGTGTGGCTAACTTGATCCTCTCAGGTACTAAGTGGTGGTTGGACCTACTATGTACATACATGCAACAAGATGTTGGGGAGTTTCAGATCATAGATCGCTGTGAGCACGAAGCCTTCTAGATGGCTTTGCTGGTTGGTTCTCGCATTTTCAACCAACTAGCTAGCTAGTACGGAGTAGCTCCGCAAGGAGGCGAAGAAACCAAACGACTTGGACGCAGAAGAACAGTGTTATCCTCTTGTCCTTGGATATTCTATTCAAATAAGCTGAACTTGTGAATTTCAACTTGAGAAAAGAGAAAGAAAAATTGCAGGTTGAATATTACGTAAGATGAGCTTTTCTTATTCTACTCTGGGTAATTTAGACTACAAGGCTAGAAAGGCGACGAAGTTCAAGTCTTTTCATCCTGTCGACCCTAGTGATGGTGATATCGAGCAGGTTCTGGTAGACCTTTAAGCGGTTTTGGTGCATCCATATTATATTGAAAGGTAGTGATGATGTTATTATTAGGTCATGGCTTGTCATAATATTACACCAATTGAAAATATCCAACAATTCAGTAGAGAGGATTTCATACGAACACCCCGACTCCGAACGCCTAGGTATATATATCATGTTTCCACTCTCTCCGGGGCCGTGTCTGTAGATGGAAAGCCGACATTCGATTCATCTACGTCCCTTTCCCGGGAGGCTGTGCGCATCTGCCCCATCTCGCTCTTTTGGGTGCGCAATATGTCAAGAGTGACATCAAAGTCGTAGTTCATGGTTATTGTGGTAGCCTCGCTGACCTCTTTCACTTTCCCGGGCTTTGGCTTTCCGCGGTTAGAGCGGCGGAAGCCGTAGCGTCGTGCCACTGTGCTTGCAAATGCGTAGGATGCCCGCTCACGCTGGTTACCGAAGACTGAGGGGAAGAAACGCGCGAAGAATGGCCTGAGTGATGCCAACGAGGCCCCGATCTATTGCCAAGCGTCAGCTTTAGGTCTTTCTTTGTCCGTACGTGCTAAATTGAGCAGGCTGAATTCTACTTACGACACCAACATAAAGCTCGACTGTACCGGAGATCCAAAGGTAGTAGGCTTCCCAGGTCTTGTCGTGTGCGATGTTCAGCCGGTAGGTGTAGTATGCACGTACTCCACCGGCGATGCAGACACCAAAACCAGCGCCGAAGAGCAGGACAAGGATGATCCGTTGCCTGGTAGGTAGGTTGAGAGATAAAACGCTAGGAATGGGCAAGACAAGAACGATGATATCGGTTGCGGTGTTAATTGCGCCACTAGCGAGGAGATGCGCACTCTCGTTGATGCAGTTTTGGGGTAGAGCCGATAGCGTCCAATAAAGGGATACGGGCCTAAAGCGAATTTGTTAGAAAAAGGTAGGCAACGACTAAGGGATATAAGGGATAGCTTACCTACAGGTAAAAACGACCACTAGGATGAATATGATGAGTTCTACCGCAACGATCCATATATTAATCACCACAGTCCACTGCAGAGCCGGACTCCCACTCCCTTTCATGATTTTCCGTGTAAAGAATAGTAGCGACAGCTTGGTAAGGGTGCAGCCTGTAGCAAAGAGACATTCCAACAGCATCGTCAGCCGGAGGCCCAATATGAGCTGCCAGAAGGGAACATCGTATATATGACGATTCCAACCCAAGGTAATGGCAGCAGTAACGGTGATGATACCACAGCCAAGTGTAGGAAGCGCAGCTGCAATTATGAATATATCGTCCCAGCCGAAACTTCTTAATATTCGAATGCGTGTGAAAATGCGAATGCCGATAATGGCCAGCATCAGGGGCATGAAGATGGCTGTCATTATAATAATGGCTGGGCCATGAACCTCTTTTGGATTCTTATAGTTGGGATATGGCCAAGAGGCGATAACTGACGATGGAGGGAGCTGCATCGTAGACGCATTAGTTTTTAGAGGGGAGGGAGGGGGAATGGTTGATCTTGGTAAACAAGAGAGAGGGACAGCTTAATAGCCAGGATTCCCAGCGGGAGAGCTGTGGAGGTATATGTATGAATTCCCACGAAGGGGGAGAAAAGGATAAGAACCAAACACGAAAAGTTCCAACTACAACACGAGTCGATCTGCAGCGTAGACTGACAACTGACACACCTCTTAGCTTAACTCATTCGCAGAGCGAGCGGCTCTTAGCTGTGGGACTATATCGAGTCAAAGCGCAAGGAGGTATGGAGTATAGACGCAGGAGTAACGTTGAGAAGAGGCGTCACAAATGCGACCTGCCCTAAACCCAGTCCCAGACAGGGCGTAAATGGTATAATATTCTCCTCCTCATACAGAATGGCTCTATCAGGGAGATATTTCAACCTGGCCCTAGCGTCCAGAGAATGAAGTTTTGGCGGCCGTTGGAGACCAACGTGGTCAGCCACAATTTAGCAACAAGTGGCGATCGGCTTTCAATAGATCAGAGGCCCAGAGAACTTTCGCGTAGGATTTTCAGGCACACATCAGGTGTGCTCTCTCATGGGCTTCTCTGCTGTTTCTTGGTGGGGGGGAAAGAAGAATCGCGAGAAGACAATCTATACGGTATGTGGTATGGCCGGGTTGTTATGGTGGCAGTGTTGTGTGTTTTGGAACCAACTAGTATGCATTCTTTCTTTTTTTCCTTCTTCTACCTCTTTCTTTCTTCCTTAGCAGGGTTGGCGGGAGTTCATAGTTCGCTATTTGGCCGTCCGGCCTCTTGGGCGGCCTGTATGTCTTGTTGCAAGTCTGTATGGACGGACGGAAGCGGGAGCCCAGCATGGTGATTCCCTGCTGCATACACGGCGGTCCCAGTAGCTCTGGACTTTGAGTCAATTCACAGAGCAGATACATCGTCACCTGCATTAGATCTCTGGTCACCATAATACCTGTATGGACTGCCGGGTTCTTCTTCCACCGCTCACGTAAGAGGGAAGACGTGCCTTTTTTTTGTTATCTGTGGCAAGGATGAGAATCGGTGAGCTGGCTTTCTTTCCCGCTAGCATCAAGACCAAGGCCAAGACCAAGAACGGGGAATGTTCTGCAGCTTACAATGATGATAATGCATCCTGATCATCCGTACTATGTATGTAGTACGTTCTTCGGTTTTATATTCAAGTCAAGGGCGGGAAAAGGGTCGATTGTTCGGTTGTTTAGTTGATCGATCGATCGATCGTTTTATTCGGGAGGAGATCAGGTTATTTATAATGGTGGATGATGCTGATTTGCCTGTTAACAGCTTGATGTCCGGGATTCTCCTTTTGATCCTGGATAGTAATTCGTCTAATATATTAGTTATGCCGTTGCATCTCTTTTCTTATTGATGATGAAGAGTTGTTGTAGATGTGAATCGAGGCGTATGTCGGGCTGAAGATGGACATCAACATATCAACACCGCCATGAACTCCTCTGGCCTTGATAGTCTGTCATCTGCCATATTATGTATACGTATATATTAACTGTTGCATCGTCCTTCTGTACGTTCATCGTACCGTCGATGGTCATAGATGTCCAGGTCGGTAAGAATCTTCATGAAGCCGTAGAGTCCCATCGTAGAGATGCCTCCAAGACCCGAGTCATCACAACGCCATGGACAAGTAGATATACACTGCTTTGTCCACTGTCTTCAGTCTGTCAGATATAATAATTAATATCGTAGATGCTGTCCTTGTTGTCCTTGTTGTGCGCAGGATAAAAAGATAAAAGGCCAAGCATCGCCAAAAAAGGAACAACTTCAAAAGTTCAACCTCAACTTCATTCTCGTCTTTCTTCCTCTTCTCCAAAGCTCAACCAAAAGCTCTTTTCTCTCTTCTTCTTCGTCTTCTTCGTCTTCTTCTTCCAATCCACTCCTTTTTTCTTCTTATTTACTTATTTATTTATTAACTGGATTCCATCGCCTAATTCTCCTGCTTCGGTGGCTTGTCCTCGGCCAGCTAGCCTTTTTCTCCTCCCACCCGTCGACCAGAAAAAAACATCAACAACAGCCCATCAAGCCATCGCCCCTCCAGCATCCCTCGTCTCGCTCGCGTACAAAAGCAGTGTTCGAATATATTACAAAAAGAGAGAGAGAGACCGTTTAATGTGAAGATACCGTGCTCGTTTTCATTTTCCCTTTTCTTTTCGTCCGGTAACAAAGGAATTGTGAAGAGGAGAAACACGCCTGCAAAAGAATCTCAACCTCCAGAACCTCGCCCCTTGTCCTGAACCTGTTTCATCTTTCGAATCATCTATCGACCCGGACTGGAGTCGGGACGCTCACTCGCGGCATTCTTCGACCCTTTATTTTTTTTCGATCTTGGGAGGCGGTGGACTGACGCCCTCTGCTGTGTCGGCGGACCCCGAAAAAGGGCCATCCATCTTATGCAACTGCTTATCTCGCTTGACGGTCCTCGATACTCGATTCTCGATAATCGACACATCTTCCGTCTGATCATTTCCTTGTCTCCCCTCCCATCTATCGACTTTTATTTTTTTTAATTGAACCCCGTCTGGCCTTGGTAGGAAAGAACTAATATCTCTCGACAAAAACACAAGATATATTCGCCACGTTCTTTTCCACCTTAAGCCGTCGCGGTTTTCTTTTATTTTTTTTTTTTCCCGCCGCCTGAAAAGAAAAAAAAAAGCGATATTAAGAGACGAAACGGCATATCCCCCTTCTTAGAGAGAAGGCATAGAGCGTTTCGGATATTTTGATCCAGCGTCTATATTGGATTTTGATTTATTTTATCCAATTTAACACGGACTGAACTATTATAATCTATAATGGCCCATTCGTCAAGGCCCGAAGGGCATCTCAACCTTAACTATCTTCCCTCGCAACCACGATCCGGCACATCCACAGGCAGCTCATCACCCAGCGATCTACAGCAGGCTGGTCAGACAAAGTCCCCCTTTGGAGGCTCAAATGGCCTAACTGGCTCATCACAATCGATTGGAGTGTCAAGAATGGGGGCAGGTTCCCCTTCTCATGATCTTGGCAACCGTCTCTATCCCAAACGGTTAGTTAAAACTCTCCCCTACAAGTCCAATATCCACCGTTCACCATGTAAATATCTAATATTCATATGTATCCGTAGTGCTCGGGAAATACAAGCTCAAGAAGGAGTAACTCCACATATCTGGGGAGGACCACCCACCAGTGGCAATTCAACACCTCTTCGTGAGAATATTCCCGAATCACCAAACCAAGACGAGTTCCCAGGTCTAGTGCCATCACCTGAAACCATAGCGTACAATCCTGGTCGACGAACTCGCGCAGGAACTGTGCCATCACGCTTCTCTCCCGTCGGACCGCTCAATGGACTCAACGTTCAACCTTCTGTCATCTCCAAAACTTCCAGACCTACCCCATCCACCAGCCCATTCCGCCCACAAAATACAACTGGGGTAGAGTCCTCAATGGTGTCCGCTCCAGGAACGGAGTCGAACACAGTTCTGCTGTCTCGCCTCCGAGCTGGCTCGATGCCACAGCGACCCAATCTCCTAAACAGTACAAGTCCGTTCGGCCCATCTGTCTTCTCGACAAACTGGTCATCTGGACGCGAGCGTGCTACCACACTGGCCAGCATACGATCCTCCGAAGGGCCCTCATCGCCTACCCAATCTTCCTTCTCAAAGGATGGCCTTGCAGACGCTGACGTGAGGACGCTGGATTACTTGGGGTTGGCAGAGACACCGCAGCAGTCTCGTGCTAGCCTCGCTGGGCCATCAGTTGCCATGCTCATGCAGCAACAGCAGCAGCAACAACAACCAGCGTCATCCTTACCGCCTCTTCTCGCCGAACTGGCTATGCTCAATCGGGGTTCAAATCGCTTCCGATCGTATTCTGTCAATGCAAAGGAGAAATATGCTGAAGACGATGAAGAATTTGGCACACATTACACTGGTATCCCCTCTGGTACCATGACCCCATCTGCCGCCGCTACCGCCGCCCAACTCGCCGCCACGCAGGCACAAATCCATCAACACAACCTTGCCGTCCAGGCCTTCGCAAACCATGCATCTTCGAGCCGCCCCAGAGCCCGTACTGCTGGTGTTCTAGATGCTCCTCTTCAACGTTCCTCTATCCGCAATTACCTCGCGAGCCCATCAAGACTTGAGAACAGCATAAGTGCTGCTGATATTCGCATCACAGAAGGTTCCGAGTATGACGGTCTACCTGAGGCGGTTCAGAGAATGCAACTAGGAGGTATAGGGGGGTTAAGATCGCAAGAACCGGTGGACGAAAATAATCTGGAGGGTCCAACTCGAGCATTGTGGATCGGTAGTATTCCTGTCTCGACCACCGTTACCTCATTGGATGCTATCTTTAATGTATACGGTAAAATTGAGTCGACTCGTGTCTTGACCCATAAGAATTGCGGATTCGTCAACTTTGAGCGTGTCGAGAGTGCCACTCAAGCCAAATCTCTACTAAATGGCAAGGAAATATTCCCTGGAGCTGGTCCAGTCCGCATCGGTTACGCTAAAGTCCCAGCTACTCCTGTCTCTGAAACTCCAGGACAACCCGGCAGCCAACACTCCCCTACACCAGATGCCAACACTGGAGCTGCTGGATCTGTGGCTCGAGATGGGACTCGCTCTGCCACACAAGATGGCGATGCTGTTATTTCTTCCGCTATCCCCGATCTTCAAGAAATACAGCCGGAAATGAGCAAGATAGTAATAGAATTTGGCTCTTCCGAAGCCGAATGCCAAAATATTACTCTGAGCATCCAGCGAGCCATCAATTTCACCGCATTCGAAGATGAAATCCGGCCAGTACCTGAACCCAGTCAATCGCGAGCCTTCGATGCCCCTCGTCTCCGCGAAATAAGGAAAAAGATAGATAACGGCGCCTGCAGTGCTCAGGAAATCGAAGAAACCGCCAACGAAATGCTTCCTGAGATCGCCGAGCTGGCCTCTGACTATCTAGGCAACACTGTTGTGCAGAAACTATTTGAGTTCTGCTCTGAACAGGCTAAGGAACAGATGTTGACGCCAATAGCACCCCATCTTGCAGAAATCGGTGTGCATAAGAATGGTACATGGGCTGCACAGAAGATCATTGACGTATCTAAGGTGGCTTCTCAGAAGCAGATGATTGTTGACAGCCTAAGGCCGTATACCGTTCCATTGTTCCTTGACCAATACGGAAACTATGTTTTGCAGTGCTGCTTGCGTTTTGGTCCACCATTCAACGACTTCATATTTGAGACTATGCTTAGCCGCATGTGGGAGATTTCCCAAGGTCGTTTCGGTGCTAGAGCTATGAGGGCATGTTTGGAGAGCCACCACGCGACAAAGGATCAACAAAGAATGCTTGCCTCTGCCATTGCGCTACACAGTGTTCAGCTAGCAACAAACGCTAACGGTGCCCTGCTCCTCACATGGTTCCTTGACACATGTACATTCCCCAACCGCCGTACTGTGCTTGCTCCACGACTCGTGCCTCATCTTGTGGCTCTTTGCACTCACAAGGTCGCTTACCTGACAGTGTTGAAGATTGTGAATCAGAGAAATGAACCAGAGGCTAGAGAAATCATCTTGAAGGCTCTATTTTTCAGCCCTGGAGATGAGACGTTGGAAAATATACTCAAGGACCAGTCGTCTGGTGCAACGTTGATCTTCAAAGTCCTTACCACTCCTTTCTTTGAAGAAGCCATGCGTGCCGATGTAGTCAAGACTGTCGCCAAGGTTCTCACTAAGCTGAAGACCACCCCTAGTCAAGGATATAAACGTCTTATGGACGAAGTTGGCTTGTCATCGCGCACCGCAACAACTCGTGATTCCCACCACGCTCGCGACCATGGAGCTGCTACTGACAGAGAGAAACACCAGCGTCAACCCGGCCAGCAGCGTCAGGAAGGGAATGCATTCCCATCTCAACAACACCAGGCAGACCGTCAATACACGGGCCAGATGGGCGCTCATAACATGAACATGCAGCCATCCCTCAACTCTCCACCAAACATGTCACGGTCAATTTCCTCCGAACAAGCTCTCCCACAATACGATCCCTACGCATTCGGCGCCATGAACAGCCTTGCCGGCCTCCCAATGACAAACCCTGGCCTTGCTCAAGAAATGCCGCTAAATCCACAGCAGTACCAATATCAAGCTTTCCTCGCGGCCCAATCACGCGGTATGCCATCCGCCGGTTTCTTCCCACCTCCCGGAAACGGCATGGGTATGGGCATGAATGGCTTCCCCGTCACCACGGGCACGACTCTAGATAACTTCCGTTCCGTGCAACCAGCCATGGCAGGTCCTGGCGGGGCTCCTTTACCAATGGGTGGCAACTCGATAGTTCAGCCAACTGCGTATGGAAACCAGCAATTTAGCCCCGTCATGGGCGCAGGCCAACTGTATAATTACCCTCAGCAATTCTATCAGCCAACCCCAGGGGCACAGGGTACTCCACCTTCCGGACGACGTGGTCGTGTAAGTTTCTTTTACCTACCTTAAACTTTTCTTGCGATCGTGACTGTCGATCTAACCTTTATCTGCATAGTATTCCTGATTGATTCATGATTATTGCGTGCAATTTTGTTTTATTTTTTCCAGGCTATATTATCCATGATGCAGCTATGTGTGTAAAATTTGGGAATTGTTTACGGACTGTCGTTGTGTCTCAATTCGCATTATTCACCTTCATACTCATGCGAGGAATGATGCTGAATCCCATATCTGAATTATAAACCTTCGAGTGTGGATGGAAACCGACATGGCATGATACATCACCGTCACCGCTAAAGCTGGTACTGTGTTTTTACTCTATCTATGCATGTCATCGTTTCTTATCTATTTCTACCCAGCGCTGGTTCACAGGGTCGATATAGCTAGGAATTCGAATGACGGGCTCATGCTATACGAAACCAGAGATAGTGGTCTGGGAATAGGTTCTTCCCTATCCCTCCCGTCACTCTCCCTCAATCCACAATATTTTCATCACCGTCACCTTTTGTCCCCCCTCTTCCCCCTTTTTTTGGACTCTGTTATCTCCATTTCTGCTTACTGGTTTCAAATTACAAAATGTTCCGTTTCACTTCAGTTTGTAAATTTTCTCGTTCTTTGGACTTTCTTTTATCCATATGCATCTCTGAAATTCTTTTTTGCTCACTGTATCTCTCTGTTTTGTCCACGTTGTCTTTTTTTGCGTTTTCTCTTTAGCCTGCTTGGGCCAAGTCAAGTCCAAGCTTCATGTGTTTAGGTATTTGCCTGTCAAGAGAGGGAAGGGAGCGAATTATATGTATGAGGAAATATGTTTTTTAAGGCCAGGCGAATGTATGTTTTCCTGATGGTAAAGATATAACCTTGTTGTTTTTCCTTTTGAGCTGCAGCATTTTCTAAATTCCAAGTATCAGCGGGTATAAACATAGCTTGTTTCAACATTATTTTTACATCCTGTGCCCCCTTTTGCTCGCTGGCTCCCTTTGGGTCTCGAACTAAAGTAGCCGCGCTGTTCGGGGTTCTTGGGATCCTGCCGGAGCCATATAAAATGAAGGTGGCCTTGAAAAGGCAGCCAATACAACAATTGCATGACGGAAAGCCTGTGATGTTGACGTATTGCCAATATGTAGTTTGGCCCTCCTTTGCAAGTACTCTTCCCTCTCCCATTTTAACCAGTTGACCTGTGACTGCAGTGCCTAATAATTTATAGATCAGTGTCCGCCTCTACAATAACGTTGATATATCTGTTAGAAACAGCCACGCTGCGAGAGGTCACAGCGGCAAATGAGAAGACATGAAAAAGAATAGACCAGGTGAAAGTCTGCCGCGTGTCAACGTATCACTTTCGCTAGCAGATTCCTAACGATTATTACGTAGATCAGGAGCTCAAGCTTTCTCCCATAACTAGCGGAGCTACATATAGAGAGGCGGAGTGAAGCTATGACCGCAAGCGTTAAATATAGTGGCTGTGACCATCGAACTTGATGTTTCGTATACTTGCTATAGAGTTGGCCATTCAATCAAAATATAGAGGCCGTGGGCATCGAACGTAGCACTCCTAGGTATAAAAGCCATATTGGACTAATTAGTTAGCGACCAGAGATTCGACCAACCATGTAATTTACAGCAGATCCACATGCATCGATATTTGATAAATCTATAACCTAGTTACCTCCTGAACGCCTTGCCATGGTAGGTCCACGAACACTCTTTTGCCATCTGAGAACACCTTTCGACTACATGACGACGCAGACACATATCCAATGTCATGAACTCGGGTCCTGATAAGCCGTCAAATGGGTCATCAACGCCTTCCCAGTCGTCAATACTATACCAAGATGCGTCTCAGGATTTATTCATAATAGACATACCAGCATCCATCAGCCTAGCGCAGCACCCACTCAGCGTCATTAGAAATGATACCCTGTCAAAAGTACGACTGATACGCTCCTCAGAAGCCATCAGAGACCCGTATAGCGGGCCATCCCCCGAGCCAAAAACAGCCTCGAGCAGGGAGAAGATTCTAAAGCTCGTACCGGCTGAGGATCATGGGTATCATGCATCGATCCTTGCCTCTGTTGATGGCGGGTTGAAGAAACTTAATGAAACCTACCAGGGCGAATGGTGTTATAGTAGGCGTACAGCACCGCTACGTGAAGAAATACATCCTTCCTTAACGCCTAGGAAACGCTTGAGAGTGGATGAACCGGAGTTGGCACCTAATGCGCCAGGACACGCTAGATTATCAGATGAAGATCAAGTGTACGGCCACCAAGATATGGCTCCCGGGCTCCCACCTATTATACTCTCGCCAGATTTGAACTGCTTCCCGTCTGCCAGAGACATATACAACAGCCTTGTGAAGAATCCGAACTCCTGCCAGGCCGTGATCAGGTTCGATGAAACCACCGGTCTTACACCGACTAGCACGGAGCCTACACCACAGAGACAAAAGCTCTTTCTGGTTCCTCCAGAGTCAACCTTTATATTAACGCACATCCAACCGGATACGCTGTACCTAACCAACCCACTGTCGCTCATCCCATCTGACCAAAAATTCCACTTCATACTGGCCGATCCGCCGTGGCCTAATCGTTCCGTCGGACGGTCGAGGCAATACAATGTATCAACACTATTATTTGACGACTTAGAGCTGCTTTTGAGAAATATTGTGCAGAAATTTCTTGCAATGTCTGGTATAGTAGGGGTCTGGGTTACCAATTCTGGAAAGGCGCGACACGCAGTAAGGAATGCGTTTCGGGCAGCTGGCGTTGCTATAATTGAAGAGTGGATATGGGTCAAAACGACAGTAACTGGGGAGACGGTCACCGCGCTTGATGGGATATGGAGGAAACCTTATGAGGTGCTGATAATTGGGAGGGCCGGTGGACAAGAGCGTGACATCAGGAGGAGGATTATTGCTGGTGTACCGGATGTGCATTCACGGAAACCGGGGATGAGGGAGTTAGTTGGGCAGATATTCTTCAGTGGGAAAGAATACACGGCCTTGGAGGTGTTTGCACGAAGTCTCACGGCGGGCTGGTGGGCAGTTGGGGATGAGGTAATGAGATTTAATTGGGACGGGTGGTGGGCAGAATAGATATCATTGTGTAAAACCGTGCATAGTACGGAAACCGGTCTATTAGTCTGGCCCGCATCTTACATCAATCACATCAATCTAACGCTGGCCCGAGACTAACAAGGCTGAATCTCAAATCACCCTGCCCTGCTTCTTCCTCTGTCTTCAAGAACCGCCTCACTCCCTTATCCAACGCCTTCTCGCTCAACATGTCCTCATCTTCAGCCAGTTCTCCTCGACACAGGGGCCCCTTCCTCCTCCCGTCAAGCTCATATAGCCGACCGTCATCGCCCTTGACAAAACACACGAAGTGCAAATCAACCTTCTCTTCAGCACTAGGAGCACTCGTGTCCCCCTTCTTCGCAGCATCAGCATGCGCGCTCTCTAACGCAGAGCTAGAATATAGCAGGTCCGCTCTCTCCTGGGGAGCTAGCGGGATGGCTTCAGACAATAGCTGGTCTAGATCGGACCCCTTGGCGATCTCCTTCTTTGCTGCGCCATTGCATACTGCATGAAGCAGGCCGATGAGACCACACGCATTGCGGATCGTTTGTTTGAACCATGTCACTGGTTCCTGGGGGCCAGAGGAAGCGTATGGTTGGATATCAGCGTCTTCAGCAACTCGGGTTTTTTCATAGGTCTGGGTGACAGGGAAAACGAGAAGGAGAGCTTGTGAGGGGCGAGGGATGAAGGCCAGGAGCTCAGGGTCAGAGATGCTGAAGACATCCGAAAAGCCAAGGGTGGATGGGAGCCCGAGCTGGTGGATTAGATGTGACATAACATCAGGGTTATTTTCTAATAGTGGTTGCCTGTTAACGACTGTATATGTAAAAGAGGGGGTGGGCTAACCGAGAGGTACAAAGGCCTTTGCATTGTCGGGACAGTCGGGGTTATTTTCCGCCATATTAGCTATAATATTGTGGTATCTTCTTTCGATGAGAGGTCTGTCAAAGGTGGGATCTTGTTGATTCCTTTTGTTGATTGTCGAATGCTGCTTATGCTGTAAAAAGTTTGGTTGGTGGGAGAAACTGCGTCATAGTTGCAAACCATGCAAACAAGAGGCTCAAAAGGAATTAATCCATTCGCATATCACATATCAATCATTTATTCCTTGAATCATGGCTTCATACAGTCGTTTATCTACTCATTTACTCTTCAGGGGCGCAAATACGTTCACCCACAGTTCGCTGGCCTCCCCCAGATAGTAGGTAAGGTCTACATCCGCCATCCCTGCCTCTTCGTCTCCCGCAATAGTCTCCAGCTGGGATATGAGATTCTCTAGTCCAAACGCCTTGCCTGTAGCCTGTGTGCTGCCTGCATCGAGCATGACATTGACCACATGGATGTGGAAATGATAGTATGTTGGCTGATAGTGAACGTACAGTTTGACCTGGTCTCGTTCCATTGACGGATAGACCTTGACCACGCTATCGAGTATGCGTTCTCTCATATGCTTGAGCCATGGCACATGCTTCTTCTTTAGGTCACGAAGGCTCCAGATATCCCTTCGCTGAACGAGTGTCAGTAGTCGCAGTGTCCCCATCGTTTTACGATCCCAGTTCAGGTCTGGGAGTAGCAGAAACCCTTCCTCCTCATCTTGGTGGCGGTAGAGGACATCCTCCTGTTCCTTGCGCCCTTCGATGATGTTATAGACCCAGTTGAGGCGGCCGGCTTCACGCTTACCGGACATGTAAGGACGGACATGTTCCTGGTAAATTGCTGGTGTCTCTGTGACCATGCGCACGGGCTGAACTGAATACTTGGCGACATGCTGGGGCGTGGAGGGATAGATGAGGGTGAGTTTCACGTCCGGCGTGTCGGGCGAGGAGGGCGAGCAAGCGAGGGCCCAGTGGTAGATGTCGTTTGCACTGATGTGGGATATGTGGGTGAGGGAGGCACAAAAGGAGACCAGGGAGGTCTGATCGACTGGGAAGGCGGCGCGTTCGGCGAGCAGAATGGCCGGTTGGTGGTCAATAGAGCCGAGGAGCGAGATACGGCGGTCATTCTGGTCTATACATGGCAGTTAGATCTTAGCTTTTGCCAAAGCAGCACGGGTTGAAGGTGTATACCCCATACCCTGGTTGAGCAACCGGTCAAGAACAAACCGCTGAACTAAGCTGGTGGTGTCTGCTTGGCTCTCCATTTTTAACCTCTGGTTAACACGTTGTTCGGGATATTATTTGCGCTTTATCAGAGTAAACAATTCCAGGCCTGGTTTTGTTTATTCGTTACATAAGCAATATGTTTATAAAATCACATGATCCAGGAACCCAGAGTTTAAGATGGAGAAATGTTTCCTTAGAGCGGGCAAGTAACTAGAACTCCATCTTGTACGGAAGTTCTCTGGTGGGGAGCTACATTATTGGGCGGGGGCCATAGCAACAAGAGCAAGAGATGGACCCAAAGACCGGGTATACGGTTGTGATGGAGCATCCAACACTTTATGCCTGTTGCCCTGGACAAGGCATCCTCAAGGCATTCTCTCTCTCGTTGTCCGTCTTTCTAGGCCTTCTCTCTCTCTCTCTCTTCCTGTTGTTCCCTCTTTTCTCTCTGCACTCTTTTTCTCCCTTTACGCCTTCTTTCCTTGGCCCTATCGACTTCCTCTTTAGGCAATATCATATCTCTCCAAGTTCTATTATTAGGACGGGATGACATAAGCGGATGCGGGTGCTTGGCGAGGCTTGGCGAGGCTTGACCTGGTTTAGCATGCAGCACGTGCTTTCCCGTGACCACCTTACTGGCTCCCAACCTTCTCGCCTTCTTCTTTTCTTCTACTATACGAAAACTTCCCTGTCGATGTTCGGAGATTACAGACAGGGAGAGGACGAAAAAGAGAGAGGGATGGAGGGAGACAGAGAGAGGAAGCAAAAAAGTGGCTTTACGCGGACAAAGGAAAAGGTGGACCAGCCTGCAGCTTTGCCCCCAGGCCAGTCCTCCGTACACGGAATCCTCCGAACCTATGTAGGGGACGAGCAGGGCGTGGAGTCGCACGTTCTGGCAATTGACGAAATGACTCGCGATGCAGAGCTGTGTAAAGGCGCGCTGGGCATGGGTACGGCCTTCTTGGACAACGTGGGAGTGGACCTCGGTCGAGGTCAATCGAGCAGGAAGGCGAGAGCAGATAGAAGAAAAAAAGTAAGAAGCAGCAAGGGCAAGGGAGAGAGGCCAGCCGTGTATAATATAATATAAATATTTAAGAGCTGCCTGCTTCCCCCCACCGTTCTTCTTTGCTTCCTGCTTCCTACTTCCTGCTTCCTTCGTTTTCCTTCAAGTCAAGCAGACAGGCAAGATGAAGTTCTCCATCCTCACCGCTACCGCCCTCGCCTCGACGGCTCTCGCCCAGACCTTCCAGCGTCTGGGTGGCTGTCCCCAGCTTGGATGCATCTTCCCGCCAGACAAGTAGGTCGATCGAAGCGTCGTGTCTAGGTAGACACAATGCATTGGGACGAGCACAAGACTGATATTATGTAGGGCCGAATTTCTGTCTGGACAGTACTTCGACATCCGTCTCGAGGTGCACTCGCCCGTCAATGGATCTGAGGCCCGTGTTGGAGACCCGGATGAGAAGTTCACCTTCACCATCGAGCGCAAGGGACGAGGACACCAGCAGCCCGAGCCTGCCACCAAGTTCTTCAAGACCCAGGAGCCCAAGCTCGAGAAGTGGCAGTTCTCCTGGTACGAGGATCTCTTTGCCAAAGACGCAAAGAAGCCCTCCGTCGTCAATGTCGCCTCCAAGGCCTACCGTCGCGTCAGCCTCGACCGCCCCGGTATGTACGAGGCCGTTCTCACCTATTACAATGGCAAGAAGACCACTGCTACCTGGGAGGTCAAGGAGCTGCGCACCCGCCGTCGTGCTAAGAATGTCATCCTCTTTATCGGCGATGGCATGACCACCAACATGATCACTGCTGCTCGTCTCATGGCTCATCAGTCTATCAACGGCAAGTACCAGACCAAGATGCAGATGGACCAGTTCCCCATCCTCGGCCACCAGATGACCCATTCCATGGACTCCTTCATCACTGACTCCGCCAACTCTGCTACTGCCCTGTATTCCGGCCACAAGTCGACCGTCAACGCATTGAACGTCTACCGTGATTCCTCCAAGTCTCCCTTTGATGACCCCAAGTTCGAGACCATCGCCGAGATCTTCCGCCGTGTCTACCCCGGCGCCGGCGTTGGCATCGTCTCTACCGCTCACTTGTCTGACGCCACACCAGCTGCCCTGACCTCCCACACCAGTGACCGTGGCCAGGCCGCTCACGTCATTGACACCTACTACCACGGCCTTTCCAACTGGACCTGGACTCACTGGGATGGCCCAGATGTTCTCTTTGGTGGTGGTGCCGAGGACTTCTTGCCCAATGATGACAACAAAAAGCAAAATTACTATGAGATGTTCCAGAAGAAGGGATACTCTCTCTCGTGGAACGCAACCGCTCTCGCTCACGCCTCCAACGATGACCGTGCCCTTGGTGTCTTCTCCACCAGCGTCATGGCGAAGTGGCTCGATCGTAACGTATATAAGGACAACCTTAAGAACAAGAAGAACTACCCCGACGGTTCTAGCAAGGACGCCGATGACCAACCCGGTCTCAAGGAGATGACCCTCAAGGCCATCGACATTCTTCACACCCGTAACCGCAACAACCGTGAGAGCCGTGGCAAAGGCTTCTTCCTCATGTCCGAGGCTGCCAGCATCGACAAGCAGATGCACACTATGGACTATGACCGTGCTCTCGGTGAGCTTCTCGAGCTTGACGACACCATTCGTGCCACCATCGCCAAGCTCCGTGCCTTAGGTGAATTGGACGATACTCTCATCGTCGTCACCGCTGACCACGGCCACGGCTTCGATGTCACCGGTTCCGTCGACACCAAGTATCTCGCTGAACAGAAAGGTGACCGCGAGAAGCGTAATGCTATCGGCACCTACTTCAACTCTGGTCTCTCCCAGTACACTGTTCAAAAGCAGGGTTCGCTCCAATACTCTGAGGGCGTCCACTTCCCCGCCCAGTGGGATCCCCGATACACCCTCCATAGCGGCCTCGGCGCCCACCCCGACAAGCGCGAGAACTACCAGGTTCACAAGGATGGCCCTCGTCTCCCAGCCACTGCCGTCCGTGGCTCCAATGACTACTATGTCAACTACAAGGATGCAGTTAGCGGTTTCATCGTCAACGGTACCATTGCTCCTGATGAGGGTCAGGGCGTTCACTCGCTCACTGACGTCCCTGTTTTCGCAATGGGACCATGCCAGGAAGACTTTGGCGGTGTCTACAACTCCGTCGACATCTTCTTCCGCATGGCCCAGTGCCTTGGTCTCAGCAAGACCAGATGGTAAATTTGGCTGGCGATCCTCTTCGCGTCTTTCATTTATAGTATAGTATTTAATGTCCGCAATGGAGAATGTATATATTTAATGCCTCAAGCTAGATATTGAATCAGTAATATCACGGGTTGAATATCGGATTCTACTCTTTACCAACACCTGCTATTTCTACAGGTTGTTTTAGTTCTTAAGAGGTTCAGTTCTAGCTCCATCGTCGTGCATCTACATAACTGTCAGCTCATTCTCACATCCTACATAATAAGGCCATCAACTTACTGCATGTGCAAATGATATCCACTCTTCCATGGATCGAACGTATACGTCCTCGTCCGTAGGAACCTTCTCATGCTCCCAAACCATAATCGTAGAAAACATCCCAACTGTCTCGAGTTGGGATATGGGTTCCTCCTTCTCTTCTGCTTCGTCATCATCATGATCTCCCACCACGAGTTGGACAGGATCTTCACACTGAGGCTGTCTTGTTACTACCACGCCTAGTTGTCGTCAGGAGAGTTATATACGGTGGGATCGCTACAAAGGCATACGCACCATGGTACTTATCTGGAAGAGGAACAGAACGACCACAAAGCTTTCGACCGCGAAAATATACTGTTGATGTCCTCGGTTCTATGGATTGGATGAATATCAGTGGAAAAGGTTACTTGTGATATGGGTATAATCGTTCTGCATTCATACTTTCCTCAGTAGCTGCGTCGAATACTGGATTCCAGTGCCTCGACGAGACTTCTATTGGGCCGTCATGGTGGATTCGACAGGGTAAGATGTTCGCTGACACGGCCACCGGTGTGTGCGAGTTCTTTATCTGCGGTTGAGAGTTTGAAGGCTTTTCTTGTGGTTGTGCGTGTTTATCAGGTTGTTGAGAGTTGGTTGTTGCTGGTCGTAGAGCGAGCATTCTTCCGATAAATAATAGCCTATTGCCTTTGATATGTTTGACTTTGTTTCTTGGATCTGTGTATGTGTACACTCTAACTGGGTATCAAATGGATATCTTCTTGTTCAAGCTGGTTTGAAGTTGAAGTTGAAGATCGTGATAAATTGAATTTGACGCGTCGCGTTTTTTCAACAAATCGGAAACAGAGCGACTAGCAAGCGACCACAAGCATCCACTCAATAACGGCCGTGGATTTTTATTAATAATATAGAAACTGAGAATTCAGAGAGGACGAGAAACTTCAATGGATATTAGAGGATATTAGGCGGTAGCCAGGGATCTATAAAAAGTTGGAAATATTTGAAGCCAACAGCTTTAAGTGTTTAACCAAACTATAGCTAATAGAGACAGGGCACAGGGTATCCAACAGTAAGCATTTACAGTAGACAATCATATCACTTCTTTTTCTTCTTCGGTTTCTTCTTTTTCTTCTCTCCTGACCCATTCGCCGATGGGACCGGCCGTACAGGCCATCTCTTCACATGCTCTCTCTCAAATCCCTCTTTATCCCTACGGAAAAGCATCATTGTTGCCCTGGCATCTTCAACACTTGAGTGTGCACTACCCTGTATCTCCAATCCTAACAGTTCTGAAGCCAACACTTTCAGCTTCGGTGACCCGCCGCCTGCAAACTTTCGGTACGGCGGATATCGGCTGGTATCTCTAATGTCACGTTTCGAATGACTAAGTAGTAACGCATCTAGATCGTTCCGCACAGCATGTCCGATCAAAATACGATTGTCAAGCAATTTTGCTACGTCTCGCTGGACGGTCTCTAGGGATCGCGCCTCGACCATGTGTTTTGGTAGGATGCCGCTTACCGATGAGCGCCAATCGGTGACCATTTCTTTAGGCCGGACATATGAATCATACACTTGATCACCATTGTAGTTCACGATGCTGACGCGAGCTAGCGCCGAGTCTTTGTCGGGGTCTGGTCCCACGCCAACCATCTCGCAATCGATTGCAATGTACTTTCCCACTTCGATGCTGCACATATTCGTTAGCTTTCACTTTCTAGTAATTTACAACTGCAGTGCTTACTCTGGGGATAGTCCTATATTCACTAAATCTTTATCGGAAGCTGTTTGGTTGGAAGATGTTACCGCAGGAACGTCTGCATCAGCAGCTACTGTAACGGTAGACATGGTTTTCCGTCGCTTAGATGTGTGTCCACGGCCCGTGTCTCTACCAGTAGCCGTCAGGCTTTTCAGTGACGATGACAGTTTCCTTCTTTTTACGCCGTCATTGTATGCCAGTGAGCCACCAGCAGATGCCCGTTTTTTCGCAGAAGTATCTTTGCCAGTCGATGTGCTACTGGACTTGAGAGTCTGCTGAAGCTTCCTCCAATTGCTTGAAAGTTCCTTTCGTTCCATTCCAACGCTATCGTATGTGTCCCACAGCCATCCACGGGAGGAATATGTTCAAAATCTCTTGTGGCCTCGTCTTTAAAAATTATTTTGAACGTTGAAAGGTCTTTATCGCAGGTGCAAACGGTGCAAACAAACCAGTGACCTTATAAGATGACTAATGTATTAATAAGTATGTGGAAATAAGGCAGGACAAACTTTATTTACCGTCAAAAAGGCTTGAGTTGATTTGATATCGGAGAAAGATGTATGGATTAACTATCGGAGTCTTGCTATGCAATTTAAATTTATACTCTCAGCTTGGTCAAGTTACCTGCTTTCTTTCCTTCGCTGTCGTTGCTGGAGGAGGCCATATCTGAATAGAGGAGAAACAGGTGGAGGTTATCATTTCTCATATCTAGTTACAAGCAATCTCAACGCCTATACTCCAAATATTATTTACTTTTGGTTACTGCAAAAAAAAAACCCCGATCAACCACCTTAAACGGACGGGACTTTGAAGTCCTTGTAGGTCCATTTTTCCGTAGCTTTCCTCTTTGCCTTTTTACTCTGGGTGATCGGATTGCGCGCCTCTAGTTTACCTTGCAACATTAGGCTTCTATATCGATCACCTAGTAGGTTACCTTCTGGTTTGAGGAGCAAGAGGGAGTCTTTAAGCTCTTCTGGGAGAACTAGCTCCAGCGGTTTGGCGGGTACACTAAATGACAATTTGTTAGCAAGAACTCTGATAAAGAAATGGCTAAAATGTACTCACGGTGTTCTGCCACCGAATGGTCGTTTGCGAAGAGCTGGCTCATCATCCCCTGAGGATTCCTCTGCCTTGGTCATGGCTAACTTCGCCTTCTCCTTCTCTGTAATCTGTTTTGTGATAGCTTTAGCTTGCGCGGCTTGCTGTTCTCGTTTCTTTATATTAGCCTCCGCCTTCGCTTTTCTCTCTGCCTCTTTCCTCCGTAGAATCTTATTCCTCTGTGCCTTAGTTTTCCTCTCGGGCCGCTTCTTCTTTATTGACTCGTTCTCATATTCACTTTCAAATCCTTCCCATGCACTTTCATCATCGGATTTAATCTGACCATCGTCACCCTCCGCCGCTTCAATGCGCGCGATGCGCTCCGCCTCTCTTTTCTGTTCCTCTAACCGTGCTCTCTCAGCTTCAACTTCTTTCTCCCCTTCTTTTGTCAGAAGTTCATCCCATTCCTGGAAAGATGGGTTGTAACTTGTTCCCGCTTTGGGTTTTATAACGGAAGGTATTTTCTTGCCATTTGCTGCGAGTGAAACGGGAGCCTCAGACAAGGTCTTTGGGGCAACGATCGGTTTTTTCTCCTCCAAAAAGGAAAATTTCTTCTCCTTTTCACTATCCACAGCCCATGGGTCATGAGAAATGTCATGTTGCATTGATGATTCGTCAAGTTTTGCTTCTTGTGCCACCTTTTTCAAGCGTAACCATTCCTCTCTAGTTACCCAATCGCTTCGACTTCTCTTTGTCTTGGGCTCTATGATTCCATCTGTAACTCTGGAGTTGGAGGGTCGTTTACGGCTATCGATTGCACTTATAGCTGAACGCTGGGCGAGAATTTCATCCGCGCGTAGGGATTTGAACCTTTTCTGGACCTCTTGCTGGGCTTCTTTATCGCCCGTGGGATCGAGTGTGAACAGTTCCTCAGATGGCTTCTCAGCCAGTACTCCTCTATAGTTTAGTGTTAGAAATTCTGGCGGTCCAATTTTAAAAAGAATATCACATACCCTTTAATCACTTCCTCTCGAACCTGTTCAAGCCCCTCTTGCACTTCCGTCACATCAACATTTTTCCTCCAAGCTTTCTTGCCCTTTCGAGAAGACTGCTTATACTGCTGGGGTGCTCCTACCGAGGTCGACATCCTGCTAGTCACAGTCTTGGAGAATATTGGAAGTTAGTAGTGAGAATTAGTTGATATTATGCTGTGTGCAGTTTTCTTCATGGGGAAAAAATTCTAAGTTTTGGGCATTTGGTTATCGCGCTTGGCGCTAAATAGTTATGCGCTAAATTTCAGACTTCATATTTCTCAAAAAACACCAACCGCCTAGAGCTACTCCTTGAACGCCTTTGATAATTCAAACACGAGTCGCGAGATTATAACACAAACGGCATCGAGGCTGAGGCATCTGTCAATATGCCGGTCGTTAAAGGTGGCGTTTGGTAGGTTGAAGGCCTATTTCTCAGCGCGCGTTGCGAGTTGACCAAAACTGACCATGTAAATCTTGCTCTTAGGACAAATATCGAGGACGAAATCGTTAAAGTTGCGGTCTCCAAGTATGGTCTCAACCAGTGGGCTCGAGTATCTTCCCTCCTTGCGCGCAAAACACCGAAACAATGCAAAGCCAGATGGTCAGAATGGCTAGACCCAGCTATCCGAAAGATAGAATGGTCCAAGGAGGAGGATGAAAAACTGCTTCATTTGGCTAAATTAATGCCAACACAATGGCGAACTATTGCGCCTATTGTTGGACGAACTGCTACACAGTGCTTGGAAAGGTATCAAAAACTGTTAGATGAAGCTGAAGCAAGGGAGTCTGATGAGCTTGGCCTTGGCGGACCTGCAGGCGGCGAAGCTGCTGCTCCCAGTGCGGACGATGTCAGGAGGTTACGGTAAGTTTAAGTCATACAGTTACACTCCGTCTGAACTTTCTCGATAACACCTCGTAGCCCAGGAGAGCTTGACCCCGATCCAGAATCCAAACCTGCGCGGCCTGATACCATCGATCTTGATGAAGATGAAAAGGAAATGCTTAGCGAGGCACGGGCGCGTCTTGCCAACACCCAAGGTAAGAAAGCGAAGCGCAAAGCAAGAGAACGCCAGCTCGAGGAATCTCGTCGACTCGCAGTCTTACAAAAACGAAGAGAGCTCAAAAATGCGGGTATCAACATTAAAGTCGTTACCCGTAAGCCCGGCCAAATGGACTATAATGCGGATATACCGTTTGAAAAGGCACCGGCACCTGGTTTTTACGATACGCTTGATGAGCAAGCGAAAAATGAACGCCAGCGTGCAAACTTTGATCCCCGCAAACTTCAGCTTGCAAGCAAACGGAAGGGGGACCAAGAAGAAGACGAGGACAGGAAACGAAGGAAGAATGAAAAGAATGATCCATCTTCAGCCTTCGCGGCTGCTGCCAAAGCGGGCCAGATGCAACGAATTCGTGAAGCAGAACAAAGTAGCAAACGACGCGCACTAGTTCTTCCAAGCCCACAGGTCGGAGAAACTGAATTGGAAGAAATTGTCAAAATGGGGATGGCCGGACAACGTGCAAGTCAAATGGCGGGCGAAGATGGGAATGATGGAACTCGAGGGCTTGTCGGCAATTATTCTAATATTATTGGGAACACACCCATCCGAACGCCTAGAGCACTACCCGAAGAAGACAGGATCGCGAACGAAATCCGAAATATAAGGGCATTAACAGAAACCCAGTCGTCTCTCCTAGGCGGCGAGAACACCCCTCTTCAGGAAGGCGGCTCGACCGGTTTTGAGGGTATAGCACCTCGACAACACCAGATGGTCACCCCTAACCCTATGGCGACGCCATTCCGACAGGGAATGGGCAATGCTGCCAGCGCCACTCCCATGCGTGGACCTGGCGCGACACCGTTACGAACACCCAGAGATTCTTTAATGATCAACCAAGAAACTGGTGATCCCTATCAGCTCGTAGGCAGTACGCCTAAGGAAATCAAAATGCGCGAAAGTTTCGCAAGAAGAAATCTAAGAGCTCAGTTGTCTAGCTTACCCAAACCTAAAGAAACAGAATGGGAACTAGAGGAAATGCCTTCGGAAAAGCCCGTGCCTGAATCTTCTAATGGAGTCTCGGAAGAGGATGCCTCTGAGCGCGACATGAGAAGCAGGCTCGCAGCAGAAATGGCAGCGGAGATAGAGTTTAAACGACAAACGCGGGTGTATCAAAAAAGCCTACCTCGCCCAATCTTAATCAATGTCGGGGCCCTGATGGAGGACGCTGATAAAAATGATGATCCTGCTCGCCGGCTTGTCTCGCGTGAAATGGCCAGACTTATTGCTAACGATGCTCGAAAGTTTCCCTTACCAGAGTCTAAACTTGAAGGAAAAGTACCGAAGCTAGACATGCTAGACGACGATCTCCTATCGAAAGCAAGAGAAGAGATCATAGCAGAAGCCGGGAAACTGGAAGTGCAGCAATGGAACGATGATTTCAGCTCGTCATGGTCTGCTATCCACGAGTCCACCTCTGCTTTGCCTGGGCTTTCTCTCTACGACGACGAAGAGGACGGTGAAGGCCGGTTCCAACAACGGAAAACCGAAATGGCTCATGCTTTTGACAAGGTTCAAGCCAGCTTGTTGCAAGCTGCTGAACAAGGTAATAAGCTGGAGAAGAAGGTTGCGTTGCACTTCGGAGGATATCAGGCTCGGGCAAAGACGCTACGAAACAAGATAATACAAGCTGATGAAGCTCTTAACAAAGCGACCATTGCCCTGGATTCATTCCGTACCTTGCAAATTGCAGAAGACGCAGCTATTAGCTTGCGGCTTGAAAATATTCGAGATGAGGTGACCTTCGTGACTAGACGAGAACGCGAGGCACAGGAACTATACAGGGCCAGGAAGGACGAACTCGAATCTCTTACTAGTGGGATGAATGGATGGCATTAAAAGGGGGTTGGTTACTTTCAGCTTATCGTCTTCGCCTTTTTGGTGGCTACTTTTTATTTTCTGTATTTTTACTTACCTAGCACTGCAAGGCGTTCCTAATGTAATCTAGGGAATTAAGTAGTGAAATACTTACCTTTCCTTTTTGACTCTTCCTTATTTTTGATAACTTTGCCGTGCGTGCCAATATTTTGGTAGCGCGTGGCTATTAGCCGCAATGTCACTTTAACCAAGAACCTCCAGCGGAGTTTTCTTTTTCGCAACTTCAAAGTCGCATCTCAACAACAGCCATCAATATATCCATAACCACGCGATTTCCATCAAAGATTCAGCTTCTACATCCCTTAGCACCATCTTCCGGCTAACATGGGTGTCCCAGATCGCCCTCAAGACGGCCTCGGAACGCCAGACCCTGCGGATAGAGGTTTCGCCACCTTGAATACCTTGAGGTATGCTATAAAAAATGGAAAATTTCGCACTTCCAGTCTGAATATTACTCTATTTACTACACTTTTGATCATCCAAAACTAACACTTATACTCTTATAGCATCGGTGTGAAGGTGTTTGTCAACAAGGTGAGAAATTATGCAGCCTATTCTGATATCACGTGATATTATTTCTGACCAACTTAACAGGATGGAGAGCAAAGGAAAGCAGAGATTCTTTCAATAAGGCAGAAGAAAGGAGGTCCTACATTCTAGTATGATATTCTATCCTTAGTCTGCTCAGAATATAGGTGATACTAACATTTATGTGTAGTGTTCACTATGTTGACTTCAACAAGCGTCTTGATGGTGGGTTTATCCCTTACTTAATATCGAGGACAGCAGAGCATCAGCTATAGGATTTCGCTAATCGGTATGCATAGAATGGATCCCCGCGTCTAGAATTGACCTTTCCAAAGAAGTTGAGTGGCCACAGCCCGAGAAACCTGAAAAGAAGAAAATATCAGGGGCTGCTGCCGCTGCTGCCGCCACCAAGGCCCAACCAAAAAATCATAAGCGTGGACAGCATGGAAGCAGAGACGTCTCATCAACTCCGGATCTTCTAACCGGCAAGAATCAGAACATTGCAAAGACCCCCAGGCCTTCGAAAGCAGGCGGCAAGGAAAATCAGGAAGATGAAGGCAGTACACCCTTTGAGATATCTATGCTAGGGAGTGAGGCGCCGTCCATGAGTGGCACACCTCGAGTTCGCGATGGAGAATCAGAAGATGTTGAGATGACCGATATCCAATCCGAAGTCGAAGCTAAGGCTGCCCTCAAAGAGGAACAAGATAAGCTTGCTGCCGACACCACTCGGGAAGATGAGATTGAAAAGCTCAGAACTGGCGGAAGCATGACACAAAATCTAACTGAGATCCATCGTGTACGGAACTTAAGTAAGATCCAGATGGGTAAGTTCGAGATCGAGCCGTGGTATTTTTCGCCTTATCCCACGTCCTTTAGTGATGCCGATATGATATACATCGACGAATTCTGCCTCAGCTATTTTGATGATGAGCGTGCATTTCACAGGCATCGAAGCAAATGCTCTCTTCTACACCCACCAGGAAACGAGATATATCGAGATGACTATGTATCTTTTTTCGAAGTTGATGGCAGGCGGCAACGAACATGGTGCAGAAATCTCTGCCTGCTCAGTAAGCTATTTCTAGACCACAAAACGCTATATTACGATGTGGACCCGTTCCTATTCTATTGTATGACTACACGTGATGCAAACGGATGTCATCTAGTCGGATATTTCTCTAAGGAAAAGGAGTCCGCAGAAGGATACAACGTTGCGTGTATCCTAACATTACCTCAATATCAACGTCGTGGGTTTGGTCGACTTCTTATTGCTTTCAGCTATGAACTTAGCAAGCGAGAAGGGAAACTCGGGTCTCCTGAAAAACCTCTTAGTGACTTGGGCTTACTGAGTTACCGGCAATATTGGAGAGAAACACTTGTTGAACTCCTAGTTGAGCCTGGCCGAGATGCAATTAGCGAGAGTGAACTAGCTACTCTGAGTGCCATGACTGAAAAGGATGTCCATGAAACACTGG